AATTAGGCAAAGTAACATGAATAAGTGTACGGCACACTTGACAGCGGCGTACTATGTACACAGCAAAGCAAATAATACGTGCTTACGTAGTAATTTGTTAACTGTACACGAAAAGGTCACACTCGAAGTGACTTTCAAATTTTTCCATTATGCGAGAACGAGGAATTTTCCTGTTTAGCTGAAAGTAAACAACTTGTCAAACGCCAAAAATATGGGAAAATATCAAAAATGTGATTGAACACATGCGGCATCGCGGACAATCCCATGGTACCGGTGACATTATTCTGACATATCACCGGTCCGGAAATTACCCAACGAAAGTTGCACATAAGTACAATTTATTAATTAATTATAAAGGACTCGTTGTTAACTGATGTGTTTTTCTCTTATTTGGAAGCGATTGGCTATTGTACTGTTTCCGTAGATTTGAACACTGTGAAGGAGTTAAAAGTGCCGGAAAGCCTTCGTGGGCATAGATTAACCCGTTTAGGGTAAGAAGGCGGTTCCTCTAGAGTTCCAATCGTTCCACAAGTTCCACTGGTTCCAAAATCTACATCGGTTCCATACGTTCCACTGGTTCCATAAGTTCCACCAGTTCCATCCAGTCCAACTAAATACCTACGCTAGGATCCGATGAAACCGCAACAGAAGTTCATGTTACGTCTCCTTATGATACCAATGGAACCTATGGAACTCTATTGGAACCCGTTGGAACGTATTAACAATGTTTCCTTTGGTTCCAACGAGATCCAGTGGAGTTCCATAAGTTCCATTGGAATCAAATAAAGGCGCAATGAGACGATTTACAGCAGTTCCAACAGTTCCAAAGGAGTTCCATAGGTTTCTTTGGTATCACATATCTGTAACAGCGCAATGAGACGATGTACAGACGATGACGACGACGAGACGATGTTCCAACAGTTCCAACGGGTTCCAGTAGAGTTCCATTGGTTCCATTGGTGTCTCTTGAGGGCGCAACGACTTTTTGTGTTTCGACTATAACGGCCGGTACAGGGAAACTATGTCTTAGTCTCTAAGTATGGATACAAGCATACAGGATGGACAAGTTTATTGTACTGTAGTTGGCAACTGACAAGCATCCCCGACTGGCAAGCATTTCCCGGCTGCTGAAAATCAACTAACTCGCGTCAGGCATACTGGCCCAGGAATGTTACATACTTTTGCGGCAGGTTCATTGAACCGTGACAGGTTCTTATATGCGGTATACGACTAGAATCAGTCGTAGCATATATGAAACTGTAGTTTCGGTTTTTGGTCTTCGATATCCGTGTGTAAACAAAAGTAGTTTTTGGCGCCCATAGAGTACGGAAGGGTCCGGCCGGTTGAAGGAAGCGGTGGGGCCCAACAGTCATGTGACATGAGTCATGTGACATGAGTCGAGTAACGATGCGTGAAACTTGTAGATGGCGTTGCTAGCTCGGCATCTTTTTTAGTTTACATTATGTGCTCCTACATTATGTAGGAGCACATTGGAATGTGCTCGTACATTATGTAGGAGCACATTGCATCGGTTTCATCGGTTCTTGGAGGAGAAAAACGGAACGGAACTGTAGTATCCAAACAAACGTAATCCAATATGCTCCTGCAATGTGCTCCTACATATGTAGGAGCACATTGCAATATGCTTTCACATAAGTAGGAGTACATTGCAGGAGCATATTATATGTGGAGATAATAAGGGGTAGGTGGTAATTATTGTGGTGTGAAAAATGGTTGGAGCATAATGTAGGAGCATATTGCAATAGCTTATTGTAGGAGCATAATATTAGATACAGGTATCGGGTAGTAAAGACAATATCAACAGAAATTGCTCTGTAGCCAATTTGAAAGGATAGTAGATTATATTAAAAGATGATATGTTTGAAAGAAACTGATAATGAAGGGGTGAATGTTGTAACAGAGGGAAGGTTGTAGGGGGTTTTACTGTAGTCTGACATAAGTGTAATCGACTTATTAGTTGTTCATACTTCATAGTTTAATGTAGTGTAACAGGAAGCAGAGTGTGTTGTGTGTTATGAGTTGTGGTGGTGGATAGTGATGGATTACTGTGTAAAATTCATGAAAGTTCGAGAAAGTTGATTGCTTAATAGAGCAGAACATGATGTTCTGATCTGATGGTTATGGACGCTTAGTAACAGGTGGTTTTTATATGGGAAGTAGGTTGCGATGTACATTAAAAAGTTGTTCGAGAAAGTGTTAGGGTGATTCGGTTTGTTGACTGGATTTTTTTAATTCGGTAGGTATAGAAGGAATTCCGGAATATGCAGAAGTTGCCTGTGAGCTGTTATGGATTTGAAGAAGTTTGCAGTGAAGAAGATTTTTCTCCTGTTGATTATTTTGTGGTGGTCGGTTTGGATTTAAGTGCAGTGCTGATTCAGGCTGCCGTGTTTTGTTTGACTTTGGTACGTTTTTTTAGCTTCTGTATGGGTTAGTAAGTTTTCTTGCACAGAGATCTGCGTTAAATTTTTTTAAGTATTATTATCCTTAATAAAATAATGGAAGGTGATTCTAATCGGAAGAAATATGCGTGAATACATGCGTGAATATAGAAAACGTAAAATGCAAATTGAGGGTAGTTGGAGTAGAAGATAATTGAAGTAAGTAATGATGAAGTAAATAGGTTTATGAAGCGCTAATTATTTTGATTTGTAATAATGTGTTTTATGCGAACTGTAAAATTCGTGATTTGGAAAATTTAGATACCAGTGAGGCTGAAATCATCATGAAAATCGGTTTTATGGATAGGGCTGCTTTATTAGATACGAATAATGTCATACCGCTTAAGTGCACCCAGGGTTATGAACGTGTTTTTCCAGACCCAAATCAAATTATAATGATAATTTATTCTGGGTCTGGAACTGAGACCCTGGACTAGAAAACAGAGCTTATCTTTGTTATGGTGGTTTACCAGGGGATCGGCTTTATAATATTTCACCTGAAAAATATTTTAAATTACGTCTTTAAAGTGTAGACAGTTGGCTTCAAAAAGATTGCCCCTACGTTTTTCGAGCTCTAAACCTTTATCAACGGGATTTGTTAAAACGGAAAATCAATAATGTTCTCAAAAAGGACAATTTTTGTATAGGAAAAGATTAGGTAACAAAAGTGTGGCTAAATATTTTTACCCAAAAATTTTGTACTATACTGTTTTCCTGTTTATGTACTATACTGTTCATGTACTATGCTCATATTCATGTACTATATTATTTTCGATAACAAAAGTTTCATTTCAAAGCCATCAAATTAAACGTCCTATTTTCATAAAGCCATTGCCGGCATTGGTGTTGTCACTGCCACTAAACAGACCGACCGTTTCATCCTGGATAAGGAGCTTTATTTGAAATTAATTCAACAATGAACATATAATTTTCATTCTCATCTGGAATTCTGTATGTATAGCAAAAACTTGACTACTTTCAGTCAGTACTACAGAATTCTGTTAGAAATCGTGCTGTTAGAAATCAAAATTATAAACCTTCTCGAGGCTGCAGTTAGATTTAGTTGGGCTCAGTAGTGCACACAGTTACAACATACGATACTCATAAATTATTTATATTATTGTTTTTTTTTATGAACCTGCCGCTACACAATCGAGTGAAACGAGATTGGGCCACGTAGTTTTTAATAAGCGAAGCAGTTTATCTGAGTAACATAAATCTCATGCGCTCGTGTTCCGAGAAGACAATTCTTCCGAAAAGAGGAATCCTAAATGATAAATGTTAGAAGGATGGATTAAATAAAAGAGAAAAGCATGAAGCATCGTCGCCGTTAATAAAGCTCGATTAAGAACGAAGAGTTAACATTTCAGATTCCGCGCCCACATGTACAGGTGCAACAGGAAGGACTCTTGCTTTATCTGACTACAGGCGCTGTAATTTTCTTCCATTATTATCATCAAAACTGCAAAAAACTGAATTGAACTTGTCGATTGGCAACAGCACTGTTGCAGCTCCACACACGGATCGCCATAATATTAATTAATAGACAATGGATTGATATGTGCTCATTGCGAAACCACAGTAGCTCAAGGTACGGGCGTTTCATCCACTGCACCCGCTGCATTAAGCGCAATTTCAACTACAAATTGCATATGTACACGGCGACACGCTATCCTTAATCTGAAATCGGTTTCCAGTTAAGTTCGTTGATTGTTGAGATGAAAATGTCCTTATTTATCAACTATTATTCACCAGTAAGTTCGACCAGCTCATCTATCTCTATCTTCGACACAAATTTTACTGGAATTTCATGGAACTTCGTCGCTGCTTTCAAAGTGTTTACCAGAATCAGCACATTTTTGGTAAATGTTACTGTTTGCAGTTTGTTAATAGCCAAAACAACGCAGCACACTGCCTTCTATATCAGTGCAAATCTAGTGGCTTGTTTGAGATGTTGAATCTGCTTTACAATGTTAGTGTCACATGGTTTTGTTTAATATATAGCCGAAAAATAAGTGAAATTGACGAAGTACTTTGTGGCTAGAAGACTTTTGCAAAGACGATATTTTTTTCGGGGCAAATATAAATACACTGTCACGAAGCTGTAATATTTTGGGCATGTAACTTGGGCGGTTGTCATTATTCCCCACAGGTAACGGGAAAACTTTTTAGAGGAGGTTATACAAGACAAAAGAGGAAAAAAGTGGTGGAAGCATTTTCAGTTCATACTGATTGCATTACATGTGTGATCAAAAATTTATGGAAGTATTTTAGAGCCCGTGCCCTCTTTAGTATTCTGTCTAATAAAGTTGAAGAATCAAGACATCCTTCGGTTTCCTATTTGTTGTAGCAGCTACCCGTCAAGATGACCAGTGAGATACGGAGTACACAGATACTGTATATTCACGAAGAATGCGCCAGCAGTTGCAGTTTATACAACTGTAACGTGTTCCTGCTGCAGTCCAAATTATTATGCATCCTATGGTTTGTCATGTTTGCCCGTCTTAGTCATCAACCTTCACGGTTTAGCAATGTACTTTATACGATGATAGTTTCCAACAGTGAGCACAAACTCAGACCATCATGTGGTTCGGTTTCTATTATAACTTTATACTGTTTAATAATGTAATAGGTACTGGACTCCATAATCTACTATTGTGGACCATTACATAACTGACCAAACCTATTTTGCGCATGCAGAAATCGCAGTTGATTAGGTAGTTCGGCAACCCAGGCGAATCACAGAATACAAAGAGCATTTATTTTGTATTGACCTTTTTTAGCTCTTTGCACTCTTTCTCCAAAGCATCGATTTTGGCCACCTGCGCACTCAGTACCTCTTGAAGGTTCTTTAATTTGCTAGAAAAATTTTCTTTCAGTCCATTCACTTCATCAAGTAAATGCCGAAGTTCTTCCTCGGAATTTTGGCAGCTGGAAGTAGAAACAGCTGGAGGCGCCTTGACAGAGGGCAACCGAGGTCCACTTCCCAATGCGCTATCTGCAACAAAAGTTTACATTTATGCGGTTTTTTAGCCCCTGAGGTGTCATCATTGCAGAAAAGTGGTCTATGGATTCACAGATTAAACAAATAAGTCTTGTAAAGCACGTATATTCCGATTCCGGTTCCGGTGCCGTAGAGGCTGCTTCAAAAAATCCAAATAAGTATTGCGCAAACTAGCCGTAACCGCTTTGAATGGACGTGATTACAGCATATAAGCAAAATCCATACTGTAACTGCAATCATACAAAGGGTTACCCAGTTCCTTAAGGAAGCTGGTCTTTTTGACCATAGGAGTTGTTTCGATTTCTTTATCTTTATCCGGCACGGCCGTGTTGATAGCCTCATTGGATTTTGATTTCGTGATATCACCTTTCGTTTCTTCCTCATTGGTGGTAAGTCCGGTAGATACCGGTCGCGTTCTTTTGGATGGTGGTCCGCTTCCCAATGCACTGTCTGCAGAAATTAAATCTAAGCGCTTATAAAACTTATAAAAGTATTTCTTCGGATTACGTTATAATAAATTATTTGACACAGGGTATCCTTACATCACTACGATATGGACACCCAAGTGACACCCAAGCTGGGCCAAGGAAGCGCGCCACAAAAGCGTAGTGTTCATATAACGGCAATCCTGCGCACTTACCGAGCTGTTTGAGGAAGCTGCTCTTTTTGGACAATGCCGGGCTTTTGTCCTTGTCCTTGTCCGATATTGTTGTATCCAGTGATTTCCGAGATTCGTTGGTCTTTGTAGACTTTGTTTCCTCCTTTCCTTTGCTCTTGTCTGAACATACAGATTCAGACTTTCGAGATTCATCAACCTGCTTCGGGTTGTCTGCCTTATCGGACTTCCGGTCCGCAGGATTGCTGGATTTACTGGGCTTAGACTCAGACATGTTAGAATTTATGGAATATACATATAATTTATCATAAACCAGAGGTTTTTAGCACTATAAAACACAGAAGTCTTTGCGTACATTAACAAGTTCTGTAGTGATTCTGGATCTGCTAGTACTTCAGTGCAGTAAACAGGAACGCTTAGTACCGTATGTTGGTTCGCTTTTTTGAATTGCGATGCAGACAAGCCATTCTGCGGTTGTGCAGAAACTAAAAATAACCTTCTTCTGCCTGAATAGTGATATAACTACACCGAATGACTGCATGCTGTACAATGTATGCATACATGTACATCGTTACATAGGGTGTAAATATTGCCGACTAAAAATATGTATATGGACTGTATAGAGCGCGGTCGCATAGAGTTATGTCGCTCCTTCTCTGACATAACCAGCATCCCTGCTATGCAACATGGTACCAACAAACCACAAAGCTCTTTTTCAATACTTCTGGCAAGGTTGCTTCTGCTTATCGATACATTAATCCAACCAAAATTCATTTCTCCACTCACACGATAAACTGCATTCGCAATTCACCTGCTAAGCCGTGGCGTACAAGGCATCCGGAAATTTAACACGTAAAGGTACAGATAGCGCCTAATTTGCGCTTAACGGTTAGGTGAATAGCCACTACACAGTCTACACTACATTTATGTTACTACAATTTACTGCCTCCATTTTTGAAGAAATCTATGAAGAATCAGCAAAAATATTTTCCGCAAAAATAGAATTATATTTATAGAATTTGGCCTGCAACAGTCTTTGCCCAATGCATGCGCGTAAAACAGCTTGGCGTAGCGCGTTATTATAGTGCATAATTTCCTGTATCGCTTTGTACAAACGTACGCGAGAGGTGCTACAAAGTAGAACGATGTAGTAAGCACAGTACTTGCAGCATGACGACACATTCTACCTACTCGTAGTGCTGGTCATTTGAATTACTGACATACGAAATTTCGAACCTCTACTTCCGGCAGACGTGCATTATACGTACGTAACATAAACAAGAGTAATAGCCTGCAAAACCAGCATTTTAGGGAGCAATATTGTTCTGTAGTAGCCCGTAAATGGGTGTGCCATGTTACTCTATCAAGTAAACCGTTGTCCGTTCACCGCACAAAACGAAAAACGACAGCGTCTACGACATATTGTTGTGGATTTCACAGTTTTAGCTTTTAAAGCGTCCTTACTAAACCAAACAATTATTGTGCGTCAGCATATCCCGTCTACGACAGAATAAAGAATTTACGTAGATGTGCCGAGGCGCTCAGCGTCGTTGACCATGAATCTGCAGTCTGCAGTATCAGAGCGGATGGATATAAATAAAGATGGCCCAGTTTGAAATTTAGTATACTTCTACAGCAATTAAAATTCCTTCTTCCTTAATTTTACCTCTGATTTGTTTGCCTTAATTATCGATTAAAATATTGTCTGGGTAAGGTTATTGAGTAGTCCTACACTCTCTTCTATTGTACTCGTTGTTTCTACAGAAAACTGCAAAATGGCGCAAGCGGTGGTCACATTTGCCGTGCTGCTCTTTTTATCGGTATGGACATCATCCGGAGTGGATGCGATGTGTGCGAAGCATTATCCGTGGAATGGATGCAACTGTCAATGCGGAGGAGAACTGAATGGGCATTGTCACTGTGCTTGGGATCGTAAACTGCAGAATGTGTATTGTCGGGATGGGGGAAATCACTGGATCTGTTTCCATGGTCGGGCGGCGGATGTCCCTGGGAGAAATGTTACGAATAGCACTGCCCTGTAAGCTGCCTCATATGCCGTAACTGGTTGCACTAATTTGCTTTTAACAGAGCATTGTACGAAATCTGAGGATACATGCGTTTTAAATCATTCTGAGCAGTGCAGACGAGAGCTGACTATTATTTGTTGAACTGGCCTGCCAAATAAACCGAATCGTATGAATTGTGACATACGTATTTACCATCAATTTGGACAATTATCTGCAAGTGGGGAAGTGGACGCTGGTGACTAATGTTGACCAAGCACCACTGTGTAGCTCTGTTGCCGCTGACTGGCAGCATTAGATGCATTGTCAGCGGCATCCTAGTGTTGCAACAATTCAGATCATACTGTATGTCGACATTTCAGATCACGTGCATTACTGTTCAGAGAAAGTCATTTGTTAGAAAATAATATTTCTAAATGGAAACGTTAGACATATGTGTTAAAAAATACAAGAACAAGAAGGATCGTCACTTAAGGCTCACAATAAGCAGAGTTCGATCAAGGCCGAAGACGTTGCCCTTTACAGATACGTACCGTACTCACAGACATAGTGCAACTGACTTCTAATTTTGGCTCATTGTGGGCCTTAAAGTTCTCTTCAGCCATTACCTATAGCATTAACTGCATTACCTATAGTGTTAAATGGGAAAAAAACTTAAATGAAATTTATCTGCTGGCACCTGCACAGTGTTGCAGCAAGGTCCATGATTGCAGAAACCGCTGCATGACACTTGCTGATTACGAAAGCACAAAACAGCGCATTTAAGATACGGGTAAGGATCCAACTAGTAATTGTTGCTGTTGAGGTGATTTAAAGTTATGCGCCAGGTCTCGATGTGCTTACGTTGACTGTACCGGTTTTCAGCAGTGTTGAAGCGTATCCGCATTTATGGAAAGCAACTAAACGACGTTTTGCACGAGTTGCTGCTGCTTCACATGGAGCCGAAAGTGGTGCAACAAAAACAATACTTCTCTCTGAAAGCGAAAATCATTCCGCCTTTATTGTTTTATGGAATTAAGACTTATTTACCCATTCACAAATAAATTAAATGAGCAGTTATTATATATTCGCATTCACTTGCCTTGGCACATGAACATGGCGCAGCACCATCGCTCCAGAAGCACATAACTCACCTTGGGACCCTTTTGTTGGAAAAACGATGCAGAGATTTTAGCCGGTATTGCCAGATTAAGCGTAAGCGCGTGGGTTTCGCCTCGGTTACATACGTATATAGAGATGCTTAATAAAAATACTTAAATGTAATTAAAAACACTATCATGTATTACTATATATCGCAGTATATAGATTATTTGGAGATAAAGATTATTTGCAGTATATAGATTATTTGCAGATAAAGATTATTTCGCTGTATTTCGTGCCCAGAGCCAGAGGTATACACGATATTACCCAATCATAAGATTATTCACGTGAAACGGAGTACTTAGGGCGTAGCCAACTACAAGTTACAGACCTAGAGTAATAAATTTAACAGGAATTGTAATGACTGTATCTTTAAATGACCTGCGCTCAATTAAGTAAACATCCATCTAACTACTTGCTTATTTTCTGTAGCATTCTACTCAGTTACTTCATTACGATGCAGAAAAGCTTATGTTTTTGTGCGGATTATTTTAAGGTGGATCGAGTTGAGACCGTGGTTCGGTGTAAGAACGATCCTCATACGTATATGCGTTTATGTGCAAAGGACGATAAAGTTACACCGGAATGTGTTTAAAATTTAAACTTTCGGAATTTTCTGACAACCGTAACTGACTGACAGTCAAACTGATTTTGCGCGCATAAACGGTTTTCAAGCCAGTGTATATTCTTTATACAAATCATTTGGCGCTGCACATAAAACAATGCAAAAAATGTTCGGGAGTTCGCGAAAGCGAAAGTTTATGTGTATGTAAACGAATTTTGTACCATGTACCGGGTCACTTCCCTTAACGATTACGTCGATAAATAGTCATCCTTTTTAAGTCATCCGAGCGCAGAGCACTGTCGTATACGGATAGTTTCTACAGACTAGTTCTTACTTATTACATTTAATATGCAAAGAAAATAAGAGGGGAAATTATGGTTTTATGCGCGAACGCACCAGCATATTAGAAATGCAGTGTTTCGCCTCCAGTATCTGTACTTTGACGCATTAATCAGAGCGCTAAAGACTGAGAAAGTATATAACACCAAACAAAACAAAATAGTTGGTAGCCTCTTCATTAGTTCCTCTGTTTAAGCAATACGCACTAACTTATTTTTACGTTTTCACTAAAACAAACCTACGAGAGAGTACTACAAGCAGCATCTCAGTTGATTACTAAGGTTTCTTGCCAACTGGCATGCGCATGCAACTGTGGCAAAATGCCAACTGGTAAAATGCCGTTCTATCGTTGCCTGAGGGTGGAACGAAGTGGTAACTATAGTGAACGCATTCGCAGCATTCCCGTGCCTGGGAATTCAGGATCGACATATGCCTTATATATAGTGTACACTTACGGTTCCATTTTAAGATTGCACCAGGAAACCGAAGCACCTCTTACAATGCTTTTTGTTACATCGGTGTCTCTTAAATTTATGCCTGCACTGTGTTTTGGGTTCGTAATACTTTGGCTGCTGGCAACTGCAATATATGTACCCCACATTCCATGGGAGGAAGGAGAATTCAAGTGCTTACAACCGATTACGACAAATTCCCGCGATCCTGGAAATGGCCTGACCTGCGTTGCGAAACAAGCGGTGAAAAGTGAGGAGCACGTACAGTAATCGTACGTGCATGCAGATATGCCACGTACACGAGGTCTTTTTTGGTTTTAAATGTTTTGAATTTGCTTTTCGACCGGAAACGCTGCTGTATAATCATTTATGTGTACGTATACGCATTTTCTCATAGCGCAAAAATCATAGCGCGCATCGGCTTCAATATCAAATCCCTACGTGCACGGTTTTTAAAGTTAATAAAGCTATAAAAATTTTATTTTATTAACGTCCTTATATTATTAATTAATGCTCTTACCGGTTAGCTAATCTGACAAATTCAATAAGTGATCTATGTATAACAGAATCATAGGTGAATTATGACGTGATTTGACATTATAGAAATAAAGGCCGATGGTGCATCCACAACTCATGCCCAGCAAAACGAAATGCTGCTGCTTCCATGTGGGTCGTCAACAGATAGAACACCTGGGAATACCAGATCTCTGTCCTATAAAGGCAGCAAGGCTTCTACGTACACATTTGGAAGGTTTTTTGCGGACACAAAAATTTTGCAAAGCGGCGCCGAGATTCCTTTGCAAGAGAAACCTGTATATTACTGGATAGCTAACAGCACTCTTCTTAGCATCGGCCCACTTACGGCAGACGTCTTGCAAAATGGAACCCTTGTTTTGAATCCCGCGCGCCCCATTGATTCTGGTCTGTATATTTGTGTGGAATTCGAAGAATGTTATGTGGATGAGACAAAAGGGACAGGAAAAAGCAAGTGTAAACTGTGGATATGGCCACCGCATAACGTAATTGTAGGCGAAGGTAATAATAATCATATCTGCCGTAATCGTTTAAGGTTAACTTTTGTATAATATATCTGCAGTATTCTTTTAACCGCAGTGATACCTTTTTTAAGCAACTATTCAGTTACTCGGAAAAAAAAGCTATTTATTAGTCCAGGCACAAACAATGCAAACAGAATTACGTCTAGATTCTTTGCACAGACAAAATGGTACGTACCGTAACGTACGCTTTACTTGCTTACTTACTTTACTACCTAATTCGTTTTCACTAGTGAATAAATATCTGAGCAGTCTTGTCATTAGAATTCTACAGTAATTATGGTGAGCTATTAATAAAATAAGAACTATTGTTACAGGTAATCTCTTATCACATGCGGGAAATTCAAAGTTACCAACTGGATCGTTGCATTCTCTGTCCACAGCGCCTATGAGCAACAAGCTGGATACTCCCGAGCAAGCGATAAAAAATGGTGCGTACGGTACACAGCACAATAAAGAATGTTATTATCATTATTTATTACCGAGGTAGTTAATAAAATATTGGCGGACCATCAGCGGTCCATTCTGCCGAATAATCGGCATCAGAATGTTTATTTTTGTAGTCCCGCGAAATTTTAACGATACACCGTGCAGATCATGCTTCTAACAAGTAAATACGCACTCCTGTCATAATTGTGAGCATGATGAGCTATTGGTAAAAGAAAAATATTATAACAGGCAGTCTACTGTCAGCCGAAATATTAATTACTAGCCTCTCCGAGCCTGCATTGTGGCGTTCTACGTCTACAGCGCGCACGAGCGAAATCCTGGATACCTTTGAGCCAGCGATAAAAGATGGTGCGTAAAATCGTGAGTACCTTATACGGCACAAAAACAATAAAGAATACTATATTATTACGAATTTACGTTCATAGTTCACTGTGTATAATTATTTATAAAATATTCGTATTATACTAATTGTCTTTACACCGTTTTTAGAATTAGGAACATGTTTGGCGGTGAATCGGTATAAAAAGTTTAGAAAAAGAAAAAAAACAACCCCTTCAATTCATGCAAAAGCACCGTGAAGCATTGTAGGCCACTGCCCAATCATAATAAATTACGCAATAATTATCATCATTGTGCCACGGAGCTTCGAAAGTGCACCGGCAGAACGATCTTCAATTTTCAGAAACTTCCACAACGTCGATGAGCTTCAGGCAGACGACTGGGGAAACCACTGCTAATGTGACAAGCAAGGACGCGATATCCTCCGTTATTTCAGACAATCGGACGGCATTCAAGATGGCCGAAGGTCTAGCGTGGGCATTAAGGGAGATTGATTCTTCCGATCAAACCTCTACTCGGGGCCCGATTCGTGTCAACAGCGGCTTAGCATTGAAACTGACCACATCCATGGTGCTTGCACCAGTAGTCATGCTTCGATGCGTATGATGTCCAGCTTATTAAAATTACTGCCATATTTTTCGTCACGTGTACATTCGGGCGCAAGAGCAGCGCTTTTGAGCATAGTTGTTCAAATTATATTGTAAATAATGCAGTTATGGCAATAATAATTACGTATCTATCATTTTGTGGCGCTTAACATTTAATAACGCCCCGTGGGCGGTAAATTGGGGGGGAGGCGCTATTTTTCACACGGGTTACAGGAGGGGGGCTTGTTACGGAGAGGGACATTATTATGGGGGGAGGTGCAAATTCGATAATTACGGTATCACGGTTTAACTTGCTGTTAGAACGGCAGACCAAAATTTGATGGCGGGAAGACATGCCATTAATTGATGACAGTAGTTATCCAAGAATAAAAAATAATAAATGTTAATAAAAAAATGAGTAACCTGAATAGTGAATAGCCAGTAGTAATAAACATTTCATTGGGGTCCAGTAAAAAAATAAGTTCAAACTTAACTAACTTTTGGTTCACAGAATGTACAGAGTACTCGTAAGTCGTACTCGTAAGTAGATTCTTGTATGCGGAAACATCGAACTATTTATAAACTGTATACGACAATGAGATGGCTGGCGCAGCGCACTGTTTTTCGACTGAGATTTAGTCGTAATTTGAGGTTTTTATCGTATAAGCACATAAGTACAAGCTTTTGCATCCTTCTTGGATTCTCAACATTTTGACCACTACCGACTAGCAACTGCTGTTGCAAAATTATTGACTTTCTATACACAAATTTTGTTTTCGGATGATTTCAAAGGCGTGCATATTAACATACATATTACCATATGCAGAGTACGAGCGATGTTTTGCTGCTCGCGTTGTCGCGAAATCCCCATTTTTCGATGACCTTCGTTCTCCATTCTTATCCAAACGCAAATTCGTTGCAGTTACATCCAGTTGGCTGACTGCCACACTTTTCCGGTTTGCCGATGTTCTTGACCGTGCAAGTCCACCAGCTCGTGCAACGCACGGTACACCCAAGATCTACAGTAGAAACAGACAGGTAGCTGTAAATAGCCCTCGCTCAATTAATTAGAGTAGGTCGGCTTTATATTCGCTCGTAAAAATAATTAAATTGTAATTTCTAGAGAAAACGTAAATAATTTTGTTGAGGTATAGATAAACGCAAAGAATCTTTATGTTGCACCGTTGCTGTGTATTCTTACCAATCCCACGAGCATCTGCAGAAGTAAATACCGCTGCCAGGAAGAAAATGGACAACAATGCCACGATGATTAAAACTTGTCGTTCCATTGCGGCTGATCTACAGTTCTTTTTGAGGAGCCGGTTTAACAGTTTAGGCGGTTGCCGTTGTAGATACAAAATACTTTTATTTCGAATGCTGAAAGCAAGATAATGCAGACATCATGGTTCCTTTCCCTTTTATGCCTGCTCTACCGAATACTGTGTATGGGCTACAAGCCACAAGTGGAAGTTTATTACGGATACTCTGGTACCAGATACAAACTCTTCCTGAAACGCTCTCAAGCATAGTCAAATGTTTCGTCATAATACAGGATGCTTCAAGTAAACCAAAATTTGGTTCGTGATCGAATCAGCTTGTTGTGCTAGTAAACGTATTCACCGAGCTAATTACGGTATTGCTTTCTAGATCTACCACTCTTAGAAAGTTTCTATTTCTAGTATTGTGCCGATAGGCGATAGCATCATTCTGTTAAGTATAAGTAAGCTCCACATTACCGGCATTTACCGAAAGCAAACCACCTTTGCTCCGGTGTACCGCTCACATACCCCATAACTTCATACAAAGGACGCTCCAAAAGTAAGTTTCGCTGTTTTGCCTCCCTGCCATCTGAAGTAATATACAACTGATATATTTTTTGTTAAATAAGCAATTATGTTAACTAACTAGGAAAATAAGAAGCAAACGGTTTGATGAAAAACAGGAGATAGGAGAAATAAAATGGCTCGTACCGTTTTTTCAGTTTGTCCACGGACTTTTTAAAACCTGATTCGTTCTTGCATCACTTGCGCCCTAATCAAGCTTTCGGCGGTGAATTAAAAGTGTTAATAGCAAAAATTATGCTTAATATTTCTCTAGTCGTAGATCATCTTGGAAAGCTCAAGAGTTTGAGTAAAAATTTTTTTACTCGTGACACCAAATTTTGTCTTATTCAGCCTTCTCCTTCCTATGAATTCAAGATTCTTTGCATCAATGAAAAGAACAGTTTATGCGCAGTTATGCGCATCTAAGATACCAATGGACTTTAAGTTACCGCGAGGACAATAATTTTTTTTCATGAAATTTAACTTTTTCACCGCCTGGAATTAGGACAGCTTTGTGGGTTTTGCTCCTAGTCATCGATAGTTTCTGTTTTCCCAGAAAAACAGTATGATTAAGTTTTTTTGTTTATTAATGGAGATTAGAAGAGAGAAGAATACTTAACCTGTGGACGCTTAGTACGTTACAAAAACTTAAGAGGATGTTTGAGAAAAATTGCTAAAACGGTCCCGGCAAAATCCGTGGCACACGAGCGAAAAGTGGTCAATGATTTTTGGCTTTTTTTTTCCCTAATTTTTTTCTCTTTGATTGTACTTAAACCGAGTTATTTTTTTCTTCGGTTCCTTAGTGAAGGGCATTTATATCTGTATGGATAAAAGGAGCTAAAGACCTTTGGTCTGCGAGATACAAAATAGGGAAACTTACTTTTGGAGCGTCCTTTGTATTATTTGTATGACTGTTAGCATTGGTAGCCATCGCACGGTGCAAGTTTTTATCAATTCGAAAACTATTTTAAAACCACTGCAGTACAAAACTTGCGACGGCACATGCAAATATTTTTTCTAACGACGGATTCGAAATTAGCGAGACTGGTTCACTTTAGAATCGTTTGAGAAGCAAAATTCGATTCCCCTTTGCTTTGAACGGCGACCGCCCGGGTAGTGACTACGAGTACTACGAATGCCATTCGTCTCCTAGCCATAGCTCATAACTTGAGTACAACGAGTCTGAAGAATCGGTTCCACAGTGCCACTGATATCAGTAATCACTCTTCTGAGTTTCTCGTCAGAAACGGCATGCTACAAGACTTCTTGTTGCATTAACTACTTAACTAAAGTGCTGGTGCTGCGATATGCTTCATCTTGGCTTGATTGAATCGTAGACAATACGATAGCACTAGCTGCTAGGACTCGTCTAGCAGAGCTTACTGCTTGGTTTGGATACTGCACAAGTATCCATTCTATCCCAAGAACCTTGGAAAATTTTTGAAATTTGAAAGGTAAACAACGTGCACTAGACTGTACTGAAGTTCTACTCAACTTCTTGGGTAGATTAAAAGCAGTCTGCATTACATGTAGGAACATAAATAGAACTATCGAATCCAGAATGCTGAAGCCGTAAATAAGTGCTTCTTTGGGTCTACAGATTGACGCTACGGTACTCGAGCAGCACTGCCAGCACATCGTTCTGATAAATATGGGCAAATTCTGCTGTGTCCCTGCTTGCAACAACCGTGCCAGTCGCGACAAATTCGATACCAGAGGCCAGGCCATTGGATACTTTCAGTTTCCACCGGAGAGCGACTCCCGTCGTCCCGTGTGGATCCATAACATCCGACGCGACCCAGGTCCGTACTTCAGCATCGCGGGCACCACCTGCGTCTGTTCCCTGCACTTCGAGGAAAACTGCATTGAACGTCTGGCCATCTCCACGGGGTTCCGTCTGCGTCTCACTAAAGACGCCATTCCGACACGATTCAGCTGGAACCACGAGAACGACGCTGAGGTCTTCGCGAAGCCTGAACCAAACTCGGACACGATGAACGGCGACGACACGAACGGTGGTTATGAGGACAGCAAAGAGCCCAACGGCCATGCGGGCGGTGAAGGGAAGACCCCCAACAAACGGAAGATGAGTATGCCTCAACCGCGTTCTTCCAAAGTCGCTCGCGCGGGTTCCACCCGAAACAGTCCATACCCGTCGGTGCGTAAGGAGACCTATGCTGCCGGCACCGAAGCAGCGGAGGAATTCCGCTCCAAAGAAGAATCCGACCGGGAGATTCTCCGTCTACGCACGACGGTGCAGGTGTTTGAGAGGAAGTTCGCTGAGATGTCGCGATTAGTGAATGAACTGCGCTCGACCACGATTAAAATGCTGGGTATCATGTCGGTCGGAACGAAGGAGTACGGGGACGGAAAGCCGTAATTCGAAGCCGGAACCCTAGGGTACTTATTGGCAAACTTATTGTAATGGTGAGTGTTTAGTCTGAAATGGGTCGTGAAAGTTCAATAATAAACGGTTGATATGCGTTTGTAGGTTTTGCCAGTTTTTGCTGCTGCATTTGAAATTGAGCATCTTCCGGAAAAGCCTATGATAATCAATTCCGATTACCAAAAATCGCCTGCATGTGTAACCTTTGGCTTCTTAAAAATGATGTGCGAAGAAGCTCTTGATATTCAGATTTAGAACGATGCAGATTCCAGCATCTTGTTCGCTGATTTTATTTTCTTATGTTGTGCGAACTGCGATTGTCATCTTGCATGTTATTGCTTTGATTAAGTCCTTCGCTTTTCTTATCTTTTTATTAAGTACTCAACCATATTCACCGGGTGGAATGTCAACGCAGCGGACCGCGTGTTTCGTATTTTCTCGAACATCGAGTGTAATATCATCACTTCGTATATTTAACATTCGCCATAAAGAACGTCAGATGCATAGGCTGGTCTGAGCTATACGAATGTGAGCGAGATCGGAAACACGAGAGATGGAATATAACGTAGTTTTATTAAATATTAGACCAAAACATCAATCGTCTTAACAACAACACCAGCGAAAAGGAGCAGAAAAACACATCGGAAGTGAATCTAGAAGTAGATCGCCGAAGATCCATCCGTCGTAATCCCCGCTGGACCCCGCAAGCATCGTAATGACGCATGAATCGGCAGCATACGAACGGCTCGGCAGCTCAATCAGGCGGTCCAACCGTACGACTGACGTGAGCGCAGAGCCGACCGCTCTGGCAGTACGATTGTTAGTAACAGTAAGTTGTCAGTAACAACTGACCCATGACTCCAAGAGTACCACAATTTTATTAAGCAGTTTTTCTACTGTGCCGGAGTAGACCAAACTAAAATAATAATAACTGCAACGCTCATTGTTCTTTCTAATGAATAATTTCGGTAAAGTCGCCCTGCACTAATTTTGCGCTTACGGATTTTGTTTGGAACGTCGAAGATGCAAATTATTAGTGCAGATATTAGTTTGTTAAACACATAATATTTTAATTTATTAAACACTTCGCTGTGGTTTGATGTCGTTGATGTACACTTTTATTGTACACTGTACAGGTACTATTTTACACATGAATGACGCGAGTATCACGGTTGCTGTTATCCGTGGTTGCATTCTCCAAAACCACAGTCTCGGCACCATCCATTGCAGTTTCCGGAGCAGCAACCTTGATTTATACAGGATTGTGGCATACACCCGCCACCTGCTGCTAGTTGTTGGGCTTGTATGGCACGACGCTCCGCACGGAATAACTTCGCTTCCAGTTCCTCCAGAACAGCTGCATCTACATATACGGTAGACACCGTGCAACGAGTGAACACAACCAAGTCGGGACAAACACTAAAGGTCAACAAAGTATAAAAGCCACAGTCTGATGTATCGCTTTTCCGTACCTGCATCTTCGATGGCAATATGCAGTATCAGAACCACAACTAGTACGAAGACGACGCTACTCTGCATATTTCTTGCCGATTTTACTATATAACCACTGAATAGATTCAGAAGTCAGGCGTAATACAATTTGGGCTGGTTTCAATCCAAGTAATACCAATAAACCGAAATCTTTTAATCTTTTATACCGTTTCGAAAAATGCTTTGACGATTGCATGCAAATGGCATCCAGTGTAGCAGGTAGCAGGAACCGGATGTTTATCAATTTTATTGTCAAGATTCACTTGTACTGCGAGGACAATATGCCCACATCAGGAAGTGCTAGGTTGGCGGGAAACACAATCGTTAGTTTTTGTTTATTTACTTTGAGAATGCACCCATCCAGGTGCTCGACGGATGCATTATTTTGAATGTTCGTATAACTACAGAATAGTAACCTGAATCCAAACTGATTTCTTCGCATCCATTGTACTTTATCAAGCTGAATGTTTATGCCTCCTTCCTTACACCACATTTCCTGTCCAAAAGATGCCTGTTCACTTGTTTAAATTTCACTCGAATTTCCAGTAACTAACTTTTTGAGGTTCCATTTAAATCATCAGAAATGGAATGGCAGCGGCCAGCGAGTTACACAGCAACGTCTGACAAACAAAGGCGGTCGAACAGTTAAAATTTCGTCTAAATTCGCCACCGGTGGAGCTGTTCCCATTGTACTGCACTGTAAATGCTGTGTTTCGTTGTGGATTTCAGTGCTGATCCGCTGATGCAAACACTCTTTTGCTGGCATTTCGCATGCTTACTTAGCTGCATTCAACGCGTACAGTATGTTCATAAGAAAGTGCTTTAAAAGCAGCGTCCGTACCCTTTTCCGTGTGGTAATATTTTCGAGTAGATCAGATTGTTAAATACCGGAACCACTACGCGTTTCACTTCCTTTGCGTTAACGGATAATATGTATTTTAAAGGAACAAAATATTATACTTTCCACTAATAATCTTGACAGCAGGGCGCTGCCTGGTTTCAAAAACACCAAGGTAATGACAGTTGACTACATAGTCCGTAAGTCTTGAGCACCTATGGCATTGTCAGGTACGTCACACAATTCGTAATTCCACTTACTAATGGATTAGGGAATTATCATAATTGCCGTGGTATTGTCGTTAACGTAAGTGTCAGTAGCACGACATATTTTAACTGCCTAACTTACAATTTTTATGTATAACATTATCGAAAGTTCAAAATTATTTAATTTCATTTGAGTCAAATCAAACCGTCTTACAACCACCATTCGCGAAACTTAACCGCAATGCATATAAATTGTAAAAATTAGACAAGTCTTCCAGTGAGCGGATTAAGGCACTCCAGATACTAGTATCGCCATGCATTGTCTTTCCGATTACAGATTTTGCAAGCTGCCACGTTTCATTTCCGTACGTTTTCCAACCATCGCGTTATCTGCGACATACTGCGCTTCCTCCAGCTGATGTTGGCCTTGCTCTTCTCCACCGCTTGAGAAAGGGCACGTTGAGCAATACTGATACTGTCGCGGTTGTCATCGATAAAGGCCTCCAGTTCGCGTAGTTCAAAAGCAGTGTTAAAGGAGCGGGTCAAGCCACTGATCAAGTGCGACAGTCCTCCAATAACCCCAGCATATCTGCATCAACGATAAGGAATATACGGTAATGTGAGTTGCTGGTTCGTTGTACCGCAAACAGTAACAGAAAAGTTTTCTTTTATTAATAATTTGGAACATCAAAATCACTAATATTGCAACAGCAAAAGTTTACCGAAGTCGAATTTCACTCCAGCGATCTCTGACAAAGTTCCATGTAAGATAGCGACCGACTGCGTTTTGAGCAATTAACGACATCACCTGAAAATGTGATACTTGAAAAAGGTTCGTTGCGCTGTTACACGTGCAGTTTCTGCATAAGCGGTGACCTTTTGTACAGTCAGGCGACGAAAATACGAGTATATGTGAACGTTATATTTATTAAAACATAACGAAAATTTATCATGCACAAATCTTTGCGATTTCTAAAAACATGGAAAACAAACCTAATACCAGATGCGACAAACTTACTAGGTCTCCGTCTTGTTTTCTTATATGTTGACTCGTCAACGACCACTCCAGTAATCTGCAAACAGCAACATAAATAAAAAATCAAAGCAAAGCCGACCGTGTCCATGAGCATCGTTATAACTGTATGATCAAGGGAACTGTTTACGTTTTGTATAAACTGTGGAACATCTGAGCACAAAAACCGCAAAAACATGCGGTTTTTGTACTTAGATGATAACTTTGGATTGCACTAACGCCTGTGACCCCTGGCACAAGTCAGGTCGTCGACTGTTCTCTCGCTACAGTTCACATTGAAAAGCGTGGTCCTAGAATTAATCGTCAGTATCTCGGATTCAGAATTTTCCACGAAGGCTTCTAATAACCCTAGTGCAAAAATTTACACGGCGGAAGAAATTTGAAAGTTCAAAGGAAAGGCTTAGAAACCACAATTTGAAAGACGCATGTGTTGCCCGCGGCTATTCACTTCCCAAAGTACTCGTAATTTCTTTGCCAGTACATACTGAAATCGATGCAACTGATATTTTCGAGCCAGTTATTAGGTCTAATAATTCTTTTGAATAACACTACTTAAACGGTTTAGCGGACGCCATAGTTACACCTGATGTAGTACTCTGTACGAGTACCATAAATCCGTAACTGCCCATTCTGCCCATGCGGGTCCAAAGCGCATTACCGTGCACCATGTTTCTCAAGAATAAGCGCATCACACACAATTATTGTGTCAAATCGAGAAAAAGTAGCATAGTCAGGTTACAGATACAGATACATGGTCCGATTAAAGACAATCAACGAACCACAAAATTTGGCGGTCTCATTCCGAGCGTTGCGATACTGACTTGTGAGCCCACTGACATACTTTTTCCAAAATAGGCTGAGAATTTTCGAACAATCGAGTTTCGTCAGAAGCACGGAAACCTATTTTGCCAACATTGACTTTTTATTACCATGGTCATCCAATTATCAATTTGAAGTTTTGAACAACGCCACAGAACTCGCGCTATACTCCAAGTCTACCAGTAAATAATATAAAATGCCGCCTTTTGCGCATGACTTTTATCTGTTGACATAACACTTTTCTTTTTGTAGTACGGCCACTTTCTTATTGACGATGCCGCGGCTAACTTATTTTTTGCCCGTACTAATCACTGTCGGCGTTTTCATTGGAATCACCGGTGGACAAACTTACGGGCAAAGCTGCTCGACTACATGTCCAGCTCGATTTGCGCGCCTTAACGCTTCGGACTGCTTTATGCTGCTGATTGATTATCAGACGGGGGTCATGCTATTCGTTCGCAATGTTCCTCGCTCACAGGTTGGTTTTACAGATAAATAAAGTTTCGAAAACACGGTATAACTGTAATCTGAATGGCCAGTGTCCGCTTTTGTTGGTATACTACCTGCCTAGGTGCTTGCACAACCCTGGCCAAACACTGTAGCTGGCCCCGTTTAAGCATGAGGTCAGGTGACATTATCTGACATTTTTAGTAATGCAATGCTGCTGTATGACGCAGGTATTAGGCAACATGAAGTATCTGGCCCACCTCGCCAAAGCACTGAACATACCGACGGTCATGACCACCAGCTTGGAAGACGAATTTGACGGACCGATCGTGGATGAACTGCAACAGATTCTACCTGACACTTTTGCCAGTCGTATACCACGTCATGGTACCATTAACGCCTGGGACGAACCGGCTTTTAGAGCGGCGGTACTTAAAGCAGCCGGTGAGCGAAAGACGGCTATTCTGGCGGGCCTCACCAATGATGTCTGTGTGGTTAACCCGGCCATCTCCATGGTGCAGGAGGGATTTAACGTGATAGTCGTGCAGGATGCCAGTGGCAGCCCCAATGCGCAGGCGGACGAGAATGCCCGGCGCCGTTGGGAGAAGGGCGGTGCCCGCACATACACGACAGGGGCGCTGCAGTCGGAGATAGCCAATGACTGGAGCAGCCCAGTTGGTTCCAAAGTGTTGCAGATGATTATTGACCAATACCTTCCCACGTTCAATACAACATATCCTTGGAAAACTAGCTTTAACTGAACGGTGATGCCTTGTGCAGCCAATATTTAATTCGTAGCTGATTTATTTTATGAATCATGTGCGTAATTAACTGTCATAAATAATATGGAACCGATGCGGCGGCAACTTAATTTACAAGTTACAAGCTGATCATAACTGATGCATGCGTTGCGGTGCTGCCTTAAGTCTCGGACCGTTTTCTCTCTGGTAACCGATTTGGTCGGTTTTTGTTGGTAATAAGATTTTCCATAAAGAACTCTGATAATAATTCTGGAGCAGGTCTTCGTGGTCTGGTAAGCTAAAGTGTGCAAACTGCAAAGCCAGGAAAGGCAATGCTAGGGTGAGTGTGAAAAGAGTGATCGCCCGTAGAAACTGGCTGCCTTTGCCTGCACTGCACTAACGTCGGTTGCCATTGACACGGCCAAGGTGTATCCCTTATACACCTTGACACGGCCACTGATAGTCCCATAAATAACGATCGAAACTGCGACAAACTGCATAATTTTAGCCTATGTTTATAATTTCTAAAAAACGATGCGTTTTATAATTGCTTTATACAAACCAGTAAGTTTACTGACCGATTGAGAATCCAAGGCTCCCGACTGCAGGTTAATGCGGTCAGGAACTGGCGCTTTTCCCCGGCAATCGAGGATTTCTTGTACTGCTCCCATGCAAAATCCCATTCGTCTGACGTTCCATAGCGGATGGCATTGCAGTAGACCACAGATTTCAGATTTGCTGATATCCTGCATAAGAAGCACTAGTGCAGAGTTATTACGATTTAAGGGTTCGTACGCAGTTTCGATTTGGTTTCTCATCGGTACGCGTCACAGTGAGTATTTTTACTTGTGCTGTTCGGGATTGGACATCCATCTGGTATAGATCTGTTTGGCATTTTCGACGCAATTGTCGTGTCCGAAATAGCATGCAGCGTGAAGAATTTCAACACGCTGAAGCCTACAAAAGTAAACATGCGTTTCGAATTGCTAACCAGTAAGGAAAACGTATATATCTTATTGCATTCTTACTGCTGGATATGCGCTTCGGTCAGGCTGTCGCCCCATCCGAGAATAATGTATATCGGTCTCAGCTGGCGAAGAATATAGTTCTACAACACGAAGTTATTTATCAGTGTCCAAAGCATCGTCGCTCTGCTTCAGTAGTTCAATTACTTTGAGTAAACCGTAATGTTCCGAATTTTGCATCATAGCGTCAACGAACTCCAACGCTTTTAGACATGACACCCACGGAAGAAAATCCTGTTCGCCCACCAGATACTCTGTTGTGGACAGGGCGATTCCGTATTCCAAATAGCCTGCTCTGCACGACAGCAAAAAAAGCGACTGTATTCACAAAGGTCGCCATTCCCGTCTTGTTAGCCAGCCGGTCTGTCTACCCTCCTCACCTCGCTAAGCTCAGAGCATCGTCCACAATTTGTGCTCGGTTAATCACATCGATTTTCTGTGAAAATACTTTTCCAGTTAAAAGTTAAGTACACATATATTATGCTAGCAGAAGCTAATTTTTTGCCATTATAACAAGTTGTTTTATTGTGTTAATTGCTCATAGACATACGTTTATGTGAACAGTATACATATTTACATCAGTTTGTAGTTTATAGCGTAAGGTTTTGTGAACAACTTCACACATTTACTGCATACTGTATCGAAGATGTTATGACACACAACATTGGAATCTACCAGCCGGCCAGTTATGCCTGTTTGCGAATTGGAATATTATTTCGTACAAGTACGGAAAAATTTTTCAGTGTACTTTAAAAGTATTGTGCATTTATGTACAATTGTAAATTAACGCACATTACTGTAACTGATTACCGTTCTGTCCGTATTGAGCTGCGTGATGAGCAGCTTCCAGTTCCGTTCATCGTAATTGACACGGTAATAGCCAGTTTCTCGCACATTCGCCAAAATCCATTCATTTTGCGATGACAGCAGTTCGTTTACGGTTTCTACGGAATGCAGCCATGATAAACGGTATCCTGCATATCAAATTTACGGTTCGCCAACCCACTGTTTTCCTTGCTGAGCCAGACTTGTTTCGGCTTGTCGTACGACCGGTCGGCAGCAGTAATTATGGAAACCGGCACGTGCCAAGAATGTCCTTGATCGTTACTGTCAGCTTCCACGGTGGCGTTGTTATCCAGAAAGAAGTGCTGCTGATAGAATTTCACCAATTTATTGACATGGTCTTGCGTAATCGTCACCACTGGATAGCCCATCTGCAGTGTCCACGAATCCATAACCATCTTGATGTCGACGTACTTCCCGTCTTGACGACCGGCTTCGGTTAGGTGCCTGCATCGTGCAATAAAAGTTCGGTGAACGTTGTGATTTGGTAAATTTCACAACTAGATTTTATACCGCCATAAATCATCTTGCTCCGCATTACTGTACGAAAAGGCTGTCAAATAATTTTTCAGCCCTTTCTTCAAGGTTTCTTCGCCAAGAAAGTAACGCATCATCCGAATCAATGAACATCCCTGAAAGACAAACGATTACAGATTTACCCAGCGATACATTAATACAAAAATTCTTAGTGTTAAGAAAAAGCCTGTCGCATACAGATATGTGCAGTACCTTTCCGTAAGAAATTCGATCAAATATTTCGCCAATTTCATCAGGATGATACACCGGCAACGATATGGCATGGGACGTTGTCAGAGCGTCTGGCTCAAAGGTCACATGGAGGTTGTCCACTACAAATTGTTGCGCCTTTGAGAAAATGTCATTGGTTTTCATTTCGGAAATTATTCTGTGGAAGCTATTAAGTACTTTTAAAAAAGCACCTACCATGTGCCAACTGGGAAAAGCGAATTCTACGCCTTGATATTCCAAGAAACTGGCAAAACCTTCGTTCAGCCATAACGTATCCCACCTATTACAAAATTTTATGAGTTTCACAATTAACTAAAGTTAGCTGCCAGCAAAATTAATTCATACTGTGCCTTACATAGTCATACTCGTACAATCAATAATGGTGATGCGATAAAATACTGTATAGAATTAACAAAAGCAGTAGTGATGAGCGATAATCTACGAATGTCAGACGAATACTGTGAGAATGTCTTTGTATTTGTCTTTGTATTTACATTACCGGCTGTGTCACTTGTGGACATCATAATATTATGTAATTTTATGGAGGTCAGCGTAGTACAGGGGCTGCAGCAATGAAAGGACAACCGACAAACGATGCTGTTGCTAAATTCTAAATATACGAGTATTTGGCTAACTATTTTATTTTTGTTATTTGAAATTTGGCTTTTTGGTCAGTTTTCAAAATATAACTGTTCGAGCGCTTGATGAGGAACACTGTTTACGTTAACGTCAGACGAATACTGTAAGTCAGGAAGATTTAAAAAATACGAAGTTAACAATTTCGGCATCGTTTGGCGGTTGTCCTTTCATTGCTGCAGCGCCTGTACTACGTTGACCTCCATAAAATTACATAATATTATGATGTCCACAAGTGGCACAACCGGTAATATAAACTATAAACTATATAATGGTCGCGAAATAGCTAGAACACGCAAAAGTACTCCCTTCGATGAATCAAACTGGTTCCACACTTTTGAATTTACGGGTTCTTGACACTTATCAAAATCTTTCTTTAGCGGGGATATATGCGAGTATGGCTTAAGGACAGACTCCCTCCCATTCTTACCATTTTGGAGTAACCAGATTTCCGAACCACTGGAAAATTGCCAAGATTAATGCTGCGAATCAATCTTACTAAGAAGCCAGCTAGATTGGCAAAAAGATCGCCAACACCTGATGTGCGACTTCGTGCGCGACGACAATGGCGATAAGCTGTTTAGAACTAGCCGGCGACGTCTCGTTGTCGTATAGCATCAGCACCTCCCGGAACACCACGGCGCCCCAGTTTTCCATGGCACCGGCAATGAAATCCGGCACAGCGATGAGATCTGCAACAAATGCAAGCCTTACCGGAAGTCAGTTTACAATACACTGTCTGGTGCATCTGACAGTGAATATTATAACAATCAACTGGTTAACCGGTACCTAATTTTGTCAGTGGAAAGGGGATACCGAAATACGTTTCGAAATACACGAGCATTTGACACGCGACATCCAGGGCGAACTCGGCTTGGTTGAGAGCATCCGGTCGGGACCATACCCGCACCTAAATAATCAACAGACGATGCTTTGATTTTAGAAGAATTTAACGAAAGTGATATCCTTTACTCGGGCCGGGTAGGCTTTTAATTTGCGCACTTCAGTTTACGACAGCGATAAGGATATTTGTCAATCTGGTTATCATAATATCATAGTAGCAATTGTTACATTAACATTTTTGCAACAAATATTTTCGTAAAATATGCCATACTAAAAATATTAAAAAAATTAAATTGTTCTCGTATGACGTACAGTCTGTACAATATCGCTGGCAGCATGTATTATGTGTGATAACGGTAAGGTAACAACTACTACTTGCGTGAATTTGAAAATCGTTATACACCATTACACTACGATTACAGTGTGTTTATATCATAACTGCATCCATTTGCTAGAGTAGATTTTCCATACAAGCTCCGGTATAGGTATTTTATCTGTAAAATTATTGTTTTATGTCTGTTCAAACCCAGCAGAGCGAATCTGCTCTGCGTGTGGTTCGAGTTTATAAAATTAAAAGATTGGATAAATTACTAACTACCGGCAGAAATGTTTGTTATAGTTGACAGCAGTGCAACTTACCTTGACACCATTATCCGCTAATTTCTCCTTGCTGGAGAACTCGCAGACGACGAAGGCGAGCAAATAAGTGGACATGGGCAGTGTGCGATTGTACACATCGGCCACGAGATTGTCGGCACTGCAGGGGATGCAGAAGAAACAGCGATGCGTTATTAGATAAACACGGCACTCGACACGCATATATGATCATGAACGACAGACAAGTGTTCCAACGACTTCCGGCTGCCGATGCAATGCCGGGAGTGCACATAGCGACACACACACAAAGTGTACGACTAACCGAGTGTCTTGCCGGATAATCTCCATATTGGAGATGGAGATCATGTTGGCCGGGCGGACGATGGTGATGTCGAAAGTGGACTTCATGCCCGGCTCATCGAAACAGGGAAACGCCCGCCGGGCGTCCGTCGGCTGGAACTGGGTTGTCGCGATCCAACTGTCCCCAAACACCAGTTAAAAATATCAAATGAAATTAAAAAATGAATTTTAAGATAATTAAAAAGATTTATATTTAAATTCAGCTAATTTTACATAATTGTTTCAGTCCGTTTCGACACTTCGTAATTCCCCACAAAATTGGGGTGCAGACAAAACAGCCATCGTACTACAATACTTTTTGTGTATTTAGCTAACCGGTCTCAGATGTGCGAGCTGTTATTATAAGCTTGCAGTTTAAATTTTCATATAAAATACAATCTTAAAAAATGCGGACTGCAAGTACAGCTAATTAAAAATATTAGAAATTTATTTTAGATATTACGTTTAAAAATTTGCTAATATATTTACCTGGTTGTTCCATCCCGCTCGTATTTACTGCGATAAAATCCTCTCAGATCATCATTCAGCTTGCCTTGAAATTTCAAACTAACGTTGTACTTGACGCCCACGCGCAGATTCTCCTTAAACGTGAACTTCCAGAACTGCCGCACCGGATCATCCGCCCAGTTATGCAATACCGGCACGGGATTGCCTTCTTCCGCGTTAAAGCCCATCGCGCTCTCGTTCACCGCCAAATCCTTGGCATGCAGCACTAACACTCGCGTGGCATTTTTGCAGATAAAGGTAATATCCACTTCTCCGACGAATTTAAATTCCGGACTCAGGATGGGCCGGATCTCCAGTTTTGTGTGCACCGGGAAAATGTCCAACGGCAACCGGATGTCGCGTGGACGCAGGGCGGCGCTGTCGGGACGGGTGGACGTGGAGGTATTAGAGGCGATGATACCTTCGGCGGGATGCGGTGTGGGCGGCGAGCAGGAGGACCGGACTGTTAATATATATGAACTCTTAAATTTATAACACGGAAGTTCGGCTAACTTATACTTTGACATAACTTTCTGCTTGCCTGTATACTTTATGGTTTGTTCTACACTGCAAACAGTGAATATCGTGTATTCGTACGTAATCTTGCCGATAGATCCTAACCTTAAATTAAACCTGCGCAGGTTCCGTTTTTTTAGCCGTAACGAACGGATTATTTATTTTCCTCATTCATTCTTTACTACTATCGAATCAAAAACATTTGAGTGATTTGCCGAGGAAACGTTTTATATTCCTTCTTATTGCTTTTATCTTTATAATTCGGTGTAAGCAAGTACATGCTGGATCGCGTAAAAACATCCGCGCGCTGTAATAAAAACTGTAATAAACGTACCTATACTATTATTATTACAACCGTTTTGAGAGTTCCTGCTGTACAACTGTCCTATTAAAATCAAAACTATGGAACTAAAACTAGATGGGTTTTCTTAGAAAATCGAAATATCCAGTTTTCTCCGGGCGTTGTTGAGACAAATACATCAGTAATGAGTAAGAAGGGAATTGCAAATTTTTATGAACATTCTGCGCGCTTGAAGTACAGTATACAAATTTTGTGATTAATCGTAGAGTAAGGGATCACTGGCTCTTCTCCAATGTATACGTACAGTACAGTATATCTTTCTCCGTTCAAGCATATGCACTGCTAAAACTACCGTTCGGCGCACTATCAAACTCAATTATTGCAATCATAATATGAAATCGGATGTTTTATATAGATATATCAGCTTTTCTCCAATCTCAGTTACTAAACTGGCGTAACAACATTTTACCTGCAAAGCCGGTAACCAGCGCGATCATAACAATTATCACAGTGACCAGCATGACGTAGCCGACTAGAACATTCTTTGGGACGTAATATCCAAGTTGCAGTTTCTGGGAGTGCGTATCCGTATCATTTTGCAATGTCGTCGATTGGGAGAGATGCGGAGCAGCAGCCGTAGTGCTAGTTTTCTGCAAATGCCTTTCCGGTGCAGCCGTGGCGTTGGACGCCGTATGCGGCACACTGGCATCGCTATTGGCACTCACCGTCGTCGACTCCGCATTCGGCGTCGATGTATCCGAGAGCGACATTTTTTTCCTTGACGATTTAATGAACCGGGAGGAATTTATGTGGCACGGGCTGGAATGCGCTAATTAACCGCGGCGGTCGGCCGTTCCTGCCAAGTTGCGTGTCAGTGATGGGCGCTGTACGTAATTTCGTGCCACATTTTTAATTATCAATGTTAGGTCCAAAAATCCCGCAAAACTGGGAATATATTTACTGACAATTTGCAATTTTACTGCACAAATTATATATAATTAAAAAATGAACTTACTAATATATCCATCACATTAAAAAATTATGGCGGAAATCGACGTTAATCCGTTGGGAAAAAGGTCATCCCCGTCCCTGTTTCCGGTTACCACGCTGCCAGCAAAATAATACCCGGAGTCGTTTCTGTCGTAAAATTATCCAAAACAGCAGTAAATAATATTGTATATCGTTTATACGTGTTGTCAGCACGAATTGTATTGCGGTTATAGAACAGTTGGAAATCCACGATATCGCATGACAGCGTCATGTGGCTGCCATACAGGAACGGTTGGCGCGTGCAGACTGGAAAAGACAGTGCATAACTGCAATCGTACCGGACAAAGTGCGGCCGACAGTTGGCTCGTTGACATGGGCTGACCCCGGTTATTAGTGCTACAATTGCCACTTTAAACATCGATCTTGTACCAACTGGTCAAACATCCAATTTATCAAACAACAACCATTTCTGCATATTTTTCCTTTCCCGGAAAATACGTGAAATGTGACTTTTAAGTGGAATAATCTTTCTAATTAGCTACATACCATAACGCTTATTATTGTTATATAACGATATCCGGCGCCACGTATGTAGCACTGCTGTTACACGTTAATTACGGCCATTTGAAGTATCACGTAGACTCGTACCACACATAACAAGAATAATACGAGTGCGGCGAGTGCCTATTTTATAATACAGGATCATAATTATTAGCAAAAGAAGTAGGATTTGTGCATAAGCTTTTGATTAATACGTAACAAAATAAAAATTGCCAGTTACTGTATATTATCAGCTGCGTAAAAAAGTGAGAAAAGTGAAAAGCATGTTACTGTATAATATTGTGCGTGCACACATGTGCAGTACGATATATGATGCCTTATAATTATAACGCGCAGGCTATTGTGTACGCGAGTGCTGGTATAATAACTAAATTTAAATTTTGTTAAAGGTGCAGATCAATGAGATCGTCATTTTCACGAATACACTTTTGTATTTGTTTGCATACTGTATAAAGAAAGGTGTGCAATTATATTGGTTAATTCTGCACTTTTTCTCAGTTGAACATTGTATCTGTAATCGTAATTATTTTCATCCAATTCACTGTATTACAAATTTCGTTTCTTTATAGTTAAATCGAATTCGAGCATGACTATAAAACCGCAAAATATAAACGTGACAGACTACAAATTAAAATGCTTTCCAAATGCAAAATGTGAAGAACTGTTTGGGCCTGTGGCATTCCATTCTAAACAACCAAGTGCCGGAACTCGTACTTTAGAGGACCACGCGTATTTAGCATCTAATTTTTATATTTTGAAACCTTTTCTGTTATAAATTTTAGGATCTTTATTTTGTAAGCAGTCGAATATTAAAATACTTACAAAATTACAATTGATAAAAATCATAAAACACATTAATTTTCTCGATTTTCCTGCTTGCAGACCGGAAGTGTCTTCGGATAGCATCGGCTCGCTGCGCTACCGCTTAGTGCAGTCCGTGGTAAATAATAAGAGTAGAACGAAAAGTCTTGACATAGATCCAGAGTTTTGAAGGTAGTTTGAGGAATTACTGAAAATGTTGCTGCTTTAAACTTTGCTAATTTTGACTGCAAATTTTGTTATCTTCGAATCGAATGTCGAAAATATTTATTGGGTGACTGCTGTGCAGCCTGTGCTATAGGGGCAAGCAGCAGTTTATGTTGCTTATCCTGAATTTATTATTAACTTATACCATCCTCTGTGTTTCAGTTTATACTTGCTGCTTGCAACTTGGATTTGTACTAAGTACTTTTGAGTTTTGAGTTTTTATTTCTGTCCCTGTCGATCTCGCACTCTTATTAGTTGTTCGTGTAACATTGGTTACTTCTGGACAATGTGGAGTTTTGAATTGGACTCATCGATTATGAAGAAGCAATGAAAGACTGATCGTTTTAACTTGTGTAGTTATTTCTCTGCCTTGCTGAATTCGTGGAGGTTGTGACTGTTGTACTTGTAACTTGTTGTATCGTCGAGTTTGTGTCAAGGTTGGATTTGTTCGATGCGTTGACGCAAACGGCAGCTTCCCCGCGGAGGACAGGGTACGCGCGATGCTAGCGGACTGCTGGAGAACTGCAGAATGAATCCAGAAAAGCCTCCGATAGCATCGGAGTCGACTGTGGAGCCCAGCCACATCCTGTGCAACGACGGTATTGCCTATGTCAACGAGATTCCCGAGGAGCTCCTCATTAAGATATTCCGGAGAATCGATGTCTTCACGCAGAAAAAATTGCGGCAGTAAGTGTTGCAGTGCTTTGTACGGTGTAGTCTGACAATCTACGTCAACTGGCAGAGAGGACGTATCTGTACTTTAGTCAAACAGAGGTCTGGCAGTTTAAGTTTTTTTTATTTTCAGTCATCATTACTGATTTTGGAGTAAGCGTACGTATCATCAGCCCAGCTAATAATATAAAAATACTGTATCAGAATTTTCATATGAAATTTTTATCTTCAAAATTGATCTGATTTCTATGATTCCGATTCCGGGGGATTTTGTTTACTGGCGAATATCATAATTATGGTACTTACCAGATTTGATGCGCAGCAGTGAATCGTAGTGCAGTGGTCACGCAGTCTCACATCCATTGACGATTTGCAAAACTGTGACTCTTAATGGTGGTTAAAAAGTGCTAACAAATTATTCCTTCGATGACTCCCACTTTAGATAGTTTCATTATCATAATTTTCGTCATGTTCTTCTGACTGACCATACCAACGGAGTCAGTTAAACAAAATTTCTTTCTGCTCCTTGTGAATGTCTGGAAATTTCCTCTCGTTGAAGAGAAATCGGAGCCGTTCTGGAATTTTTTAATAATAATTGTTTTAAGGACTCCGTTGAGTGTGGGTTTGTTGTTTTGCAGGGTGTGCAAAAAATGGAACGGCCTGCTGAAGACGAAGAGCATCCGCAAGTACGTGATCCTGGATTTGTCGGTGTGTCTGACGGACATTGACTGGCTGTACTACACGGATGACTGGTGTGCCGCTTTCATGGGACCCGACACGGAGTACCTAAGCATTCTGTGCGGAAATGATCTGGACAACATCAGCGACGCTATACTGCGGCATTTCTTCTCGGAGGGATGCCGCTGGGCGGTGTTGCACTGTCCGCAGCTGCGCCGTCTGACCATTGTCGGCGGAAAGATCGATGTGCGCTGTTTCCTGGAGCTGCCGCGGACGGTGCAATCGGCACGGCTGCTGGATGTGCTGGTCGGGGAGCAGATTGAGCCGGGAGTGTACAATTATTACAGGTAGGTGGATTTAACTTTTTCAGGAGACTTATTCAAATTTAGAACTAAATTACAGTAATTCAAGAAATTGTAAAATGTAAGACTAAGATGCACTTCATGTATGGACTATTAAAAAGGAAACAGCTGTTGCCAATTAACCGACATAAAATTAAGTCATAAAATACCATATAAAAGAAAAATTAACATGATAAAATTATCAGACTAAACGATAAGAAAAAATGAAACTGATCACCAGCCCTGCTCTGGCGCGGCCACCCAATGTAGTCTGGTAGTGCGATTGTAGTATAGTGGTTCTAGCTGGGTCGGAATCGTGGTGATGAGCCATAAGAAATATTTGTAGATGAAAATTGGATGAAGATTTCACAATAACGTTGTTGATGTGTTGAATATTGTTTTTGCCCAAATGAGTTAAATGCGAGCGTAATATTCGATTTGCGGTACAAAGTGCAACTGTAAACTGATTAGACGTTGGTCGATACTGTTTGTGAAACGGTTTAGTTTTCAAAACTTTTAGGGAAAAAAGGAAAAAAATGTTTCTCGTTTTGTCGCCATAACGGCAGTCCGCAGTTTACATACAGACAGTTTTGTTTCTATGCAGTAAATACTGTTTTTGTGAGCAGTTCATTTAAACCACAGAACAGGATTGTTTTTTCCAGATATTTGCAAACACATTATAAAGTCTGCCTGCTTAATTTAACAGTGATTTCTACATACAAAGTATTTATCTGTACATTTAGTAATTGCGTTTTATGCAAGGGTATTTTGCTGCAGAAACACAGCGAATATTGTACGAGACTACGAGTCGGATAAAAATTGTTACTGTTCAGTGAAGAAGCCACCGTTCAGTGGTTACGTATCGATTATTTCAAGGTCAGATTGTGATTTTGCAGTGTTAAAGTGGATAACGAGACGATCGATCTGTGGGATGTACGGAGACGGGAGGAGAACGTGGCGGCCACACTGGAGCGTCATGCAGCGCCGTTATTAGCCGAAGAGATGCATCGCTTGCAGCAAGAACTACCGGGATTGACGGGCGAGTTGCAGATTAGCACAGTCGGACTTCTACAAAGGTACGGATTGCGCAATGATAATAATTATAGAAGCATTTATCATATGTAGTTTTCTTTCTGATGTAGGTACCCGTATATTTACAGTCAGCCGCACGATTCTATTACATATGACCAAACGGAAAAATTAATGAAAACAGCGAAAACAAAATTAAAATGCGTTTGCACTATTCTTGCGTTTTCTTTGTATCGAAATAAATAAAGCGGATTACCGGGATGTTGTAGTGCGTCGGCAATGGTAACGTCGTACGAAATTCAAATTGTGCTATGCATTGAGCCTACGAGATACATAAACTGCAAAAAAATAAAATTTTAAATGAATGCTCTGAGCTGGGGAAGTTTGATTGCGTTAATAAATATTTTTGTATACTTAAATAAATGAATATTTACAACAAACGAACATTTATATGTATTTTTCGTTTTGCTTAGAAATATTATCTTTTGGTTTTTAGCCTCCTGTTTTAGGGAACTGCATATTTGAATGTTAAGAAATCAATCAAATTATCTGGGTATACTCGTATACAGTCACTAAGTCACTTCCTGTTGTTTAAAAGAAAAATGGTAGAAGAATTGTAAATTTTGCAGGCGAGAGCCTCGTTTCCAGCAAATGTACTGCGTGGATCTGTCACGGGTGGATCTGGACAAACTGAAAGTAACGACAGTGGGAATGCTCTACAAATTAATTGTGTCGCCGTAAAGTTGTTTAAATCGTTATTTGTAAAATAATCCAGGGATGCCTTTGCATCCTGGATTATTGTATTGATGCGTAGGTTCTGGTTTAATTTAATGTCCGGTGTAAAATTTTATTTTGCAAATTTTATCTGCGCTGTAGCATACATTCTCAGGAATCTTGTTTTACGTTGAAACTGTACATAGGTTTTGCATGTTTTCGTTATGTGAATTGGTATTTAATGGTTATCTATCATGTCGGTGTTCGATAGAAATGAATGAGTTGATTTTGCTGTCTGCAGCTTCGAAAATTGTTTATAAACTTGTGTAAATACTATGTGTCACAACAAAACTAGTAGGCTCATGACTTTAGGCATTTTAGTATGATTTTACACTGGGCCCACCACGATAAAGCCAACACTTGTACGGTGACTGTCGTAGAACGTTGGCATTATAATGGGTCCAAAATCCCAACGAAAGCGTTGCCATTATAATCTGTGATTTAATTAAATAGTCCTCTTGTCCTACCTTTTTGGGAATACTGAAGCAACATAATATTAATGTTCGTGAGTGGATATTTTCACTTCATCAATCGTTTCCTGTTGCGGCAACAAGTATTTTTAGTCTTTCCATAGTTGCGTAATTAGATCCATTTTAAATTAATTAAGTAATTATCGTTTTCCGGTTTTCTTTGCAATTCTCACATAATTATTGTATTTTGGGATTCTAAAATATGCCATAATCCCAGGCTCAAAGCATAATTTTAGAAAGCATTTAAACTGGAAAATTTGACATTTACCGAGATACTTTTTATTTTGTGCATCAATGTGAACCTTTCCTCTATGTCCACAACTTGAAATTGGTAAAATGCTGACAATTACGGCTATTTATTTTTAAACCAAACTCAAGTTACAAACTTGTGTGGCATGTGGAATTGTTCATAAGTACGGATAATAACAGCAGTGCTGAAAACCTTTCGCGCTTTTTATTTTGATAACCAGACTGGCTTCTCCCTTGCCACCATATTGTTTGAATAAATCAGCGCTCGACGTAAAAAACAGGCACGAAAATATAATTTCTCCTATCAATATCAAATTCACCAGTAAAATCAATCCGGAGTCCTCATCCCCGTTCACTTCCGGTCGGACCTCCCCTTCCCCGTCCACACACTGCACCCAGGCCACTTCCCGCACATAACTCTCCCGCTCGCCCCGACAATTCAGCGGACATGTATACACCATCACCGTCCCGAAATCCAGTCCCTCCGTCAGACTCTCTTCCTGCTGCAAATAATTCAACAACTGCGGCATAATCTGGAACTCAAAGCGCCGCGAATTCCGACACACCGCACAGGGCGGCAGCCGGCTCTCCTCGGGGGGCGGCGTTCTTACTGGAAATAAGCAGGGGCACCCCATCCCGCTGGTACCGCAGCACCTGCGTGGGGTAGGCGGCCACCCGCTTGCGGAACTGCTGGAAGACTTTGTCTTTGGTCCGCGCACAGAACGTCTCCAATTCATCCACACCGACGTCGTTCAACTCGGGTTTTAATTTCTCCACGGCATTTTTATACTCCGACGCCTTCTCCTGATCGGATTTGGTGGTATTTGGAGGGTCCTGCGCTTCCTCCGACTCAGCGACGATCTCGTACTCGGCGAACGTGACTGCAGAGTTCCTCACGGGTTCGCCGCGCTGGATCGTCGCATCCCCGCGGATTTTCTCGCATTCCTCTTTGTGCCCGTTCTTCCACGCTAGGATCTGGTGGCTCCGACTGCAGTAGAAGGATTTCTTGCAGGAGGCGCAGGTGTTGGGCGCCAGACAGCCGCAGACGGCGCAAAGCGGATGTTTGATCAACGGATCCGCCGCTGCAGGGTCCTCGGCTGGAGGCTCATCGCTGTACATGCTGTTGACGCGTGGCAATCCACAGCGGAGGACAATAAAGGATTTGGATAACCCGGGGGTGGTGCAGGCGGTCTTACGGCAGGCAAAGACGAAGATGGTGCGATGGAAATTCTGCGCATTGGCGTCGTTTTCCGTGGCGTACATCTGCAGGAGAAACGATGTGGGTTCGCTACACACGGGGCACTGCAGGTCGCGGGGTGCGGGGAGAGAGTGGAGATCCAGCCAAGCCGGAAAACCGCCGATTTTGCTGGGGAAATAACGATGATGTAGCTTCCAGGTGGGAACTTCTTCGGCGAAGCCCAGCTCCACGCTCGATTTGGCTTTGGCAGTCATTCTCAGTTTTCAATCAGCAAAATTAGTAGCTGGCTCAAGTTAATGAAATCAATCGATAACCGTTGGATTAATTGTTCTGATTTTTAGCACAAGTGTACAACGCAAAATAAAAAAACTGGCAAGAAGGAATTGTGAAACTAATGAAATTAAATTAAACCAGAGAAATTTAAATTCAAATTTTCTAACCTCGTGCAGCAGTCGTGACTCGTGCAGGTGCTCGTCAAAATTAATAAAATACACAGAGTGGCGCAGCGAGCCATTTCAAAGCACCTTCCGGCCCTTCTCTCGCCTCAAGTAAATGTTGGGCTCGGCAAAAGCTTTTAAGCTACACAGCACACAGCGGTGAGCGGTCAAACTCAGCTTCCTGTCTGTTTAGTTATTCTACAAAAAATTAGGAAAGTATAATAACACTGCCAAAAATAATCAGGAGAATGCTGCGTTCTTTGTGGACAAAACCATGAGCGTGGCAGTTGTCAATACTGGAGCGAGTCTGACCCTAAAAGGTAAGGGATCGTTACGCCACCGGCTACAAGTGTTGAAGCATGGCCAAGATTTCCCTGACCGCTGAGTCGCTGACTCGCACACTCACATCGTGACAGAACAAGTCAGCCAGTCGTGCCGTTTAAACTTGAGCAACCATCACTCGACTCGGGATCTTTTGCTTTGCCAACTTTCACCTGTTTTATTTGCGTCTGCGCACTATTTTTTTCACTTTTCCATTCTGCTGGTGTTGCAGCATAACCACTGACAGTTGCTTACCTTTTCCACCGTTGAAACATGTCGTCCATCAGCAGTCGCTTTCCAGGACAACGTGAACGTGCAACGTCCACCATGTCCAACGCGTCGGGCGTCACCCAGCTGAGCAACATCACCGTGGCCGTCCAAAACGCCATCTTCCGCTGCCGCAACGTCCCCGCCTTCCATCCACCCCCACCGGAGCCGGCGGAGATCCCGGTCCGAGAGAAAGAGACAGTGAAAACGGCTGCCGTTGAGAAAGGCCACACCAGCAGTGTCCATGCACGCTCCGATGCTCCCGCGGCTGTTTTCAAAGCCCCTGCTCTGCCGCCGGCGAAAAAACCACCCCCACCAGCGAAAACGAAAGCCCCATCCCCTCCCGCGAAAAAGAAAGCCCAATCACCAGTGAAGAAACGCACCCAAGCGTCCTCGCCACCGGCCAAACAACCGCCGACCAAGCGCAATCCGATTCGTGGATGCCGCGCTAAGGCTGCGACGTCGGTGTACAAGGAAGCCTCGCGATCGCGATCGCCGTCACCGTCGCCCCGCCATAAGCGCAAGGCTACTAAATCGCCGGCATCCGATAAGCAGCGTTCCCGTCCAACGCAGAGCGTGGTTTCGACAAACGCAAAACCGGCGGCATCCACCGTGGCTGCGAAGCCGAGTGCCCGCGTCGTGGCCGTTGAGAAAGCTGTGCTGCCGCCGCCAGCGCCGTTGCGAGAAGTGGAGTCGAGAGTGAGCGAGACACGACCCTTCTCCACGCCCTACATGATGACACCACTAGCAGCGTCCACGCCGATGCCGCCGCCGTTACCACCATCGCAGCCAACTGTGCGGAAAATTGTCAACGACGGCCTGCTGCAGTTGATCGGGAAGGTGCGAACGATGGCCAATCTGGAGAAGGTACGTGACGGAAAATTAATTAACCAACCAACATGACTTATTTTGCGGCAAAAGTGTATGCTTCTTTGATATTAAAAATTTTAATAATGATATAATTGTATTGTAGATCTCATTTGTATAATAATAATGTCATAATTATTATTGTGGAATGCAGTAAGTAATACTTTATGTGTAATAAATGTGTTTAAGTTTTCGCAGTGTTGTTTTTCCCGGTTAAAATAGATAAATTTTAATTTAAATAATAATAAGCATGTGGTTTTATTTTTACAGGAACGCTGTGGACACGGTGTGTCGGCTCATGGCCATATGAAGGAGCATTACGAGCAGACTGCACAGTGTATGACGGAGTTGGAAGAGTTCATCCGCACGGAAAGCCAGTTCAGGTGAGTTAGTGCGCAGTAAATATAATTGTTCGAGCTGGCGGCTGTTAAAATGATGTCGGTATTGAGCAGATATTTTATGCTTTAAAACACACTGATGCTGTATTTTTTTTGTAACGTCGGTGTCTTCTTCATTTGTTTCATATTTAAGCCCATGTATGTTTAAAATAATCCTTTATCAACTCTAATTTTCTTCGATCCTTAAGGAGAAATGTGACTGTCCAGACGTTATCCGTCGGTGCCGGAAGTGATTTCATTAACCTACACGCCCGCGTACATGTGTATCAAACGGACCCACTCACCCGAAAATTTATGATCTTTTCATAATAATTTCGCTTAATTCCCTTAAAGTGTATTTGAACCTCTGTAATCTGCATATATTTGAAATAATTCCGTATATCAATGATAATGCATATTAATTTTTCCAGCCGTATGGCTTCACCGGCTTCGACTCCGCCGGCAGCTGCGGCGCCCCGAACGGTTACCGCTGCTCGCCAGCCGGCCCTTGTTGCAGCGCCTTCTCTGCCCCGCAGTGCTGATATCTTAATGAAGAAACTGCAGAATGTCATGGATGCCGTTGTCAATGTGGACGAGAAACGAATTGCTGATGCACTGAAAATGCTGGGAGACATCCGCAAGAGCGTCATGGCTGCCGATAATCTCCGCAACGAAAAGTATTAATTACAGCACAAGTTATAACCTAAATTCTCGGCTGTATTGCTTAAAAAGTGCATTAAACCGCACTTTATAAAAATAATTGTCTGTTATGATTTACTTTATACTCCGTACATGCGGCTTGATTAAAATGTGTAGAATTGTTATAAAAAAGATTTTGTGGAGTTAATCTTTTATTTTAATATGTAGTGTGTAGTAAAACTAAAAATGATAGCCACAGTTCTTATTGTGATGATATGTGGTACTATCTACATTACTTTTTGTGCAATTTTCAGTAATCTTTTTTTGGTTTTAGGATGCAAGAGATGACCTTGTTGATGCGGCAGTTGGCTGGAATTGTCGGTGGCTCGCTCTGAGTAAGACAGTTTTGTGGTAACAGTGGAGAAAAGAGAATATTTGTGTTATTATAATTTTTGGTTCTGCGCTTATCTGTATTTATTTGTTTTTATTTTCTCGCATCAATTTCGTGAAGTGATGCGGAAAATGTATGTGCTCGTTGCACCCAACTGGATCTTTAATAATTTTCGGATTTCGAGTTTTTATCTTTTGCTGTTAGTTCAGTTTTCGTCAGGCGCGTAAACGGTAAAGGTATTGGATACTCTGTACCTGTACAGGCTGTACTTATCGTACAATATTAATTACATTTTTTAGCGTTTTTCCATTGTTATAAACATCAGCTGGCAAGAGCGAGCATACACTACTGTATATATACTGTTTTCTATATTCATTAGCGTTATCATGTTTTACTGTTTTGACTTATGACTAGTAAAACTGATTGTTTATGAAGCAGTACAGCAGTACTAAAATTAAAATATAGTATCTTTTTCTTAGTAATTGCTGTACAGTACATTATCAATTAAAGTACTGTAGTGGTATTAATTTCAGTAATAATATTGTTCATGTAATTGCATGTTTTGGTTGTTTCACGAACGTGTACGGATAATGACATCGTAGTCATAGCAAAGGACCATTGCTCCAACAAAATTAATGAAAATTTAAGGCATTGTCAAGGAAACGAAATTATCGAGAACAGAACATTAACTTAACTGTACGTGCACAACCGGCACTACTCATTAGGACTACGCCATATTCCCTGCCAACAACAACAGCCGGCATTGCGAACACATGCATTTGATATTAGTTGTCAACTGAAGATTTCACGTTACCACAATTACTGTCCAGGGCGACAACTGTGCAGCTTACCAGTCAGCGGTCTTAAAACGGGAGAAATTTAATTTACATTTACAAGCATACGTCATATAAATATGCATAGAACGGATCGATCTGCTGTTGAATTCTCCACACACATATTAACGGATTATCTACAAAAGAACTTCTGAAAGCGGAAACAGGGAGCGAAACGTTGAAAATGTGCGCCACGGTCGAAGCAGCGCAGTTCATTAACTGATGTACCCCAAATTACATAACGTCCATATGCATACATACAGATACAAGTAGCCAAAATACCATAGAAGTATGCCACATGACAAAATACGATTTATGTAAAATAGCCACCCACGTAAATCTGAAGCTATAGTCTCCATAAAATCACCATATCTCTTTTGGTCGACGCACATTCAACATCTTACAATATTTTTCTGCCAGTACAAAATCATTCACATAATAACGCAGTCCTTCTTCTTTTCGCCGTGCCCGTGGCCGTGTTTCTCCTTCTCCGCGGCCGCCAAACTAACCGGTCGCTCCCCGGCCACATTACCAATGCAATACTGCTGCATCATCTGGCGGGCATCCTTACTATGCCCCGCATCCTCCCATGCCTCCGTCCCGTCCTTCCCCGCAAACTGCAGCAGAATATCCGGTCCACCGGGATGACTGGCCAGGAACGCCGTCACATCGTACACCTTCCCGTGCACCACTACCCACACAGATCGCTCTTCGTTGTGCGACAAGACATCTTCCCATGTCAGCTGCTGGATGCTGGATTTCGGGGCCGTCATGATGGAACCGTCAGAAAAATATTATATAATCACAGTCTACGAGAAAAAATTCGGTAGACGATTTTACTGGCGGGTATGGAGGAAGACGGAAAATGAATTGGAGAAAGTTGGAAATATGTGCTGTAGCGTGTGTTGATTCACGTTGATTTGCCTGCAGACTGTGCTGCACTGCCAGCGTCAGCTGTGTCTGTGCGACCAGCTGTATTTTGGACGAACGGTGTGTGCTGTACAATGGGCTTTCAATTTAGCCGGATATACCGGTTTACTGTCAATTGGCCAGCGGAAGAACTGGATTAAACGCTGTAGCGGCTGCGTGAAAAAATGCTGAGTCGCTGTGTTGATAAATGCTGTGAAAAGTATTTGCTGGTTAAGACGTTCGATGTGTGTGTATCGAGTTGGCGTGACCGTGTAACTCATCATTCCATGGCTCAAAGGCGGTGAATGGGTGTTAGCCGGGGGAAATGTGTTTTTTTCTTGCTTGGGCAAAAGGCATTTATATCCAGTACAATTATTAATGGGACGGCTGTAGTGGATGAATGGGCTAATCTAATGGCAGATGGTATCGACACTTGTTAACTGATTGTGATTATCATGTAACGTGTGCAATATAAGTGCATAAATAACGAGTGGTCGATCAGGAATCGCGCGGGAATTTTTATTCCAAATTAACAGTTATTTAGTCTTATGGCATTCTATACTAGCTGCATGTAGTGATACTGTGATAGTCAAACTGCTATATTTTTTAATTCCTCTGTTTGCGAGTCTTGTTGGCGATTTTCGTGCACAGCTGTACAGTATAATTACCTGTACGTCGATAATTTCGCAGGCTTCTTTGTGGCAAATATCATTCACTGTCACAAGAACATAAAACTGATATAAATCGGATAGACTTCTAATTAATAAATATTATCGCATCTACAATAGCTTGCAGAATCGCTTTTTCTGCGTGACTTTCGATATTTGAGAATTATCCAAATAACGATATTATTATTGTTATTATTATTTACCTACATTTATCCGACATTATACGATACAGCCATTCTGTAATTCACAATGACACGCATTATTTCATATTCGTGATTTTGAATTCATTTATATTCGTGATTCGTGTTTCATATTCGTGATTTTTGAATTCATTTATATTTTCAACGAAAGTTAAAATCAGCAGTAAACACTGCGGATTTTAACTTTCGTTGAAAATATAAATGCGTGACGTACGCAAGGGCTTCTGCGTACTTTAGCATTATGATCACTCAGTTAAGATTATTTTACAATATAGATATTATTATTTTGATTCATCACTTAAGAAACTCTTCGTTAACCATTTCGCAGCCACTGCCGGCAGCCAGTACGACTGTACGAGTACTCGTAGAGTCGTAGGCAAGAGATTGCAGTACTTAAATCTTGCATGAAAGTGTAGTACAATGGCGCTATTTATTTGCACCACATGAGAATAATGTGTTTTCGTTAAGTAAAAGTTACAGCTATCCGTTGGTAATGTCACTATTAGTTAAATTGTTTTTTATTTATTATAATGACATAGTAACGATAAAGCTACTCCACGTGTCTGAAAAGGATCATTAAAAGTAAATTATTTATCCTTGCTTATCGTATGTTTTATTCGTTCCCTAAATATACCGGTTGCACACCGGAAGGTATGATTAAATGTTAATATCCCGTGATCCAAAAATAACCAGGTTAAAACGTAGTCATTTCCAGGTGACCTTATCACCGGCATAGCATCGTCCGTGTAATGCAGAATAACTTTGTCTGTGATTCGCGTAGAAGAGACGATTATGCAGCTCATAAATGCCGGTGGAGGTGTGTTGTCTTTTCCTGCACTTTGTCCGATTGTTTTGTGTACACAATGCATTCCAAATCATATTCTACGCGGCTCGATATATGGTCATGAACGATAAACCGTCGAAGAAATATTAAGTAACCCACTTTTCGTACCTGGCTGCTTACGGCGGTATTTCGCTGTCTCAGCATAACGTACGCAACTTTTTCCAGCGATATCTGCTACTTCTGGGTTTTACCGGCGGTTGTTTGTTGGTGTTTTCCAGCTTGCGGCTCGTGTAATTTCTATTGTTCACCATACAGTTATTATTTTAATCGCACGTTGTTGGTGTTTTGACTGGGTATGGATGCAGCTAGTACGGGCGTGGATACTTCCGGTGGAAATAATTTTTTAGGAATTTTGGCGACGTTATGGGGGATAATTATTGCTGTTTACTTCTGGTCACTGCGCAGCGCTCAGCGTATAAGACCGGTTGGACGGAGTTTCGAATACCAGTCTGTGCAGGTGCGATTTTAGTGAATTGTTATAACGGCTTTTTGAATATGTACCGGGACTATTTAGTACGAGTTTTGGACAATTCACGCTGGTCTGTTTGAAAAAGAGAGAAAACCTGTATTATTTTTTTACAGTTTTTTTACAGTAACATTTCTGATAAGATAAATGTGATTTATTGCAGTCTCAAAACGTTCCAGAAAAACATGCAGGTTCCCTACTTTTCAGACAGACGAACGTTTGATGGGCATGCCATTACGAAATAGTATACCAATCGAATAATTCCCATTGCGAAGCTTATAGAAATCACATTTAAACGAGACGTATCGTTTATGATTGACGACTGTGGCATCTTACATTAATCCTTGCATCGGTAACTTTCCGGTTACATAATATTCTCAGCGGTTAAAACATCTTGATTATTAACTTGATAAGTAGATGCAGCCGTAGAGAAGTGGCATAATGCATATATCGCAGAGTAACAAATTCGTACGAGCTCTTTCTATGTACTTTTAAGATAAACGGCCGCACAGGTTAAAAAATATTAAAAACGATTCTTTTTGAAAAATTATTAGGTATTTCAATTTTGAAATGCAGTTACGGTCTCGCATATACAAGTAGGTTTAAAGACTTGGTAAGAGTGTGGTATGCACATGCTGTGAAATTAAAACATTGCAGAGTATTTTAGCATGAGTTTGTGCGCAGTAATATAAAGAACTTTCGTCGGTTTACCAGGTTTCGGATACCATTTCACAACAACGTTACTGGTTTATCTTCGTTCCCTTAAATTTCTGCGCGGAGTTGCATCATTTTTGTGTTTTATTTCTTAAAGAGAAAAAATGGAGCATGGACGCGGGGTAAGATGGGGAAACTGGACAAGCTGGGAATCGAAGTGCCGAAAACCTTGTATGAAATTTTGGAGCATGGTCTCAAAGCGTCAGGTAGGCAAACAGCAACTCCTAATGTGCCGTGTAAATTTAATAAGGCTTGACGACATAATATTTTGCATAGGCACATAATAATGTGCGTACTCGTGCACTTTATTTTAACACAACGTAACTGTGGGTAAAACTTAATTATGACGTTATACTATTTACAAGAAGTCATGGCCTTCGTATTTTGCCGAATCTGGTTGTATTCTTCAGTAAAATTTGCAACTGAAGAAAACTGAAATCATAGGAGAGCGCTTTGAAATTTAATTATTTTATGCGACTGCTTGCTTTGAAAGATTGCGTTATTCGTTTCTTGATGAAGTTTTTGTAATGCATAATCCGCCAGCTGCTGTATTAGAAGCTGTTACTCTAGCTAATAAGAAGTGGACGTCTAAAACGGCTGAATTTATTGTCCGGGTATTTTGCAGTTTTGCGGCTATAGTTATCAATCCGGTGCAGTAAAATTAAACAACCATACATGTACATAATTATTTCCGCGATTAGGTGCAGTTTGTGCTTATCGTAGGCGACGGCAAATGTCTGGGTTATCGCACCAGCTTGACCTCGCCGTACGTGTGGTTATCGTACTCGGAAGTGCTGGAACGCGTTAAGTATTTCGGCGCCGGTCTCGTGTATCTGGGCCTAAAACCGGCATCGGAGTCCTTCGTGGGAATCTTCGCTCGCACGTCTCCGGAGTGGGTCATTGCCGAATACGCCAGCTATGCGTACAGTCTGGTCACGGCGCCCATCTACGATTCACTCGGACCGGAAGGATGCCAAACGGCACTCAATCGCCGTGAGTGGGTGTAGACTGTGTAGTGACTATAATATAAAAATAAATAATACAATCCAGAAACAAAATACATGTATAAAACCCATACTTTTACTGTATATACAGAATACAGCGTAAAATGCATAAATAACATACATATATCTCGTTCCTTAAATGTGTTTAATAATCCAGAGCGATTTGAAGCGCACGCACTGCAGTTACTTTCTACACTTCTACTGGTTATTTTTGATGCACATTTTCATTTAAGTATAGTTCCAATAAAACAATTTTAGTGGATAATTTTTAGTGGGTGTCACGTTGTTGATCTGTGGAGATGATAAAAACTTTCAAACACTGATGACCGGAAACCATGTACTGAAGAAACTGCGAAATATCGTGTTTATTCAGTCCAGCGAAGAAACACGCGCCAAAGCCCATGCCCTTGGAATTCAAGTTTACCAGTTCGAGGACGTTGTGGTCAGTGATTATAAACACTGTATTTTGGATGGGGTGTCGTTATTGAAATTGATAGTAATTCGTCATTTTAATTGCGATTTGTTCGACATTTCATTTGTTTTTCCTATTACCACAGACTGTTGTAATACAAGCGTGCTTGTCAATGGGATAACGTTGTGTGCTTAACAGGAACTGGGAAAAAAGCACCCTACACCTCTACGGCTGCCGCGACCGGATGATCTGGCTATGTTGAATTTCACTTCCGGTACCACCGGTGAACCAAAATCGGCCATGCTGACGCACCGGACGCTTACGGCTTCCGTCGAGGCTATCCTCACTTCTATGCTGGTAACCTGTTCTTGATGTAATTTACATAGTGATGCAATGTTAATGTACTTTATTAACTAACTTATAATTCGATTAATTGATGTAGTTAATTAATCGGAGTAGAAGTATGATTCAGAGTATTGGTAAATAGTTTTTATTGAATTTATTTACTTTACGATGATACGGTGAAACGGTGGTTAAATACATTTGTATGAAATTAATCTACGTAATTATGCAGTTCTAATGTAGTTAATTTATCTTTAATGTAATTTAATTTCTTCTATAATTTGATACTTAATTTAATGCAATAAATCTGAGTGATCAGTTTTTATATATAACTAATAATGTTTCCCTTACTATGATATGGTGAGCCGGTAGTTATCTGCTCTGTACACGTGTATTCAATTAATCGTGACATTATTTCGCTCTCTTGCCTTAAAAATATTCGTTCAAAAGCTGCCAGTTTTATTATTTTGCAATTGTAAAAAAATATGATATTTTTTAATAAGCATTTTTCAATAAGTTGCATTATCTTGCATAACCGGTAAAACTTTTAAAATTATAGCCTTTACGGTTGAACACGGAAACGACGAGTTTGGCATATCTTCCGTTGGCGCACGTCATGGAACGGATCGAAGAACTGGCTATTTTTCTCTACGGCGGCAAAGTCGGCTTCAATTCAAACGGTGTGGCGCATCTGATCGAGGACATCCAGGAGTTGAAGCCGGATGTCGGGGTGTTGGTGCCGCGTGTACTTAACCGCATTTATGGCAAAATGATGGATAATATCCGCGGATCACTTATCAAGACGTTCATATTCAATTTGGCAGTATTCTGTAAAACCGTGGAAATGCGCTTTGGGCTGTACCGGAAGAACTCCATCTGGGATTATTTGATATTTGGTAAAGTGCAGAAAACACTGGGTGGCCGTATACGGTGCGTGGCGACCGGTTCGGCGCCGCAGGATGCCAAAATGACCAATACGATGAAGGCGGCGCTGGGATGCTATGTACGTGGGCGAAATATTGTTCTGCTACAAGTAGATTACATTATCTATTACCAAACCCATAGTAAAACTAACCGTGAAAACACTGTAACGTAAATTTACTAAAATTAATTAGGAATTATCAAGATAATACTGAATATAATTATCACTAAAAAATAATGAGATTATTCGACTGCAAATATTTTGTAGCAAGATAGATATCGAACAAAATATCATGTTTAAAAAAAAGGCAGAGTTGGCTAAAACATTCTCGAAACGGCTCACAAAATATGTTAAAATTTCCCGTTTTGCGCACTGTATTGTACTGAATACTCGCCTGTTTCTACAGCTGCATGCCAGTGTTCTAGGATGAGAATGATGCGATCAGTAATGAGTTAACGACACTACAGTTCCGTTCATTTTTTGTCATACTCGTAATTAAATCTGGTAATTTAGTGTTCCGCATTTTGTAATGGTATAACGGCTGATTTCCTAATCCGTATTAAAAACTGGTCAAAATGTGTTGTTTTTGCTTTTTGCATGCAGTTTTTCGAAATTTACGGGCAAACGGAAACTGCCGGTATCATCACCGCGACACTGCCCGGTGATCCATTCACCGGTCATGTGGGCTGTCCGGTGGAAGGCATGGAGATCAAACTGGTGGATGTGCCGGAACTGGGTTACTATGCCAAGGATCTCAAGGGGGAGATTTGCGCGCGTGGACCGCTGATCATGTCCGGATATTATGGGATGCCGGATAAGACCGCGGAGATTATGGACCCGGACGGATTCATCCATACCGGCGATGTGGGACACTTTGTTGAGGTATGGGCTTGTATAGGTTAAATGGCGCTTTCGGCGGTACAAAGAAAATTATTACTTACAGATTCTTTTTCCGTTTAATTTCTTCAGTTTTATCTAAGGCGTTACTAGATGTTTTGAACTATAATTGATTTAAGGGAGAAGCATGTTCATGCAGACCACAGGTGTAAAAACATTTGTTAAGTTGTTTCCATATGATTTAATACAGGGTTTTTTAATGGTCATTTAATGGTCAAAATCTATTTTCTCGCAAAATAAAGACCTCGCTCGTAGAACGAATCGAATAATTAAAAAAAACTATAACTTCTTATTTTTCCAACTTTTCAGTTGTATAATTTACACAAGTACAGAGTACTGTACGTACGAGTTTTCAAGTGTCAGATGTCAAAAGATGCACAGCAAGTGGCTTTAACAGCGCCATCACACTACAATATTTTGTTAATAATTTATTAGTGTGATAATGGGGAATTGAATAGTGATAGTGCTGAACGTTGCAAAATGTAAAAAAAATGCGAAGTCTACAAGCAACAACAATAATAATCATTTTGTGTATATGTTTTTTTAAATTCATTCTGCATTCTGTATTGCTATGACTGTCTGTACGTACTCTGTTTTTTTGACAGCTCAAATTTACTTACAGGGAGGTCGGTTAAAAATAATCGACCGGAAGAAGCACATCTTCAAGCTGAGCCACGGCGAGTACGTCGCGCCAGAACGCGTGGAGACGGAGCTGTTAACAAGCAGTCATTTCCAGCAGATCTTCGTGGATGGCAGCAGTCTGCATCCCTTCACCGTGGCCCTGGTCTACCCGAATTACGACCTTTTGCCACCGGAAGTGCGCAGCGATCCGGAACAGACCAAACAATTCCTGCTGGAGGAATTAGTCAATACCGGCAAACGCCGGCATTTGCGCTCCTATGAGGTACCAAAGAAAATCTACTTGCTCCCGGAAGTGTTCACACTGGAGAACGGCTTCCTAACGCCCACGCAGAAAGTGCGGCGGGAGGCGGTGCGAGTGGCATTTAAGCAGCAGTTGGCGGATATGTACCGCGGTGTTTCCCTAACGGACAATTAACCTACCATTAACGTACCAAAGAAATTCCGTAGGACGTTCAGTGTTTTCTACATTAAGAGGAGTTCTTGATTGTTGATTCGAATTTCTTATGGCAAAATATATAAAAATGTGAAAATGTGAAAAATGTTGTAACTTGGTGCTGATTGTGAGACCTGCACTAACGGTTACAAAAAATTTGTTATTTTTTTCTTATAAAAAGCTAAATTGATATCGGTTTCCCTATTTTCCGCAGTGCCGATTTTTGTACTATGGTGTTGCAACCAAAACATCGCCTGTTAAAAGATGCTTGCAGCATAAGCGTTGGGAATATTTATTTGGTTTGCTACGTAGGTGTTTGCATTATTATTTTATTCAGTCCATCGACATTATTACACGTTTTCGTGACATCAAGCTTAGAATATATTGGAATAATTTTTATTCGAAAACCACCTTTTTTGACAGTTAAAAGCGTCTGTGATGGGTGATTTGATTGTGAAATTTTTGTGTGACTAGAAAGAAATTAATTTATTATTTCAATTTCTTTCGTTTCGTTTTGTTATGAAGGTATACGAGGTACAAGTATACGACGTATACGAGTTATACGGTATACGAGGTATACGAGGTATACGCTCGTACATTTTCTTTGTTTATCCATAACGAAGATAGGGACATTACTTGTGTGCTTTTGTCAATATCGATATTAAACCTGAATCGTGTCTAATTTAATTGCGGTTAACGCATCTCCTTTCGGTAACCGCCTGAGTGCAAAGGTTAAGCCCGAGCAAAAAACAGCTTGTTTGAAAATGTGGATTGTGTACGGTACAGGTTGCAATTATTGACAGCAGTAGAGACTCTGATGATAATCACTATTCATGAGTCATAATTAATGACATCATTCATAACCGTCAGAAGTCGATCAAGACACGTTAGGATTCGGCAGCAAACTTTTGGCGGGCAAGTGCGCGCATAGGGCAACCGCACAATAAGACAGCTGTTTAGTTATTAATTTGCATGCATAATTGCACGTACACATTATTACACAGCAAACCTGGGTGATCAAAAACTGGTTGACTTTGTTAAGTACTTTTCTAGGCTCGTCAGTTTCAAGAACCGTTAGCAAGAACCAGAATTTACTTCTTTATAAGTATTGACACTGCAGTTCGTGTGCCGTACGAAATTTTTTTTCTGGTGCTTTCTAAGCAAGGTCCCTTGTATTTCCAATAATTGTCAACTAGCATTGAATAGGAATTGCTCCATTAACTGGCGTTGCAATACGCCCACCAGCCCAATTATCTTGTGAAATAAATCATAATAAGCAAGTAATCGATTTTCTCTTTGAGTTTCGATAGTTCTGCTCTTAAAACTCCCAGCACATTTCACGCAGAGATGGAAGATCTGGGGAATCCACAGAATCGGACGATCACCTTGCTCCTTAACGGAACCGTGTGCCTTCGCGCTGAAAGGCAGTTGTTAACTAAATTATCGCCAAATTATTTCCGCCCTATGCTCCAGCATGGCCAGTTCAGCGAGTCCCACCACGACGAAATTCGACTGATGCTCCCTGCGGAATTTAATGCGGAAGCGGGGAAACAGTTACTGGAAGGAATTCTCAGCCAGCGCAATCCAGCCGAGTGGCTCCCGACAACCGACGCAGATCTGGCTGACTTTCTGATTCTGGCTGATTATTTCGGTTTTGACGATGTGGCCGACGTGTGCGGACAACGGTTGCTGGAATTTATTACACCCGATAATGCGTGCTTTCTGTGGAAATTGGGGGATGTGTGCCGCGTGAAGACACTGATGGAGGGCGCCTTACGAGACGTGCTGCGAAAAGGTATTACGGATTTGATCGAATTGCCTGAGTTCTTGGAGTGTGGACTGACGGCGCTCCTGGAGTTTCTCTCGTATAAGAACTTGGTGATGAAAAGTGAGGAAGAAGTCTTGAATGTAAGTTACATACGTCAGCTAAAACTACTTTTAAAATGATAAAATTATTATCATTATCGCAACATGCAGATTAGAACAGGGCACTCTATCTTGGGAAAATAAATCCCGATTTAATGAAGCGGTCATAATCGGTATGTTTAACACGTTAAAATAAAAGAACTATAGCTGTGCTGTGTAATTCTGGTTGGTTTTCGTAAATTTAATGGAAAAGGTAGTACGAGTATTTCGAGGAGAAATGAGACTTCACTGTCGGTGTTAATGCAGGCGTTTGGTCTTGGGAATGCTCATGTTCGATCAGCAATCCATTTGTGGAATAAAATAAATAAAGCGCTCCTGACTGCAATTGCAGATACTGTACTTGAAAATCATAACTGAAAATTAAATAATTCTTTTTGTTTCGGTATAATTAATTTTTGCGTGAGTTCAGATATTTATTTATTATTATCGCAACAGCATAAATACGATTGCCACAGGGCGAGCTCTACCTTGGGAAAATAATTTCCCATTTAAAGAAACGGCAACTGCTTTTCGTTTCAAAACACACAAATCAATGAATATTTGAACTGAATATTGAATTATTACTTTTTTTCTTATTTAGGTGCGCAAATAAAATTTTTAGTTGTATTACCGCTGTACTTCACTATTTTTCTATTTGTATCAGCTGGTATTAGCTTGGTGCAATTTCGCCAAGGATTCCCGTTGGAACGCCGAAACACTGGACATGCTCCTGCCAAAGCTCCATCTAGACCGCATCCCCAACGAAATTTCCGAACTGATCGCTAACAACTCTGAGCCGTTATCTTCATCCCTGAGAGCCGCCGCTCAGCAGCAGGGCTTACTGATTTCTCCGTGTGGAAATGAATTAAAACAGCGACCAGCCCAACACCGTCCCGCCAAACAGGCCATCCTCCTGTACACCGGCCGCCCTACCTGCCGTTATGCCCAACAGCTATCGTCCGAGGTGCCGGAGGGCACCTTGTCCATTTTACATCCTCGGTGGAAGAAAACCGCAGATATTAAATTTCCCTGGGAGGACCTGGATATCGGCCGGTTCCGCTATAGCACGTATGCGGTACGCATCGATTATGAACTGATTTTCCAGGTGCGCTGGACATTGCGGCGCGGGAGTGCGTACGGGCAGCGGGGACACCCGCCCGGCACGCGCGTTACTATGGATCCCGAAGAGGCAGAGGAAATTCGTGCGGCACTGGGCGGTTTGTGGGGTGAGGAGGCGGGGCGGAAGTACCGCTTGCCGCAGATCGGAGTGGCGCTGAGCCTACGGGATATGAGTTACCGGCGCGTGGCCATCTTGGATTTCCAGCTTGTTGAGTTCGATAAGAATCCTCCGGCGGCGGTGGGCAGCTGTGTGTATGGATGGAATCCCGAGCGACAGTTCGTCAAGTGCGATGTGGAGATGAATGCTGTAACCGTATTGGCGTCACCGAGATTTGCGTACGTAGTAACGAAGGTCATACGTACGTCACTATAAATTTAAGTAACATGCGTTTTGAATTTTTCAGGGAAATACCTCTCGCTACAACCATTTGTGTTTAATCTTGAATTACTAATTGCTATCTACCTGTTTCGATGCGATTTAATTAAATCAATCTAGCTTCTTCATTTCTATTATTTTTCTGAAATTAATTTTTTTTATTTATTGATTTAATTAAAGATTTCTACGTTTTTCCAAGTTTGAAAAGGTAAAATTAATTAGGTAAACTATAACAAGCGGTAAAGAAGACAGTTCTGGATGTTTTCGTTTGCAGTAAAACAGAGCCGCTGATTTAGCTCAATTATTTCAAATTTTGTAATTTAAAATAAATAAAAACTGGCGGATAAATATATTGGCGCTTCTAGCGATAAATAAAAATCTTGTAGAAGTCCTTCTTTGTTCTAAAATGGAGTCCAGTGGTTTGGTAAATATACGACTACTGTGCATGGTATAATCCGGATTCGAAAAATTAATGTTATTTATTGATGTTATTTATTAATTTATTAATGTTATTTATTGATGTTATTTATTTTTATTTTTGGTTATTTATTTATTGTTATTTATTGTTATTTTTTTTTTAATAAGTAAGTTTGATCCATAAATGACCACTTCAGTGATAAACATAAGGGCGTAGGTGTTTTCTTTTTGCAGCAAAATAGAGTCCAGTGTTGCCGTAAGCGGTACAACACTGCTGTACTGCGGCGGCCGCACGGCGTCGGTGATGGGCAGTGTGAAGGCGCTGACCACGGTAGAGGCTTACGATACACTGACGGATCAATGGCGCATTCTGCCTCCCATGGCTTATGACCGTGAGAAACCCGGTGTGCTCGTCAACGGTGATTATCTGTACGTCTGCGGAGGCTACACCACCGAGATGGACTACTCCGATCGGTACGTCGGCTGCTATCTGGGCAACTACTACGCCGAACGTCTCCACTTACAAACGGAAATCTGGGAACCCCTACCGCGCATGCAGTATTCCCGGCACGGTCACGGTATGTTTGAATGGGGCGGGTTAATCGTGGCAATGGGCGGCAGCAATCTGGATCTGTTTCTCGAGAACGTGGAGGCGTACGATCCGCAGAAGAACTGCTGGGCGACGATCGATATGCCGGAAATGGAGGGCTTGGAGTTATCGTTCTTCGGGCTGCAGATTACGACGTGCTTCGTAGTGGAGGTCACGCAGGATATGTGGGAATGCAGTTTGTTCTATGACGGCTACACCGGTGAAGATGACAGTGATAACGACGAGGATATTGAGGAAGAAGATACCGAGGATAGCGGACATGACGGCGGTGAGGATAGTGATCAGGATTAGTTTACTGAAAATGACTTGGTTAACTGTCTTGTGATGATGGAGATGCTGGGGATCACTGTTGACTATGGGAATCGTTAGGTCGACACCGGATTGTCATTGCGTATAATTGCCGCTGAATTCTTTGTTTGGTGCTTTATATAATTGTACGAGTAACTTGTATTTTATTTGTGAACCTTGGTTGATTTAGCATTGTCTCCGTGTGCGGATAATGATTTCAAATAACGAATTTTATCTTTGATTTTGAAAGTACATTGTTGGTAAATGTTTTGTCAACTGTGTCCGTATAGCTTCGGAATAAGTCAACAGGTTTCTGGCTCTGCTCTGCATACGGTTTAATAAAAAGGTCTTGTGACGCACATGTTATATTATTTTTCATTCGGTATAAATTTATTTAAGCGATCGGGCAAGAAAGGTAACGTAAAACTAATACATGTAAATAATGATGTAATTAGTCCACAAGTTGGTGTGTAGAAAAACGTTTTGCCGTCAGTCTTATTATCCGATCTAAGTAGTTTCCATTCTCCGTTCCAAATAAACCTTCGGCCTGATTAAAAAGATTTTAAACAACCATAATTATTACGTTTGCTATTGATAGTCTATGTAACTTTCTTAATATAGATGTGGGTATCACTTGTGTCACGGCATCTTTAAAGATGCCGTTGACACATTTATGGAAATTCTTGTACATTCAGAACTTTTACTTGTACTTTTATGGAAAATGTGTTTACCGTACGTAAACTTTTATAACTGAAGTTAGCGTTTTCTCGCTAACTTAATGTTTTAACGGCCATATGCCCCAAACCATGTCGGCGTTTCTCGAATACAAGTTCTCGAATACAACGTTAACTCCCATTTGATTCCTTGTACCCATGTAGTTTCTATGAATTAAAAAAGTATCCCGCACCAAAACCTGTATACTATTACTGTATATGCATGACCAGATTAAGTAGAAGGGTACCCAGTCAGGCAGTTTAATAACAGTTCAGATGTACGTACTCTCTGAAAGCAAAACCAAAGCTCAAATTACCGGGACAAAGGTCATCGAGTACGCTTGGGGGTGTGTAAGCAGAAGTTGCGGCGTTGGTCTGAGTGATTATAATCGCAGTAACCTTTATCTTACAAACGCATGATTCTCGCGGTTGACCATTCCTTGCGCTGCCAATCTGTTTCAGTATGTCTTCGTAGCGAATACCATGCAGTCAATGCGTACTGTTACACGGCTGCTAAAAGATGTGCGTTTTACCGAAATAATTCCAGCTGCATTACGGGCAGACGACACTGTTTGATAATTTCGAAAAAAATATTTATTGCTCACACATTACAGGTATACTGGCACCCGCTTTCAGGAACGTTAAATTTGTCCGATTTCGTCACAATGGTCGCAAACGAAGAACCTGTGATGACGCTTACCAACGTCCTGCTCGTCGTGTGTGCTGCGATACCGATATTACTATCTTATTGGTTCCGACGCAATCGTCTGCGGGCGTCCGGCATTAACTACAACCACCAGACAAAAGAGGTATGTGATTAATTATTTGAGATATTTACCTGAACGACTCACATCAAAATATGTAGATAAATTAGCGACTTTAGCACCGAATGCGCAGCGCCACGAAGTCAAAAATATACTCGTACATATCGGGATTTTTGTAAAATACCACACAAATACAATGGAAGTTCACCAAACGTGCGTAATGCATCATTGGACTTGCAAACAGATTCACCAATACGTACGGAAAGCCGATGGAAAACCTGGAAACTTAGGATGGTCTTGCCCGAATACATTGTACGGGATGATGGAGCGTGGTAAATCAATTTCCGGTAACAGTGCATATTACACTGGCTTTTTCTTCTTTAGTGCTGTAATGCAAGCTACCGTTTGTTTAATTTTAATGATTTGGATAATATCCAACGAAACAGGTTACTTCCCAACACGATAGGCCTGACGCAATAAACGGGCTTACTATGAACTGTATTGTACAATAAGATAAATAAAGAAGTGCAGAAGTGTGGAACTGGTAGTGTTCCCTGCAAATTAAGAGCAAACTGCTTGCAGTATATCACTACGTACATAAAAAAATGAACCCTTAAAGTTAACTTGAAATAAACCGTGAATGTCACTGTTGCTTAACGATGTCTTTTTTAAACTTCGGAAATAATCTGGGAACCCGCTATTTGATATATATATCTGTAAAGCCCGTATTCAAAATTTTCAACGGACGCTTAGATGCTTGCTGCAAAAAGCAACCGGCATGCAAGAGCTGGTGATTATTATTTTTGCCGTGTATGTTTAAGGTAATGGACCATGTCTTGGTTACCGGCCGAGTGTGTCGTCGCCGTACTCGTGGATCACGTACAACCAAGCGTCCGTTCGTAGCCAAAATTTCGGAGCGGGATTATTGTACTTGGGCTTGCAGCCACGCGGGAAGAACTTCCTGGGAATTTTAGCGCCCACCCGGCCGGAATGGGTTATTGCCGAATATGGCTGCTATACGTACAGCATCGTTATCGCGCCGCTGTATGACTCGCTCGGCGCCGATGCGTGCCAGATGGCAATGAACACACGTAAGATGCTAATCAGACAACTGCACAAATTAAACTTACATAACCGTGATCAAAATTTAATTGGATGAAGATTTTCTCTTCATTTAAAAATTATTAATTTGCAGTGTAATAATTAATATTATTATTATTAATTTTACAGTATTAATTTATACGTTCTCATAAATATAGCGATGCTGGAAGATCGCTACTGGAAAGCGAAAACTTTTGTAAAGTTACATGAGCATGTTTATTAAGCTGTATCACGGTACAAACTGGCATCGTCGTGAACTTTGACTTTTGTAGTGAGTGTAGAGGTCATGTTATGTGGGAGCGAAAAGAACTACCGTACGCTGATGTCATCCAGCATCAAAAGTACCAATCTGGTCACCTTTATCTTTATGGACAATATAAGCGATCAACTGCGGCAAGACATCAAGAATACCGGTGGGGCGGCCTACACGTTCCAGGAAGTGGAAGACCTGGGACAGAAGAATCCCCAGCGCAAACAACCTCCTCAACCGGAGGATTTAGCTATGCTCATGTTCACCAGTGGCACAACCGGCGCACCTAAAGCGGCAGAACTCACGCATGAGTCTATTTCCAGCTCTGTGGAGGATTTTCTTCACCACGTTCTGGTAAAACAAATGTATTTAACCTACAATCGTTTTCCCACGGATTTCAAAAATATAATATTAATTTACGTATTTAAAAAGATGATGTACGTATTTGTATGAGAATGCATAATGGGATCGTATATACATACAGTGTATGAGATGTAACATAATTATGCAATGCCCTATCAATAAAAGTTATTATTATTATATAAGTACCTTGTTATTTAGAAAAAGCATGAAATAATTCTTTACATTATCTATTCATAAAAATAATGTACGTATACGAAGTTTATTATTAGTACTGTAGTACTAGTAAAGTATGACATATATTTCTTATTTACGATTAGAAATGTTATTCTGTAGCCCCTCCGTATGGACCATACATTGCGCGCTTTCGGATATCTTCCGCTGGCGCATATTTTTGAGCGCATGATGGAGGTATCGACGTTTGTCCACGGTGGTCAGCTGGGCTTTAACAGCAGCGGTATCATGGGGATGTATGATGATCTACAAGAACTCCGTCCGACGGCATTCGCCGCTGTCCCCCGCGTCCTGTCGAAGCTGCACACCAAAATGTGGAGCGCATCAAGAAATTCACTGGCGCTGAAAATTATGCTGCCGGTAGCGCTGTGGTTCAAAACACAAGAGATGAAACTGGGCATATTTCGCAATAATTCGATTTGGGATAAATTGGTGTTCCATCACATCAGTGATTTATTGGGTGGTAGCGTAAAGGTAAAGGATAAGGCGCATAATTTATACACGTACGTATTATGTACAGAGTACTGGTAAATGGTTGCTTTTCCAAAAAATAAACTATTTTGTTTTGCTCGTCTGGTTGGTTCAATCAGGCCGTGGTCATAATCAGTTCCATTTTGAGTTTTATCATGAGCGCTGATTTGCACTGCACGTATTTATATTTGTATGTTTATTCATTATTACCCGCTTATTTTTCAGCTGTGTGCAGTCGGAAGTGCTCCAATAGATGGCAAGACGCTGCATAATATGCGAGCGGCTCTGGGATGTTACGTAAGCTCGCTTATATTTCACGCGGCTTGAATTTGACAGTGAATTTTCATTTTTCGATCATCTGTTTCTTGTTGGGAAAGTTCCATATTTATAAATTTGATACCAGTTGTACTAGTTAAATAAGTCTATGGAAATAACTTAAGTGTCATTTTGCAGATTTTTGAAGGATACGGACAGACAGAATCGGGTGGTTTGCTAACGCTGACGCTACCAGGTGATTTGGAGACCGGACACGTGGGAATTCCCAGTAAAGATGTGGAGATAAAACTGGTTGACGTGCCAGAACTGCAGTATTACGCTAAGGATGGCAAGGGCGAAATCTGTGCCAAAACAAAACGCACTTTCCGCGCTTATTACAAGCAGGAAGGGAAAACCAAAGAAACCATCGATGAAGAGGGATGGCTGCATACCGGAGATGTTGGACAATGGCTACCGGTGAGTAATCATATAACTATAATTATGGTACATTTTTCTATAGGCTACTTTACAAATCGATTGATATGTATTCTGCACATCGGTCAACAATGGAACAAAAATAACATTATTTGATCATATTTTCAAAGCGGTATGCCCTAAATTTTGGCGGCCTTTACAATTTTCCGGGCGTATAGAAGCGACCTTAATTGTTTAATCATTTGCAAGCTCGTCCTTGTATTTAGAGCTCTGTACGTTAAATGTATGCGAATATTTCAGAGCGGTCGGTTACGAATTATTGACCGGAAGAAGCATATTTTTAAGCTGAGCCAAGGCGAGTACATTGCCCCCGAGAAAATCGAGAACGGTCTCCTTGGTGCTTCGCCGTATCTAGAGCAGATCTTTGTTGACGGAAGCAGTGTGCATCCATTTACTGTTGGCTTGATCTATCCCAATTATCGGACCGTCGCCCAAGATTTACACCGCTCCGTGGAAGAAATCAAGAAAAATCCGACATTATGCAAAGAGTTGATCCTGGCGGATCTGGTGAAAACCGGCAAAGCCAACAAGCTCAATTCCTTTGAAATCCCCAAAAACTGTTTGATCCTCAAAGAGCAGTTTTCCTTGGAAAATGGCTACATGACACCGACACAGAAGGTCAAACGGGAGGAAGTACGTAAAGGTTTCAAGGGCGAACTGGAGAAGCTGTACCTCGATACTCCTGATGCTAACAAATAATTTATACCTACCTAACAAAACGCTGTGCTGTAGTCTACTGGATAAGAGTGAAACCAACAATATCCACAAGAATAACTGTAAAAGCAAAACCACAAGGAAATAGTAAAAACAAAGAAAAGAGTGATCAGCATTTGCAAAGCTTTTGCGTCTTAATTTATTCGAGGTTAACACGAGGTGGTTATGCACTGTATATTGTGTATATACAATATAATTAGGCTAAATAGGAAAAATCTTGTACGCAAATTATTCTCACTTTCTGCTATTAAAGAGTAGGCGCTGCTCGTCACACCTGCCCATACTAACAATCTGAATTCAACTGAAGCTACTGAAAGCTTTCTCGTTACATCTCACTCATTTCTGACGGGGTCATGAATAGTTGTTGCCGGCAGATACAAGTAGATGAAGCGCTAGGTAGTTGAAAGTTGGTAACTTTACATTACAGAAAGTTGACCTTTGGTAAGCCTTCCTGTCGACAGAAGGTCAAGAAAACATGGAATTCAGGAAATTTTGATGCCTTCTTAAAAATCTAGCAGTGCTGCGTCAGTGAAGCCGTTGACGCAGCCGCGCTGTTGATACAATCACACTGCACGTGCCTCCTAATTCCCCAGCTTTACGATTTTCCCGGATAAACAGGTTTTCCGTCATAAACAAGGATCAATGCATTTCAAATGGATACCACGAAAGGCGATGTACTGCGCTCTGCTTTGTAGTACTACTGAGAAATCTGAAATTTGTTGTGTTGATGCAACGCAATGAGTACTGTGAACAATCTGAACATACTGTTTATTTAAGACAGATACGAAACGATTACAAAACCATGGGCGTGAACCTTAGAGCCATATGTATACGGTACAACTGGGCGTTTGCTGTAAACTGTATAATCCCTCGGCATTCCGAGAATTTATACGCACATTATATTGTCACGTCTCATGTGCAGAAAAGCGAAAATAGGTAGTGCATGACGTTTGTAAGTTGAACAAGAGTGTTTGCCTGCAACAATTCCAATAATAACTGCAGTGTGATATATAAAAATTCATGTGTTATCGATATCAGTTCAAAACTCGTCTATGCCTTGGGTCATCGTCCTTACTGAAACGCAGGTTATGAGATTGTTTTTCTAATGGAGTCGCTAATTAACACCACAAACACTGCGAACGCCACTACTGCCATCTGGTTGCGGTACGATGCGGAAATTCGCATCTACACGGTCTTCCTGGTGACCTTATTTATCGTGGGCACCTTATGGAGCCTGCTACTCATCACGTGCATTGCCAGAGCACGAACGCAATCCAGAAATCGAATTCGCTGTTGGTCAGTTTATTAATAGCTGTGGCACTACAATGCGGTATTGGGATTCCACTAATGTCGGTCGCCAACGACGGTACACCGCTGAGTTTACCCATTACCGACCGGTTCTGTCCCTGGGCGGCCGGATGCTTCATCGGTCTCAGTAGCTGGGTGGACTGGATGGATCCCATGATCAGCATCAACCGATTCGTCGCCATATGTTGGCGCACATGTATGGACGCTTCACCCAGAAACCGGTTTTATATACCATGGTACTGTTGCCGCCGACAATCGGGTTGACATTGGCGGCGCTGCTGTTTGGTCAGCTGTCGGGTTTCGCTAAACGCTTGACGGCGTGGCGGTCGTGTAACATTGTGTACACGAGTCCGGTATGGTCGCAAATGTATACGTTAGTTGCGTTCGTTATTCCCATTGGATTGTCCGTGTTATGCTACTTATGCATATTTTCGGTAATTATTCGACGACAGTGTCAACCGGAGAAAGCGGCGACAACGGCGGAAAAAAACCGTTTACTTCGCCAACAGCAGCGGTATCGGAGTGTGTTCGTGTTTTTTGTGGCGTTCGTGGCGTAAAGCTGTGGTTTGATGCCCGGGCCGGTTATTGCGTTCCTGATTACCCGATTACTCGCTTACCCCTTTCTGCAACTGACTCTGCGAGCGGTTAGCCTTACCGGGTTCGCATCGATCCCGGTAATTTGCCCATTGTCTCAGTGCAATCGATACAATCGCAGCAAATGAATCAACATGTTCATTTGATTAAATTCCTTTTTCAGCTTATAAATTTCCTTCTGCGCGCTGATTTCCGGCACGAAACAGTGAAGCTAGCAAAGAAATCCCTACTTGGTTTACGACGCAGATGCGGCTTTTCCAATCACGTGGATCCAGTTGTTAGTTCCTTCGCAGTTGGCAACAGTGCCACTGGCCCTCACGGGTCATATCCGAGGAAAGACTACGGACAGACAAGTAAGTTCCCATTGCGATTCATCGCTCACGGATTTTAAGCACTCTGTAAAATATAATGCTTAACTGCAGTTAAAAATGAGGAATTCTACGTTAAAAATTTTTGTTCTCATGCGTCTTTAATTAAAAGGTTTTGTTCTCATGCGTCTAATATATACTCGTTTGTAGAGGATGGCACATCTGCGGCCAAGCATAATTCGAACAGCAATACGGTTCGCATCACGGTGAACTGATACAATGTGCTAGGGTGAAACGGAACACCTTCCAACCGAATCCCGTCTGCCTCCCAAAATCAGCGGGAAGCTTTATCTTTTGCTGTTAGGTGACGATCACATACTGGCGCTTAATTATCTAACGTCTCTAGAAGATTGTGGCCGGTCTCTTAAAGATTACGATCCATGCTTTACATTTAATGCGAAATGATATTACTCTGTAGTTTTACTGCATGCCTGCATAATGCTTTTTATGTTAGCCACCAAAATCTATCAAGATAATCGCATTCAGTCCAGCTCATTTCTGTATGTACATACGTATGTAACATACAATATTAAACCTTCACCAGAGTTTAAAAGAAATTAAGAATAGCAGTACATCTCTTATGTAACAGAATGGTGCGCACCGGCAAATAAATATTCAAAGCACAGAAAGGGTTTTTCTTATAATATACTTAATTATCTGACGATAATATTATCTAACGATAATATACTTAATTATCTAACGATAATAATAATAATGATAACTTAATTATGATAATATACTTAATTTTCTAATTATTATTATACTTAATTATCTAATTATTACTTAATTATCTAATATACTTAATTATTTCTAATTTCTTTTTGGCTGTTCTACTATTAATTTTAATAATTAATCGATTTAGATCATAATCATACGATAGACATTATCAAAAGAAATACGCAACATTCCGCTTTCCCTTCCTTGCTGTTTTGCATCCCGTTTATCTGCTCTAATTAAAATTGCTGGCATAAATCACAACGAAGCCTGAAAGTCATCTTTGACCGTGGTCTTTTGACATAAGAATTTTTTTCCTTCGATAACTTTCCTTTTCGCCGCTGTTGCAGTTTACTGCATACAGTCAAAATTCATATAGATACTCCAAAAAACATGAAGTATTTGGCACGAAAGGGCCATAAGGTATACTTAATATTTAACACGGGCCCCTCGACTGACGAGAATTGGTATAAACAGGACGCAACCATATATTCTTTTCTACCGACAGACTGTACAATACAGCGCCCACTACGCTAGCGGAAAGCTGCGCAGGATGATCAAGACCTAAATCGTTATTATCGATACGATATTATTTCGCGTAGGGCAAGATCGGTAGCAGGAATGGCATCACCGGATGCCGTTAATGATGAAAACGTGCAATTACATAAAGATGTTGCTGGACATGTTATGTGCGATATGCAGGGCGTCAGGCACCGTTTAGCCACTAGTACGGCGAAAATAAATCGAGGACATACAAAAGCCTGTTGGTGTTTACTGTACCGGAATGATACGTGGCGTCAGCTCAGCGGTTAGGTAATTATTGAAGTGCATACAAATTTTCCGGGGTTTCCAGGAAAGATCAGGGAATCAAACCGTTAAAAATGAGGAATTCTACGGTGGGAAAAATACTACTGTAATTACAGGAAAGTGTCTGGTTACATTTGTTGGCATGAGGGTATTTGTGGATGTGGGGGAGTTCATTTGTTAAAATTACTAAATTGCTTCCAAGAAATCGTTTTCGACAGTAACCGGCTATCAGGCCGCAATAAATATTATTCATCCCTATAATAACATGAGTTATTATTCCCGGCTGAGTTGCCGCTTAATGTTGAAAAACAGGTTAGTAGGCTTCTGCTTTATGTAATCCATCCGGTGTCTGAATGCTCCCAGGACGCTGTGGCATTTACTGAGCTCAGGAAACACTGAACAAATCTGTTACTATAGAAGATACGTAAACCTAATGATTTTAACGCGATTTAAGAGTTATTCAGATAAATTCACAGTGGAGTGTGCTTTTACCGTCGAATCGGTGCATAACCATTCCAGAAGTTGCATGTTGTCTACACTTTACCATATAGTGGGAAGCTGGGAACTAATCAATTTCTTTTACCTTTTAACTTCAGTAAAACGTTTCGGTAAAACTACCTCCTGCGCCTATTTCTATCGATATGAACTAATCTACGAAGTAGTCATCGGTAATTATGATGCTCGAGGCAAGCAACAACACATCTGCCGTCTTAACTCCATTTTGGACACAATACCACTTGCAGGTTCAATTATGGTACGTTTTCATGATTTCCTTTGTACTAATTGGGACAATATCCAGCGTAATCCTCATTACTTGCATCCTCACCTCCCGAATACACTCCAAATCCAAAGCGTTACTACTTAGCCTTTTGGTGGCCGTGACCTTTCAGTGTGGACTAGGCGTCCCACTGATGGCGACATCTAGCGAAGGAACGCCGTTCAGTCGACCAACCAGCGATCAGTTTTGTCAATGGGTGTTTTGCATCTTCCTGGGCTTGACAAGCTGGATCGACTGGGCCAACTGCGTGATCGCCGTTAACCGTTTCATCGCCACCTGCTTTCCCCATTTATATCCAATATGTACAAAAAAAATCAGCGCTGTACACCATGAGTATTCTGCCGGCATTGGTTGGGTTGACCCTGGCCGGGATGCAGATGGCGCAGTTGGGGGGGATTGTGAAGCGTCTGACTGTGGGGAGATCCTGCGATATCATTTACCATAATTCGGTTTGGTCCATTTTGTATACGCTTATTACTTTTGTAATACCCATTGGAATGTCGTATTTCTGCTATCTGTGTGTTTTCCTGGTCATTCTTTGGCGTCGATATGGAGCCAGTGCGCCGCTAGGGGGTGATGTCCCGAGAATACGTCGACAACGACGTCGGTATCGCAGCCTGTATATCTTTTTTGCCGCTTTCATCTCCTGCAGCAGTTGTGTTCTACCAGAACCTGTCATCACGTTCTTCTTTACTCGGTTATCATCCGAGCCGTTTTTGCAGCTAATGCTTCGCGTCGTTGGACTCGCTGGTTTTGCTTCGATTCCGGTATGTGTCTAACTTTACATTTTAGCAGGCTTAGCACCGGCGAACATAAATAATATTACACTTCGTTGACATTTCTTAGGTTATTAATTTATTTTATGCTACGGCCTGATTATCAGCAACAACTCTGCAAACTGGATATAAGATTTAAGGCAGGGATGCTGGATGATATCGCAAGTCGAATCCTCTACTGGCACAATCCGATTCCTTTTTTCCATATGTAGAAGTACTGCAAATACGCGCGGTGACGAAAATCCACTAATCGCGAGCGGCGTGCCAGAACAGTGGTCACCACGCTCCCGTATTTCGGTAACGGATTCCATATTAACTAGCCATCTATCATGTTATTCAATTTTTGCCTGTTTGATTTCCTTCGATATATACGTAAATAAACTTGCTTATGCAGTGCGCATGCCCTAGTTAATCAAAAAGACGAAAGCATACGGACCAGTACGGTACCGGCACATGTTTGCGTTTTGGGAACTGCGCGTTTGTCAAAGTTTACAAAAAGAACATTTGACTGACCATTTGTTTAAATATTGGTCATAAACCTCGATTGTTTTGGATAGTTCGTCGCCGCACATGGATGCGATACCTGCTTAAGTATGGCTGCTGATGGTCGGATTTCTTAATAGGTGCAAGCAATGTTCAGTGGCCTTCTCAAAGCCGGTAAAATGATACCGTGGACCAGTGTATGTAGCCATCCATCATTTTCGTCGCAAATGCCGCACTGATTGCTGGAACCGCACTTGATACGTAGTAGGAAAACAGTTCATTCTGCTCAACAGATTTTTGCTTGGCTTAATCAACCAACAATGTTTTGGTTATGCCGGCACATAGGAAACACCTGTGGCAAATAACCGGCTTCCGGTGATTGTTCGCGGTGTATAATATGAACTGGATAGTTAATTATTAGCTCTCACAGGGTAAAAGAAATTTGGACTCCTCGCAAACCTCAAAATATTTGTGTGCGGTATTGTGTTGACATTTGAAATAAAGCTGTGCGTGGTCCTACTTGTAAAATAAATTTTTTACAAATCAGTTGATTTTATCACGATTGCGGATAGAGGATAGTCGGTAATCAATTTATCTCATTTTGATTGTTGAAGTTTCAGAACTTAAATGCCGCTGTGTTACGGGCTTCAAACAGGTTATTTTTTCTCGAAAATAACTTCAGCCTTTAAAAAGCTGCAGATGTGTTGATTCTCTGATATACTGGGAAATACCCTGGACATTTTCCATTTAATTTTATCGAGAAAGCGTTGTAGAAGCGTTGGTACTTCGGCAACAAAGTCATAACGGATCACGCAACGTATTGTTGAGTCTCGTGAGGTTACGTTTTGACGTATATGAAGCAGAATACCGAAAAAGAAAGGCAACCACAGCTAGGAGCAATGCGGTAAAAAATCTTAAAATATGTTCAGTAATCAGCACCAAAGTGCTCGGATTAATAATTTTACGTTTCATGCCAGCGTACATGTATTAACAGATCATATTCCGCGTCTTTTAGACATCAAATTAACTTTAAACCATTGGGATAACGGGGATGTATTGCTTCGACTTTGTCTGCTTCGAAACACATTTATATCAATGGTTATGGCCAATTTTGGTGATTATTAATATGACATGCAAAGTTATATGACATATTTGGATCAGGTTCAATACAAAGATGCATTCAATCATTATTACTACAGATACCGGGTACATGCTTCACAGTGCGTGCTGTCTGTCCGTGAAGTGAGACTGTTTTCCGCTCTAACGGGACGGCTGGTTGTAGCAAGAACCAGACACCGCTAAAGGCAAAATCGTGTAGGAACATCTACTCTAGAGGATGGGTTTCTTTGTTTGATGGTTAATCAATTCGTGATTTCTATTTAACTGGAAAAAGTTTAAATATACTTTTTGCTAGAAGGTACAATGATGCCGGTGTCATGCCGCGTCATCCCGATCTGCAGGTATTTAAACCCTGGATCTAAAATCATTGATCATTTATTATTATCGCATGCCTTTGTACCACATGATATCGGTAGCCTGATGACAATTCCTTTGTGATGGTTTCGACACTTTGAAGATTGCAACGTTGCAGTGTCAACTTTTCCGAAATGTTAAACCTTCTTGTGCAAAGATGGATTCCAATACAAGCACTAATATTACGAATGTCACGTCTAACCAAAACAACAACACCACATTTGAATACCACTGGACTTTTGTGCCGGTTACGGAAACCTTGATCTTTCCGTGCGCCATAATTTTGAACGGCGTGATCCTTGTTTCATTTCTCAGAAGCAAACAGCTCAGAATTCCGTTTAACATCTACCTGGCCAGCGTATTAGCATCCAACATCATTTTAGCAATTCTCAACAGTCCCTTGGATGTGCTGAATTTTATTTCGCCATACTGGTGGCTGGGTGATGCATGGTGTACCGTGTATCAATACGCCATCAATGTGTCTAGTGGCATCGTAATGTATTCCCATATTTTAATCACCATTAACCGCATCTGGGCGGTGACCTTTCCACATTCCTACCGACAACATCACACTCAGAAAAATGCCCTTATCTTGGTTGTGCTGATATGGGTGTGTGTCCACGCTGTGACGTTACCCGGCGTCGTAATGGACGCTGTCTTATATAGACTTCCCGTGGAAAAAAATGGCTGCGCCCTGAATATGACCGCGATGCCCGTATGGAGTCTGACGACACAGTTCCTAATTTTTACCATTCCAAGCGGATTTATTATTGTGGCATATCCATTCCTGCTATATAAACGACTTCAGCGCAGAAGGATTAAAAGTAGCAACAGAGGAAAAAGACGGTGTTCCAGCACCGGTCGAGTGCATCCGGACGATTCTAACAAATCAGTGACACCAGCAGCGCAGATTGTTAAAGATGCAAGATCAACACGACAGTTTAACCGAACTTTTATTCTATACACCGTTTTGACGGTCAGCATAATTATCTGCTGGACACCAGTTAACAGCTATTATACCGTTTTGTGTTTTGTCGACATTTCCTCTTACAGTTCAATTTTTCAGTTCTGTGAATTTTTGTTTATTATACAGCCTGCATTAGATCCTGTCTTCTTCATCGCAATAATGCCGATAATACGCTCAGATATTATGGCTTTATTGAAATGCGTTAAATAGAAAAAAATTTCCTTTACAGATTTTTTTCTTGTTTTGTGTATCCTGACGGAGCTCTTGTATTGACTAGGAGATTCTCCTTTTTTAATTAAACCCATTGCTTACGACAGACATCACTTGTTCTGATTAAAGGCCGTCAGGTCCCGTGATTCCTGTGCTCCGTAATCTGATACACGCCAACGCTTCAACGTTTTATTACGATGCTAACCGGAAATTTGAACACAACAGAATCCTATGCATATGGCTTTGAACCGAGTCGCGCTCGCTAATGTTAAGAGACATTCGTTATTAAAGATTATGGATTATTTCATTGAATGGAATATTTCATTCACTGGAGTTTATCTGTAAAAGAGAATACTGACAGGAAAAGGGCTATCAACAATGCATGTGGGCACACTTGCACCTTTTTATTAAAAATCCCCCAACCTTCGAGCAACGAACAGGCCGGTACACAATGCTGAAATTCATGTACATGCGCGGGAATTTTTGCTCTCGCACCTCCGAAACAACGTTTTTTCCTATTGTTTAACAACATTCTGTACACATACTTGTACGTTGATATGAAAACCTTTTCTGTGCTCGACATCGGGCTGGGAGGTCATTATCGACAGCTCTAATTTTTCACCTAAATGCACAGATGGAGCCATCATGGAGGTATGGTATTTTACACCGTACCACAGTTCCACCATTTTTTAGCTTAATTTAAAATTTGGGGAAAAAACACTCAAAAGTTGGTTTGGTGTAAAAACAATCTACGCTTTTCTGTGTGCAATTTAAAGCAATTGTTCCATATTGAGACTTGTGGTACTGTACGGTACATCTGTTTGGCTCTAAACATTTTGGAGTTTTACGTCACGCGTAACTCCACAGCCGAATATTGCGCGCACATATTTTTTTGCACCGATGTACCCAGATCTTTCGCTTCCAGAATCTCATAAAAATGCAGAAAGGTACTGAAAGCTTGCGAAAAGGAAAGTTCTCACACATCTACACGAACCGGGCACTCTGTACCGGCACGCTTCTCTTTAGTCGATGCACAATGTTAACAAAAAAGTGTCATGATCGTGCCCAACATCCTGTAGGAGCAAAGTCAAGACAACGCTAACCACGAAATGCAAGTCATCCAAGAATATCTACGCCAGAGGCATTGCGGACTTGTGCGAGTAACCGAATCCCATACTTCTAATCGCTGTAATCGGGAAAAAAATATTAAATGTGCTTTTCTGCTCTAAGGCACACTGCTACGGTGTCGGCTCGCTCAAAAGGGAGCTTCGTAACCGTTGATGCACTATCGACCGTGTCGTTTGCACAAAGTCACACCTGCAAATTCAGTAGGTACTTAAAAGCGCCGATGGTGTCGCAAATTTCGTATTATTACGGTAAAATTCCCGGAAAGCAACTGATGCCAGATTGTACAGATGGATACCAATACGAGCACTATTATTACGAACCTTACGTTTAACCAAAATAACGACACTACATTTGAATACCACTGGACTTTTGTGCCGGTTACGGAAACCTTGATCTTTCCTTGCGCCATCATTTTAAACAGTTTAATCCTCGTTTCGTTTCTGAGAAGCAAACAGCTCAGAATTCCGTTTAACGTCTATCTTGCTAGCGTCCTAGCATCCAACATCATTCTAGCACTTCTCAACAGTCCACTCGATGTGCTGAATTTCATTTCTCCGTACTGGTGGCTGGGTGATGCGTGGTGTACTGTGTACCTATACGCCCTTTACGTATCCAGTGGCGTTGTAATGTATTCCCAAATTCTGATCACTATTAACCGCATCTGGGCGGTGACCTTTCCGCATTCCTACCGACAACATCACACTTTGCAGAATGCTGTCATCTTGGTTGTGCTGATGTGGGTGTATGTCCACGCTGTGACTTTACCCGGTGTCTTTGTGGATGCAGTATGGTATAGACTTCCTGTAGAAACCAACGGCTGCGCACCGAACATGACTGCGATGCCGGTGTGGAGTCTGACCGACTCTGACGATACAGTTTCTTATTTATGCCATTCCTAACGGATTCATTATTGTGGCGTATCCGTTCCTCCTGTACAAACGTCTTCAGCGCAGAAAGGTCGCCGTTAGCAACGGAAGAGGGCGTTCTAGCGCCAGAACGCACCCGGACGATAACGCAAGATCTGGAATTACAGCCGTGTCAGCTGATAAAGATTCAAGATTAACACAAAGGTTTACGCGAACTTTTATTATTTACACCGTTTTGACGATAAGTATGATTATTTGTTGGACACCGGTGAATTTCTACTATACTGTTCTGTGTTTTGTCGACATCTCTTCGTATGTCAAAACTTTGCAGTTCTGTGAGATTTTGTTTAATCTGCAGCCAGCACTGGATCCCATTTTTTTCATAGCAATATTGCCTGGAATACGATCAGAAATTTTGGCTTTGCTAAAGTGTGGTCATTAGAAAAGTGCTTAGGTATTAATGGAATGCCGCCGGTCTGTGTATGTGCATGCTGCTGGAATTCTTGTACGTATTACGTAACACGGGAGATCCTTTTTCCGAATTAAAGCTGTTGCTCACGAGGGACTCCACTCGTACTAATTACTGGTGACCCTGAGCTTGTTCTGTTTCGTAATCTGAGACATACATACCAGCCCAGAATCTGGGCTCCAGTATATTGCGAGACAGCTACAGAGTACTTACTGTAAGTCTGTAACCAGATATAGAGATAGTGCCTTGGTAAGTAAGTGGGCACCGTAAAATTTCTGCTTTTGACCTTGCACGGTAAGCTTATAGTCGTAAGGCAATCGAGCACTGCATGTTACGTCATTGCATTCGAAAGACGCTCAAGGTTAATACTCGTAACTCGTGCGTACTGCAGTCGCCCAAAAAAATTAGTCTACCAGAGTTTGTTTACGAGAATAAAGCACGACTTATATATTGCCCGTAAACAAAAAAGAGACGGTAGCACATACAGAGTACGCCGCAGATGCGTTTTTGTCGTAAACACACTCTGAGCAAGCGGATGCTACGGAACCGCACTGTTACGCATTTAAGCGTTGAACCGTTTACGGTGCAGTGACACGCTTGTGACCTTGCCATTAATGTCATCGAAGAAACCGACTATTTACACAAGAACCACGTCCCAAGTGGGGAACTGGGAACATAACATAGTCAGCAACTCTAACTGCACAGCACAGGACTCCAAATATTTGACAACATGCTTGGCTTTGCCCCTTTGGTTCCCGTATTGATCTGCCATAATAATGTGAAATACACCGCCATAGAATTTTAAGCAAAATTGCGTCGTATCAGTCCTTTCGTACAAATTGACACATCGCTAAGAATCACCATTCACGATATCGTATTCTACCCGGCATAACGCGAATCACTGTATACGCGAAGTATACCTAGTTTCCAAAGCAAATTCGTATCTGATTTCGCACGGTTCCTAATGTTATATATTGTTGGCTTATTCCTGTTCTTGGAGAATGGGATTTGTTAGCAAACTTTACATCGTGTGGTTAACCGTATTGTGGTCAATGGGATTTAGCCAGTTTCCGTTGCTACTGAGCCGACGCCTCCTGCGATTGGCTAATTACTTGGGAATCCTTCAAGCCCTCGCCACTATCATAACACAGGGCTACAAAATTCACGATTACACACAACAGCTCAAGGTGATCAGTTTCAACGCCATCCTGGTTTATTTATGCGATCTGTTCGACTCGGTGGTCACAGTCTACGCAGTCTGGATCGGCTGGAGAACTAGCCGACAGACTTTGCTGCTAATTAAGGGAATGGAAAAAGAAATCTGCGCGCACCTTGCAAAAAGGGAATGGTGCATCCTCCTCATACCGTTCGGATTCTGGATTGCACTGACCATTGCATTCGCTGGCGTTAACGTTGTGACATATGACATTCCGCATAATTATATTCGCGGTGTAGAAAGTTGTCGCTCGAATGCCTGCTTTTTCTGGACGGCTTTGTATTGTGCTATATGGCGGATTGACACCGTTTGGGAACGTATCCTACAAACACTCATAATCTTTACCGCCGCTTTGTACTCCGAAGTGTTTCGAATTTTAAATACGAAATTGGCGCAAACTGGAGCGGGTGACAGCAGATTAAATGGCTATTTAGCATCATACTGGAATACTTGCCGGAGTATGGCGCTGTTCAATCGGCAGTTTTCGTTGTTCAACCTAGCATATACCTCGCAAAATCTCACATGGATTTTAGCAGCAGCTTATCGTCTTGGCGATCGTTATGCCAAGGAGGAGAAAATTGATTTTCCTTCTTTTCTAACAGCTGTGCGTGGCGCGGTTAAGCTCGGTGTCGTTGGTGTGGCATTTACTAAAGTGAACGAAAATGTAAGTAGCAAAAAGAAAACGCAGAACTGCTTACATGACTGCATATCTGTGTGTTTTGCAACATTTTCTTTAGGTAGCGGGAATTTTACCGGCTCTATATTCTGTTACGAAAATAATTTCGAATCACGATACGGATGTCTACGCCAAACTGGAACGAAAACTGGAGGTCGGATGTCCAGGATTCACTGTTGGAGGTTTGCGCCTTGACCGAACGTTTTGCCTAAGCGTGAGTTGACCGATGACCTTTGACGGATTAGTGCTTAATACTGTATTGTGTAGGCGTACAATTACATATCTGTACAACAGATTTATGTTATTGTACCCTGCAGATGCGATAGTGTACGAGTAGTGTTCAGTTTGTACAATTGTCGATTTGTTTGTTTTCTAATATTCATGCAGTTGGCAGGAGCAATTTTCACCAATATAATACTCTTCTCTGAGCTGGGACACGGGAATCAGGAGCCGGAAATGGAATGGTTAATTGCAAATTTCGGATCAGTCGTTCGCAACGAGTCAATTCTGCTATTCAAAACTGCAATTTAAACCTCTATGTATATGACACTCTGACTCAACTATCGGTAGTCGGTACCGATTTGTTACTGTAACTTTCGCCGCCGACTCGTACAGACACTCCAGTTCGTCCCAAGCTCACCATGTGACCGGGAAATCAATCAAATCCTTTTAAACGGGTTTCCAAACCTATATACGAGGAAATCTGTATCCAGGATACTTCGTACTGAAGACAGACTTTTGTACTGTATGTGCAACCAAGAATTTGTTGTATTCTTTTCTATTTTTTTCAGCTTTTTACACCCGCTACCAATCAGGGAACTAGCCAATGTTTTCTGTCGAACATTTCCATCGTGGGAAACCTCATTTAATACACGACAATGCACAATATGATCATTCACAGCTATTCGCGTACAACCCTGGTGATGTCAACAGGTAATGGCACATAAGTGAAATTGGAGGGAGGCGGTTCGTCGCTGAGTAACGAACGATCCCAACGCACGCCGGATCGGGTGTTCTCCGGCACAACTGCACCGGGAAACAGCGGTTCAGGATTAAGAGGCTTCTCCGCCGTCAGATCTAATTCCGGCAGGATCTCGGATGGATCGCGGCAGAATAAGACAATCCGACACAGCACACAGGCACGCTCCTTTTTATTGATCTGCAAGACAAATGTCTGCATTGCAGAGCACTGCTTCGAAAAATTATATTAAAAAAAGGCACGATAAACACAATACACCAGAACCGGGCTAACTGAAGCACAATTATCCGTGCAATCTGATTACCGTAAGGAAAATACTGAAATATTTTCCATGCTGATCGCGATGTGGACCAGTGATTTCCTGGCTGGGCAGTTCAATGGCTTCGTCGGGCACCCAGATTCCCTAAAATTCAAATACTAAAATTTACTGAAGAACTGAAAAAATTTCTGCAAAGCAGAAAAATTAAGCATTAAAAAAGCAGCTCAATATTTGTGAAAAAGATCAATGAATGAAAAATAAAAGGCACTGCCTCGAGCCAAATTTTACATCAGAATTTACGAGCTAAACTTTACATTTTTAAATTCATATTTTCTGCATCCAGATTAAAATACAATTTCACAAAATAACAGGTTTTCAATGAATCATGTACTATGAGTTGTATGTATACACTATACACTGTAATGCACGGTATAATTACACTCTGCTGCTGGCAACAGAACGAGACAGCGAAATTTAAAAATTCAAGAACGCAGAAAACTATAAGTGAATAAAAAAAAGAAAATATTATGATGCGAAGAATGTTTACATTTTGGCGCAGTGCAGCTCGAATATGCCATTTTTCCAGTGTCCAGGGGGTGTGGAGATTGAGGAATACATTGCACACCGTATCATTCAGCATGGACTGGGCTAGTCGGGCGGTGGGGAACTCGACTCCAAACTCGGATCCGCTTTCGCCGCCTGCAACATTATGCGAGCAGTGGATTACTGTTACACCTCAGCTGAGACGCTTACGCACGATCGACGACGTGCGCTTACTACTGAGTTTCTTTTCTTAATTTCTGAGTAATACGCTACTGACTTTCTTTCTTTCTTCAAACTTGGCTCGCGCTTCCGGCGTAGCATAGACCGCGTTTTTCTCCGGGAATAAAAATCGTCGAAACTGCTCACTGGTCACGGATACAATATCACCCACTCTGCCAAGCTCTGCAAGAAAACAAAATTTAATTTACACACAGGAGCAGCGTCGCAGCCTTGCAAATTCCCTTTATCAACGGAAATTGTTCTTTTACACAAAAATTAAATAGCAGTCAAATAAGACCTGCTCCCTACTGATGCAGCAGAAGTCGAACACCCTTAAATATCAATTTGTCAATCTTGAGTTGCAGTCTTGCACATTCATAAACTATTCAAGGCATCTCAGGCTTCAGCAAAAACTATATTCATGAAAAATAAAAATTCGGAACAAGCTACTTCCAACATTGTTCAACTAAGTATTTTAGTGGATCCAGCGAAAGAAATACTACGAAAATCGAAACAAGAATCGTAACAATTTAGTTTTAAAAATTTCCAAAATTTACTGCAGTAAGTAACAAATTTAAAGGTACGCGCCAGAATAAATTATGAACTGAAGTTAGTTATTTAGTCGCAGTCTCAGGAAGCGGTGATAAATCATAACTGGCACATGTTCTCTTGAAACGGAATACGAGTAAAATCAAACAACTGCAGTGACATTATTAATGACAATTCTCCGCAAATATCTGCGCTTAACGTGATAATAGCTCCATAAAATAATAGTTCCATACTCATGGATTCTAACTAACCTGGCACGTCGCCGGTGAGCATGACGTCGATCTTCCGCGGCGGATGCGCAGGATCGTGGGTATTCTCAATGACATCGTACACCATGTGCAGATGATCGGCTTTACGCCGTTTCGGATAATCGGGGTCTCGGAAGTCATACGGACGCTGTACTTTAACTACCCAAGTGTCCTAAAAACAATTAATAACGACCTCTTCGCGGGTGTCAGGACTTCAAGTGCGAGGATCAGTCGAGTACCTGACAGCTCGTCGTGGAGAAGCAGCACACACTCGGTGCGAATCTGGTCGACACAGACCACAGCGCACGCGACTGTATGGCGAGGCTGCGAGCAACGGAGTGTGCCATGCTGCAGCTAGTGGCACAATAAAAATGATCGCAGAATATTTACAAGCAGATCAGAGCGATCGAAAACAATCTGAAGCAAGAAACTACGAAATCAACGATGGCTTTTCCAGCCTCCTCAATGCAAAACGTATCACTTCACTCTTCAGTGACTTCACTCGCTCAATGTTAACGTTACTACGCCATTCTTATGATAAAGAATACCACAGTTAGTGCTATGAAGATGAACACTTTTGAACAGTCGGACTTGACTTGGGAAAAATCATGTATTCCCGGATCAAAGTGACAATCGAAAAGAACCCGAAAATAGCAAAATACGGGAAAACAGAAAACATGTTTATGGAGGCATTTCGAAACGAGCTTGCTGCCCGAGGGCTGCGGTGGCCAGAGCGTAGTGCAGGCGGGCGAGCGCCCCTTCGTATGTCAGCCCCGTGACGCCACGCCACCCAATGTTGTGATTTTCGTTTCCCAGCTGTGAGTTGTTCCAAACGCTTTGTAAAATTGCAAGTTGAATTCTAGTTTTGCTGCTCGGGGACCGAGGTTTACAACTTTACAGTTCATGCCAAATACCTATCTAAAGTTTTTTTTTAGTTTGTATTTAAGTAGTTTTAACATACTTTGGTAGTACGATGGGATACGATATAAATCGTTTCGAGGAAGGATCTGTTGACAAGGATTTGCTCGTTTGCCCGATTTGCATGGATGTTTTCGATCATCCAGTTGAAGTAAGATTTTATCCATGCGCCAACCGGCTACGATTCCGTAGACCAGATTAGACTACTCTCACTTCGTTACAGAGAATTCGTTGCTCGCAGCGGATTTACGACCGCTTGGAGCATTCTGAATTTTTCGATAGCTTCTTTACCATGTTTACATTGGTTTGGTTTTACTTTTGGGCTTATTTACATTTATCTGCATTAGTTGCCGGATTGCCAGCACATTTTCTGTCAAAGCTGCATTGCCCGTTGGCTCCAGGGGAAATCGGAATGTCCACTGGACAGAAATCCCGTGAAGCAGGCCAACAATCGTTGCTATCTCCGTCCTCCCAACCGAACGATCGCCGCTCTGTTGGAGAAACTACGGATCCGGTGTTCCTACGCGGACGGAGGATGCAGCTTTGTTTCTCCACTGAGCCAAATTGATAAACACCAGCGCTACTGCAAGCACAAGAAGAATTCAAAGTTCGCCAAAGAGGGTAAAGTCTGACCGTTTTTTAAAATACGGACGGAAATTTTAAATTTCCGTTGAGATGTCGTTTGAACGGATGATTAACTACTGAGTCGTAAGCGGATGCGTCTAGTTTGCAGCGAGGACGAGATTGCAACATCATTCCTTGGACTTTACGCAGGGTTCATTTTGATTCGCTTGATAATACGCACTTGACCGGGCGTCTGATCAGATAGAATATATTTTTGAAGTAAATATAGAATAGTACTAAAGTGTAGAAGCAAAGTTACCTAAGCATGGAGAGCGACAGTATGGTAGTAAAGTGCAGGACGAGTCTGCACGACTTTCGAGTATTTCTACCCTAATGTTATTTGCTGAGGTTTTTGACGACTTCTCTTGGATGATTATCAAGTCTCGTCACTGTTTTTCAGAATAATTTCTAACCGAATTTGTTAATTTCATGCAGCGATTTCCTTTCGTTATACTTTTCGTTTAAAATAACTTCCATAGCCGTAAAGTCGTATAAGTCGCGTGGTTGCAGTAAACAGAAGCTGTAATTTTACGACCGGAAATGGTGCTGTTTTGTGGTTTATGTACAGGATGAAATTGGTGGTTGTCAGTAATTATCACGCTTAAAAAAGGGTATTGACGGTGTACGGATATAGAAGTACTATTTTCTCGGAAGGGGCGATTTGATTAATTTTATCTTTATAAGGGAATGTTCGCTCTTTTATCTTATTTCAGTTAGTGGTGTTTTTAATCTGTTATTAACTCAGGGTTTGTGGCGCTTCCGGTGACCGCCGCGTTACCTCGTTCTGATTGTTTGCCGCTAATCTCTTTTCAATGCGTTTTGGACGAATGTAGAGCAGTGAAATCGTTGGGATGTATCATGTATTGTGAAAATAATATTGCTAACGATGAGAAATTATTTTCAATTTCATTTGGCTTGATTTGTTTTTGTAAAACGTCCGTCCTGTATTGGTAGAAAATACGATATAATCTTAAATTTGATCCCGTTCATTAAATAATTAACTAATAAAATTCTGTACTGTGCGTCGGTTAACAATAAAACTGTGTACGTGGTCACGTGGATAATCTCGCTTTCCCAAGTTTGGTGCGGTATTAATTTTATCGTCGGTTTCTCCGATTGCAGAGCCGGCCAATGGCGGAGCTTACCGTGATACGTCGAGTGGACGTTTCAATCCCGGTCCCCATGATGATCAGCGCCAGCGCGGTACCGATCGGGAGCAGACATCGGCCATTCTGGTGGTTGTGATGCTGGTGGTGGTGCTGATTTTTGCCGCATTCCGACACCGGTGAACGTTTTGCAGTTCGTCCGTTGGATGAATCATGAATGTTTTTGAATAGTGTACCACTGTACATAGCGAATGGCTTGCGTGAATCTTTACAAATGGTATAACGTTTTGCGTCTTATCCGTTGCTGTTTCGAATTCTCAGAGTTGGATTTAATTTCGTCTTTCTAACAATATTATGTTTCTCGTTAACAGATGGCCGATACTCACATTTTATGCCCTGAATAATTTTGTTTGTATATTTGTTAAAGTATGCTAACCAGTAAGCTGACAGAGCTTCTTTCCGTTCATGAGGCTTTTATGCGTGAAATATCAATAAAATAAATGCGCCTAAGTTTTACAGTACGTTTTTCCAAATGCACTTTGCAGTTCATTGTAGGTACGTAAATTAACACACCTGGATTTGTAGGAAAAACACTAATTTAGTTCATTATATTGGTGCATTTGGCCTGTTTATATCCTCATTACCTATTTATATTGGCCTCCTAATTGTTATACCTATTTATATAATTTGAAAGATTTTAACCCCATGTACAATACAAGAATACGAGTGCTATACTGTAACATTTTCTAGCATGCTTGCCAGTGGCGACTTTATATCACGATGCAGTGCCATTTTTTTGGCGGCTGTGAAGACTTGTATAATTTTAGGTGCATTTGCGGCTTTCGGTGATTAGGTTGTCTCTGATTGTTGATTCTGCGTGATACATATATATATATGCAGTTGTCGTCTTGAATCCATCTGTTAAATGTAAAGTGTTTTGTTACGATTAATTAATTTTGTTCTGCCAAACTGTAAAAAGTGGTACACATACGTAGTATTGTACTCAAGGTTAATACTTACTTTGTTTCTTTTGATTAATTCGTACAATAATCGTTCGAAAACAAAAGAATTTCATCAGTACGTTACACTTTAGAGAAAAACAATGAACATCACAAAGCAGTACACTCAATCAGCAGAAAATAGGCTCAGGAGATCTAACCGATTTAGATTTAATTGTACACATTACATCTACATCCTCCGTCCGCGTAGGAACAACCGATCTAAATTTGCTCCCGGTGGAGCTGTTCCTGAAATGAGGCCGCATTCACGCGTTGGATTCCTATTCTGATACGCTGGCGCAAATACCTATCCCGGTGCTCGTGAGGATCGTGCCTCGCCGGTTTCTTGCCGTACCTAAGGTCCCAGCGTTTCGAAGCCCGAAGCGCTGAACAGGTAGTCCTGGGTGATGTTCCGGTACTTGGTTTCTTTATCCTGTTCAGTCTTTGCCGCCGCTGCTCCAGCTCGCACGTACGGATGTGGTGTTTCTTACAACAGAAGTAAGTACATGTACTTGAATACATGTACATGTACTTGAACTTACACAGCTAGGTCGAGCAGCGTGCCAACTGACAGGCATTAAAAAACGCCATTAATTAATTTTTGATTTTTGTTGGCAAATTAAAAGGCCGGTTTCAATCTTAAAAAATTAATTACTATAAAATTAATACTCTGCGCGGCAGGGATTGGCTGTCGTGCTTACAGCTTAGGACAAAATGGTCGCATACCCAACATCTCCACATTCAGTTCGAATGCAGCGCAGTGCACTGTACGACTGAGTTCAAAATATCCGTTTCGTACAAGTGCACTGCACCGCTTGCGTACAAAATGCTGGGTGTGGGCTATGCTACCATTTAGTCCTACATTGTACGTACGTACATGGCAGATCGAATACAGTTAGGGGCCATCCATAAATTACGTAACGCTAAAATTCACGGTTTTGAATACTCCCCTCCCCTGTGTCACCAACGCTGACAAAACTGAGATCCCCTCCCCTAAGCATTACGTAATTAAATCAAAACCCGTCCATAAGCTATACCATTGTGATGTCATAAATTTAACAAAACGTAACAAATTGTAAAAGCCCCTCCCCTTTGTCATAAATCGTAACGTTTCAAAGGCTCCCCCCTCCCCCTACTTGCGTTACGTAATCGACCGAAGCGAAGCGAAGGTCCTCTATGTTCAGGATAACAGGAATTTTTGTCGGTCATGTCGGTCACGCAATAATCTGTCCGTCGGTCACGCTGCTCACGCATTACGTAATAGCAGAAACCCTATATATATTATTATTCCAGAGTAAAGTGTGAGGTTATATAGGGGGGAAAACCGTCTTAGTGGAGCCGGTTTACGGCGCTGCTGCCGTCACCAGGCTGGAATGTGACGTTACGGCAACACATAATAATTACGGCTAAATCGGGCGCGGTACATAACACCATGTTTAGCCACAACGTAAGTATCTCCAGCCGGGTGACGGCAGCAGTGCAGGGAGACGGTTCGGGTAGACTGGTTTTGCCCCCGATATTATGGGAATGCCTGTGTGTTTTTCACTGCTGTGTATTTAATAAAACAAATCGGCATTGTAAAAATTTCAAATTTGTTGAATTTTGTCAACGTGCAAAACCGGTTTCTTTAACATTGCAGACGGTCCGATTCCAGTGCTTCGTGTTTTTCCTTTATGAAAATCGTAGTAAGTTATTGATTTTGCTTATTGGTTGTTTTCCTTTAGTGATTTTATTTAGTGCCTTTTTATGCGAAATGAATCAATGAGTAAATTCTTTATTTAATAATTTTTTTGGAGCAGCAACGTTTTTATTAGGGCCCGCAGTGGGGTACTAATGTACCCCAACGAGCATAATTTTTGTTTGGCTTGGCCAGTTGCTGTTGACCTACACATAGCTATAGTTTTGCAAATTCTTTCCGTGTAATCACATGTTGCCGAAGTTAGCATCCAGGTTTTGAATAAGTTTGTTGAGCGACGAAATCTGATGAAAACGTGGGTCAGCAATATTGAATGAATGTCGGGTGGAAAGTGGGAAGGAGAGAATTTTGGTACCAAAAAAGTGTTTGGGAATACTGTAAGTTAAACAAAGTGTTTTGTGTACAAAATTTGGTAACAGGGACCGACATACTTCCCTCAAATGGGTCAACATGTATTTTTAAGGGCGGAATAAGATTTATGGTTGTAAAAAGTACTCGGTTGTACTCCTTAGTTAAGTAATTCGTAAGCATTTCTGTGTACTCCTTATGAAGAAATACAGTAATTATTGTTTTTAAACTAACACAACTTGATAATTTTTCTCTGCTTGTGCTAGCTCTACACGTGGACGTGCTTTATCTGTGGAATTTTTGTCAGTCTTCTTCCCTAAAATGCTCTACTGTAAACTTTCGTTCTGAGGTTGTTGGCAAATCATTCAAACTGCATAATATAGGCAGCAGATTTTAATGTTGACTAGAAATATGTGAATTCAAAATTGGACGAAAATTCGTAATACAGGAAAAGATTTTGTTCAGAATGGACCATCTTACGGAAATTTCTGGCTTCGCTTCGGTCTTTTAGTGCTAGCCTGCAGCGGTGCACTTCCCTAGTTTATGGATGGTCCTTTATACGCATTGTACTACGTACTGTACGTACTGCACACAGTGCACAGAGTGCAGTATTTTAATTAAAACCGCCGACGCCTGGCGGTGCAGCATTGTTTGCCGATAGATCTGCACTCTGGCGTGACTCTGCGCATGCAGCATCGAGCAGGCACCGAACTCCCAAGAAGATTGACAATTGTGCTCTTCTTTCGGCTGCTTCCGCGTTTTCTCTTTCACGCAGTTCCTGTCTTGCCATTTCTTTACTTGATCCTGAATAACAATCATCTGAAAGCTGGAACAGAGCAGCTGCTACCTGTATCTGTCTATCGCCACTTTTGCTCCGTGTCTGGATTGTGATTTGTGTCTTGTCTAGCACAATGGAAGACGGCTGTGACCATCCGAAGCCACTCGAGACGGGCAGCGTGCCGTTCTCGGTTCTCCTCCAGCAGCTGCGACCCAAGCTCCGTCCCGTCAATCCCGTCCTGCCCAAAACCGTGACCATGCTGCAGCATCCATCCGGTGGCCGAGCTTACGTTGTAAGTGCGCGTGATTGTGGGCAGCTGTCCGCTACAGTTATCGTACTGTTACTAACTTATTTTTACTGAATCCTTGATATAAGATTCAAAAACTCCATGCGGTTATTGATAATTTTGTATTTACTTATTTCTCATCATTTGTCTATTTTTTAATTTCTAATTCTGTGAATCTTAGGTGGGGATCGACGGCGCATGTTGGAGGGAAAAGCCAGGAAGACGTCGCTGTGACAATTCGGACGCTGAAACCGGATTGCGTGATGCTGGAGCTGTGTTCCGGTACGACCTGAACAGATTCCGATTTATAATGTTAATTTTCAATAAATCAGTAAATAAATAACATATCGTATACTAAATGTATTAAGTATATTAAATGTCTTAAGCTTGTGCTTATATGTATTTAACCTTTATTTTTTGTTTTTGCCTATCTGCCAGATAGAATTATTTAAAAAATTAAATGTAATTAATATTTATATAAAGCATTAATAAATGAAAACTCTATACGATTATACCGTACATCATGTACGTATAATGACGTAATCATATACGGTATAATGACTACTGTATAATCGTATACTGTAGAGTTTTCATTTGTATAATGCTTTATTAATTATCCATGTACGGTACATGGCACATGCACAATTTCCTAATCCCACGATGGGATTATTCGCTCTGGAATATTGATATTGTTACAGAGCGGGAAGAAATGTTAACTGTAGACGAAGATGAAGCCATGCGTAAACTGAATTCAATCAGTGAACTGTCCCTGGAAGAGTTCCACGCATTAGACGAGCGGTTAGGCGCCGCACTAGAGGCTGCGCAGATGTTCCGGGAGCTGAAATTATCCTGGCAGCGGGCCCAGCGTTTCGGCATTTCGGGCGGAGATATGCGCGTGGCCTATCGGGAAGCCGGCAAGATCCCCGGCTGCCGCGTGGTATTGGGGGATCGTCTGCAGAGCATCACGAAGCAACGGGCCTATGGTGCCTTATCCCTGTGGGAGAGCATCCGGTACCGGTTGGTCGAAATGCGGCATAACAGCCTGGACGAGGTGGAGAAGCGGAAGAGCAGCGCGTACCTGCAGGTTTACGCGGCGATCCTGGCGGCGGCGTGTCCTACGGTATACCGCGCGATCCTGCAGGAGCGGGATGCACTGTTGGCGGAAGAGCTGAAGCGATGCGTGTCTGAGCCGCTGCTGACGATGGAGAGTCCGCGGGGCCGGGTGGCGGTGGGTGTCGTGGGAATGAACCATGTGGCGGGGATCAAACGTGCCTGGAATAGTCCGCCACTGTCACCGGAAGGGCGCCAGAAGCTGCTGGCCGTTCCGCCGAAGCTCCCGCGGCAGATGCATGCGCTCGGTGTTATGCCGGCTGGGTGGCTCCTGATCGGCGGGAAATTTCTGTTGAAGCTGCTACGTTAATGTCCAGCCAGGGTTTCACGCTGCGCGTACGCAAGGAAAGAACGGCGAATCTCGGTGATGTTGTTCCTTGTTTTTGATTACTAACTTGAATAATTTGTTAAGCAAAACCTAATGAGTTGTGGTGTTTTGTTAATGGTGACAAAATAAATTAGAATAATCAAACTGTTTTCATAATCGTAATGAACGGGAAATCCAATAATCAGATAGGCAGTCTTGTTAAACCAGAATTCGAATGTTTACCATTGAAGATCAAGTTCAATACCTGTATTACTTGTACAACTGTTATACGAGTAATAATTGTTGTATTTGTACTATCTCGGAAGCACTTGCAAGAAGGCCTAAGAAATGTAGATATGAATCTCGTATGTACTTATAAAAATAACTAAGAAATTTAATGTATTCCGCATGTCCTTGCAAAGAAGAAGGCTAAAACATTTATTTATCTCGCATGTATTTAGGAAAGTGATGAATATTTAAGCGTAATTATGAATATGAATACATGATTATGACGACTGTGCAGTCTGCGGTGGGTATTTCAACTTCCGCTGCCAGTTCAGTCTACTGGCATTATACCCAATTGTGGTAGTACGCACATGTAAAGACTAATAAAACTACTTGCATGATTATCGAAACGTTCGCACGGAAGTACATACATAACATTTACGATTAATCCTAAGTACAGTTTTAGTACAAGCGCTTCAAATAAGTACTTATGTTATTTACTTCCGTGCACTTTTCAGTTTACCGGTATATTTAATTTTCCACAATATACAAATATATGTTACATTATAGATATACAAATATTTGTTACAAATATATTGTGGCCAGTTAACGTCTAACGATAACATATGATTATAATTTCGCAAAATAGCGTTATATTTTGCACATTATAGTAAGGGCGTATACGTTAATTTAATTTGTGTACAATTAGACGTGTAACTTATTAATTTTGAGTTACGCTACATGCAATTTTGAGTACTTAAGGTAATTTGTATGGAATTTTGAACTTTTGATTATTGTAATTTTTATTACTTAATTTTGATTACTTACTTGATTATTCTTAGGTAATAATTATATACAACCTTTTATTCCCGAGCTTCTACATGATTGTTACGACATTTTACGGCACATTCCTATACAGCAGTTATCCAGTCCGGACTGGATAACTAGGATAACGGATAACTAGGATCCTAGTACCGTACGTAGTACATAACCGTACAAGTCGGCATCATCTGACAATAATTTACTTTTATTATGTCACTTCCAATGGTAAAATTAAATTTAATATCCTGTATAAATGCAGTAGGCAGTTTCTTTAGTATGCCATTTATTTCTTGGCCAACATTTCAGCATGCTCTTTGGCTTTGCGGCGCAGTTCCTCGACACTGTTGGTCTTCTGGTCAAAGTGGGCACCGGGCGCCGGGAATGACCGACCGGGGAACAGTGGGGCCAGGGCCTCAAAGGGCGAGCGCATCAGCGCCGGATACAGTGATGAAGCGGCGCTCAGATGGGGCGGAGCATGGGCGCGGGCCAAGTATTGATTAAGGAAATCCGGTGCTGTATGCAACGGAGCAAGTTCATTAAGAAAGCCATTGATTAACCGTTAACTAAATTTTCTGCAGACGCATCAGATGTGTTTGTATTATTAATTTGAATTAACAATTAAACAGCGGTTTTGAAAGCTCTTAAGACCTAAAAATGTCTAAAGTTTTGAAAATGATCTAAAACAGACCTAAAAATGTCAACGTTAGTTACATACGCTAACAGATATTTCGTTAAGCCGGTATAAATGAACAATTAACTTCAATAAAACTTAACCAACCAAAAAATTCAGTTTATTTTTGTACATATTGCGTTATAAAGATTGATTGTAATAACTGAAGCTAATGTGGATGGTTCAGGGTAAGACTAAGAACATGCCATAACACTCCGAAAGTTCCAGTTCAAGTAGGCAGTACATGTACAAGTCATAATCCTGCATTGTTTTGGACTTTGCTAGCATCATGCAGTAATCTGCAGCGCGCAGCCTTCAGCTTCGGTAACGCAATTTTTAAGTTTAAATCATAAAAATTAATATGATACTTCATGATATTCTTGGTCAACTGCCACAAATATGATCGTGGAAAGATAGCATTTATTAGATACTTGCCTCGCACCAACATAGATCCGGCCGCCGCCGCCGCCGCAGCGGCTGCTGCCGCACCACTGGGACTCGACAGGAAGAATGGCCGTGCGAATTGATTGATGAGGCCGCTTGATGTGGGCGGAGTGGTCGTGATGGTTAGAGCCGTGCTGGCCGCTGCCGGCAGTGACAGTGCAGGCTTGCTGCTGGCCAGCAGCGGCACTGGACTGCAGCTGGAACGGGCACTGCTGCACGGCTGTCGCTTGGGATTTGCTGGCGGTGTGTGCACTTGTTTTGCTGCACCGGACCCGCTTTTCATCGGTCCTGTCGCGCTCAACATCTTTTCCCTGTAATTTGGAATTAGTGTTTCGAAAAAACAAATTAATTTTTAAAATTCAGTTACGAATTACGAATACTGTACTGATAAAGTGAATCTTATAGACTTAATGATCCGCATACACCCTATGATCATGAGCGCCCTTACTCTACAAAATCGCTTCCTTGCTAACGAAATTTGTTACGCACCGGCACAGTATAACAATGTTTTGCGTCTGCAAGCACATACGTATATACCTGCCTGTTTTTACAAACACTACAAGGCGAAATTGCTTTTGCAGAACTCAGACAATAACACAGATACAAGTATAATTCAGGACAATAATACAACTTCAAAGTTCTATCCTGAAGTATTTTGCAGAACTTATATTAGTTTTGTGTTATTCATAGAAGCGTGCTGTATTTTCAGATTTCCTTTTCGCAAAACGGACTGTATTTTTTCGTCAAATTTCCTTTTGGAAATTTTCTGTTATTGCCATGTTAGCGATTATAAGATACAGTTTTGTTTTCTGCTATTATAGCGAAGACTGGCAGTGATGATGCCATGAAGCATGGCATTCTCGTAACCGTTAATCGACTTAGCCGGGCTGCGCTTAATGAACCCGCTATTCACAGTCATTGGTCGGCGCACAATTGTGCCATCTAATCAACGACGCTGACTGCGTAGGCGCTGTGCACATCACAGAGCCGATCCGATTAATGACGCTGGCGTCGACATTAACTACAAGTTAAGCCAATCTTCTCCGGCTCACGGCCGATGATTCAAGCTGGTTCCGCGCTGATCACAGCGGCATTAGAAAGTAAATTAAAAAATTGCCTTAATGGAGTAATTAAACATTAATATCCATTGAATCAGACGCGCCTCCCTGCTCGCGCCGCAGCTTAGAAGCACCCTACACACGGCTAATCTGTTTACTTTTGCCGCGCAGAATCCCCTGAAAATCCTCTTGGGTCTAACAGGATCAGCGTCAATATAACTCTTATGCTGTAATGAATTAAAATACCCGCTGCTTTCGCACGAATTGCTTAAAAAAGCCAAAATTTTCAATATTATTCTTTTGTCGCTGACGTTTTACAAATTAATGTCGCCTTATAATATTTCAACCAAATTATATACGTATAACATGCATGTAAAGCGCGTTCAGAAAATCTTCGAAATGAAAATTGCTCGCCGAATGAAAATTTTGGATGAAGTAATTTATTCTGACTATTTTGCTCATGAGACTTATTACGGAGAAAGTACATACTATATATAGTAGTTCTTACAGTTTTGGCTTTTCTTCGAAATTTAATGCCGGTTCCACGACATTCTTCTTAATTTCCATGTGCGAATGTTTTCTGTCGTCATATTTCTTTTTTCCTACAGACGATGCCACCGAAGACGTTTCTGACATGTCATCACCGGAAAGGTCAACATGTTCGTCGTCACTACGGTGTGATGCTGCGGAGGAGCTCCTTCGCCCTTCATTATCTTTGTCATCGTGTGGTTTCTTCTTGTCACTGGTAATTTTTTCGTGTTTCCGCCATTTTGCTCGCCGATTTTGAAACCAAACCTAAGAAAAATATGGATGACTATAAATATGGATGAAATATGGATGACTATGACTCAGTTGACTACCTGAACGCGGGCTTCTGTCAGGTTAATTTTCATGGCTAAATCTTCCCGGGTGAAAACATCCGGATAATGTGTAACACCAAACGCCGTTTCCAGTTCTTCCAACTGCTGCACGGTGAAGGTTGTCCGGTTGCGCCGCTGTTTACGACGCGGATAGGCATCGTCGTGTAGATCAGAGTGTGGATAACTTATGGATGGATCTACATACAGAATCATTTCTGTACTCGTATTCATCGAAATTCAAATCTTCTACTAAACCACAGAAACGTAGGCGTCATTAAATTAGATAGATAAGGTATACTTTTGGGGACATTTAAGGGACATGTTCGCATATTTTTATTGTTCTTTGTTGCAATAGGACATGACCACAGGTTAGTAATGATAACAGCATGGAGATTTCGTAGTGCAAGGGTCGTATGTATATGTCGAATTTGTGAAAGTGAATGATTGCGACAAAACAACAAAGTTAAGCAGAAGTAAATTCTTTTTTGTCGTAAAAAAGGATTTAAGCAAAAGTACCATAACTTTTTAATGAAATTTTATTACAATAATAATATAAAAGAAGAAAATCGCCTTTAGCATATTGTAATCAAGCCTCTTTTCATACGAATAGAAATGTATTAACCTTTTAATTTGTATTGTTACTGTTCTAATGACAAAACTGTGTTAAAGCTTGCATACTGGCCATATAGGTGCTTTGTAATTACTATTGCAATTCTTTTCACTTCAGTTACGTATGCAGAACAAAAGCTGGAACTGGCAATCAAAGAAATCGCTCACGATAATATAAATTAATAAAATAAACACGTGGCTCCTGCATTATGACAACTTACATGGATGATGCGGCAGGCAAGGATATTCCAGCGTTGGCAGCCGCAGCTGTTGCGACAACAGCGGCGGACAATGGAAACAAAACATATTCATCGTAGTGACCTATCAATACGCATACAGGTGACGCGCCGGTACTGCCTGAAGCTTTCCTAAAGATCAACTCGATTCCCGTTTTGCATCCGAGATCGACGTTTGTTTATATAAGCAGTATCCAACCGGTGCCAGTCCCATTCACGTCGCCACTTGACATGGAAACTTCATTACACACTGATTAATCATAAAGGAAAATTCACACTGCTCGTGAGAGATTTGTCGCCAATGCGTGCCGCTATCGATTTAGCTGGACAAATGGGATAAACACACACAACAGTGCTTCACATAGAAGATCGTTGATGGCGTAAGCGATAGATCTGTGAGCGTTTATGGGAGAAAAAGTGAAATGCCGGTCGAGGAAAAAATTGATGGTCTTGTTAAATGCGTCTAATGAGTGCCAGTGCGGCGCAGCCGAATGGGGACATTTATGGCTCCGCGCCAGTTGAGGCTATTACCGTATTTGATCTAATCTCAAATGGGACACGACTTCCTTTTCCGGACAAACGGCAATGGCTTTGTAATACGGCATTCCGCTCTTTGTTTTGTCAGCCGAAAATCCGGTGTGGATTGGACGCTGCGCTGGATGCGGCCCATGCGGCACGGAGCAGCGCTTGGTGTTGATTAAGCCGGCTGTTGATTGGCTGGGCAGTCAGCAAAGCAGCGCGCCGTAGCCAACCGACGGACTGCAAAAAAATCAGACCTTTAGTAGATACTACAACATCGGTATACTTGGTAAAAAATATATTATTAATTACCAACGGGCAACGGCATCTGCAACTTGCTCATTTATTAGAAAAAAGGTGGGACTGTAGTGCAGTTTGCGTTTATCGCTGCGCATGATCCTAATAAAAACCCTAAGTAGGTTATTAAGTTGTTTAGTACTTAGTACGTAGGTACAATATACAGATTCTACGCTTGCGACAGCTTAATCTAAAATTAAAACCACAGATACTCGTTCAAAAACACTCAACTTGTTTTTGGGTAAGTATTTGATTGAATTGCTTTGTTGCAGGACTGCTTTATAATAAAGCCTTTATTATTTTGTTTCAGGAAATATTTTTTGAAAAAATAAAATTTACAACTTTATATTCTTAACGGCTTTTTAAACGGTTCGGTTGCGGTATGGGACTTTTTGAATTACGGTCCGTTTCATTGCGGCGAATATAAGTTGCCAGTGCGGACAGAGTTAAGGCAGAAAAACGAGGGAAAGGAGTATTTCCGGCGGCTTTATTGTACTCGAATTAAAGTATCATCGCATGGAAATTAGGATGAGCATAGTTGAGTTTGATCGGGTTTATTCGCGTCACGGATCATTTGGTGAGAGAGACGCCGGGAGAGAAGGGCTATACCGTTGTCTGTAAAGTATTAAATACCACATGTTATGGATGCGGCAATGAATGACGATTGGCCGGCAGTGATGGCGCAAGTGACAGCGCGACCGAGAGAGAGGATGAGAGAGAACGAGGCTGTGTACACACAGTGGACGGCCCGCTGGGCCCGAGCGGCTGGCTCAGAATGACATTATGCGTCATTAAGTCCATTAGCCGAGAACAAATTAGACATGTGAAAATTGTATCAAAAATCATAATTTGATTGCTCCTCAATTCACCAGGGAAATTCACTCAATATTTTGTGACTTTGACGCGGGGATAGACGGAGCGAGGGACGGCTGGTTGCAGCGGATGTCGATGGGATGAGACAACTTGACTGGGCTAAACCGATTTTCTTTGCGCTAATCAGCCCCGAATCTTGTTTGATCGTTGCTCCAAGCACACTATGACAAATTGACAATCGTCAATACAACTTGTTTTTCGTCCTTATAACTCGATTTGAACTTTAATGGTTGTTCAGGTTTCGCAAAAAAAATGGTTTCGAAGGAAACTGAATTACATAATTATTGCAACCAATGGAAACAATAACTGCTGAGCGTAATCATTTATTATGCTTTTAATTTTTGAAATTTTTTCACAGCTATGTGATTGTGCGCAAACCCCCGTAATACAAGTACATACTGTACTTTGTAGTTTAATCCCTTGGATGCACATTTAAATTGCAGTACTGAACTGTCAACAATATACATAAATCTGTCTTGAAATGCGCTTTTAATAAAATCGGAAAATCGGTCAAACATTTTTGTATCAGCGATGGGTAATTATAAATGTAAATATTATGTAATATTTTTCACACTCGATAAATTTATTTCAGATGTGGTTAGAAAAAAAACTCCAACTCGTAGTAACTTAACCAATACATTGGCTGCTGCTATTGCTTTGAAGATCTCATGATGTTTTAATTACATGCATAATTTAGTCTAGATCAGACGGCCACTGCACTACAATTTTCCTTGTGCTCCACACCACACAGCACTGTATAAGCTGGAATTCATTCAAAATTTGCGCCGTTCTTCCACTGTACGGTATGGGGCTAACAATAATCCACTTTCGAATTTCTTTCTACTACAGAGTGTAATTAGAATGAAGTTAGCACAGTATACTTATACTGTGTTGACTGTAAAGCGTAGCTACATATTCGGAACAATTTTCTGTGTACCGTGTACACATGAAATACAATACAGTCACCGTAAGAAACAAATAAAATAGTAAGTGACCTTCGGTGTATACATGTGTACAGTAATACAACAGTATAAGCTCCAGTTCATATTAGCGATGCTGATTAGTAGAGTTTTGACCTAAAATGCCGGGGCCATCCGAGAGCCGGAATAGGTGTCAAGCTCCGGGAAGAGCAGGGGAAATAAATACCCATAGCAAATTAAACATGCTAACGGCAAACAATTTTACTTGTAAAATAATATTAACAACAAATCCCTCAGGGAGCCATGAACAGCGCCAAATCCTGTCACATTGCACATTCACACAATGATGTGTGCTAATTCGATATTGTGAATTTGTTATCGTATTACCGGCAACAGCTTGTTCAATTGGGGAATGGAATCAATGAGCGCCCAGCACGTCACCGAGCGCATGCCCACTGCAACAATCAACTAACAACATTTCTCGCTGCAGGAACAGAACTATCCTGTCACTGATCCCCATAGCGTAGTAATACGCCGAAATGCAAAAGATTAGATTGCTTAGAAATTAGAATTAAGTACAGCACCACAAAAATAATGTTACGGAAAAGCCACCACGTCACCATGCCTCAACTTCCAGTAAAACTCCGCTTTTATTCACATTTTCTAGTGCGTAGTGTGTACTCTAAGCAAAAACTTAATTAGCATAAATTACGAAATAGCTGCTTTGTTTATATAATCAACGCCACACATGCATTCTTATGAATGAATTAGTTAGTATGTGTTCATTCATAGAACTTCGAATAACAGATCGAAGCTTTGATGATATAACGTACGAACTAAGTAAAAAAAATAACCACGACACTACACGCGATTTCAAGGGCGTTTGCTTATTGTTTTAATAAATCCGAAAAATGCTAAGTTAGCAGAATAACGCATACTCGGTAAAGTACTTATTGTTTATGCGGTAAATTTAACATGCAGATGTAAAAAAATGTATTAGTTTTATCCTCATTGATAAAAGTGACCGACTGTAAATGAATTTGTTTAAACCTATATCCATACTAACCCATTAGTGCAGCATACAGATACATACCGCATATGTTTTATGAAGTATTATGTTAAAATCATCCCATAGTAGTTTAATGAATTTTAATCTCTGTGCGGTTCAAAATTAACAGATTGCTTACAAATAATCAGATGGTAATGAACTGTGGCGTTCCGCGTACGTATTGAATTAATCATTACAATAGCGTTGCGCATGATTGCACAAGACGACAAATGTGGATTCATATTGAGCAGATGCGTTGTTATCACAATTTCAAAGTATACACACATATGCAATCGTAATTGTTAGAGATACATTCATCCCGCTGATCAACGAAGCCAATTTGCACTACATAAAGAGTCAATTAGATTGTGATCTCGTTTTACGCTGAGTGCACTTGTTTACGAGTCGTTAGCGAGTCCATTCATTTCGTGTGCTGGTACCGGTTTAGTCAGGTGTTAATCAAAGATAATTAGTGATCTGTATCTCTAATATCAGCAGCACTAATAACATTATGACAGACGCGGCAATTTCTATACACTTCACTAACACCACATCGATTCTGCAGCTGCAAATTTTTACAACAAATGGTTTGTAAAAGGGCTTTTGTTGGTGACCTTTCTAAAATATCGTTAATTTTAATTTGTACTACATAATAATAATTTTTGCATGTAAAAATGCAGTAAAATATCTTAAAATACTTTTACTAAAAATGTACATGAGAATACGAAACAAAACGCAAAACTTCGAAAACCTGAAGGCAGTGGCAGTGTAATGCATCCCTATTACGTGATAACACTCAATAGTTTGCAGCCTATGGACAAGATGTGATATATTAAGTAAACATTATTCACATTAGGTAAAGTACTGTAAGAGGTTCGCACTAGTGAACTACAGATCAGTCAAATATTTTGCAAAGTAATAATAAGTGTTTGCACGTAAATAAACCTCTTTAGTGTTCAGTACAATTTCATTGCATGACACTTTTTACTTCTATGAAAAATTTAAGCAGGCGTATTGATAAAGGTCAAGCGTCGATTTGCCGATTAGTGACGTTTGGTGGGTTCATTTGATCTTTTGAAAAAGAGGAGAATTTATGGATTGTCCTAAGTGTGGGATAATGATGGGGTCAGGCGTTGGGCATTTTCTTCCTATACGGCATCCACACAAAACCTCTCTCAAAACATTTACACTTGCCGCTCAAAAACTTTTATTCAATGGAAGAGATTAATGATCGCCGGCGTTGGTTGCCGCGTTGCCGGCACGGCACGCCAACCTAACATACACACACACATAACCAATAATACAATTCCAGTCACACTTGCAGTCCATTAATGATGCACTGATCAAGTCAATCCATTAAAATTTGCCAATTTATCTTGCACTTGGAGACAATTATACTGTGCAGTGTGACGATCGGAGAATTACGCGCGCGCACGCCGAGGCCGGCATCGCGCTGCAGTGCAACGGCGCAGGGTACACATACAGACTCTCTGTATATAACGCGGGGTTCATTTCCGCTGCCAAGACGCAGCAGGATCTCCCACCAATAATCCGATTGCCAGACCCGGCAAATTGGGATTAGTTAGCCGGATATGCGGGACACTGTCAGGGATTAGTTTACACTTACACTTAACCAAAATTTGCCAGCACCGGCGGGACATGAAAAAACGGATTACGATGGACGGTGGGAGTAGGATCGGCAGATGCGAATCTTTACGATCGATCGCCATGCTGGCTGACAAAAACAGCAAAATTTGAATGCGTATTAACACTTCCCAAGTAGCAAACGAAACGAGTTAAATATAAATTATTATTAAACTGCAGTAAAAATCATTTAATAAGAGTTGCTTTGACAGCAATGTTCAACTGCATAATTTAGTTATTGCCGTCGACAAGCAGGCGCATGTGCATGTTGCATCTCGGATGTTTATACAGAGCGTAAACATTCGTAAACATATATTATCTGCGACCTAAAATTTATATTTTTGAACTTCTGTATTGCCTTGCCAGGAGACTCAATAACTTGAATGTCCGGAAAGATTAAAAATAATGATACATCAAATTTGATGTATCATAAGAATAGAATACTGTACTGTTACCCTGCACTTGCCGAAAGTTTCAGTGGTTCAACTAGACGTACGTTGTACGAGCGCGTTCAGTCGCCATTCACGGTTCACATGTAGACCTGCAACTGCGTGCAGGCGGCTGTCTGCTGACTGAACGCAAGAGGCTTTAGCTCTCACACAGTTACAGTATCGTACAGCTCATACTGTACAAAATTTCGGCAAGTGCAGGGTAACAGTACAGTACCTTTTAAAATGTGCAGAATACCTTTCAAAAGGTATTCTGTAATCTGTATCATTAATCTGTATATATCTCTGTCCACTGTCAACAATATTTTGCTGTGCCGAACCACCGTCAGTATTTAACAATACTAATTGTACACAAATGCATTTTGCAGACCATTTAGACTTTACGTCACTTTAGTTACAATTGTAAAATATGTACGTCTCGTTATTATTGTTCTCGTTATTATGCAAGGCTTGCAAGCATATCGGCGTAGGTCTTTATATAAAGCTTCTATAGCGTACTATTTGAATTTCTTTATAAGCGAGGCTGACTTTTAATTAAGTTAGTGTTTACAGATTTGACGAAATAATCTGCATAAATTTCTGCATAATATGTACATTTAGGCGAATTTAAAGGCAAAACGGACAATCATGTCTTATTGGAAGATCAGCCTTTATATACGTAAGGGCAGCAAACCATTTTTTAAGGCTCAAATTTGAAATTTGAACTGATCAGTTAAAATGTACTATACGATTCAATTTTTACTTAATTAATATCGGTTAGAAAGAACATCAAACAGACATCTTTCCCAATCTAATCCGTTCTGAAAGCCAAAAAATGTACAGTACTCGTTATTTACCATATCATTAGTTGTTTCGAGGAAAGGACACTGCATTTATTTGCACGGATTTCCACGTTTCATCTCAATGCTGCAATAGGAGCAATCACGAAAAATTAAGACAAAAAAAATTTATTGATTCTATATCTGTAAGACATGACCTTCGAAAGAAAATTGAGAAGCAAGTTTCACATATATTCTAACTTGTAAGTAATCGCAGATTTTCAGTTCGCTTTTTAAAAACTGGCTTTATCAAACTTTAAAAATAAGCTACATCGGCGATTTGCGACTGCGACGCGATACTGACTTTAAAAAATGCTAGTGTCGTTGAATCATTGAATGTATGACCTTATGCGTCTCGATATCTTACAGACTTAAGAAAATGCCAGTCGCGCAAATTTTGTTGATTTAGCCGACTCTCCATTACTGCCTATTTTGCATAGACACCAGCGGAAATGAGTCGGCCTAGCGTGTGCCCTTTCTTTAGTGTTTGTCGGCAAGTGCCAAGTACATGCATAAAGCGGAGAATAATGATGCGCAAAGTATGGATTTGTCGTTTATGGATCCGTGCGAGCAATGATGCACAACGGCGTACGCTGGTCACATATCTCTGCCGTCAACGCCAGCCATCAAATCGTCAACGGCACCCTTCATCTAATTACGCATATCCTAATACAACAAGCCCCTCTTGCCATAACTTTATTTTCCGGAAAATTCGATCGCATTTAGCGGAAATTGGCCAGAATGATATGGGTCCACGGCACTGCACTCCTGCTGGGCAGAGCGCGGCAAGTTGCTCGCAATATTACCAGTAATGTAAGTAACGTCAGCAGCATGCGCTTACAGCAGCATTTCCCTGCACACTAGCATGCATTAAAGATTACTCAGTTTCATTTCATGGTTTTTGTTTGTCTGGTTGCCTGTTTCTGTCCACTTGCTGCACTGTAAACTTGTGAAATTTGGTCGAATCATTTCACATTTTCCCTCATATCATGGAAAAGATTACGTGTTTTTTGTGTTCAAGCTATAATTCTTTCATATGGTGATGCTATCGTTACCATATGGCATATTGACTGTCGGTGGGAAATACGTGAACGGTATTATAAAAAAAGCAAATTAAATTCCGCAGCCCTTTCATGCTTAACACAGGTCAAATTAACGTTTATCTGTATATTTGCAAACTGAAGCAAAAAAAAGATATTAAGAAAATAACGGAAACCGGCAATATACGAAATACAATACCAAGTCCAAATAGAAATAGTATTATGGACTTAGAAATATATTATGTTTTGTGCCAAGTGTATGGAAATGCTACATAATTAGTCCTACAACAACTTGACTGTGAATCTTTTATCTTACTTTATTCTAAAATTCTAATTAAAATTCATGAGGTAGTCTCCTACATACATATACTGCGTTCTAGCTTGTAACCCCTTAATTAGGTAGAGGAGACCTTCTCTTCAGTTCATATGCATCCCGGTCAGAAAGCAAAGAAACACAAAGGTCATACTATGTATGTACGCAGGGCGCTACTAATTTCTTGCAGTCAGTTTATGACAACAAAACTTCGTTTGGTGCTAAACGGCGACGAACGTGATTCGCCTCGAAACAAATTAAACTCTCGACTTGATCAAATAATCTACATGTTTTTAGCGATGTTGTCTGTGTTAGGCCGCATCATATATACAGTCGATTATCTACAAACTAAAGCCTCTCCAGTTGAAAAACAAGGGAAACTTTCCAGTTGACAATACAAAAATCGAGGTGAAACCGTGCTGCTGCATCACGTAGCACAAACATAGGCAGGTATGTATTCAGTATCCATTTTTGAAAACTTCGCTGGTAAAAAACAAAATATTAACATTTACTGCCATTAAAATCGAATTACCATAAAACATATGAATTTGGGCCAAACAAATGCAAATGGTATGCTAAAACCATCAGTCTATAACCCAGATTTGTCAGAATTATGTATGCTTTGTAGATCTGGATAAAAGCTGCAGAAATTCTTTGAAGCAGTCCGCGCACAAAATCACTTTTTCCGTGCCTGGCGGTGTAAGATAACGTGCACTTTATGAATGAAAAGCAAAAGATAATTTTCCCGACAGTTGTATGCTAGCGCGCCAGCGACGCACCCACAAACTCCACTTTTGTTTGTTCTTTTATCATGTTTGTAGAAAGGAAACCGTGACGGCGCGATCGCGGTACCACAAGTACCGGTATAATTGCGAAATTCGGTATAAATTTGCAAAGTAAACCTTGCGGTGCCACTTTAACCACAGATACGATTACCCACACGATTATCTACCTGAAAAACATGATTGTCTAGACAACTGATACAGAATGCGTTTTTAAGAAAACCTAACATTGCTGATTGCGCGCAATATACAAATGGTCACCACGTTCGGCTGTGTACCTACAAATACTAGCGTATCCTCTAAATCTACCCATTTTAATCCACAGTGATATACATGCAGAATTGGCATTTGCGCTACGTGTTCCTCGTTCTCAATATCGTTGACCCCACTGATCATCCCTACCTTTATTGTAACAATTTTAAATATTTCAGTTTTATCGTTGTAACCTAGATGCGAGTGTCGATATACAGCAGCGAAAAATTTGAATAGGAGTAAGATAAAAGGGCACCCGGCAGCTGGACGCTTCACCTAAATAATCTTTTTAGCTTTCGTTCCCAAGAAGTTGTTGAAATAGCGTTTTGGAGTTTGTTATGCAGTGACCTATATGTTGATCTTCCTGCGAGCGTTACTCAGTTTCTTTTTTGCTAAGGTAGGCCATGGAAGGTTTGGAAGCACTGATTCCTGTCATCAACAAGCTGCAAGATGTCTTTAGCAAAGCTGGCATTACTAACCTGGAGGCTATCAACCTTCCGCAGATCATTGTGGTCGGAGCACAGGTAAATTCGGTAATTGTAGGCTTTTTAGCAGTCCATTGCGCTATAGCGGTCTCAGCCAGCTTAAAATGTTTGCATGTTTAAAACGCTGTGCATTTTGATAATATGATTTGGGAGTACTGCATATACAGCGACTATGCTTAGAAACTCATACACTTTTTTATTGACAAAGAAACTGTTCGTGCATGTATGTCGTATGTACTGTAATTACGTATGTACCTAGGGTAGATATCTTGTAGGTCCTGTGTTCAAAATCTGGTGCAAAAGACCGCATCCTGCAAACTAGATGCGTATGTTTTTCGAATGGTTTTTCGAAGCACACACATTTTGTACAGTGAATGTTTTGCAAAGCATAATTCATAATATGGAAACTTTAATTTGAAACTTTGTCTGTTTTAAAATTTGAAATTTTGCAATATGTCTGTTTTGCTATCAATACATTCTCCTGCGATGCTTTTGTAGCTAACAATTGTTAGGTCAGCGTATAATTATGTGTGCAGACAGTGCAGTGCACAAACACGGTTAACCACATAAAATAGACAAACAGTTGGTTTCCGCCTTTGGGCGCTTTAATTGTGTTTTTCACAAAAAATTAATCTTTTTCGGCGCTATTTTGGACCAAGCAATTTTTTTAACTAAGACCTAAGGGCAATATAGTACTATATCCTTAAAACCATTTACCTCTATCTTCGTGCGGACACAGACAGATATTCAATAATACGAGTATTAAGTCCGGTAAATGAAAGAAAAATGTAAGCAGAGCGAGTCGACGAAGGAACTTTTTAAGTTTTTAGGTTGTAGAATTTTTGAAAAAACGGGTGAAGCGCGTTCGAGTTCGTTTTGAAACAGCGCTTCAGCATTGCCGTTGTTCGTGGTAATGCGGCGGCAGTTTTGGGCACTTTGCCGCGTGTTAAACACTTCAATAACGCTAATGATGGTATTGGATGTTTTGGTAGTACCTAATTTTGTAGCAGTAGTGTCTGGTTAATACTGTCATAATTATGAATCGAAATAAAGAAGAGAGGATTAAAATGTAAGCGGTTGTGTTTGCTTAATTGCAGAGTGCAGGAAAAAGCTCCGTGTTAGAAAGTTTGGTTGGCCGCGATTTTTTGCCGCGCGGACAAGGTTTGGTTACCAGACTGCCATTGGTACTGCAGCTGATTCACTGGGATGACGACAGCAAGAATCGCTACGGTACAGGGCACTACTTACTGCTCTTGCAGTACAAGTACAATAGGAGTGTTTTGGGTTTATACGGAAACGGAGTAAAAAAATAGAAGTTTACTTACAGAATTTTTAGTTTATGCCATCTCCAAAACTTTTAACATTAACTTTTAACATTTTAACATTAACTGTACAGTATATACAAAGGTCACGATGGGCGTACCTGTAGTACCACGGTCCCTCTAAGTATATTGTCCATGCACAAACTGTGTTAGACGCTTAAAACACGGCCCAAGGCCCGAAACTGCTGTGTTTGAGTATCCCTGTACCCCTTGCCGAGCGTAAAACGCATGCAAAGCGAAAAAAAACCGAAACCACAACTTTGCTGTGTGCATGGGTTCTCTGTACCTCTCTTGAGCTGCCGATCTCAGAACCCAGCAAATTGGGATTCCAAATACAAATTAACTGGAGTTAGAAGAATAATTGTTTAAATGATTCTATTAAAAGTAACAATAATTTTTAGTATTATTTCTCGTGCTCTGGACTTAGAAAAGTGTTTAACTTACGATGTAATTTAATTTTTTCGCTAATTAGACCATAGCTGACTGCAAAAGTTATCTTTCCCATGCAGTGCGATTGGAGCTGAACGATCTGACATGCCAAATGCGTAATTTCAAATTTGGCGATCTTCTCGTGAAAGTTCATATTTGATTGTTATTTCTTTCGAAACTAATAATTTTGACTGATAATTTAATTTGCTCCTTCTTATTTCCTTCTGAAAGCTACAGATTAAGGAGAAACCACAATACGTAATTAAGGGCAATACGTAATCGGTGTGCCCACCAATGGCAGTCTTTAGCAATACGGATTGGCTATAGCAGTGTATCAAGGCGGATTGGCTGTACTGAGCTACTGAGATAGCTAATAGAGTAATCCTAGCGTAACTTTCACACTCCCTGTAATTTACACGCACTCGGACCCTGTAAGTCGCACGCTCCGCCCCTCTGTTAAAGATACGTTTGCGTAGGGCGTGAGATTACGTCATCATACTACCCGCCTGGCGTAGCTGGGTTTTGGGGCCGCTTTCGATTTTAGCACAGGTCGTACAAGGCTTGTACTTTCTGTGGTAGTACTGTGTACATTGCACAGTACATACAGATATACAAAATACAGACATTTATTTGCATGCACCTAACACGAGTGCACCTAATTTGCAGCTAGTCCCGGAGGTAAATACTGATTTCTGCAGTACCGAGAATAAATAACATCTTCAGAAAGCGACATTTTAATGTATTACACAGATATCAGCATCATCATATAATTTAGGCTAGTTTTCATTCGCCAATTTTTAGTAAACAGCATATCGGTAGGTGAGCTATTAAAGAATATCCCTGGCAGCGAAGACGTGGACGAGTTTGGTTTGTTTCTTCATGATGAGAAGAAATTGTACACCAATTTTGATGACGTCAGGAAAGAAATAAATGATGTGACTGACCGTCTTATGGGAACAAACAAGGTATACTCGTATCGATTTCAGTGTAAGTGCACTCATATACCACTACGGATTGTTGTTTGCAGGGCATTGGAAGCCAGCCCATTAACCTGAGAATATTTTCGGAATCGGTTGTAAATTTGACACTGGTTGATCTACCTGGACTGACGAAGGTAAGGGGGCATCCATAAATTACGTACGCAAAAAACCACGATTTTTTCACCCCTCCCTCCCCCTTCGTAGCTGTCCGTCACATTTGCTTGCCCCCTCCCCCCTGGTTCGTTCAATCGTAATACATGGAGCTGACCACCCCCTCCCCCAGGGTTCGTTGAGGCCGTCACAGCTTGTCACACTTTTTGGACCCCTCCCTCCCTGGTTCGCTGCGTACGTAATTTATGGATCCCCCCTTAAGTTTACAGTAAGAACTCCATTTCAACAGAAACGACACGCAGAAACGACACGGAGTCGAAAACTTTGAGCTGAGAAAGTTTTAAATTGTGTTGTCTTGTCTTACGTCAGTAAACAAAACTCTGTCAGGTTTGTCGTGTCCTACCATTTTAAAACTTCTGTGATAAAATATATGTAATATCGGTAGATCATAAGCGTGACGCGGTGTACAAACCGGCATTCTTTTCAGAATCCCGTTGGCGATCAACCGCGTGACATTGAAGACCAGATCACTAAACTGATCACGACCTATATAAAAAATCCCAATTCACTTATCTTGGCAGTAACACCAGCCAATGTGGATATGGCCACATCCGAGGCGCTGAAACTGGCAAAAGCAGTGGACCCGGAAGGTGCAGTAACCCAAACTTAATATTTTATACGTTGTTTTTTAAAGTAGTACCCCATTCTTTATAAGTACCTTAAATGCCTTTGTGTTTTTTGCTTACTGTCCATGTCCACGTACGGTATTTCAGGCAAGCGTACATTGGCGGTTATTACCAAACTGGATTTGATGGATAAAGGAACCGATGCACGGGAAGTCCTGAGCGGTAGCGTCATCCCGGTTAAACTGGGGATCATCGGGGTGGTTAATCGTTCGCAGCAAGATATCAACACAAACAAAGTACGTATATGTAAATACGTGTATAAATATGTACAGTAAACAAAAAGAATGGAGTAAAAGGTCAGAGTGTCGTTTACGTGGCATGCGCATTTTATCAACTGTCAAAGCATAATTAGCGTACGTTAATACGAGTACTGTACTCGTAATTAACGTACTCGTAAATATACTGACTTTTTCATTATTTCTTTATCTTGAGGTGTGTTTAACTAAATATTATCCTACTGACTTTTCCTGTGTTTCTTTTCAGACAATTGAACATGCGCTCAAGGACGAAAAAACATTTCTGCTGAAAAATTATTCGGAACTCGCACATAAGCACGGCACAGTTTATCTGAGTCGAACTCTTAATAATGTAAGCAGAATACATTATGCTTTAATTTCACGTGCATAATAATGTCTAATCCCAAGCCCAAGTATTTTAATAACTCAGTTTGTTACGTTTTCTTCATAGTTATTAATGTCGCACATTCGAGAGCGTTTACCGGATCTCAAGGAGCAAATAAGCCGATTGACTCAAGCGCATAAAAAGAGAATGGAGGACTTGGGACAGCCAGTAATTGACAAGGAGGCTCATCTTATTCGGTTAATAACGGAATTCGTGAAGGCGTACAGTTCTACGGTGGATGGCACGAACGTCGAGGTGGACTCCAACAAACTGAAAGGCGGCGCCATGATCAGTGTGGACATATTTCAAAATATTTTCCAGCAGCATTTGTATGATGTCCAAGCCCTGAATGGTTTAGAGCTTAAAAATATTGTTTTAACGCTTCGGGCAGCAGCGGTGAGAAGAAGTTTCGAAAAAGTAAAAATAATGTTATTGACTGATTTTGCAATGTAAGTGAGTATTATATTAGGTACTCGAACATGAAGCGGTAGAAAACAGGCGTTGTAATACCTTTTTACCCAGGGATTGTATCCTCCGCTTACGGTGCCCGACATGGCGTTTCGCACACTGGCTAAAGGTCAAATCGCCCATATGCTGCAACCGTGTCTGGAATGCGTTGACCTGGTTTACGAAGAAATGCAGCGCATTATCCAGCGTTGCGGGAAAGAGATCCAGGTAATCAATGTCATTTTTTTTATTTTCTTAAATATTTTGGTTAGTTCCTTTATGTCGATTATTTTATGACCGTGGATTCAACATGCTTCAGAGAGAATTTCAAAAATACCCGAGATTTTGTGATGGCGTGCTTCGAATAGTGAACGAATTCATCAAGCTGCAGACTGAAGAGACCAGGACAATGGTTAAATATCTGGTGGATGTATGTACCAATAATTCAAGCCACCTATCCCGTGTAAAACAGTTTGTATTAGAAGAAGGCCAAAATTCGAACACTGTTCGAATTTTGGCCTTTAACTAACGTTTAGCTAACGTATTTTTTACAAACTGTTTTACACGGGTATGGTTACAGCAATTACCGTCCCATGAACAGGAAAATGAAGGTATTTCTTTCAGATCGAAGTATCTTACATCAATACTAAACATCCGGATTTTCGTGACGAAATGGAAACGCTGCTGGAGGAACGTTCGGCAGCGCGAGCCGAGAAAAATCAAGAAAACTCTAGCATAGGTATGAACTAATAACGTAAGTTTCGATTTATTGCGTTAAAGCTTAGTATGTAAGTACTTACTTACGAGTTAGTGTAGTAGGAAATTCGCTGGTCAGTAATTACGTAATGCATCCATTTTTGCAGCCCGTATTATGCTTTAAACGTAGTTAAATCTGTGGTGTCATGAATTTCTGTATTTATGCTCGTAAATCGTAGATCATACCCAGCGAAATGCAGCCAAAAAGATAGCAGGACAAATGCAACAATTTGGTAACACTCGGACCACTCCCATGGGGTCTCCTACTCATGGGAAAAACGGACGAAATAACTTAGGTGTAACCAGTCGATCCGTTTTCGGTTTGGGAGACGGAATTGAGAGAGAAGCGAACTTTTTGTCTGAGGTACGTGAGGGATGATTCGTACGTAATCCGGGATGAAATTTACATTTGATGTGGGCGTTGCCTTTTATGACAATTTGATAGCACGACAGTGCATTATAGAATAGAAATACTTCTGGTCAGTACTTGCCACTACACTTTCTATATTCTGAAATTCGAATCAAAATGATCTCAGTACAGAGTACGCACAACGTTACGTGTTGTGCGCGCATCTTAGCCGGTGCCGCTGTTCGAGAAAAAAGTATTTAATACAGTATTTTTTTTCCAATACTGCAGATCGAGGAATTCGATCCCGGAAACATTCCGCCGCGAGAACTGGAGGACGTCGAACTGATGAAAACACTGGTGACGAAGTACTTCGCCATTGTCCAGAAAACCATATTCGATATTGTGCCCAAAGCCATTGTGCATTCGCTGATCGAAACCACAAAAGTATGCACACCGCAGTTTTCGATTTTTTGGCAAGTTTTCGCTAATAGGAATTAAAAGAAGTTTGTCCGCTGTTTTTGTGGACTTTTTGCCTTGGAACTTGGAAGTAATATTGTAACCTAAATCTGCACTTATGCCTGTAAGTAGAACCATAAATTATAATGATATCGCTGATGTCAGTGATTTTATCGTTACAGGACGATTTGAGCCAGATCCTTCTGGCTAAGTTGTACGCTCCTGGAGTTGCCGATAAATTTGAAATTCTGAACGAAGCAAAGCACATAACGGAGCAGCGCAACAATACCATTGCAATGCTGGAAGCATTACAGCAAGCTAGCAAAATTATCAGCGAAGTTAGGGATTTGTCTGCAAACCGGAGTTTGAGTTAACTTGTTGCTCGTGGTTATTAATTAGTAATAATTAATTAATAAACACTATTAACTGGTTTAACCTCGTCCAAAAAAACGCACCTTATACTTCTGCAGTGACATGTACGAGTACGGATTAAAGGAACGAGTGTACCCTAGTTTACTACATGTGCATCAAAGACTTTTATTGTCCGAGTAACCGGGATGCAGCGGCCCTGGTCACTGCCCAGATGAAAAGGTGTCAACCGGCAAAATGCATGTTGGGAGATCTATTGTTCTTTATCAACAGTGAGCCATTGTGAAACCTGCCGCATTTGATGTGCTCTGCGCAAACGATAAGAGCGATGCGGCGCATTGTCCATTTTGTAACCATCAGCCCAACATCCTCAAGCTGTACCCGGTTAAAATGAAAATAACACCGCTCACGGGCTTATAGATCTGAACTAAACAAACGCCGCAAGAATAACCACAATTCATATTAGTATCTCAGGCAAAAACTGGGAAATATCGCTTTTCTGAATAACCGATCAACTTCTGCTTGAATGTCTACGCGTAGTGTTCAGTGTCCACTATTCACCAACTACAACAATGAGTACGCGTTGGCCGTTGCAAGGAAAGGAACAAAAGCTCAGAAATGCCATAATTTCTCAAAGTCATGCGAAATTGCGAAATATAATAAATTTTTATCCTGTTTTCAAAAAATTCAGGACTTTTGTGTTTCATTTGCACCGCTTTCCCACAACCGAACCGGTAATGTTAGGCGGTGCGCAATTTGTCAGGCGATCTCGGGCAAAATGCCTGAGATCAAAGCTATACCGCATGGTATTGGCGGCAAACGCTCCAGCAGTGGAGTGGCGTCACGTTCTCACGAGCAATCCACCAATCAGGACCCTGTTAGCTTATCTAAGCTGCCAAGTCGACCCAGTCACGTACAGTCAGTTTTTTTAAGCTGCTGGCGCCAAGGATGAGCTCATACTGATGTCCTTGTGTGCAATTGTGTAACCATTAATTTTATAGTAGTGCCTTGTCCAGTATAAATAGTTGTGATCACAAATCAGTTATCTTGTATGCTGATTGTTCCTGCCTGAACATTTAGTGCACTGCTGTTTGGGTTTGCCTTTTATCCGTTAACAACAAAAACTCCAGCGGTGTCCCGTGTTTTATGTTTGACACTCGTTATTCGAACTGGTTGCAACTCTGGTGGCTGACATCTGCCTGCCTATTCACTGCCTCATCCTGTCAGTTGACGTCACTTTTTACGTTTTTTTAATTGGAATTTATTGCTGTGACCGCGGAAAAATGGAGGCCTTGATTCGGGTTATGAATCGCGTCCAGGATGCGTTCAGTGAAATCGGCATCCATGATATGAAGGCTTTGGACTTACCACAAATCGTTGTGGTTGGCGCTCAGGTACATCCATTCGACGTTGAATTAATAATCATTCACATTACCTAGCCAGTAAATACTTCCGTGTGCAATGGTCTTTAATAAGAATTGATTATCATTATTAAAGCTATTAATTTGTGCTACCAAACCGGCATGTTGTAAGTGAAGTTGTAACCGTCGCCGACTTTTGCAATTTCGTATACCTGCAGTCCATTACGAGAAGCTCCCATCCTTATTCACTTCACTTGTAAGGTTAAGGTGATTAGGAGAAATTGTGTGTTTTTCACAAGATTTATTACTGCACATAAGTAAACCATAAAACGGTAAACGTAGGGGTATGTAAAATCGCATGGGGCGCTACTGCGCTACCATTGTGTAGTTACTTACTTGTGGCTGTGTATGTATTCTCTAACAAAGTGCATGAGTTTTTCAAGTTAGCATTTATCGGTAGTCGGGAGATATCCATAAAAGATGCACCTAAAACTGTACTTTTTTAGAGCGCTGGAAAGAGCTCCGTGCTGGAGAGCTTGGTTGGAGGGATTTTCTACCACGCGGAAGTGGTATTGTGACCAGACGCCCATTAGTACTACAACTGATACATTTGGATGAAAAAACCCGAAAGCGATATGGTACGAACTACGAAGCGTAAACACGTTACGCACACGGTAGTGATCGTCAGTTACTGAGATTACCGTTTATTAAAGTAGCGCTTTAACTGAAATCTGAGTGATGAAATTCGGAGTTATTTCGCTGCCGGGGCCCGGGTGGTATTTTGCCGGGTTTTTGTGAAAATTTAGCAGTTGCTCGGAATAATTTCGAATTGAAACTTATTGACGTAATTGTTGTGATGTTTTCAAGGTTATGTCTCAATGTCTGTAAGAGATCGTAGGCGAAGTTATAAAACTGGTGCACAGCGGCATTTAACAGTCTGTTAAAACTTAATAGTACTGTAATGACATGCTTCATTTGATTGTGTTCGACAGATGTTGACCCGACTATAAAGGAATTCGGGCAGTTTAATCATCAGGGAAGCAAAACTTTCGCTGATTTTGATGAAATTCGTGCCGAAATTGAGCATGAAACCGACCGCTCAATGGGCAGCAATAAGGTATTGTACAGTACATGCCACATGGTATTCGCTTAATGAGTACCAACATATTTTACTAGTGCGCAGTTTCCAAAATAATACAAACTTATTCTTAACAACCTTAAATCACAGGGGATCGGAAGCGATCCTATACGTCTTAAGATCTTCTCCGAGTACGTGGTGGACCTGACACTAGTCGATCTCCCGGGTTTGACTAAAGTAAGTAGACTGACCAGAAGGAATTTTTGGTTATAATAAATTTCATTAAGTAATATGTATATTGTAGATATACTGTACACAGTAAACGTATGGTCATATTGTAGTCATTCTGCCAGTTTGCTGATTAGGAAATACTTGGCTGTTTACTATAATCTGGGTGAATGCAAGTTACACTGAATCACTGATTACCGAGCACCAAGTAGGTGTACAGTGCGCGGATGTACTTTCATGCCAGCCGAAAAGGTAATCTAATGGACATTAGGCAAATGACAGAGCACTTACGTTCTTCGTAGGTACCGGTTGGCGATCAACCCGAAGACATTGAGGATCAGGTCAGAGGTCTGATCCTCAACTTTATCGAAAGTTCCAGTTCCGTTATTCTTGCGGTTACGCCTGGTCACGACGATATGGCGACTTCAGAGTCATTGAAGCTCGCCAAACATGTCGATCCAGATGGTACGGTAAATTTTGATGGTTTCTAGCGTTAGAGAGAGGAAGTTTGCAAGTTATAAATGCGCTCTGCAGTACTGAGTGCAAGAATATGTTTAGCCTCTACCCGTAGTAAACGTCTAGTCGTTCGTGCTCTGCATAAGTTCCCAAATCTGCACACCTGGTACTTTTGTACTTGCTGTTCAAATTTTCGCCTGTTTCACTACGTTTTATGTGCCTTAGGCCGGCGTACTTTAGCTGTAATTACGAAGCTGGACCGTGTGGACGAAGGCGTCAATGCACGCGAGGTGTTGAACGGAAGCGTAATCGAAGTAAAACTGGGCATCATTGGCGTCATTAACCGCTCACAGCATGGCATCAATACGAGCAAAGTACGTTTTTGATTTCTCAGTTTTATGTACAATGATTTACATGTTACGTATTTACCCGCGCAGTTTGACGATGTGTTGGTGTTTAATGTGCAGAAAATATCCGAAGCTCGCGAAGACGAGAAGAAGTTTCTCAATAAGTACTATCCGGATATCGCGCACCAGCACGGGACGGTTGCCCTGAGCCACAAGTTGAACACGGTGAGACAGAAAACCATTCGAGTAAAGTAATTTGGAAGATTTTCGAAAATATGCTTTACAGCTGCTGATGTCTCACATCAACACGCGCCTGCCGGATTTGCGAAACCGGATCAGCGAGCTGACCAAGGCGAATAAAGAGCAGCTGTCTCAACTGGGGCAGCCCGTCGTCGATAAAGAATCCTGCCTGATGCGCCTGATAATCGCTTTCATCCAAGCCTACAGCGCCACACTGAACGGTACGGATATCCAACTGGATGCTAACACTAAGGAAGTGGAAGTAAAGGGCGGTGCCCTCATCAGTCAACAGATCTTTCAGGACGCGTTTCCTCGCGGCCTATTCGAAGTTGATGCGCTAGGCGATTTGGAACTGAAAACGATTGTGCAGACACTGCGTCTGGCTGCGGTACGTTTACTACACTAATAACAAAACCGAAAAGCTTTAAATCACTTATCGAAATATACGAGTACAGTTTTAGAAAATACAATCGGATTTTGTCTGATTTCTTCAGGGTCTAGTTCCGCCGCTCACTGTGCCGGATAAAGCGTTCCAGGCTTTAGCGAAGCGCCAGATCGCCCGGATGATGCCACCATGTTTGCAGTGTGTCGATTTGGTTCATGACGAGATGCAACGCTGTATCCGGCGATGCGGAGACGCCGTTCTGGTAAAATCCTACTGCTGTGCTAATGATTATGTGTTTCTGGCAGCCGTTGACAAAGTGAAGATGCTGCATTGTAGAACGAACTGGCCAAATACCCGAAAATTTTTGAAGCCATGGTCGGGATTGTTAGCGAGCATCTGAAGAAAACAGCGGAATACACTGCGGACATGGTCAAGTACATTATTGAAGTAAGCTTATGTGAATCGTACAAAAACCGTACTTATAAAAAATCGCTAGCCACTTCTCTAATCGCCAGTGCATTGTACGCTTTATCGTAGATCCAAGTCAACTATATCAATCCGAAACATCCAGAGTTTTGCCAGGAAATGGAAGCGTTGTTGGAAGAGCGGTCAGCTGCTCGGAGTGAAAACGGCGGAGAGGGCGATAGTCAGGTATTTCACACAGAATGGATGTCTGAGTAAATTCAGATCGAAACGCGGCTATTGTACACTTGCTTTATCGCAGGATGATTCTGAAGATGATACGGATTTTATCGCTGCGATCAGAGCAAAGCTGGCAAAAGAGAAGCAGTCAGGTGGAGCGCCGAATTTTTTAACCGAAGTGCGTCGGTGGCTATGCTGTTGTTTTACAAAAGTATCAAGTAGTGATTAAACAAGTTTAAACTCTGTACTGAAACTAACTTCTGCTCTAGGAGGAGAAATATAGCCCAGAAAATCTACCTCCTCGGGAACTAGAGGATGTTGAGTTGATGAAGAAATTGGTGACCAAGTACTACGTCATTGTGCAAAAGATCGTCTATGATTCCGTCCCGAAAGCCATCGTGTATTCCTTGGTGGAGCGAACCCGGGTATGTTTGTGCTTGGCTGATTTTCGGCCTGCCTTTAAAACAAGGCGGAAGTTGTTAACTGTGTGTTGTATGCGCAGGCGTCATTGTACCAGGTTCTGTTTACGGAGTTGTACATTCCGGCCGCGACAAGTGGTTTCGCAATTCTTGAAGAAGCAGTGGAGATCACGGAACGCCGGAAGAATATTATGGCTATGCTGGGCGCACTGAAGGAAGCGACAAAGAGTCTCAATGAAGTGTGGACTCTGTAATCTTCAGATGTACAGATGTGCTGCCTGCGGTGTAAAATAACGGTCGCTTGTTTTGAATTTATTACATTTTGTCACGGTGGAATAAATTTAGTATTTGCTTTCGGTCTCGTTTTGTTGCATTTTGGTGAACTTTAACGATATTCGTCAGTTTAATTTCAAGGATGGCCTTACGTTGTTTCTTACGCTTTTGTGTACTTGTTGCGTGAAAGTGGGTACACTTCGAATTCGCTTTCTTGATGCCAAGCTAATGGTAAAATTTGCGAAATCTTGAGCACAAATAAAACAGCAGTTGTGCATTACGTCGTTTAATGTAAGAAAATTCCAGGTTTTGCATATACTAATGTTGATCGGCTGGCAGCTCTAGACGGATGCGTCCCACCAAAAATTTAAGTGCGTCAATGATGTCAGTGGAGATTTAATGTCAAACTTACACATTAAACGCGTTTTACGAACAAAAGGCGAGCGGTGAATATAATGTCGACACTTGCAGAGCGGCAGGTAATTTACCTATACGGAAAATCGACGCTGTGGCGATCGTAGCACAATCTTATGTTGTATTGCGTATATAGTGAATTTGCACTACATACCTTGCGCTGCCACTTCAGCCACAGATACAATTACAAACATGATTATTCAGCTGGAAATATGTCTAGCCATCCGATGCTGCTAGATTTCATAGAGCGCGTGACTGCCGATCGCGCTAATAAAGGCAGCAACGAAGTAAAACAACCACTACGCAATACATCCACAAATTTGCGAAACTTCATTCGAGCATGTCTAGTTGTATCCCTGCTTATCGCTGTCTGCATTGTTGACCTTACATTTACCTTCTGGGCATCCCCCGCCTTTGTTGCAATACATCCCATATTATTATTTTTGTGGCATTAAGTTGGCCTCTGCTACGTGCGGTACCTGCATTTGCTTTCGAAGCGGATAGTTTTGCTGGTGTAAAATGGAAGGTTTAGAAGCGTTGATTCCCGTTATCAACAAGCTCCAAGATGTCTTTACCAAAGCCGGCATTACCAATCTGGAGGCTGTCAATCTTCCCCAAATTATAGTGGTCGGGGCGCAGGTACTTTCGATGAGCGCATGTCTATTTTGCGAAGTCCATAAATAGTATTGCTGGAATTAGCTACTTGCAAGGTTTGCAATACGAACGACCACAGTTAACAACAAGCAAGACGTATACCAAGTTACCAATCAAACAGATTGAGTGTTTGATTAAAAAGATTTTCAGAGTATTGTGCGTGAGTTACTGTACTGCGCCACATCACTGTACGTCTGAACTACTCATAAAATTAATCTGACCGTGAAAGATCTATCGGCAACTGTACGTAATTGATTGCAGAGTGCCGGAAAGAGCTCCGTGCTAGAAAGTTTGGTTGGTCGCGATTTCCTGCCGCGAGGACAAGGCTTGGTTACCAGACTGCCACTGGTACTGCAGCTTATTAAACTGGATGACGACAGCAGAAATCGCTACGGTATTGCTGATGGTTTAGTTTTCTAGTGCAGTAAAGTGGTTAGTTTCCGGGATTTAAGTGATCAAATGCGAGCAACCGTGACATATAGAAAAAAAATATCCTTTGGTTTTCTGTCCCTCGCATACTGGCCGGAGTCCAAATCTGCGAGCTAAAATCAGGCGCGATGCGTAACGTTCAGCCACAACGTCTCGCTCCAGCCGGCTGCCGGCAGCAAACAATAAAACAACCTTTGCAATTTTATCGTACTAAGCCTTTTCTGATTACTGCATTTAAGATGCTTTATCAAATACTTTCCGTCCAAGGTCAACAACTCACAGTATTAACTCCGCATCCTTCAATATTTTTCGGCTTGTAAATACAATAGTTGTATACTCGTATATTGCTAGGATTCACATCTCAGCATTTCAGGCATCGGGGAGAACAAAGAGTTCGCTCAGTTCCTTCACGATCAGAACACATTGTATACCAAATTCGATAACGTTAGGAAGGCAATAAATGATGAAACTGATCGCATCATGGGAAAAAACAAGGTATAGGATACCGGAAAAATATCTGGGTGCCGCCGTCAGTTTCCAAGGCTATTATAGCAATGATATAATTATTTCATCTCTATTTTGCAGGGCATTGGCAGCCAGCCCATCAATCTCAGAATATTTTCTGAAACAGTTGTTGACTTGACTCTTGTTGATTTGCCTGGTCTCACGAAGGTACATAACTCAATCAAGATTTGTACAGTATTGTAGAACTGCAATTAAATGTCAAACATTTCAAACACAATTATTTCAAACAATTACCAGCACGCAACCTAACAATAACAGTACCTATCTGTATTTTCACAAGCTCAGAATTTCAAGGAAACAAAATTAACAGGTGTGCCGACTGACAGCGACATAAGTCATTACTCATTTACTTGCCTTGCTTGTGTAGTAACCAGTCTTGTGGCTTTGCTGACCATTACAGAGTGCGCAACATTAAAACTGTTTCAGAATCCTGTGGGTGATCAGCCGCACAACATCGAAGAGCAAATTACAAAGCTCATTATGGCATATATAAAAAATCCTAACTCACTTATTTTGGCGGTAACACCAGCCAATGTGGACATGGCCACATCAGAAGCGCTAAAATTGGCGAAAATTGTCGACCCGGAAGGTGCGTGCAAATCAGTATTCTATCGCATAGATGTGGTTTTCTGAAGTGCGGAACGTTGGTGGTAGTAGTGTTGCAACAGCGTAACCTGCAACATATTGTCCGGGTACCTATTTAAAAGTTATGCTGGTGTTCGTTCGCCTATTATAGGCAAGCGTACTTTGGCGGTTATCACCAAACTGGATTTAATGGACAAAGGTACCGATGCACGAGACGTTTTGAGCGGCAGCGTCATCCCGGTTAAACTTGGAATCGTTGGAGTAGTCAATCGATCACAGCAGGATATTAACACCAACAAAGTAATAACATTATGCAGCCACAACATGAAAAGCATGATTTAATTTAATCAGCTCAGATAAAGCACATACGGTCTAGTTACGGTAATCAGACTGTTAAACTATTACCTACCGTGGTAGCTGCAGTACATAAATGTAGTATTAAACGAGGAAAAACCAGTACGTACAGAGTACGCTGAATAGCGACTCCACACATCTCCGTGTTAGTTAAGTTTATGCAACGCCCATTACGGAGCAGAGATCGGCCGGATTTGCCAGTAATACAATAGTTTTCCACAGGATGAAAAAAGCTTCTATCGCCGATGTGAATTAACATTAAAGTACCCCACTGACCTTTGCTTTCTGTTGATCTAGACGATATCAAAAGCTGTGGAGGACGAGAAAACCTTCCTGCGGAAACACTATTCCGAACTGGCGCACAAACATGGGACTATCTATTTAAGCCGAACTCTTAATAATGTACAGATAAGTTCTGATACTTAAACCTTTATTGACATAACCTTTAGCCAACTACGCACAACATGCCATTACCATCATAGCTGCTAATGACCCATATTCGAGAACGACTACCGGACCTCAAGGGGCAAATTAGCCATCTGACACAAGCTCATAAAAAGCTCATGGAGGATTTGGGACAACCTGTCACGGACAAGGAAGCTCATCTGATCAGACTAATAACGGACTTTGTGAAAGCGTACAGCAACACGGTGGACGGTACCAACGTAGACGTGGACTCCAGTACCAACAAGCTGAAAGGCGGCGCATTGATCAGTGTGGAGATATTTCAAAATATCTTTCATGCGCACTTGTTTGACATCGAAGCGTTAGATGGTCTGGAGTTGAAAATCATTGTTTTGACACTGCGTTCAGCGGCAGTAAGAATATTATATTAGCACTCTAGGGTTTAAGCTTCGCAAATTCGATTGAACTCATGGCTGCTTTTATCCAGGGATTGTATCCTCCGCTCACGGTACCGGATATGGCTTTCCGCACCTTAGCTAAGCGCCAAGTTGCCCATATGTTGCAACCCTGTCTGGAATGTGTTGACCTCGTCTTTGAAGAGATGCAGCGAATCATTCAGCGATCTGGTACAAGTATTCAGGTATGTGTAGTGACCTTCTTAAAAAAACTGACTAAAGTCACGGTTGGGTTACCCTGTTTAGAGAGAATTCCAGAAATATCCCCAATTCGGCGCCGGCGTTATCCGTGTTGTGAACGAGTTTTTAAAACAGCAGGCTGAATCAACGAGAACCATGGTTAAATATCTGCTGGACGTAAGCGTCGAAAAAAGTGTAAGCAGTGCATGGATAATCCTGATGGTAAAATATTTCTTTCAGATTGAGGTGGCCTACATAAATACCAAACATCCTGATTTTTGTGAGGAGATGGAAGCACTTTTGGAACAGCGCTCAGCAGCACGGGCCGAGAGAAACAACGAAGAAGGTACTGTCCACTGTGTGCGGCTAGGCTGCTATTGACGCACTGAAGGTCCCTACTTTATTATGATTCTTGAATTTTTAAATCAGGCCCTGATCAAACGGGTACGTACAAGCAGCACAAGAAGGTGACCTTTATCTCTTCCAGATAGTCCACAGCGGAGCAAGCCCAAGAAGCCAGTACGCCAATCTGGATACTTCGATTCAATGACTTCGGCTTCCGGAAAAAGTGGTCGGCAAAAGTCGTCCGCTAGCCGAATTAGCCTTGGTCCTGGAAGTACCAGAGAAGCCAACTTCTTGGCCGAGGTATGCGAGATTCTACGTACTAGAACCATTATGGTTGCACAAGCCATCTTTCGCTCCGTCCACTATAAATCACGTTGGCGGTTCTCGTGATAGATGGTAAAATCTCAAAGATGCGATCATGATAATATTCTAAATTTTAAAATCAAGATCGAATCACTTGTTATAAGCACAGTATTGCAGCGCGAAGAATTCGACCCAGCCAGCATCCCACCGCGCGAAATGGAAGACGTTGAACTGATGCAGACATTGGTGACAAAATACTACGCTATTGTTCAGAAAACCATATTCGACATTGTGCCGAAAGCCATAGTTCATTCACTAATCGAGAAAACGAAGGTACTTTTATGCAGCTAACAACTGTTTCGCGCAACATTTGATATTTGGAGCTTTCATGTTTTAAGTACCCGTTTCAAATGTTGACCCAAGATGACTGGTCTGGTTGGCAGAGTATCATTCTTTCATTCTTTGTATTTCGATTTAAAAGAGAGCGAGATTTGCTAGATTCACCGTTATTGTTTTGCATCCTTGCAGGACGAATTAAACCAAATTCTTCTGTCTAATTTATACTCTGCTGGAATGGCCGATAAATTTGCAATCCTAAACGAAGCAAAGGACGTGACGGAGCAGCGCACCAATACTATGGCAATGTTGGAAGCGTTACACCAAGCCAGCAAGATTATTAGTGAAGTCAGAGATTTGTCGACAAACCGGAACTAGAAACATTTCTTTTATTCAAAAATTGATGTTCAAACTGTTTTTAAAAGTTTTTATCGTCTAGCTCAGTGTAACATTTACAGTCGCCGACCGTAAGATTGCGGGGCAAATTAAGAGTTCGTGGCCGTAACAGCTGTGAAATACGTTTTTGGAGTACAACGAAACCGACATCTTAATATTTGTACTTAGAAATGCCTCATATGTGTTGGTCAAGCAGTCAAGCGTACTTTCAAAAGTCAAACGTACTCTCTGGCAGACAGTTTAGAGATACGAGTTGCTTTCGCAGCCTTTGCATGGAACAGGGTGTTAGTCGTCATCAGCACTTCCGCCGGTACCACGACTGTTGCCGCTGCCTCCGGTGGCGCCGCTACTGCTACTAGTGCTTTCCTTTCGCTTGCGGATTTTGAACCAGTAAAACAGACCACCAGCTACCGCGGCCAAGACAATCTGTGAAAACATCATATATATTACAGTATGTGTTCCATTATTTGGTTGTTGGCGCTATTGGCTATTTATTGTTGTAATAAATAACTCGGTGTTGTTGATCTTGTAGAATGGCATTTAAAATTCAGAATTACTGTAATGTTCTGGCGCTAACGACATCACTGCACATAGGTAATAAATACGTATTTTAAATTTTGCATACCACTCCGATGGCAATTCCAGCAATTAATCCCATGTTGGTTCCGCTACCAGCTGCAGAGAAAATAAAACTTAAAAGAAAAATATATACCACCGTATTTCTATATTTACTTTTGTGATTTGGGAACCGAAAAATGCAACAACGAATAAAGAGCAGAAAAAAAGCTGGAAGTGTTACGTCTGTCACTACTCACTTACCAGCATCTTTAGCAGTGGTGCCGGGCGCCGTGGTATTGGTGGCCGTATCGTTTCCTTTGGCGAACGCTGTTGTGCTTGCGTCGGCGTTGACATTCCCACTGTCACCCGACGTCGCGTTCGCTTTGAGAATGGTTTGCAAAGCGGCCAATGAATAATTGGCGATTTGACTCGGTTGTGGCTTGTCATTTGGGGTGTAATTGGCCTACATAGGTATATACTAGCACACGATGACTAGAATGATCGAAAAAATATACCGGAAGTCAATTGGAATTTGTTGTACCGGTAGAGCGGGTTGTTGCATAATTTCGTCCCATCCGATCTTATTGCAGTTGTCTTCTGTGCAGATGCACTTCCGGTCGATTAAAGGCACACCACTAGGACCCGGTATATAATCCTGCTTCACGTCAGTGCAAACCATCTTCTGGCCTTTCGCCATGGTTTTCCACAGTTCGTTATCAAGTTTCGCATCCAGGGAGCAATCTCTTGTCACTCCGGGCACTATGGACAGAAAAAATTGACGAGCATTCGGGTGACACTTGATGTTACAAACGAAGCGACAAAAATAGTGACCGTGGTCCATTGTCACTGTATATAGATATATGACATCAGTTAAAAATATTGTAATTTAATTTGTACGGTGCAGTATTTCGTAAAGATGTCCTGTTGCAAGTTTGATATCTTCACCATTTTGTAGTCACTAGTACGTACAACGTTTGTCGCGTCAGACCCCCTTTTGTTGCGAACAGTTAATACTACTAAAACATTTTTGCGTAAGACCTAAACGTAGGGTAGAACATTGACGCAACTGGTTACCATATTCTGCTGGATTGCCCGGGACCAGTCCGGCTCGAATGCCAGTTCCGAGATGACACGTCGTCACTCCGGCGGTGGCATTGCAGGTGATCGACGTGGTATTTTTCTTTGAGGTACACCAATCGGACGGATTCTCGAGGAAATTGCACACCTGACATTGGAGCGATTTGACGCCTGCCATGAAATTAAAACCACCCGGATTAATTTCGATCATGGGGATTTAGAGTGCTATGTGACTGCTTTATGGGTAGTCGGATACGATTTAAACAACAGTCAAACAGCCATCCGGCTCTGCATAGCTCGTGCGACAGTTTTTTCTTCGTTCTTTCGGAAATAAAAATGTACGTTCTTTGTGAATACGCTAGCAAACGCAACAGTCATGAAACACAAAATACTCCACCAAAGCGAAGGCACTGCTAGTTCGGCTGGATATACTGTAAGGCTTGAACGGGCATGCTAATGCAAGTTATGCAACTTTGGAACTAAACCGGTTTGTGAAAAGACAAACCAAGCTTTTGCTGAACGCTAATTAACGTTCAGCAAAAGCTTAAAAAAACTAATTAATAAAAAAATAATTACTAATAATCACTAATTAATTAATCTTATTTACCACGAAGATTAATACGTATTGTAATACGAATTAATCGTCGTGATTACGAGCGAAATCTCACTTTTTTGGCTTTTCTGTAATTATTAGTAGTTTGCCGATAAAATGGCCGTGAAAAGTAGCGACGCTGTGGCTGAGAGAGTCTGAGATATCTGAGAGTCTGAAGTTATGTACAATTGTTAATTGGACAATTTATTTACCATGCTACAATAATGTATACTTCTATGTATCTTTGTGTACTTTTTCTTCGTTCGTATGTCTGAATTAATTATGTATTGCTTTTTTAATCAAACCGTTACCACTTGTTTACCGTTTTTACACGTTACACCAGATGTGTGAGCCCACGTTTATTTCGTCTACCCCGGGAGCCAAAATAGTCAGTTGAATAATTTAATTATTAATTATTATTTAATTTATTAATTTATTAATTTAATTGTTGTAATTAAGTAAAACCATACCTTGTAGCTGAGGCCAGGCTATCAGAAAACATAATAACTTGAAACTGCACCACAAAGCAGTGAGAAAGTCAAAATTAGATAACCTTCGGACAATCCCCTTCATCAAATTGCAAGAACTGACCTTACGGATCACCACAGAATACCTCGTATGTCTTACGCAGCACAGTGTATAAGCTGTGTTCAATATCAAGTTGATATTATACGGCGGAAAAGGAAACCAAACTGCATATGGTGCAAAGCGGATACTGCTAATCGTCAAATACTACCACTTAAAGTTTAGTTTATTTAGAACAGAAATCTAAGTTAACAAGGAATCTACAAGAAAGTCTTGAAGTCGAGGACTTGTACAGTACAAAGCATCGAGCCACTGTTTCGTGCAAATGTCAGAGAGATACGGATAATAATTATTGTTATCTTTATATTCATACAATCTTACCGACCAAAACGTATTTATGCGCCGTTTTTATAGACTCGTCAACGCGTGGTCAGTTTTAGTCCAGCTTGGTCTTAAAAAATTCCATATTTTCCATAGGTGTGCCAATAGATTTTTGTTTTTTTTAATTAACCAGTGGTCAGAAGATGGTTCCACCAGGTCTTAAGTATAGGAAACGTAAAGAGCACTCGAAGAAGTATTCACTACTGCAGTCTGCACAGCAATACAAAGTAAGTACTCGTACTTAACATGATGACTGTAACCACGGAGACTATAGCGGATACATATTAATACTTCCTTTTTAGTATAGATAATAATTGTTACGAGGTATGTGAGCAATAAATTAGTACCCAAACGTCCATAAAAGGTACATCGCCCAGTATGTCGCTTATACAGTACCTATACGTCACAACGTAAAAACATCAGAAGTCAGAACGTCAAAAAACAGAACGTCAGGTAATCCGAACGTGAAAAATCAAAAACGTCAGAAATTTAGAACGTCAGAATATCAGAACGTTAGAACGTCAGAAGGTCAGAATGTCAGAACGTGAAAAATTAAAAACGTCAGAACGTCAGAAATCCAAAATGTCAGAACGTTAGAACGTCAGAATATCAGAACGTTAGAACGTCAGAAGGTCTGAAAGTCAGAACGTGAAAAATTAAAAGCGTCAGAACGTCAGAAATTCAGAATGTCAGAATATTAGAACGTTACAACGTCCGAATATTAGAACGTTAGAACGTCAGAAGGTCAGAAAGTCAGAACGTGAAAAATTAAAAACGTCAGAACGTCAGAAATTCAGAATGTCAGAACGTTAGAACGTCAGAATGTCAGAACGTTAGAACGTCAGAATATCAGAACGTTAGAACGTCAGAAGGTCAGAAAGTCAGAACGTGAAAAATTAAAAACGTCAGAACGTCAGAAATTCAGAATGTCAGAATATCAGAACGTTACAACGTCCGAATATTAGAACGTTAGAACGTCAGAAGGTCAGAAAGTCAGAACGTGAAAAATTAAAAACGTCAGAACGTCAGAAATTCAGAATGTCAGAATATCAGAACGTTAGAACGTCAGAATATCAGAACGTTAGAACGTCAGAAGGTCAGAAAGTCAGAACGTGAAAATTCAAAACGTCAGAACGTCAGAAATTCAGAATGTCAGAATATCAGAACGTTACAACGTCCGAATATTAGAACGTTAGAACGTCAGAAGGTCAGAAAGTCAGAACGTGAAAAATTAAAAACGTCAGAACGTCAGAAATTCAGAATGTCAGAATATCAGAACGTCAGAACTTTAGAAAGTCAGAACGTTAGAACGTCAGAATATCAAAATGTCAGAATGTGAAAAATTTAAAACGTCAGAAATTCAGAACGTCAGAATATCAGAACGTTAGAACGTCAGAATATCAGAACGTTAGACCGTCAGAAGGTCAGGAAGTCAGAACGTGAAAAATTAAAAACGTCAGAACGTCGGAAATTCAGAACGTCAGAACTTTAGAACGTTAGAAGGTCAGAACGTCCGAACGTAAAAAATTAAACCTTAGAACGTTATTACGTCTTATGAAATACGACTACAAAAGCGTATATACGATTTCAATCTTAGTCTTAAATAAATCACATTTTCCATACCTTCCCAATTATCCAAAATTTTTACAATTTCCTGTGTGCTTATGTCTCATTTGAAAATATTCATAATTTCCAGTACTTAAGTGCCGAGCGCGAATGCGCGAGGCTACCTTGTTACAATAAATACTTAACTCTGCAGTGCTGTGTAGGATAAATATAATACTCTGGCATGCATAAAAACCTACTGAAACTTACTGTAATTATGAAAACATGATTGCATTTGCAGCCATATGTTTAGGTCCCTGCACGGCGCGTAATTTTGATTTCTTCGGTTTAAAGTTTTGCTCGTAGTTCCACTGCTAAGCAACAATACGTTCAATAACAATGAGAAGTTTGTATGGTAACTGGTAAGTGCTACAGCATGTACTTGGTTGCGCTTCGAAAGTACCAAAATACTAGTAGTAGTAAGTAGTTGCGTTTAGAGAAGCGTATTTACCGTCCAAAACGTCCGGACGTGTGAGACGTCCGGCGAACATTTTGGTGCTTAAATCGTCGTCAACGATCGTCTAACAAGCTGTTTTACATGTTTAGGTGTTTTAAAATTCATGTTATATCTTAAGGATTCACATTTAACACGGATAGATTTCGTTTTTTCAAGTTTTTTTCAAGCATTTTGCATTTTGCGAGGATTGATCTAACATTATCGATCAGAGAACACGGCAGATGGTTGGATCGTGGATGTAAAGTCTGATGAATTAATATCATTAAAAGCACAGCTAAATAGGTGGTCACAACAGCTGCCTGTAGCGCTCCTGCAACTCTTTAAACACTTTCTTATTCGTGTTTAGGCAGAGCCGGGCCGTATGGTCGATCACCCAGAATAGTGGCACGGTGCATTATGCGCCGGTTGGGCAAATAGTCCGCCACGGCGTAGTGTTGCGTCAGACGGTTATCCCAGAAAGCCACATCCCCTTCCTTCCAGTGCCAGCGCACAATGAATTCCGGCTTTGAAACGAAAGCGTTAAGGTAGTTCAGGATGACCTCGCTCTCTTCCTTGGAAAGGTTATTAATTCGGCTGGAAAAGTCACCGCAAAACAGACCTTTCTCTCCGCTTACGGGATGAACTCGAACCAAAGGATGCGTTGTGGGTGGGTTTGCCTGCAAATTGGGGATTATTACAAGTATCTAAATTTTGCGAATTTATTATAAGCAATCTAACAGCTTTTTACAGAAAAAAAGGAACTAAGGTCTAAGCGTAACAAAGCACTTGGCATTGTACCGAACTGAGGGTACAATAAATTACGAAAGTAAGCTTTACCGCGATGGTCTTTCTTGCTTCTTCGGGATCCGTCCAGCGATCTGCCGGGAAGCCCTTAACGAAATCATGGACCACCGTCAGTTTGTCCACAAATTCGCGCATAGGTGGCGACAGAGCTTTGTACGCCGCCGCTGTTGACGCCCAGCATGTGTCACCGCCACAGGGCGGCAGCATCACCGCACGCAAAACACAGCCCAAAGGAGGTGTGGGGATAAAGGTCACATCCGTATGCCAGTTGTTGCTGTCCGGAGGGTTCTTGGTGTTGGTATCCAAGACAATAAGCTCCGGGACTTCTTTGGAAGCCGGTGGATAGAACGGATGGATGTGAAGTTCACCGAACAGACGGGCAAAGTTGCGCTGCTTTTCCGGGGTCAGAGCCTGTTGGTTCTCGAAGAAAATGACGCCATGTTTGACCAAAGCCTAAAATAAAAACAAAACACTTTTTTAAATGCCACACTACGCTACATTTGACTAAAGGCTTACCTTCTCGATCTCGGCTTTGGTCTTGGGTGTTATTTCTTTGGTAAGATCGACTCCTTCAATAACGGCTCCGACGGCCGGTGTCAACTGGCGGATTTTCAGAGGGGACGACATTTTCTTCGAGTTTCAAGTTCACGTGCTATGGGGATCTGCCTACAAGCTTTGCTGCTACTAATCCGCAAGTCTGCGAAGCCATCAGATGTTCGTTTCTCTAATCAGTTTTGAACAACGATTTGATAACCCATTGTTAAGAGCTGCGATCTTTCTGTCAAAATGGTTATCATGTAAACATGATTAGGCCGTTATTATGATAACAATACATAGAATCGTTTGTGCTACCGGTATGCTAAGTACTGCTATGTGTACGATTATGCGAGATGTTTGGGCACATACAGAGTACGTTTTTACGGAGTTATAAAAGTCCGAGTTGCTGCGAACAAGACTTTGCTCTTTTTACTGCCGGTGTATACCATTATTTGAGAAACGATAAACCAGTTGCAGTACTGTGATATGGATCTTTATGATCATCAGTTCAAACTGTATGGGAGAACTGGTTGCAGCTTTGAAGCAAAATCGCACCATATATCGGTGCATATGCACACAGCGGTACTATACTTACCATTGGTTAGCTCAACGAGCTCTGGTCCAAGTTGCGTTTTCAGTTTGGATTTATTTACAGAAACTATCAAAATTTGTAATTCACGCACTGAAAACTATTAAATTAGTGGGCGCTGGATGGGATGGAATTAGTGGAATTATTTTACCGAGTCGGGCCCCAGCCGAAAGCTCACTATCAAACGTGTGACGAGTGCAATGCCGTGTTTAATTTCAATTATACATACAGTACCTAGCCGAGTACCGCACAATCAACCTTTTATAATACCAGTTCATAAAAGGTTATTTTATGTGGTTGTCGATCAGGTAAATCTCCATTTGCTTTTAAGCAATTTTGATTACTTACATTAACACTCGTTATCATGATTTAGCAAGATGTTTCCGCGAAACCAAAACGCGGACTTTTGTTGCAAACTTTGTATTTTGGAGCACAGCAATCTAACCGAAATGGATTATATATTTACAATAATATTATAATGCACAAAAGGGCAGCGCTCCGTAGATCATGACATTAACAGTCGACAAAGCAAACCCACGCAGTATTAGCGTTAATCAAGCCGGGAAGACTCGTACAGTACAGAGGTTTCGTATACTGTGCCAGTAAACGCGTAATCTGCAGCCACGCTGTGTTTGCGTGCTTATTTTCAATTTTTTAGATGCAGTTTTTTCTAAATTTATTATGGAAAGACCTTCTACAGCCATTTGTTCGTACGTTTTCATTTGACGCTGATACACAATCAGGGAATAAATGGAGGCATTTAAATGTATTCGGATCACCAGGGATCTACTACAAAAATCGATCAACACATTGCACGCGATCAAAATGCGATCCTGCGAACAACAATAACCGTATTGTCGGAGTGTTTGTTTATTCATACGCGCGAGCTAATTTCAAATTGATGAGCCAGCTTTCATATGCACACCAAGCGTGTCATTGACACAAAATTACTCGGTGGCGGAATATTGTTATTATGTGCGTGTGTATGACTTCCACTGTGAAGCCAAGACTGAAGTCGTCATTTCCACAGTGAACTGCGAGGAATTGCTACATTTTCCTTTCACTGTCAGAGAAGCAGCTGAATAATATTTCATACTACGAAGTACGAATATTGTTTATCATAAAACTGGATCTGCGCGAATTTTGCAAATTAACTTGCCCCGAAACTTGGCACAACCAGTAGCTGTAGGATTACTTACTACAATGGCCGTCGCAAATGATGTTAACTGGTTTAAACGTTACGCTCGCTGCTTTTCCCGTATATTATGCTTTCTGGGACTACGCGCTGGCCATCGAAGAGGATCATCGATCGCGTCATGGTCGTCGTATACATTATCCTTAACAACCATGCTAACTGGCATTGCAGCAGGCCTTGACACCTACCTACAAGAAGCAGCCCGAGAAAAATCCGACAAAACCTCTCTGGTGATTGTCCTCATGTTTATGACCTTTAAGCTTAGTGGAATTCTCATTCTCTGCTTTTTTCGGACAGCCTCGAAATCCTTAAATATTATTGACAAAACTATTGGCTTGTATTTATCCAGCCACCGAATGTCTGCAAAACCCTTAAAACAAGCCTTCTTCTGCTTCCATGCAGTGGCGGCAGTTTACGCAATAGTATTTACGTATGCGCTGGTTATGCGCTTGTTGAATGTGTCTGACCAGCAAGCAATTCTCGTTGGCGTGTTCATGCCGGCTCCTGTCTTTATCATGTTTTTCCAACTCATTCCGCTCACTTTTACGGCATATATTATGATCGTCGTGTCTATCGTATTCTCTTTTTATGGTATCACACTGGGTTTGGCTTTCAGTAAGATCAGTCGATTAGTGGAAGAGCAGTTTCGACAGTATTGCGAAGGGATTATAGCAGTCACAGAACTCAAGAAAGATCTACGAAGTTGCCGGGAAAGACATTTAGAATTGTCAGATTTTGTTTTTCCAACTGGATAATGTTTTTTCGCCGGTGTTCCTTATTGGATTGGCCGGTAACAGCGTAGCCCTAGTGGTTCTCACGCACACTGTTACCGGTAGTTCGTCTTTTAACTTCGGGTATCTTTTTCGTTATGATTGGGTCAATGTTATGTATTTCATAATGGCGGCAGTTGGAAGTTTCATCGCTGTACTGATACCCTTAATAATTGCCAGCTATACTCATATTCAGGTGCGTCAGTTGCTATCACCGTACACAGCACTGCTGTACTAGAACATACCTTTATAAATATTAATAAAATAGGCGCGATCTATTGTCGACATCTTCGCCATTATTCTGGAACGACGGGCGGAAAAAGACGAATACGATGCGTGGCAGTTAAACGACACTATACAGAGACTGCGTGAAAAGCCGGTCCGGTTCACCGTCTGGAAGCTTTTAGGCATAAACACAGATTTTATAGTAACAGTAAGTAAGAAACTACTACTAGTACGGTTTGAGGCAGTAGAAAAAACAGTGATCCCAACGCGTACTTAACTCTTCCCTTGGCAGATGTTGGGAATGGTCATTACGTATATTGTGCTTTTGCGCGAGTTGACCGGGCGCGATGAGAGAGTATGCAGCTGTCAATGGAGAGGATTTCCGGTCAATGCATCTTTGGCTTGGCGCCTGTGATGAGATGAATAATTATGTATCGCGGCTTCGCAAGGATGGAGACGGTTAAGGGCGTATACACCTGGACCGATGGGAGACAGGTTTAACCCAAGGATAGCCATGCTAGAACGACAATACTGAGCTCGGAAACGAAAATTTCATGTTCCAGCTTCGTTCGGTGCTAGCAGATGTCAGGGTCTACTGAATTTTGAATGGTGCTCTTTTAAATTTGCAGTGTGCAGTGCTGTACTGTCTGTACTGTACTGCGTTATATAATGTACTTTGCCTGGAACTATGCAATACTGCTAGTTTGCGGATTTTTGGGCGCATTGCTTTCAGTTAAACAGCGAACTACCAAAGCTGGAAAATACGTCGCTTCAGTTTCACGCTGTGCTTTACACATTAAGTAAAACAATTATTCCTGAAACGTTTCCATGCAAGCTGCGATATTTATTGCCAAAACCGGCAAAACGTACGTAATATCAAATGATGGAAAACTGGGAATCAACTACAAGCTTCAATAAATTTTAAGCGCTCACGGCGCGATCTTGTAAACAACACTGATACTGTTCGAGTCTGTGTTGATGTTAACGCACAGGGAAATTTAAAACTGATGAAACAGCTTTTAAAGTACAAGCTTTTATATGTAGCAATCATATTATCAAACCAACGATCACAGAGGATTAAGCGTCACCGCTTATACGAATGCGTGCCCACGCACGGGTTCTCTTCCGTTCGTAGAAGTAGTGTCAGTGCGCTGACACATTTTCTATCTAACTAAGTACCTAATTGAACTGTTTTAAGTAACTGTGCAAAGTGCAAACCTCTTATACTTTACCAGTAAATCAGCAATAACCGTAAACAGTCAAAACCTGAAGCATGTAGCATACAAATATCCACGTTAAAAAACCGAAAGTGCAAAATTGTGTTCATAGCTCTTACCGTTGCAGTAAATCGTTTACGCTGATCGCGATGGCAGATACAGCTAACAACGTTTCATTCGTTACTCATGCTATCTTTCCCGTGCATTGTGCTTACTGGGATTGCGCGCTGGACGTCGAAAAGCTTCATCGAAATCATCACGGTTATTCTACATATTCTCCTTGGCGTGTTTGCTTACTGGCATAGCAGGAGCAACTGACATATATCTCCAAAAACCACTCGAAGGAAATCAAACAAAACCTCTTTAGTAATCGTTTCGATGTTTGTAACCTTTAACTCCAGCGGGAGCTTTATTCTGTGTTATTTTCGGAGACGTTCGAAGGCGCTTGTTACAATTGACAAAAATCTTGGATCTTATTATTTTGTCGAGTTACTGAATGTCTTCGAAACGCTTGAAGCAGACATTCTCCTGGTTCAGGGCATTGGCTGCTGTTTACGCTACAGTATTTAATTATCCGCTATAGTACGTTTACTCATTGCATCCGATAAACATGCGAAACTCTTTGATGTCTCCATGCCAGCGCCTTTCTTCGTTGCGTTTGTTCCCTTGACTTTTGCGGGCAGTATCATGGTCCTGGTTTCTGTTGTGTTTTCTTTCTATAGCATCACACTGAGTTTGGCTTTCGGCAAAATCAGTCGATTTCTAGATGAACAATTTCGACAATACAGCGAAGGTGTTATAACTGTAGCAGAATTCAAGAAAGATTTGAGAAGGTGCCGGGAAAGACACCTGCGTAAATATCGTTGTTTAACTGGACGGCGTGTTTTCACCGGTTTTTTTTTATAGGATTGGCCGGGAACATCGTTGCTTTAGTGGTGATGATACATATTGTAACCGGCAATGCGTCTTTCTCATTCGGATACCTTTTTCGTTATGACTGGATCAATATAATCGGTTCCGTTACGCCGGCGCTTGGAAGTTTTATAGTTGTGCTGGTGCCTTTAATAATGGCCAGTTGTACTAACATTCAGGTACTGTACCTCTACACCACAGATATACATAGTTTAATTATTGATAAGTACTACTGTAGTCATAATTCAATGCACTGGCCATAGGCGCACGGTATTGTCGACATCTTCCTCACTATTTTGATTTTTGGAATATCGAAGAGAAAGGGAGGGCTGTGATGCGTGGCAGTTAACTGACACTATACGAAGACTGCATGAAAGACCGATCCGATTCACTGTTTCGAAGATTTTGAGTATTAATACGGATTTTATTGTTACGGTAAGTTCAACAGTTTTAAGAAAGACAGCACGGTTAATGAATATTTGCTCGTCGGTTTTGTTTGACAGATGGTGGGAATGGTCATTACGTACATACATAGTGCTGCTGCGGGAATTGACGGGACGCGGCGAAAAAGTGTGCAGCTGCTCCTGCGGAGTTCTCGTTAATGGTTCTACTTTGCGCGCGTGATTTACTGATGAGTTACTGAATAATGGATTTAAATTTACATTGCACAACGCCCAGGCTATCTCTTTTGGATGGAATCGAACAGGAAGTGTACGGTATACACATATGAATGACACTTTGCTCTTGCAGCACTTTTCCTGAGAATCGTTGACGGCAGCGAGCAACCTCACTTATGTTGTGCAAAGTGCAAACTGGGGCTTAAGAGTGCGCTTAAACAGCCGGTACACGTACGATTTATTTCACTAGAATCTGGATAATGGTCCCTGGAATGGCTCAAAGTTATTCGCGATCGTCAACGATCTGCTTTCCTGCTGGTATTTTTTCCTTTTTGGTATGAATTATGTCGAATAAAGATCATGATGTCCTGCTGCGCGAGTACGTCAAATCGGTACACGATACGCGATGCCGTTTAGTGCTTGTGTTTCTTCCTGTCCCTTTCGCTCCTTCTCATCCGAGATTGTCATTGTCAGTTTTAATAGCAATCCGTATTTGAACGCCAAATAACTGGTTCGGTTAAATACCTAAATTCTTATCTGCACTTGGCACAATATAACATACTTTGTATTATTGTAAGTAACATCGAAAACTCTACCGCAGAAGGGCAATATAAAAAAAACACAAAAATCATGGCAGGATTGTTATAGTCAACATAAACCTCTCCGTCTGGACATCCGCATATTTGTAGACCCTTTTATCAATTCAGAAGTCAAACCACTTAATCGCGGGAATCGAGCAAATGCATACTTGGAAATATACAACAAAATACATTATTTAAAGTGGTTCGTTAGTGGTAGGCTTTTGGCAGCTTGTAGCGGTTCAATACAGAATCTGCGGTTTTTCCTACACAATGCCTTTAGGCTGATGAATACAAAAGGTATTCTTTTTCTCCGTACAAATCTGGTTAGCGTTCTAGCACAATAAACTGTTAATTTATTATTAATTTACCAATTTAAATAATAAAGTCAGCAATTTTATTAGGTGAGTCAGGTTCTGCATTAAAAACGGTGACATTGTACATGTAGTGACACTGGAAAATCTACCTCTCTTCAGTGTTAAGACCGCGCAACCAGAACCACTCTTTGCCTTTGGCAGTCGGATTTCATGCAGGGTCCATGTGTTCGTAGCTTCGTCGTACCACTCAACTGAGCTACTACAATCGCTCGTATAATTAACGCAGCCCCCGAGAACATACATCTTCCCATCCACAAAAGCGCTTGCAAACGTACTACGATTTTCGATCATATCTCCTAAAAGGATACTTTACAGTTAAACACCCACCAGGATTACGTAAATCGTAGCACAGGTCTTAAATAATGTTAGTCTTAATTAACCCCTCTTCAGCCATTTATTAGTCGCTGGATCGTAGGCTTCTGTACAGCGCACACATTTCTCCGGTTCACCGACATCTCCACCTAACAAATAATGAAATAAAATTTTAGAGGTGATAGGCCTATGGTTTTCCGTACCCATTAGGTAAATCAGTCCGCTCGGACTGATACAAGCAGAGCACCACCGTCGAGCAGTCGGCATATCGGCGAGCTCACTCCAGGCGTTCAATACGGGGTCGTAGCAGAACAATTTATTGCTTAGTCTTGGTACCGCCTCCGACTCTCCTGAATCCCCTCCGAATAAATACAGCCGGTCCTTGAATGCTACCATAGCAACATCGTCCAGAGCAACCGGTAAGGCCGCCACAAATTGCCAGCTGTTTGTCTGTGGATCGAAGCATTCCACCGAAGATAACTTGGTAAATTCATCATTAACATCCAGATGACATCCTCCTGCGGCATAAATGCGACCGTTGAGCGCCGCCACACCGTGGCACGAGCGCCGCACTTGCACTGGCGCTACTTCCTGCCACTCATTGGTGGTTGGATTGTATCGCCAGACTAACTCTGTGACGTCCAGGGTGTCCAGGTCTTCTGTAATATACATTCCTCCACATGCATAGACTAAGTTTCCGTCCAATACAGCTATACCGCTGCGTCCGACACCTATCGGCAGTCGTTTGAGACAGCTTATTGTCGACATTGAGGGGCTGAAAATATGAACTTCGTCCAAATGATTCTCGTCTTAATCAATGCCACCAATGCATACAATAACTTTAGGCAAACCTGAGAAATCAACAGACAGATTTTTGGAGCTGTGCTATATAGAAATTGAAAGCAACGTAGGCATCTCGAACCATATGATGTTCTAGGTCGACATCGGGAAGCTGCTGCTTCTCCACTTCGACCCGGAAATTCACTGATGTTGCCGGAACGAACTGACGATTCGGCGCCTGGTGTCGTAATGAAGCTATTCAGCAGAGCCAAGAAATACTCATCAAGACATTGAGGACCGAGAAAGGTCACCCGAATAAATTGCAGAATATCCGAAAAGTGAGCTTTTCGTCCAGCCGGATCGTGATCAAACCAACGCTTGACAGCTTGAAGCACTTCGTCCTCCTTCTCCACATGCAGTGCATCCGATGCGACCAGCTCGACTACCTAAAGGAAACCAAAAGGGAGTATTCTTCTGGTTCGTTATACCATGCGTGCCGGTCGTTTGGCTGTTCTGTATGGGCTCACTAACATGATAACGCATACATGATACATCGACCAGCAGTCTGCGTTTTGTTCAAGTTTTGTACATACAGATTGCATAACCGGAAAAGCGATCGACTAATTGATGACTACCTTCTGCGCGTCTATCAGTAAAAAATCTGCGCTCTGTGAAACGGGAACGAAGTGGCGAAGGACCATGGCTTTAGCTTTCTCTGTCAGGTCGCCATTTTTGTGCTTTTCCGCCAGACAGTGAATCATCAAACAGCTGGAGGCATCCAAGTGATCTTCCACGAACTCCCAACACATTTTTGCCACTGGGATGATATCCAGGAAAATTGCTGCAGTTAGGACGTTGTGGACATTCTGTTCGTGAATACTGATTTCCATCGTGTAAGCAAAATTTACCAGCCTGAAACAAACACAAGACTGGTAAATTTTGCAGAGCAGAGTGACAAGAGCAGTCCAAGATATGCCCCTTACCTATGCCCCGACAGCTTTTTGGCTTTTTAAAATCGTTGTGCGAAGCAGGTGCGCGCTCGATTTCCGTGCCGAAGCTGTCGTCAGAGCCCGCTACCCACGGGTGTTGCGCCAGATTCGAAAATCTTGCTTTTCACTTGACTGCACTCAATTTTAATTCATTTTATTTATGCAATTTATTAAAGCAAAATTTTAGTGTAACGCTGCAGTGGAGACAACATTTCTCCTTCGCTGACCGAACTTCTTAGCCGCCATAAATCGGAAGTATTTATCTGCGCATGGAATCCATTTTACAGTCTCCATGAAGTTAGCGTGCTTTTCAAGTTTTTCCCTTTTTGTGGCATAATTCGTTCAGGTTTTTTTATTTTATTTTGCTTCAGTTTTGCCAATTTCGCCGGTTGTTCAGACATCTTTGCCGGCCGCTTCTTCCCAAATTTCAAATCAAAAAGATCGTCACGCTTATTATTAACATAGTTGTTCAGCAACAGATTAAACGTTTTGCGCAAAAGAATGTATTCGACATTTATGTATGAGTTACAGCATTCACATCCGTAAAACGAAATGTCAGAAGTTTCTTTAGCGAACGCTCATTCGATACTGCATCATTTCCATTATAATCTGTCAACTCGTCACCAACCGGAACACCGTTAATAAAAAACGCTGGCGCTGCATCTGGCACTATTCGCACAAGTACGGTATCATAATTAACGGTTTCCGGGGTGGACGCGATAACAGAAATTTTCCCAAGTAGAATGTCGTTGTCAGAGCGTTGCAAGACAGTGAATCCACATTCGTTGATTACGGAATCACATTCAGCGCTCTTCAACTTCATGAAAAATTTTGAGGAGAAAAACTGTTGGTGCTCATTTTCGGCCAGTCGATTCAGCAGCCGGCGCGGAGGTTGAATGATTTTAGTCGGATTTGACGATCCCGGCCGTTCCGTAGGCACAGCAGAGAGGGATAATCTTGGCGTCAATCAGGTCCAAATAATGTCGTCTGTACGGAAATGCTGACTGCAGATGCGGTGATGTTTTAGAAATCCCGTCTTTTCGAGGTCTTTTCTGCCGTAGAAGGCAAAGAATGCCCGATAGCGCTGGTCTTCGCTCTTGTTAGGAACTTTAAAAAACGAAATATCCGCAACTTTGTTCGGCCGGTTGCTGCATCCATAAACAACGCAAAGGGTACCACCGTCAATCCTTGGACATCGCTCCGGTGCGGCTTCGTAATAGTGGTATGGATTGATGCAGATTTCGCCTTCTTCCAAAGAGCACGTTTCAATTGGCAGAAGATTTTTTAACTTCGCTCCTCGGAATGACCTGACAACTGCGTGATTAATCGGCATATCCCGCCCAGATACCTGCAAAAAACAAAATCTTAATGCAATCAACCTTCTGCCATGTTTTTGTTAAAAAACTGATTTCATTCATTTTTAAAAATGTTTTATTTAAGTACAAAAATGAAAAGCGGATTACTCGAATACTGGAGCAACCTCTGAGGCCGACACAGCAAGTCTTATCGGTATCGCCACAAGTAACAGCAATAAAGAGATTTTGCATGGCTTCCAAATCCGTTCCGAGTCTTCGCAGGACCACATTGATAACTGATTTAGCGTATCTGAATTTAGTAGACGGAGATCGGTGTAGAAGCAGTTTTTCGTGCCACGATAAGTTGTCTGTTAACAAAACAAATGGTAACTGAACTGGTTCCTGTGCAAAAATTGAATATTTAATGTGGTGAATTCAGGTACTGTTAATGGTTTAACTCGAAGTTGTTCTAAAAATTTTGACGGAGTGCAAATTAGGAAAGCACATATAAAACCTCCGCGGTGTGCGAGGCGCTTGCAGAACTTTGGGATATTGGGTTTTTGCCGAGCACTGGTTCAGCACATGTGTCCATCATGATGATTCTGGCAGTCCAATTCATACGAGCATCACGGGGAGTACAAGTTGAGCAATTGAACAATCACCGAGTATCTGAAAATAACGCAAAAAGCTATATTTATTGACCAGTATAGCCTTCGCATGATGTAACTTGTACAGTACTTCCAAAAAGAACTCAAATACAGTATAGGAACAAAAAAAGTTTTCACATAAACAGGTGAGCTACCATCAGGTTGTATCAACTGCCCACCTTCACAGTTCGCCATTCCTAACCTTTTCATATCAGTTGCATAGGCGACATGGAGAAATCGACGCTCATCCTGAGCATATCACGGTGCCTTGTTGGAATCCATTCCACATGAAAGTGGCGCAGTGCACAGTCAGTAAAGTCCCGCGTATCTTTGTGGCAGTCGGATAGCCGATCGTGTAACAAACTGCATGTAGAGCAAATCTCTGCCACAGCTGTTCCCTCGGCACAGCGATAATTTCAGTAAGACGATAAACGATAGTCCATTTCAGGTTGTAATAAACATTCAGGGCAACCTCCAACTATTAGGAAAGAATGAAAATGACAATATGTACAGTACAAAAGTAGGATGCAAACTGATATTTCGGAAATAAATATTGCGAAATAAAACTACTAACTAAAGTGAGTGAGAAAAAAATCTGGCGCAACACCCGTGGGTAGCGGGCTCTGACGACAGCTTCGGCACGGAAATCGAGCGCGCACCTGCTTCGCACAACGATTTTAAAAAGCCAAAAGGCTGTCGGGGCATAGGTAAGGGGCATATGTCCAAGCCTCCAAGGTACCTGCATCGTGCATGCATTACACACATCAACTGCCTTTCAGTGTCTACCAAACCCTTACTCGCTCAGCGGGCCGCCGGGAATGTTCTTCAGCTGGACCTCTGCCTGGTACTTCTCCTTCCACTCCGACGTGAACATGGTGCGAAAATAACTGCTGTGTGCGCAAAGGACCACACGGTGGCATGGAATGCCAGCTGCGCTTTCCTCCGATCCTTTCAAAACCACATCACACAGTGTGCCAGTGGATTTCAAATCGTATAACTCACGGAGAAACCCTTCACTGATGGTGTGTTTCAAACGGGCATTCTTAGAGGAATCTGCGCCAGATTCTGAGAGGGGCTCAATCCGAGACATTGATGGGCTCACGTTGGGCAACATGGTGATAAATGCAGGCTGCAGCTGAATGGTTGAGAGTCGTGAAAGTTTATAACAAAACTTTATGACGGACAGACAAAATGTAAGTAGCTACTAAACGAACTGAAAACAGTCATCATAATACGCTATTGTTGACTTCTTGGTAAACGAACAAGATTTCGCGGCGGGTAGAAACTACGGCAGAAATAAGAGAGGAAATGCAAACAGTGCGGTATGCATTGACTACTCTGTCGTAGGCTCGTAGTCTCGTAGTGCCACTAATATACGGTGCGGATGCCTTCCATTCCTCTTCCGCTCCCTTGTATTTGCTGTTTCAATTTTTGCTTTTTCATTTCTTACAAACAATTAAAATAAACACAAAAGAACAATTAAAAGAAACACGCAGTGAACCTCATGAAAGACCTGGTTGCCCTGTCGCATACTACCACCATGCATCGTGTTTTCAATTGCAACGGCCAAGCTTCCCAGGCAGCCACGCGCTAGGGCGCTTGTCAGTGCAGCTGAGTGAAGTACGCACTACGCAGTGCACTGTACGAATATCTGCACAATGGACAACGTACTTCACACTTCACACAACCTACACAGTATATCGCGTGCACACTTCCGAAAGTACGAGTACAGTACGTGTTGTATGTACGAGTCCGAGTCTACCGTCTACAAGACGTCCACAGACTGCTCTTGACTGACGTCAGCCTCAGTTTGTTTGCGTTTTTTTGGTTCTTGTTGTTTTTTTTTATTAATTTTTTAGTTCCCGTTAAGTTTCTAGTTCTCGTTTCCCGGTTTTGGTGATTGTGTACCCTGATCTGCCCAACTGCGGAGGATAGCACCATTTGCATCCCGTTCTGTCGTAACATCATCTCTCGTCAACTCCCTTCGTCAAGCGCCACTATCCTTCCTTCTTTCTCGCCCACCCATGTCTGGCGGAATCTATCAACCGAACAGCGTTGACGTCCTGGACACCGACGGTATAACTCGCTACGGACGCGTCGTGGATGTGGCTGACAACGGGTTCTTCGTCGACTTCCTCTGTGCGGGCAGACGGCGCCAGTTTTATCCCTTTGATAGCGATGTTTTCCTTTCCGAAGGTTCAAGGTGGCTTGCCGGCGAGGATGTCGCCAACGTTTGCGGCGGTCGGTACGCCAGCATCCCCGTTGAAGTGTTGATGCGAGGCTCCAAGCTTACCGTGGACGTGGTTTCCAGCAGAAATGGTGGATGTCGCTCGTGGTCAATGGTATCTCTCGTACGATGTGGCTGTCGTTCGTTGGGGCAATGAGCAGACGCGGACGGATATCGTTCCCATCGAGCGGATCCGCTGGAGAGTGCCGAAGAGTTGTTGGGCCGCAGCTGAACGGCCCGAACATCGGTCCGAACCACCCATGTTCCCTCCGTGGTATCACACTTCAGATCCTTTAAGCAAGCAGCCGCGTACTCCGCCTCAACGCGTAAGAAAAGGGATGTTAGCCAAGTACAGCGTGTTGTTGCCGCAGCAATTCTCCTGGATCCAAGCGGATGAACTGCGCCAGTACCTTGATAATGATTCATGGTTTTATGGTGTCGTCGGCACGTGGCCGATTTCTCTGGTGGATGTTATTGATGGACATCTGTGGTGTATACGACGTTGCCATCCGTCAGAAGGAGGACCAATACTTCGTCTCTCGGCCTTGGTAAGAATTCAAAAATCGTACCTGTTGCATATTCCGTTCACGCGATTCTTCTCCTTTCTGTTATTTTTCTAATATTAATTCTGTTTAAATCTCTATTTTCTCAGCATCATTTATTCTGTTTTTCCTGCTTTTATCTGCCATTCTCTGGAATAATTTCCAGCTGTTTTCCTACCGGGTACGATTCAATAAAATAGAGTTCCTATATACCGGCAATAATACCACCGTTAAAGTTTTTAGTCTTCTTAAATTATCGGTAGAAACACATTACTATTTGTGGTATGTTACAGTGGCATGCTTTTGCAGAAGAAGGCAAAGACTAGTGAGGATTTTCTTGCAGCGCTAATTGCTCGTCTTCTGCGTGTGACTGCCATTCCGCATTGGTCATCCTCGGAAACGGAGACCCCGAACGTTCTTAATGAAATGCCGCAGGAATTGTGGCTGGAAGTGTTTTCCTGTCTGGACACTATAACGCAAACATGTTTGCGTGCTGTTTGTTTTGCGTGGATGGAAATCTTGGCTTCCTCCTTGTTGACTGCCTGTATTATTGTTACGCCCTGTGGAAACAAAACGCTGCAGAATTTTGATCGGCTAAGCTACGTCATGCTGTCGCCGATTTTCACGTGCTTGAGTGCGTCCACAAAACGCATCATTGTGGACTGCCGTTGGCGTTCCGTGAACGAACAGGAGCTGTTGAAAGTGTTCGACATGATACACCATGTTGCCCAGCAGGATCCATCAGTACGACTGGAAACGATCCATTTGGTGGGATTACATTGCAAGTTCTTCATCGGCACCCGGTACACGAACAATTCCAGCGAATGTATGTTACATTATCCCAACACTGCAGCAACTGACGAGCAAAACCTTGAATATTATGATGTTTTTCTCGATGACTTCGCCGCGGCATGCTGCAGTCTGCCGTGCAACGCGATCCAGTGGATCGATTCCAGTGTCCGGTTGACTGACGCCAACCTGCCCAATATTATGGGCTACCACCGTTCTGCTAGCACTCGCATTATCACGGTGCAGTTGTCGGTCAATGCTGTGAAAGTGCTATGTGGGAATTGTTCGAGATGGGTTTGCCAGAACCGAATTTGGAGCAGTTACGAGGGTTGTCCAAGTGGTTGGCAATGGAAATAACAGCATCGGATGATAAGAATATCCAAAGCGCTTGCAAAGTACGACCAGCAGCATAATTAGCGGCGAACAAAGCAGGAACAAGTGCGATCACACTTTTGTCGTTGCAGATATTGTGTGCGACGCACACCCTCGATCCCCGTCCGTGGTTGCATTACCGCGAGAAAAGTGGTGCGTGGACGGCTTGAAAGATTTGCGTTTGGAGAAGCTGTCTCGGAGTGCCCTGCAGTTACTTATTCAGAAATATACCTCGGTGAGGGGTACAGGTTGACATGAAAGCCATTCTCGCACATTCTAGGCCGCTGTGAACGAGAGTTTGCCGAAACGTGGGCTGGAGCCTTCCATGCGCTTCCCACGAAACATCACTGATTTGTGTATCTAACTCGTATACAATAGTAGTGTTGTGGTCACTTTTCTTTTTTTAACCGTTGTTACTTAACTGTAATCTATTTGATTTTGTTATTAACTGGTAAGCTTTAACTGTGATGAATGCGTTTTTGGTGATTAATACCTGTACTACTGTGTAGTATTTAAATAAGTGCGTGGTTCTGGTTCGGATACCTCTTTCGTTATGACTGGATCAATATAATCGGTTTCGTTACGCCGGCGCTTGGAAGTTTCCAACCCGTAGTCGTTAGGGTGCCTTTAACAATGACCAGTTATATCTATATTAACATTCAGGTGTCTATACGTATATATACAGAATACACCACAGATACATTATACATAGATACATAGTCCTAGTCATAATTTAACGCACTGGTCATAGGCGCACGGTACTATTGTCGACATCTTCCTCACTATTTTGGAATATCGAAGAGAAAGGGAGGGCTATGATGCGTGGCAGTTAATTGACGCTATACGAAGACTGCATGAAAGACCGATCCGATTCACTGTTTCGAAGATTTTGAGTATTAATACGGATTTTATTGTTACGGTAATTTCAACTGTTTTGAATAAGACAGCACGGCTAATAAACATTTGTTCGCCGATTTTGTTCGGGAGATGGCGGGAATGGTCATCACGTATATAGTGCAGCATTAGTGCTGTTGCGCGAACTGACCTGACGCGACGAAAAAGTGTGTACCTGTTCATGCGCGGCTCTGTCTAATAGCTCTTCTTTGCTCCAGTGATGGCTGATGAGCTAAAATGTATTGAAATTAACATTAATCAAGGCCCAGATAAACTCGTATCTTTTTGGCTGAATCTGGCCCGGAAACACTGACGTGCGACACTTTGGTCATTCCAGCAACTGCACTGGGCACAGTGACGGCCATCGACCAGCCGGACAATCAGGCTCTCACATTTATGTTGTGTCACGTAGGAGAACGAGTATATTTATATATGTTAATGTAAATGTTAATTAGTGTTATTGTACATGCACAGTTCGAATGCGCGTACCAAGTTACGAACGATATCCTGAATGTATTTCAGCCGCCTATTGAGAATAACCGCCACCGCTGCCTCTGATATGAAAGACTGATGTCATGTTTTTGACCAATCACTTTTTCGTTCGACCTTGAGGAACTATTTCCCGTTGCGCGATGACGTTAAGCCATTACATCATACGTGGTGCCGTTCAGTTGCATGTGCTTCGGTAACGTTCGCTTTCTCACCCGAGAAACCAAGTTTTTTTAATCACTATCCGTATTCGTGCGCCAACAAACGGTTCGGATAAGGCATATCCTTATGAATATATGGTACTCCGCATCCATAAATAGAAATATGCCTAATACGAGTAGTATATCTTTAGAATATCCAACATTCTACCACAGAAGGGCCTTTAATTTTACCCCAGAATTTCTAAACCCGTCCGCCAAGCACGTTAAGGACACCTATGGTCTGCAATGAGATGACTTCCGAACGTAAACAAAATTTATGAACGAGATTCTTTAATCCAAAGTTAGAAGACAAAAACTGATACAAATCGCATTTTGTTATAATAAAGTTTCATAAAGGGTTCGCCGGCCACCCGTAAAAAAAGTTGTAGATTCGCTACTGGAATGGCGACAGCATGAAAATCAAGACAAAATTATTCATTGTTATCGACATAATCCTCCCCGCCTGGAGATTCTCAATGCTTTGTAGACCCATCCAACAGTTCAGCCGTCGGAATCGCTTACTCGCGCGAATCGATTAAATGCATACCTGAGAAAACAAAAGAGCAGAATCATATTTGCGGGACACCCTCCTTGTGTCATATTCCGTCACTAAGTAGGTCAAAATTTGTTGGGCGAATGGCGAGTGCCAGACATGTATAAAGCGCCGGCATTCAAAATGGCGGTATTATGCCGCTCAAAATCTACCTCTCTTTAACGTTATCACCGCACAGCCAAAATCACTCTTTGCTTTTGGCAGTCGCGCTTCATGGAAGGTCCACTTGTCCGTAGCTTCGTCGTAGAACTCGATCGAGCTGGTATCTGTACACATGCTAATGCCACCGAGAACGTAGATCTTGCCGTCCACAAGCGCACATCCATGCGTACTGCGCTTTTCGATCATATCACCTAAAGCATGCAGCTGTAAAGTGTAAACCTAGTTGAATTTTTTTATTTTTTTCCATTGGGGTGGCAAAATTATTAGTAATTACCAAAGTATTAATACCATAGCATTGATCAAGTAGAAGTAGAGAAAGTGCAGAAATACTAACTATTACTGACTGCAGAAATATTTGTTATTTACGCCGGCTATCAGCCAAAACGTTAGAATGCTTCACGCTGCCAATGCAGTTCAAGAGTATTTTTGAGTCCTGAATCACAAATACTAACCTCTTTTTAGCCATTTATTAGCCGTTGGATCGTAGGCTTCTGTGCAACGTACACTTATGTCCGGTTTACCAACATCCCCACCTAACCAGCAAAAATTACTGAATTTCCGTTGGCGACAATTTTGCCTTTCCATACCCATTACGTAAATCAGTCCGCTCGGACTGACGCAAGCAGAGCACCACCGTCGAGCAGTCGGCATATCGGCCAGTTCACTCCAGGCGTTTACCACGGGGTCGTAGCAGAACACTTTATTGCTTAGTCTTACTACAGCCTCCGACTCCCCTGAATCTCCTCCAAATACATACAGCCGATCTTTGAAGCCTACCATGGTAACATCGTCTAAAGCAACCGGTAAGGCAGCAACAAATTGCCAGCTGTTTGTCTGTGGATCGAAGCATTCCACCGAAGATAACTTGGTCAAATCACCATTATCATCAAAGTAACTTCCTCCGGCAACATAAATGCGGTCGTTGAGAACCGCAGTACCATGGCATGAACGTGGAACTTGCAATGGCGCCACTTCCTCCCACTCATTGTTGGTTGAGTCGTATCGCCAGACTAACTTAATGACATCCCGGACTTCCCGGTCGTCTGAACGATACAAACCACCACATGAATAAATTGAGTTTTCGCTCAATACCGCTACACCGCTGCGTGCGATGGCTTCCGGCAGTCGCTTGAGGCAGCTTATTGCCGACATCGAGGGACAGAAAACAGCCACTTCGTCCAGACATTCGTCGTTCATATCAATACCGCCAATGCATACAATCAGTTTGGGCAAACCTTAGTAGCCAAAAGACAGATTCTGGAATATGTGAACTATTGAAATCAAAAGCAACAAGACCTCTCTAAGAGTCTAACCATATGATACTCTCGGTCGACATCGGGACGCTACTGCTTCCCCACTTCGACCCGGAAATTCCATGATGGTGCCGGAACGAACTGACGATTCGGCAACCGGGGTCGTAATGAAGCCATTTAAAAGAGCCAAGAAATACTCCTCGAGACACTTAGGATCGAGAAAGGTCACTCGAATAAATTGCAAAATATCCGAAAAGTGAGCTTTTCGTCCAGCCGGATCGTGATCAAACCAACGCTTGACAGCTTGAAGCACTTCGTCCTCCTTCTCCACATGCAATGCATCCGATGCAACCAGCTCGACTATCTAAAGACATCCAAAACAGAATATCCTCTGGTTTGTACAAGGCTCAGTACCATCTACCTTTCCCCTCCCCTAGCTAAGGACGGGCCTGCAGACGCTTTAACGCACAGACCTACAGATCCATTCTGCACATTCAGAAAAGCGATCGATTACCTTCTGCGCGTTGACCAATAAAAAATCTGCGCTCTGCGAAACGTGAAAAAATCGGCGAAGGACCAAGGCTTTAGCTTTCTCTGCCAGGCCAGGATTTTTGTGCTTTTCCGCCAAACAGTGAACCATCAGACAGTTGGAGGTATCTAAGTGATGTTCCAGAAAATCCCAACACATTTTTGCCACTGGGACAATATCCAGAAATAATGCTGCGGTCAGGACGTGCTGGACATTTTCTTCGTCAATGCGGATTTCCATTGTGTAAGCAAAATGTATCAGCCTGCACTCATACACAAAAGCAGTTCAAGGGTGCCTGAATCATCGCTGGATGGCGCAGTCTGTGTAGACCACACCATCTACTGGCATTTTGATGGCTATTAATACTCAGTTACTCACTCGCTCAGCGTGCCACCGGGAATATTCTTCAGCTGGATCTCTGACTGGAACTTCTCCTTCCACTCAGATGTGAACATTGTGCGAAAATAACTGCTGTGTGCGCAAAGGACCACACGGTGGCACGGAATGCCATCGGCGCCATTCTCTGATCCTTTCAGAACAACATCGCACAGAGTTCTCGTGGATTTCAGATCTTCCAGTACGCGGAGAAACCCTTCACTAATGGTCTGCCGCAATCGGGCATTCTTAGAGGAATCCGTGCCAGATTCTGAAAAGACTCAGTCCGAGGTAGTGATGGGCAAATGTTGGGCAACATGGTGATTAATGCAAATTTATGCATCAGAATGGTTGTGAGACTTGTGACGTGCGAGTCTTTATATATTTTCTTATCAAGGCGTATAAGTTATAGAAGTATGTCTTTATATGCGTCTTTCAAATGATTACGTATATCGATACATTGTTTTTAACAAGATACAGAAGGTGACGGAACCTGAAGTTGTGGTTTGTCTTCCGACTTCCTCCACACTGGACATCTTAGCAAATGATGGTTTTGCAGTTTCGAATCAAAGTAAAAAATTCGTTACACTTCTATTAAAGCACATAAAATTGCAAAGCAACAATAAGCAAACTTTTTAGAACGCAGGGGTGCGCTGAGAGTGGAACATGCAAAATGTAGCTCAGATCTGTACTTACAGTAGCTTGCAAATACGCAACATAGCCATCTGACAGCATTTTCTTGCCAGTGTAATTTTCAACATACATGTAGTCTCTCAGTCTTGAAGGCCTGCATCTGCTAGACTGCTAGTACTGGTACCACTGAAGGTCTACTATCTTCTATCTATCTTATAATAATCATTATTTATATACAGACCAACCACAACGGTACACCCACTCGAGAGAATTCCAGTGTCTCAGACCAAACTACCTTCGCGACACGATCTCGGATTTAACATGTGCTACTGGACTTTGACCGAACAGTTCGGTCCGAACTATTCGTCGTTTACTTAGTCTGTGCAGTTCATGAGTTTAAACTACTCCAAAGCCTCTTGAATAAAGTATTCAGACCAAGAAATAACCATACAACTCGGTCACGTAGCCCCGCCAGGTCCGCTGATTAGAACGGGACGCAGACGAGAGTCCTTCGAAGGTGTACCAAATATAATTTGTAAGTAATCCCTGGAAGAGGACAACTGAACGGACTTGCTGTTCGAGTTACTGTGTAAACAACTATGGTGAAACGGATGCAAAAAAAGTATCAGGAAGTATCAGGGAAGCGGTGCAACTAATTCGGAAAACGTTCCTACATTGTCTGCGCTTTGAATGGTGATTAGGCAGCTTAATCCTTGATAAAAATACAGCCGATAAACGCAGTAACGCTTCAGTTTGTATTTTTGTAACATGAGCTGTTTCAACGCTACACTTCATAGTATTACGGTACTCCCATATAATTTTTGTGGTCATTTACCATATATGTGTATCCGATGAATCCCACTTTCCGTTCTCTTTAACAATTGCTCTTAACAGAAGTCGAAAAATGTACATCCGCAACAACCGGCTACGCCCTTACATATACCCATTTATTGTGTTCTTGTCTTCAAAGATTTTGCCGGCAGACTTTGCAACTACTGACAACAGTACTCTTTCTTTTATAAGTAGGTAAGGGCAAACAGTACTTTACTGTTTGTACTGTATACGGGCGCGGGAACCAGAAGCACGAATAGCTGAAATATTATTCCATGTATTTAAAGCAACAGTACTAAAAATCACCAGATACATGTTCTCGACCACAAACTTCGAAATTCTTGATCTCTCCAAAACCGGAGCCTAAATTCATAAACAGTGAAGATAAGTGTAGTACCGTAACATGCAAATCAGTCGGCAAACAAGCTTTGGATCCCCAGAGCCCATAGAAGGATTGCATAAGGATGGGCCGTTAAAACAAATTTCACGCTTTATTTGAACAGCGACCAGTATATTGTTAAACCAAAAATATTCGCCCAGCAACTACGGAAAAATTATTTCTGTTCAGTGTTCAGTGTGCACTAATATCATCCATGTCTTCTTCTTATACAGAATTAGGAATCATGTCGGAAATGCAAAAAACCAGCTGGTTTCAGCGTTATTACGGCTATTTGGCAAAAATTTTAACTATATGGGGAGTGCATGCGGGCGAGGGAAGAAAACCGTTCCTCTTGTCTTGGCTCGGCTTTTTGGTAGTGACTTCAAGCGCAATTTTGGGGATTACTGTCTGTATTTATTCCTACTTTCAAGCAATTCCTGAAAATCGGTCAAGCCAAACAACATTAACGCTGATTGCTTTCGTGTTCCTCACATTCCAAGTATGTGGGCTATCGGTATTGATTCTATTTCGCATTATGTCACCGCAACTCCATGCTATCAACAATGACTTAAACTTGCACTTAACGGAAAGCCCGACGAGTCCAAGAACGGTAAAGCGCGCTTTATTTTTCTTCGCCATTGGGTACTTAATCTTCGGATTTGCGCTTTATCCCATAATATATCTGCGGTGCGTTGGTGTGCTAAACCAGAATGAAAACCTTTTTGGTGTTCTGATACCGGCATATGTGGGCATTATCGTACTGCAGACACTACCGTTGTCACTTTGTGCCACTATTGGTCTTTTATTCTCCGTAACCTTCTGCTTTTATTGCTTAATACTTGGAGTCGCATTCAGCCAAATTCGGTGTCAAGTGGAAGAAATATTTCGGCAGTACCGTGATGGAGTTGCTTCCGTGACTGAATTCGCAGACAATCTGACACTCTGCCGTGTTCGACACCTTCGGTTGTCAAAATTTATTTCAAGACTCGACAAAGTCTTTGCGCCTCTGTTTTTGGTGGAACTGTTTGCCAATGCGGTGGCCTTTGTTGTACTGACACATGTAATTGCTGCCGATGCACCGGTTGCATACGGTTTCCTATATAATTCCAATTTAGCCAATATGCTCTACTTTGCCTTAGCGGCTATTGGAAACCTTGCAATATTCATTACTCCGGTAATTATTGCAAGCTATACAAAGAGTCAGGTAAAGTAAAACTAAAATATCGATCGTTTAACGTGATGAAAACATTTTACTATAATTACTATGATAAAGAATCGGATTAACGGTATGACAGGCGCATTCCATTGCCCCGGTTTTCCTGGATATTCTGGAGCTGCGAGAGAAAGAGGACTTTTACCCAGCTTCGCTGCTGCGTGATTCTGTTCGAAGACTTCAAGAAGTACCCGTGCGCTTCACAATGTGGTACCTCATAGGGATTGACAGTGACTTTGTAGTAACGGTGAGTTGGTTCTCGAAATTCTTAAATTCGTCGAATTTGATTTGCACTGAAGCCTGCCCATTGATACTGTGCCGTTCATGTGTACGATATCCTTTTCTTTGCATGATCCATTTATTTGCAGCTCACCGGCATAGTGGTTACTTATTTCGTGTTATTACGGGACATTACCGGGAGCGATGACAAGGCAGGCAACAGCTCATGTGGCTCTCCGGGAAATTATTCCAAAGTCTCCCTTTAAATAAAACGCACCAGTACGGACAATTTGTCGTCAAAAACGAAAATTCGGAAAAAATTCCTCTTGGGTTTTTTTGTGAGTTTTCTGGGTACATTATGGCGCACCACGCAGTGATACATTATTATGTTCAATGCTTCGTCCAAGACTTTATTATCTTCAAAAAATTATTCTTATTAAGCTTTTTGTGTAGTGAATAGGCTACGGCGTACAACACAAGCAATTTGTGAAGTACGCCTGCTGATACCTCATTAATTCACGGGAAGCTAACCATTAATCGTTTTTTAGTGTCCGCATTTCAAACAAAAGCGGGTTCAACCTTCAGCTGTTTTTGATCGATTTACCTTTAAAGAGCCTAATAAGAGAGGCAATCGCATTTCAGTATTGACTGCAGTTAATTCAAGGGTCATAATATCGCTACCACAGCAGCAAACAGGTCAAGTACCAATACGATAGTTTCCGACTGCTGAATACCGCAATGTTGCGGAATCATCAATAAAATACTGTATATTAACATCGCTCGTATGTATTGTACTCGTAGTACATACAAAGTACATCTGCCGTCGATTGTTGAGGATCCTATTCAGACAGGCGCAGTAATCGCTGCCGTTTCGGATCATACAAATGCAAGCTTATTGGGAGTCAATAGACACCAGACAATGTCATGATAAATATTATACCAATGTAAAATATTGATACCCTCACAGCTCCGCTTACGGCCTTTGGCGGATTAATGAAAATTTAATGAATATGCACGGCTTTTGATCCATTCCGTAGATCCTCCCACATATCCCAAACCATGATATCGGTGCATATGCATGCCTACTCAAATTTATGTATATTCTATGCTCCTACTTTCCAGAGTTAAGGTGCTGCAGCATAGACCAAACGCATGAGCCGTTTACGATTGACAGGGACAAAATGATCTGCAAAATTTATATTCCAGTGCAAGCCGGTGGCACGCAAAGTGCTGCTTGCTTCTTTGTTCAAATCATTCCGTAATGACTACCGTAACATTGGCGTAGACCAAACGTTTTCGTGATACACTGTGCTGAAAATTTCCGTCGCATACTTCCATTCGCTGAATAAAACTTTACGCCGATTTACGATACCGGAAACCAGCCTCATGCGTTCAACTCGTTGAAGAAAGGGATTGTACTCTTTACTGTTGTAATACAGTCTGTACGAATACTTTATGTTCTTGCTGGTCAAAAAAGTGTGATTGTTTTCTTGTTTCTTCCAGTTTTTCAATCGTCACGAAAGTGTGATGAAAGTTCTATATTTTTGCTTTGCTTTGTCTATTGCTAATTTAACCGAAGCTTTTAACGTAACCTTTTTGACATGTATGTCATACTCTTCGCTGGCGTACAGCTACAACTACTATGGTCCGGCAGTGGATATTGCGATTGAACAACTGAGCAAGTTATACCCGAGATTCACTTTCCATAAAAGGAATCTGTCTCCCACCTGGATGAAAACATGCGCTGATATGGATGCCAATGTCGTGAATTTGGTATCTTATTATATCATGAAGGATCCCGTTGGCAGCGCGATGTGGGACGATATGACACACTTGAATATCTTCATCGGAAACGGTACCAGCTTTCAGGAGTAGGACTGTGTACACAGTTAATAGGCGCTACAATACCAAAATATAATGTATCCTGGGCATAAGTACCTACTCGCAAATTGTCAAACACTTACGTTGGATGCCATTATGTAGTATTACTTTCTATCATTGCATTCAACAACAGCACCACCAACAAGATTATTATCCACCTCTATCACGCTTTATGGTTTTCGGTAATAGTGTGTCAGAAGTCATACCTTTTTTTAGCTTGCAGTGGATCTCTTGTCTTACTTGGAGATGTCGCTAGAGGTTAGTAGCTATAGCGTAATTATCGGTTTGCAATAACAAATCACCCGTTTTAACAACATCTACTAAAAACATGCTTAGGTATGGATTGATATACATGCCACGAGTACTATGTAATATGTATTAGATGTTGCGCTGTATTTGATAGTTATACAGTTTCCGGTAATATATTTGTCATTTTACAGAGTTGAATATGCCACTAATTTCAAGGTACTCAGTCTAATTCTACGGTAATTCTACTGCGTTGGTTTATTTTCAACCGCTTTTACTGTTTCCAGTGGCGGTTCAGACGATATCCTGAACAATATTAAGCGATTTCCCACACTGCTGCGACTATTAACTTACCACCAGAAAGACCTGACGGAGGTTTTGCTGCAGTTTTTGCGCCGGTATAAGTATAAAGATATTTCACTGTTCTGTGATACCAATCCAGCGCTGGAGAACTTTGAGCAACTGGCTTGCGATGGCTTTGAAGCTGGCATGCAGACAATTCCCAGTTCCAATATCGTCTCCTACCGCTTCAATATGCTCGAAAAAGGTGTTGACTTCCGGGCCCCGCTGTTGGCCGCATCCAAGAACTCTAGAGGTGCGTTCTCTAATCTGTATTACTTGTATTAATTGTATTGTCATAATCAGGGATGCCGATTTCATTAAAAAAACTTTCAAACCTGTCTGAAAGTAACGCATAAGTAATGCCTGTCTGAAAGTAATTCACATTCCATAAGTAGGAGAACATTGCATACAATATCAAAGGCAAAACTCCATATAAAAGAATTAAGCCGATTGCACTATTACGGAATCATGAACGTGAAACGTTTAATGGAAGATAATGTCACTAATGTCACAAAGGATGATAGTGCAGGGCAATACTCGTATTCTCTTAATCTTTGCAGTTATTGTGATAATTGCGCATGGAAATACCACACGTGATATTTTAGTAAGTCCTAGATATCTTTCGCACCACGACATATTTCCGTTAAATCACACCATCTTCTCTCTCTATCATGTAAGCTTTCCATTATTCCCGAACACGCTGCATGTCAATGTTTTTCCAGATTACGGCATATCGGATGGGCATGGCACAGGGCGATTACGTAAGTGAACTAGCACTATCATTCGTCTTTAAGCTTCTTTTTGAGTAAAAGTACTTCAATACGTAAGCAAAGTACAGAATCAGTACTCTAATTTGTGACACTGATTTCTTTTCTGTGACAATTAGGTGTACATCACCGCCTACCCGTTTGAGCATCCTCTGTACGGCTACTATCGTTGGCAGTTTCACGACGAGAAGGATGACGTAAGCGTACACCAATCTCAGAAAATTAATGAAAAGCTGCAACAACAAGTCCACATGGTAATTCTATTTTAGGAAGCAAAAAACGCTTTTAAGTCACTATATTTTCTCGCTGTTCGGCCAATGCGCAGCCCCGATTACGAGGATTTTGAAATCGAAGTTAAATACCGTGCGTACAAAAACTACGGATACAAATACGAAACCACGGAATCGGTAAGCCTACTTAAATACTGCATTTAATTCGCCGAGTGTTAAACACTATAAAACTATTTACTGTTACTACTTGGCGACATTTACAACTTGTGGCTAACCGAAAATCTTCATTCCTGAACACCGTTATAATTTGTGTAAAGGTATCCATGTTCACTGCTTTGCAACACACCATCGTACTTTTGACGGGACAGGTACACTCTTTTATTTTTGCCGTTATTGGTTATCAATATGAATGAAGGTCAAATATTTATGATGCGATGGCACGTCAATTTTTGTATAAAAAAAAGTCTATAAAACAGTCAATTTCCTCTGTTTTATTGCTTATTGACGAGGTCGCTTGTAGCTCATAAACGAAACCATTAACGAGGGAGACGTCCTAGACGATAACGATGGCGATCAAATCATGGATGGGGCTTTCGATCCCAGAGAAATACCATCCGTTATCGGCAACTTTTCCATGCGGTTCGGTGATCGACTTCTCTACACCTACGTCATTGTTTCAATGAACCATACCACATATGATTTTAGGGTAAGATGCACTTGGAAGCATCCAAGTTACACTTTTACATTTCAAATAATAGCGAAGGTTTTTTCAGGAAATTTTCTCCTACGATACAATCAACCGGACTTTGTCGCCGGTGCCGGGAACTGCCGTTACATGGGCCTACCGGAATTCCGCTCCACCCAATACTCCGCCCTGTGGATTCGGTGGCATTGATAACAGTTGTGCTGCTTGTATGTTGAATAACCTTTCTCAAACCGCTTTTGGTTACTCAATCGAACCTTTACTCTCTCTGTTATCTTAGCGTCGGGTGAGGTGACGGGGACGGTGATCGGAATATTGGTGGCCTTGGCTGTGGTTGGTGCGATTTTTTACTACATTGCCAAGTAAACGCATCGTAACTATAAACAGCACTAGCAACAGGTGGCTGCAATGGCATTGTCAATCCAATATAGGCGCAGCGGAATTTTTGACAAAGACACCGATGAGCGACGATGGTTTGTTCTGCCTGAAGAAATCGTCTTCACAAAAAACAACGCCACTGCCGGTTCCACCTATTCACGTGCAGTAAGGTTCTTTTATCTTTAATATTTTTAGTGAAAGCGAAAAAATTGGAGTAAATTATTATTAGCCACAGACGCAGTCAATACAGAAAAACCACGAGTACTGGTTCACTATACTAGAGTTTTGCAGAAATCAACTATGTCGCTTAACCAAAGCATTAGCAGCCACCAAACCACAATGAAAGCCAGCCGCAAAACTGCTACTAACAGCTTTAGTTTAACCGGAAGTCTACTAGAATCGGAGAATGTGGCCATGTACAAACAGAGACCAGTGTGGGTGCGCCGGGTGGCTGTTCATAAAAAATTCTCACCGAGTTCGTCACAGGAGAATCTTATTAGAAAAGTAACGCATTGGGAGCGCCAGCATGTATTACATAAATTTATTTATAACACTGCGTACTTCAGATCAAACAAACGTATTCGGCGAACGTTGCCAGATTCTTTGGAATCTATCCAATGGATAACGAAGTCGGGCTGCTTTGTGAGGTCGCTCATCGGGGAAGCTTGAGCGACATTATACAAGGCGAATCCATCCGGTTTGAGTCATCGTTGAAAAGTTCGGCGCTTTCGGATTTAACCAGTGTGAGACTCGCAGTACTTGCTGATTAAGTACCGTAATTTCGTAATTTTAAATGCGAAAATGTTTTTCAGGCACTGATGTATCTGCATAATTCCGGTGTGCAATTCCACGGCGAACTGTCGAGTCATAACGCCCTAATGGATAATCGATTCGTGACTAAAGTTGCATACTGCCGCTTGGATCTATTCCATCGACAGCAACCTGATTTCTTCCATGATACACCCGATCATAAAAAATTCTTTACTTTTGCCCCGGAACAGCTGCGTTCACCGAATGTGTACAAAGGATCGAAGGAAGGAGATATTTATGCGTACGGGCATATATTTATCGAGATTATGTGCGAAATTGCGCCTTTCCAAAATGAGCTGGATGTGGATCGATTCACAGCAAAAGGTCAGGCAATCGACCAGTACATAGGCATCTCTCCTGTTAGTCCTTAACTTGCGCAAAGCCATGCGATCAAAGAGAAATACTGATCATAATAACTGTCCAGATACTATACAGATCGATCATCGCGCTATTAAGGAAACTGGTTTGCTTGGAAAATGTATTGTACTATGTCGACTAGTTTTTACAAGCTTGATACAATGCGAGCAAGAAAGGAAGCTACGGGTTTAGGGTGTGCGTTCTAGCGAAGACAGCGAAAACCGGTTTGTACAGCTCGTGCGCGCACAGACGGCCACACTCATACGTGTGTAAGTGAATGCGAGCGGATTAACCCACTCACACGCACATGTGCCGATCGATCGATACAGCGAGGCAGCATTCAGCTTGCGCTTTTTAGTAGCACTGAAATCCTCTGTCTTCGGTCTATTTATAGTCACAGCAGAGAGGCTGCATTGATCAATCAGCCTCAGCGGGCAAAAAAGGCTGTTCGCAGGCTTTTAACATAGACCGTAGCCTCCTCATTTAGTCAGATTGTACTTTCTTCATAATAAATCCATCAGCAGGCCACAAAGGCTACTGTAGCCATACTCAGGCGAAAGTATATAGTCTATTGTATACCGCTCCAGGAAAGTTTCAGCTAATATAAGTAAAAATACTTCAGCATGGTAAGTAGCAAAATTCACAAAAAACCGAATATTTCTGCCGAAGATACACTTAATAACTTCGCTTTCCGACTTTTGTGTTACAGATATAATCGATCGCGTCTGCCGACAGAGCGTCATTCCATTTCGACCGAAAATACCCGCATCGGCATTATTGTCACCGGTTCGTTCACTTGTGGAGCGTTGCTGGGACGACCGACCGTCCGCTCGGCCGACAATCGAGTACATCAACAGCTACTTGAAATCGGTGCCTGGATTCGAGAGGGATGATAATTTTGTGGATGCTCTTACTAAACGCTTGGCAGCGCATGCGGAAGATCTGGAACAACGCATTCAGCGGGCACAGGAAGCAATACTAGAGGAGAAGCGCAAAGCTGAGCAGCTGCTCTTTCAGATCTTACCCGAGTATGTTATAAATTCTGATCGACGTTTTGGGTAATGGCGAATTCATTTCTCGAGATGCTTGCGTAAATAGGCATGTTGCCACAAGTCTGGTGCGAGGTACGAAGACGGATCCCGAATTCTTCAGTCAAGCGACACTGGGATTTACCGCTATCGAAGATTTTGGAGTAATTACCGCTGCGAGCACTCCTCTTCAGATGGTTGGTCTCTTAAACGAAATATACACCATGTTTGACGCTATTCTGCAGCAGTTCGACGTTTACAAAGTGGAAACAATTGCTGATACGTACATGGTAAGGCGGCTGTTCAGAATCTTACTTCGAATTCTTCTGTAGCCTTTTAGGTGCCTGTACGGTGATTGTACCCTTTAACATATGAGATGTTGGCTAGAAGCCGCAAACTGCTTTTTGTGCAAACAGCATCTGGTTTTCGAAAAAGTGAATTATGTAAAATTAAAATTAATGGTATAACAAGCATAACAAAATTTATCGATGCATACCTTATCGATGGTAAGTTAGCTGACTCATGCCAATATATTGCTTGATATGCATTTGCTGCATTGACTGATTTATGATCAGTAACCGTGTTTCTACGAATAGGCGGAGGGTGGCTTCGTCTAAAATTTATTGTAATTGACCCGTCACGGACCGCAATATGTATTTTAATCGATGAAAGCACTCGATAGCCATAAAATCTTTTAATGCTAAGTAGATCCGGGCCCGCAGCGCTTAAGTAGCAATCTCGTTAAACTTTGTGCGATAGTGGAAACTTTTTAGCTTGTGCTGGGCACAAGAGTACTGAGTATAGAAGTATAATTATTATGTGATATCTTGCAGATTGCCAGCGGTATCCCAGCGCGAAATAACAACGAGCATTCCAGGCAGATTGCTGAGTTATCATTGGAAATGATGCAACAAGCGCAAGCTTTTAAGATAAAACACCGTCCTCGTTCAAAAAATATCCTACTGCTGAAAATCGGGTGCCATACTGGGTCATGTGTGGCCGGAGTAGTGGGCAACCGAATGCCTCGATATTGTTTGTGAGTGAAAGAATATAAAGTACTGTTACAGCTAAACTGTCAAAGTAATCCACAGTGTGCTTCGATAAAAATAAGCTTGTATCAACTTTTAACTTCCGAACTTTACGGCGAAAGAAGGTTGAAAATTATTAGTGAATATCGTTTTACTGATAATTAAGTCTTTTATGCGCAGATTTGGTGACGCTGTTAATTTTGCATCACGGATGGTAAGCACCGGGAAAGGTAAAACAAAAGTGCAAGGAGTTTTGTCCTGTCAGCCATTCGATTTATCGAAACGTCTTGTCGTCGTTGCAGCGCTCAGAATCCAGTTCAGCTCTACCGCTAAAGATCATCTAGAAGTGCATAGTCCAGAATTTCGGTTCCAGAGCAGAGGCGTAATCGAGATCAAAGTACCCGCCCGCCTGGCAGTTAAAATCCAGAAAAGCCCCATTTGAGTGTATTCTGCTTGCAGGGTAAAGGTCCACAGAAATGCTACTGGCTTTTGCAAGAGCATGAAAAGAGCGATTACGATACAGAAGAGGATCAACACAAGCGCAAATCTCGGAAGCAGTCTTCGCCTAATAGGGACACTTCCAACCAAAGGTCACGGTCAAAGGTAAACGATCAAGAGAGTCACAGTCACAGAAATCTCTCACCAGAGCAAGATCGTTCTGAGAAAAGATCGACTTCCAAAAAGAAAAAAGGTCACAAAGAATCTGGATCCGGCCAACGGGATACACACAAGCATGAAAAAGCCAGTCAAAAAGCAAAGCCCGCTAACGAACCGGAGCGAAGGATATCGTATATGCAAAATAATCCGTCGGGGAGCGAAATATCGATAGAAATAAAAAGCAGTCAAGAAAAACCGCAGAAGAAAGTGACACATAAAGAATCCCAGCGAAGAAAATCTTCAGTGGCTGCAAAGCAGGCTGGAAGGAAACAACGTGATGAATCCCAAGAAAAGCAACTGCTAGCAAGAGACCCGCAGTCCACATTGCTCACAACAGATAAAAGCAAGTACGGTGTAAAACCGTATTCCGTGTCACGATCTACTTCCAATTTGTCACAAATGAATAACGCTAGTGATTCCCAGGAATCTGAAGAGAAATATGCCGCACCGATTAAACGTACTGCAAGCAGAGCTAAGGATAACCAAAGTGAAAATCACATTAAACATCCGCTAGACCAGTCCAGTGTACTGTCGTCTACTCGCACCAAAGCAGATCAGCAGTCGGACGGAAGCAGGATCAGACAAAAGTTTGTACCAATGGAGAACTTGTTGTTACTTTCCGCACGAAGTCAGGTAAGTTCTGCACAGCAATCGCCGGTGAACACCGGCAGAGAAAAATCCGGATTTCTGCCGAGTTTTGCATTCAACGTTGGGTCATCAAAACTTGACATTCAACAAGAAGCAGATCATAGCAAAAGCCCTAACCAGTCGAATGGAAAGAGTAAATCAGATGCAGCAGCTAGTGGAGACAAAAAACGTTTGGAAAAGAATCCAGAGGCCGATTACGAAGCCGCAGAAGCGGGTGCGAGTTCCCGGAAACGAGACGACGAAGTCCGTGAGAAAGAAGCTCGTGTCAAAGAAAGAAAATCCAGTCTGAACCAGTTCCCCAAAAAAGAACTGATTCGAGATAAGTCTCTGAAAGATACGAAGGAAAGCGATTATCCCAAAAAGCAGTCGAAATTGCCTCCAATCTATAATACAGAAGGGGATGCCGAATACCAGCGCAACATTTCTAACCATGGACGATCCACTGCGCATAGAAGCAGACGAGATGGTTCCGATAAGCAAAACCTTTCCCAGCGAAGAGTCCAGCGATCGCCGTCGAAAACGTCACAGCTATCCGACGACGAAAAAGACTCAAGGAAACGTGCAAACAAAAGTCGGCGGGATAACAGCCACCATGAACGCAAAACCAAATCCCCGGCACAGAACAACGGAACGCGAAGCAAAAGAAGCCATGATCTATCGGGCGAGGAAGCATCAAACGGTTCCCGAAACCGTAAATTTCGGCGGTCGCCATCTGTAGACCCCCCGAGTAGTAAGAAGCGCATGTCCAAACGTAGCCAATCCAGAAGGAAAACGAGTCCGGAATCCGGGAAAGCTACAAACGCCAAGTCTACGACAAAAAAAGAAGTAAGAAATGGGAATAAGAGCACCAAAGAGGTAAAAAATAAGCAATCACCTCGACGTTATTCCGACCAGTCTAATGGATCTGGAAGCCGGTCACCGGATAAGCGGAAAATCGCTTTGAGAGCTGAGCGCAATCGCCGGGAAGAAAACAATGCGCGTCATAAGGGATCAAAGCGCTCTAGCACACAACGTAAACGGAAGCCCAGTATTTCTAGTGATTCCGCAGAAGACGTGAGCGAGAAACGTCAATCGGCTTCTGCCAGTTCGTCTAGGAGCAGCGAGGATCCATCGCATGACATTAGATCTAAACATTCTTCCCGTCGAGATGATAAGAAGTCGCATCCCAAGAAAGCTGATACCTCCGATCTTTCCAGCGATTCTGACAGTGAATAAGTTTGCATTATATTGCCTATAATCCATAAAGCAACTAAACTAACGCCTGCAAATACACGCCCAAGAATGTCTTTTGCGCAAGCCTAAAGCGGTTAATAATTTCCTAGACTTCCTGCAATAAGTTCCTAGACTTTAAATCATATTCCATTGAAATTCTAAAGAAAATTTTCAGTCAACAGCAGTAATGTTAGTCATTAATGTTAGTTTTACTAATGGATAATAATTGTTTAAAAGATTAAGAATGTCGTGATGCATGGTAAGCTTTCAGACTGACAAAAAATACCAATAATGTTCAGAACGCGTACCAAGATTCAACTCTACCAGTATACAGTAGTTAGATTCTGTAGTATAATATAGTAGATCTTTATTACCACGAACAAAATAAATTGCATACACCAGTGCATATGCCAGTGTCTCACGTAAAATCAACAATAACCACTCCTATAATCAGAAAGCACGTCTTCTAAACGCGTCCGGACAGTGTCGGTTTTTCAAAAATGCATTAGGGCGATCAAATAAACCACCTTCATAAACCGAGTCTACCATGTACTCGTATTATACGAGTATTTTAGGCACTTAACCGAGGTACCCAGTTCACGAAGAAGCAGTAAAATGCATCTCCTGTGGAAGCTAGGTGATTTCCCAAATGTGTTACAACACCGAGTACGACGTTGGAGAATGACAAGAACATAATGTACACCGAAAAGACCGTCCGGAGTTCAGCCAGCATTAGAAACACCAAAATTAGACCAGCGTTAAAAATTATGCCCACTAATACGTATAAGAAGGTGTCGAGCCGGCATTAAGAGCTGCTAGAACTTGCTGATATCCGGTTATATGCTTCTGCATGCAGCCAGGTGGCGGAGCCATTGCGCAGAGCGGTTTGTCCGCAGTCCACTGAATCAACGGTACATCTTTCGCTGCGTTGCATCCATACTTGCCATGGAAGTGATCCTCCAGAGCATCAAGGGCATCTTTATCAGACTGGGACAGCTGCAACGGATTTGTTCGAATAAAATGCGCGGCAATTGGTGCATCGCAAATGCCGGTTTGGAGGTTCTGCGCTTCACATCCGTACATAAGGAACTGTGTTGAGTCAACATATACCACCATCGTGGAGAAGTAAGAACGGATGCTTTAATTGCATTGATTATTTAATGGCGTGTCACCAAAGATTACCCAGAGTATCCTTGACGGTGTACGGAATGATCAGGCCCTTCACGAGGCCTGTTTCTTGGGCTTTTCCAACAAAGAAGGCGTTGACACACTGGGAGGAGTTTGCGCTCACATAATTGGAATATTCCACCCCGTAGGTATGGGTCGAAGAATTAACCAGAGGTGTGGTGGACAGTCCCACATCATGCAGAATGACTACCCTACTTGATTTACTGGATCTATTTCGGGCGCAAACAGGCGTCGATAAAAGTAATATTTTCCGTTAATCTGTTGCACAAATCAGACGTACTGAAATTACGTAACAAATGCTTTGCTAAAGAACAAACAAAATTGTTTTTGCCATGAAAAATATTTGATTTCATTACCAGGTTTAGGTCTATCTGGCCCTGGGACGGCATGGAATTCGGCCATTTGCGCCCTGAAGGCGTAGAAGATCTTCCGTAGTTCGGTGAACTGGCTGTCGCCGGTGAACCTGTTTATAGTTTTATTAAAGCGTGCAGGAACTTATTAAAAATGTCTTTGGTACGAAAAAAATAATGGCATTGTGTCGGAAACGTCAGTTACTTGTCGGCTTTGCAATGGTTAACTTCATTCCTTGGATATCCTGGGTAATACAAAGCGGTGGGTCAATGGCCGTGCAAGTTCCCTTTGACCCATAGGTTTCCTTCGGTATATTCTCCACCGTAACGCAGTATTTTGAGAAAACAGAGTTAATAATACTGTCAAAATTATCACTCTCCGCCGCCGACAGCTGGTCTGGTCGCTTTCGCGTCTGAGCGATGATTGCGGACGCGGCGCACTGGACACCGTCCGCCTGGGCACGATCACAGCCATAACTTATCATCAGATTCTGATAGTCATGGTACAGAACTACGAAAGTCGTTGGACTTGCAAAATAATTACGAAATTTGTGCCACTTACTTTTATGTATATACTTTTATATACGTATCTTTGTACCACCAACAAGCTTACGCATGATATAATTATCATTGACGCCACCGAGATCGCCAATCTGTAGTCCTTGATTGGAGTATGCTCCCGTAAAGAACTGGAACGTGCAGGGCAAGGTGCCCGGCAAATCGGAGAAGATTTGCCACCACTGTAACATCGCCGGTTGACCGGTGACAGGGTCAGAGTAGGGCGCTACGCTGGTGATTTGTATTTGTGCTGCACTGGAATAATTCCCGCCAATTCTTCTGTACACGTACCATATGCCATCGGCCTAAATTAAGATTTTTCAAACTGGCTTGACTCGCAGCTACCGTTTACAATACAAAAATTAACAATGCTTGAATTTTTAAATACCTGGTTAGGAGCATATCCTCCCATCCCCTGCACGGAAATCGGAAGAGCCGGTGAACATTGTTGTGCGGAATATGCGGCTGTGTACGCTATACGGATACATAAAATTACATGGCCAACTTTAGGAGAGAATATCTGGGAATCTACGCAGTAAACAAAAGAAAAGGTGTAGATATGGGAATTACGGAATTTTGCTTACCTAAGAAGAAAACAGCAAATGCGAACAACATTACGGACAAAGATGATTTCTGTAACTCATAAATTTGACACTTTACCGACTATGGTACATGCAATTTGAAGGCTGATATTGCAGCAAGCTGTTCTTAGACGGGAAGTCAGACAAAGCCATCGCAAATTGCCCATCTGAGACCCTCCGCGACTGCATTCATCCCAAGGTTAAACACGTTAGCTTGACAAGTTGAATGACAACTCAAATTAATTTACTCGTACATCCACGATAGGATTTGCAGTGTTAATAAAAACATCATAAGTATGGAACATTTGAAAAGCACTGCATGTGCTCTTACTTATAAGGTATGGTTTTTTCTTTTTTTAGATACACGTTTTGAGACCTCCGGGCATGATAATAATTAGCTATTACGAGAATATTCAGAATAACAATGTTTGCCATATTGGAGGAATAAATGAAATGATTTATAGCATTTAATGTTTTCATTGCCATAGTACGAGTCTAATATGCATTTAACTTTTTATGAGTCTAATGGCTTGTCGTAATACCAGAGCCGGCAGAACGCCTCAGTTTATCTAATAATTATTGCGACTTGCTGTACAATACAAGTATACCAGTCATATAAAGGGCCACCCTATCCGATGACTACTGGTGGATGAGTTTATAACTGAATTCCGAAAGGCATTTACATTTTGTTAATCGGGATGGCTGCCGTGTATCGAGACTTGTTGAGAGTTGTTACCTCGCACAGAAGGGGCAGTTGTAAACAACAGTGAACATCTAAGGAGAAATAATTAAAAGTCTCTGCAAAGTTCGCCACATGCCATTAACACAGTGAAAGATATGTTTTTAATTGGCAACAGCCCTTCCACATAGCAAAAAAGCCTGCGCTGGGCGACTCTAATCAAAAAAGTGAAAGATCACTAATTAGCCAAACCATCTTTAAAGGACATTTCGAAAATTTCTTTATTCGAAAATCAGTTAATCTACAAAGATGCGTGCTTACTGAGTGCGTGCGTCTATCGAGTGACTGCAACGGGGGCATACTTACTGCCGGACTTCAGCCATAAGATGTGTATTACAACAATTACATACGTGTGCTTATAATTTTATGCGTGCAAGAGTGACCAAAGATGGAATTTTTTAATCCCCGCAGTTTATAAAGTACCGAAGTTAGTGTTCGAAATGCCTGAAGTAGTATATTCGCTTACGGTCTTATACCATTCTGTTTTCTTGAGTGCTGAGTAAGCGAAAGGTCGAAAACCTTTGGGGAGCTTTGCTAATTGTGAATAGACACAGTAGCGGCAATTTTTAGCAACATTGCCACTATGTTGTTGATGAGGTGTCAGTGGTCCACTTGCATCGACTAACACCACACTTCTCCCGCTCTAAGTACACACCATACAGAAATAAATGGTGCGGGAGCAATAACTCATCTTCGTTCCTCGGAGATCGATACATTGCTATTCCACTTATTACTGTCCCTGCTCATAAACCCGTAGTAAAAGTTTCTAAAACATTTCTACATGCATCAACTTCTCAAAGAGCATTTCCGCAATAAATTTTTATCTGCTAGCAGTTCAACGCATCCTACCGAAATTAATAATATTTTTATACGTTATAAAATGGAAGTTTCTGGCACTGTACAAACGAAGAATCTGTGGTATGAACGCTTTTCCAAGTTTGTATTTGCTGGTTTGCGTTTAAGCGGCATGTACCGGTATCAAGACGGTGGTGGTATCAACGGTTACGAAACGTCGAAACTTTCCTCCATAAGCTTCTTCATCTCGTCCGCGTACATGTTATTAGGTGTCATTGTGTGTTTCTACTTGTACATCCAGGAACCAGCAAGTGAGCAGTCAACAAAAATGTCGCAACTGCTTGTAGCGTCCACAATCGGCTTATTTTTACTCTCTGGTTGTATCATCGGTTACTTGTTCCGCGCGCGTTCGCATTCCCTTATGCCGGTCAACGAAGAAATTCGGCTTTATTTGTCAAAGCACGCGATATCTCAACACCAATATAAAGTACACGTTAGGAGACCGTGTGTTTGCTCGGCTCTCGCCATGATATTAATTTCTGTTTTTTACATAGTCTTAACCATACTACGCTGTATTGAAGAGTTTAATCACTATGATGACATGTTCGGTGTGTTAATTCCCGCTCCTGTTTCTATCATTGTACTGCTTTTCATCCCCATTCATTTGTCCGTAACTGTACTAGTACAGTATTGTCAAGCGTTCGCGTTTTATGGGCTCAGTATTGCACAGGGATTTCGCGATGTGCGAATACAAACTGGAGAGCTGTTTGAGCAGCATAAAAACGGTGACCTTTCTAAGGCGCAGTTCACGGTGGAACTGAAAGAGCAACTGCAACGCCATTTTCAGCTTTCCCAGTTTGTGGCACGTTTGGATGGCATCTTTGCGGCACCGTTTCTGGTGGCCCTGTGTTCCAATTTGCTGGCATTGATAATTATGATAAATATGCTGATTGGCGGCGCCCCGGCAAAACTCGGTTCCCTTTTTCAAAATGATCTGGTGAATTTGCTCTCTTGCTCTGTGGCAGCGATGGGTAGTTTTATGATGTGTTTTGGTTTACTGGTGATAGCATGTTCTGTTAAAAATCAGGTACTTGTGTAAATAAAAATAACTGCAAGGTTTAAAAGCTGCTATTAACTGTGGGAAAAACATTTTCAACGACTTCGAGTACAGGCAACCAACTTTTATTAGAAAAAAATTGAAAATAAATTGCACTTATAAGTGCTCATACAAAGGTGATTAAACTTATAACATTATTACAATTTCTGTTTTTACAAGGTTCATTCGATCGGTCCGGTTTTCGACCGGATTCTGCAAGCGCGTACGTCAAAGGAAGATTATAATTCGTGGCAAATTTACGAAACAATCCGAAGGATGAAGCAGAGCGATGTGAAATTCACGGCTTGGAACATATTTGACCTGGATACCAACTTCGTTGTGACGGTCAGCTTGGGAACGTTATCGTCGCACTAATTTTGTTTACTCGTATTTATTCTGATGACTTTGCACGTTGCAGGTTATCGGTGTGCTAGCCACGTATCTTTTCCTGGCTCGTGAACTGACCGGGCGCGAAGGAAAATCACAGATTTGTAATACCACGTCTAATTATACACTTACGTAATAAACCGTTAGATTGTGTTTGTACATATGATAATGAACCGTTTTGTATGAGTTCTATTCAACTCGTTCCAGTTTTTTGCCGTTGAAGTATGATTTAATGCATTTAATTAATTAATGGCTACAACGATGTGGGTTTAACTTTGACATGTTAAATCAAATGTTGCTAACATTGCTAAGATCTAATTCTCTTTATTAACGTTGGTTCGCAGGGGGTAAATAAATTAAATATGGATATATGTAGGTTTTATTTAATCAGGTCATATTCAAAACAATCGCATGGTTTAGTTTCGGCGTTTATTTGTGTGAATTACATGCGCACAAAGAGTGCAAGAGCGAATGCAAACACCATTAAAAACAAGCTGCTTATGTGCATTTCGGCTCCCGAATCAGTGTACCACACTCTCCACACTGAATTTGATCCATCGTCCGACACCCACAACGATCCATCCTTAGCGACAGCCACGCCTACCGGCGTACCATACACCTCACCGGACGCCGACACAAAGCCGGTCATGAAATCTTCGTAGACGCCACTGGGCGCACCGTTCTCTTCCAGCACCCGAATGACCTTGTATCCCGTCCGGTTCAGCCGGTTCCAGGAGCCGTGTTGGGCAGCAAAGACGTCGTTCTTGTATTCCGCCGGGAAATGATTGCCGGTATAAAACGCCATCTGCAAGGAGGCACTGTGCGCTTGGATCAACACCTCCGGAATGGATACACTGGGCACATTTTCGGGGACTTTGCCGGCGTGACGCGGATCGGTGTTGTTGCCGATATAGTACCACGGCCAACCGTAGAACTGATTAGCGTTTACACGGGTAATGTAATCCGGGACAATGTTATCGCCTAGGCCGTCTCTCTCGTTCACTGATGTCCATAGAACGCCGGTATCTGGGTGACTGGCAATGGTGACCGGATTTCGAATGCCTGCAAAGTTTTTGTCGTGTGATTAATGGAATAGTAAAAATATGTTTATTAAATCCACAGAGCATCTAACGCTAATATTAACGCCAATAAGTAAAAGTAGATACAAAGATGTCATATTTTAATGTTACCGGGAAAGATAAAAATTATTTATAAGTAGACTGATCAGACAAAACTGATAAGACTAATAAATAACATTAAAACATACGGTAATTGGGGAAATTCGTGATAGGATCTGCCCAGATATACGTATACAAGCACGTATTAATTGTAATCATCAGCTTCATTGCATTAAATAGCGAGAGCGCTGTTATTGCCTGATGTTAAGAAAGTGCTTATTATTTTTACTTCGTGTATATTCTAGATTATTGTGTTGATGAAAGGTTGTTACGAATATTTTACGAATTTCCAAATATTTCACCTGTTGCAAATTGGGTTTTTCCGGTTCCATCAAGGTTAAACTTCAAAATCATCGCCCGATCGACTTCGTTGTCAGTAGGATTGGCTTGAACATTGCTGAACGAACCAACCGCAACAAACATACTCTGCCCATCCGGGGAAAAAATAATATCCCTGGTCCAATGACCTTCTTTCGGAATCTGGTCGGTCACCACCTCAGCTGCTGCCTGCGCCACGGTATCGCCGTTTTTATAACTAAACCGCACAATACTCCCAGTATTGGCGATATACACATGCGTCGGATTATCGCCATGAGGATGGAAAGCGATACCAAACGGTTGATCCAGTCCCTGCTCGCGGGTAGCATAAATAAACCGGTCGACGTGCCCACTGTCGTTCCGTCGCAAGATGCTGATCTGGTTGGCTACGCCCTCCGACACAAAGACGTCGCCGTTGGGTGCGGTACGCAGGAGCCGCGGTTGCCGTAAATCGGTGATGAGCAGTTCCACGGCAAAGTTTGCAGGGACTTTTGGGAGTTCATTAGCAGGACGAGCAACAATCCGAGTCTGGTTGAATTCGTCGGACGGTGCCGGTGGTGGGAGGTCAGCCGGGGTGATCTTGCGCCGCACACCGGGTGCATCGTTACGGTAGTCGCCGAATGCTGCCGAACCGGTTAAAACGTTTTGACCGGCTGCGACATATCTGTACAGCTGCACGACGGCAGCGCATAAAATTAAAAATTTGTGCATTTTACGGTTGTTGATTTAATCGTCAGTAAGTATTAAATTTTTGAAGGATGTTGCACAACCAGATATATGCAGAGGCGGTTTATAACTGTAATTAATAGCGGAGAGTTTTAGCTGATCAGTTGATGCGGCTTTGTATAGTCACAGTCTCCTTATCAAGCTTGATGAATGTTATCCATCCAGTCTAAGCTCGAAAACAGTTCTTAGCAAAGGTTTCTTTATCGTATTCCAGATTGCAGTTATTGTGCTTTAACCTATATATTCTGCTTTTCTGTGTTGTATCTTCCGATCGGACATGCGGAAAGGAGAGCGATAACATTATATAATTTCTTATGGTACTGCTGTAAGTACAAGCTGGCCCATAAAATATCATTAATTTTATCTTCGGTTTTTAGAAGTAGAGTACCCGGTATTTCATGCGAATTAATTCTGTTGCCATGTACGAAATAGTTGTGCCGCATAACAAAACTCGCCATCTGGTCTTCGTTATGATCTGTTAAAGAACCAAAGAAATGACAGTCTACACACATTTCCAGCAGGCAATGGCAAAGAGAATAAACATCGAAACAAAATGACAACCAAAATGTGATGCGGCGTTTCCACCCGGGCTACCGGTTGTCGTGGTAGTATCATCAACAGTCCTATTGTACCATACTCTCCACACTGAATTCGATCCGTCGTCCGAGACCCACAGCGACCCATCTTTGGCTACGGTCACGCCGACCGGTCGACCCCATACTTCACCGGCATCCGTGACGAAACTGGTCATAAAATCCTCGTAGATCCCGTTCGGCACACCGTTTTCTTCCAGCACGCGGATGACCTTATAGCCGGTCCGACTTTGGCGATTCCACGAACCATGCTGGGCCGCAAAGATATCGTTTTTGTACTCCGCGGGAAATGAGCTACCGGTGTAGAAGGTCATCTGCAGGGACGCACTGTGGGCTTGGATAAGGACATCCGGAATGGATACTGTGGACACGTTGGCTGGGATTTTCCCCGCGTGGCGTGGATCAGTATTGTTGCCGATGTAGTACCAGGGCCAACCATAAAATTCATTTTCGTTGACGCGCGTGATGTAGTCCGGTACAAGGTTATCGCCCAGTCGGTCTCGCTCGTTGACGGAGGTCCATAGAACATTAGTGTCGGGATGGAACGCAATAGTGACTGGATTGCGAATTCCTGTAGAATGAAGTTTTACAATAAATATTTTACGCTGTATTATGATGATTTACAGATACATTGCTGACAGTTACCGTCTTTCGATGTATTACCGTAATCTCCTATCACATTTTTACATGGCCAAAATTACGTGTCGCATTTATATACCTTTATATTTCCGGTTGTATCATATCATAATGTAAAGGTCGAGTAAATACTATTAACAAGTTTGTAGTTTTTTTGTTATAAAAACTAAGCACGCTGAAGTACGACTATGTTCAAAGTACTACATAAATACAAATCATAAGCAGAAAGTAGCATACAATTACCTGTGGCGAATTGGGTCTTTCCGGTGCCGTCAACGTTAAACTTCAAGACCATTGCCCGGTCTGTCTCGTTATCCTGTGGTCTCTCCTGGGCATTACTCAAGGATCCCACCGCAACGAACATCGCCTGGCCGTCTTTAGAAAAGGCAATATCTCGCGTCCAGTGACCCCGCCCGGGAATACCCGTCACCACTACTTCCGCCTGACCCACGGCCGCTGTATCTCCATTTGAATAGTTAAACCGGATAATACTCTCCTGATTGGCGATGTACACATGAGTGGGCGTATCTCCGGGAGGGTGGAACGCAATTCCAAACGGCATGTTGATCCCGTTCTCCGCTGTCGCGTACGTAAAATTAGTCACCTGGCCAGATGAATCATTACGGCGTAAGATAGTGATCTTTTGTCGGTTGCCTTCCGATACAAAGACGTCGCCATTGGGCGCGGTGCGTAATAAACGCGGAAATGATAGGCTGGCCAGATGCTCGACAACAAATCCCGGTGGGACTTTGGGCAACGCCCCTTCCGGACGGGGAGCAATGGAGGAACGATTGGAGCGGTCTTCGCTGGGGGCGGGAAGGTCAGCGGGAGTGATCTTCCGTCGCACTCCGGGGGCGTCGTTGTGGTAATCTCCGAAAGCCGCTTGGCCAGTTAAAATCGTGGTTTGGTTATCTGCCCAACAAATAGTAACGCAAAGGCACAGGCATGTGAACAATGCAATTGCGTTGTACTTCGCCATTTTTTGAATACTGTATCGGTGTATCAGGAAATTATTTTGGTATTGTAATTGGATTTTGTGATTGCTGCACTTATAGCAGCTATTACAAATAAAGTTGAGATGCCTGGCTTCGTGTATAACGTTTGCGATAACTGTTATAATTTTGTGCGGTGCCAAAACGTAATTTTATCTGATGGGTATATTGATAATGATGGCCGTCGATACGCTACGCTTCCGATATTTTTGTTAGGAAGTAGATAAGTAAGATAGCCAATTATTATTATTTCAAAGGTTGCATAAAACCATCATTATCTCATATTCGAGTATGCTTATGGAAATCTTCACTTATGTATTTTGACACATTAAACAATTTCCTAGGCGAATAAAGAACAAATAATTTGTATATCATACGCACAAGAATTATCATAACTAATTATCTTTTGGCACACTTGACCAGTGTGGCAACGCAGCTGCATTTTAGGATTCCATATCCGATCCAATTTCTCAAATAGGAAGCAAAGAACAAGCAAAAGACCATCGCAACACTATATGCCTACAAGCGTAATGGACTAAAAAAGTAAAAGAATGTATCGCATCCTGATATGTTTGAGACAAACAAATAATTCAAGCGTAAGTGTATCCGTTTCGTATTCGCTTGGCCAAGATACACGATAATGCCATTCCCACAATCTGCAAAACAAAATTTCATTCATTTAGGAGGAATTTGCGGTTAAATAAGGCGTCTGTAATAGGCTCACAGAATGAATTTAAAAATATTATTTATTTCTGTGTAATAACAACTGTCTTTAATAAGTTTATTACGCAAGATTATGTCAGCGAATTCTTTTATTATTTTGATGGTACAAGCAAGCCATAGCGTAATATTCCAGCCAGGCGACGGTAGCAAGTACAGGGCTTGATTATCCTTTGAGAGCCCGTGATGTATTTGTACTAGTATGGAAGGACCGATACAAAATTATATTTTATATATATTCCAAGGCTTGCACGGTTTGTCATGTCTGAAAAGTCAGGGGAGATTCAGGCGTCATGCAAGCCTGAACTGCCTCATACAGCGCAGCTTGGGATCAGCAAAAGTCCCTACTATTTTGGAGCCACCGGGATTAAGTATGACAAATGGGAAGCGGCCGGACGGTTTATCTCTTTTCCCTTGGAAGAATGGCCTTCCTTTGATTTGGGATGTGACAGTATGCGACACATTCGCTATATCGTACATTGCCGGCTCATCAGAAGTTGCGGGATCGGCAGCAGAGGGTGCAGAAGAACGAAAAAAAGAGGAAATTATGCGGAACTGACCGATCGTTATTCTTTCCAACCCGTGTCTTTGGAAACTATGGGAAGTTGCGGCGCCAGTACCCGTCAGTTCATAAATGAAGTTGGTAGACGCATAAAAGAACAAACAGGAGAAGCGCGTGCTACCGAATTTTTGTGGCAGCGTATCAGTGTCGAAATTCAGCGCGGAAATGCCGCTTCTGTTCTGGGAACTGTTTGTTGTTCGAAAGAGCTAGAAGAGTTGTTTTATTTGTTCTAGCTATACGTTACTTGAGTTTAAGTGTAAATGGCATCTGCTTGTACAAGTTCCAAATAAAAAAAAAGATTTTATATATAGATATATAGAAGTATATATAAATATTGTATACTTGTACATATATATTTGTTCTAGTATGGAAACTCTGCTTTTACTGTTTGGCGAATTTTGCTATACCTGAATAAAAGCAATAGCCAGCCCGACGCCGGCTACGGCTCCCATGTGGTCTTCAACTTCCGTTCGAAGTTTATTAGCGCATCCCTTAGTGTAAATCGGACAATTGTTATCCGTGGGCGGTGGCTTACACCCATTATATGCGACGCTGTTCCAGTCCAGATTACAAGTTCCATTCAAATTTATCCTTTCTATGTTGCAACAGGAACTTGGGATTTGATGTCTGCGATTAACCCAGTCCTCATAACTGGTGGCTCCACAGCAATGCAACTAAATAAAAAAAATTACGAATTAAAAGTTATAACAAAGGGGTGTATAGTTGCCATCCAAATACCGTTGACTGGGTGTGGTACCATAAATTTATATCCTGGGGATTGGTATTATTGTTAATGGACTCGGTCATAAATCCCGTAAGGTAACTTTGGATCTGTAGAATAGAAGCATTTGAATGCATAATTTTACAGGCACCGATATTATAGCCGTTAGCCCGGCCCTTTACTGTAATTCCATCTTTAGCAGCTACATAATTTAGAGCGGTATATTGAGTTGAAGGGCACATTACTATGTCCCGAACACAAATAACTTTATTACGCACAAAACCAAAACTGCCATTTGCGGTCTTTATCTTTGTACAGTAGATGCTGCTGTATGTCAAGAGACATACAATAATTTCGGTGTACTGACGAATTGTTAATGGCAACCACGGTTTATCAAAAAACCAATTAGTTTTATGGAAAAATTACATATCGATAAACGATTTTTAGTGAAAAGTTAGTTTGCAGAGTTTGACTTCTGCCTGCCCACACTCAGCAGTATAATGATGACATTTTTGAGTTGGTAGACAACAGGAAAGTTTTAAACATTCTATATTGAAAAACCGAAATATTCTTCTGCTGTACCTACCTCATTGCGCTCCACATAGGCTGCGATGGCTCCAGAAATCTCGAGAATAAACAGGACTCCCAAGAATATTGAGAACTGAAAATATCATGAAGCTTTTATTTATCTGCATTACTCCAATAACTTATGCGGTGTTGGATAAGATACATAGTGCCTTACTATCAGCAAAAACGTTTTAGCGACGGTGGAAACTTTTAATAAATCTTGAGTTTATGGCCGTCTTCAGCTGCTTATTACTTACCGTGACGATAAAACACAGATGGCTTTTCATGGCACCGCAGCATCCCAGGAAAGACACGACACTAATGACGATCCCAACGAATATCATAAAGCCCGGCACCGACGCGTATCCCTGGTCCAGGAAGGTTATGTAGTTCTTGTACGCCACCCGAGCGACGGCCCCCGCTCCAATCAGAGCTAATCCCAGTATCTAAATGTAATAAAAAACAAATTTCAGTAATAGACATGTGCTTACAATCCCGACCCGTTCGAGAATTTGAATTTAAATTTTTAAAATATGGATACTGCAATTCCTTTGTATCAGCACATTTAATAAGTACCGCGTGTGCGGAAAAGAGATTCACTCACTGTAAAGGATGACATTATTCGAAAAGAGTTGGAAGGAGTTGAGTACTAGGCACGATGTTTTAACAAGTGTTATTGTTACGTAGACCAATCACCAAAATATTAAATTTCAATAATAAATTATTGGCTCTGAATGTCATTAAAAGCAACGTTAAAAATATAATATTAAGATCGATCGTCATAATTAAGTTATTCAGCCATCCACAGTTTTGTAAAGAGCAAACAAATTTTGGTGCCTTTCGTCAGATTTTTATGGCGAAGATATATGACACACTCAAATTTTTGTATACGGTATATATAAATATTTGTATACATTTTGAAATTTAAAACGTCGGCAACGTTACGCAAAATAGTGATGTATACACAGAAATAAGTACTCGAACGTACGATATTGATTATAACTTCGCACTTACGAAGAAAAGGATGTTGAAGATGACCAGGAGCCATTTGATAAACTGCGTACTAGTGAATCCCATCTTGTGCGCTATGGGTGCCACGTAGAATTCCAAACGTCCCTGGGGCTGGGGCTTTTTGAAGGGGTTGACCTCGAATTCGTCGGTATCTGGATTGAGCATGTGTGTGGCAGCGGAATGCCCGTGCAGATCGGTGCCACTCCAAAACCACTACCGGAACCCGGATTACCCCGTAAAAACGTCGATAACGCGATAGCGTACAAGACAATGTACCACGACACGCTTGCCGCAATCGGTTGATCCGCGACCCAATAGTTTTATTACCAGTATTACAGCTGTGATTTGTACGATAACGGTAGCGCACACGCGTCGGCTTGCCGGATCAGCAAAAAATGCCCAAGCAAGTCGGCAGCGGTGGCAGATGCGATGTGATTTCTGCTGTATCCTACCTACGAGACGGCATGCCTATAGTCGAGCAAACAGGTTTAGTGCCGCCGTGTTTAACAGTATCAACAGTTGGAGTAAGTGCAGCAGACATAAGCAAATTTGCCCAAGGCGTTGGGCTGGCATTTCAATGTTGAGAGAATGCTCATTTTGCGCTACTTTACAACTGAAATGACCAAAGATACGACGATTCAGACGGAAGAACACTCAAACAGCTGGTCGATACTCAACAGGTGGATCAAGTACACAGAAAAGCAAAAAATATCGTACGATTCTTTGCTGCTGTGTTACTACATACGCTTAAACTTGTAAAGGCATTTTGTATGTTTCATGATAGGTTTACAAAAGATGAACAAAAGATGAATGATTTAATAGCGGTATCCATAACCCCTTTATTGATATGAAGTTGTACTAGTGCTGCTCGGTTCGTCGGTTAATCCGCTGCCGGAAAAATCCCTGACCGGATTTTTAGAAGGTTTATGGAAAAATCAACTGCCTTATACTTTTTATTTTATTCCAGTTAATTATTATTAATAAACTATACAGAACATGTTAAACTGACATGCTTGTACCGATGTCAAAAAAAGTCAGCGATGTTACACACTGCACTGTAGACATTCTAGATGTACGCCACTGTACGGTATTTTTTAATTTTACTGTCGCATCTTTTTTTAATACCGTATTGCGCGCGTCACCATCGGCGCGCAAAAGTATGTACGTCATTCGTACGATAACAACGATTTAAGTACTTGTTGTGCCCCAAAGCGGTCCCTTTCTGACTTTGGTCGTTAGTGCAATAAATTTACGAGAAATGATAGCCATAATCCAACAGTTATTTGCGTATGTAGGTCGAATCATTGAGTACTTTCATAATGTTTGATATTTTAATTTTAAAAAAGGGGCTTACGCATGGCTTTTTTAAATTTTAATAAAATACACTGCTTTAAGAATTTCACCCAGGTTAAGCAAAATACTGATCTGCATGCCGAAGATGACAAAGCTAATTCGTCACTATGTTAATATTGTTATGGAACTTGTTCTAAAATTTTGGCCCATACGAAATGTATGTTGCTTCTGTAAAATATTTTGCCTTTAGAAAGAATGCGCTCAGAATATGAACGATGTTGTACTGTGGACACAAGAAACGGAAACAGGATCTGATCATGATCCATTGCCCGCATCCATTTGTGTCTTATGCGTTGTCTGACCTCGTTACAACCTGATCGGTAGCAAACCAAATGCAACAGTAGTATTAATGCTTCAGTACATAAGACGCTCTAAAAGGTCAGCGCAAATACAAGAGAAATTTAGCTTGAAATTTTTAAGATTGACTTGAAAGACATTACCAATGTTTACCACTGATCAGTTCCGAAAACTACGTAAGCATGAATACCATAGTCAGATATCCTTTTCGTCGTCTCCAGGCGAATGCCTGCGAGTATAACCATCGGAACATTGTGATGGTCCAGCGGGAAAAAGACACATGGTGGCTAGGATACATCCAGGACATTAATGGGGACCAGGTGTTTGTTAATTTTGATTCCGTGACGGAACGGTCTTCCTGGATCCGTTCCAACCATATCTGGAACCGGACGCATCAGCTTCGGGACGCTTATGCTATCGATGACGAAGTACGCGATCATGGCAGCTGTCCTGTCTATGTGGCTGTACGAGACGACGCCAATGGACCGCATATATTTCGTCCGGCTAAAATCCTGTTGCCGACTGCTGAGCTCGGTTTGATTTACATTAGCTTGGATATTCTAAATTCCAACGATCACAGTTCTGGGTGTCGTTTTCCGGCACATCCGTGGCAGTTGGTTGACAAACTTCCTGGTGACAAGGATCGATCATTTTTTCAAAGTGACAGCGGATTAGTATACAAGAAATTCGTGGTGCCCTTACAGCATGCTTGTTTGCCGAAATTTCTTAATCTGAAAGAAGTGCAGGAGTGTTTAATAATTGCTGCAAAGATGCAACATCTTACAGCGGATGCACCTGAAATGCCGTGGCACGGCATGTCAGAGTGCCGGCGCATTATTGATCGGTTTTTTATGCGAGCTGATATAATAAGGTTACCAAGTTAGCCGTCGAATGCGGTAGGAGCACTTATATTCGTCTGTCCCCAGGTTCTTACTGTTGATCCTAACAAGAAAGTGGTTTTGACGGAAGAAACTTTGGCACGAGTATTCGAAAAGTACTCACCACGTGCGATCAGCAGGATACGACGGCCGCCGACATACCAAGCTGTGCCATTAAAGGGCTCCTTGCATGCGTCACAGGTACAAATTTTTAGTTGACTGAACCGTGTAAGTAGAATTTTTCTAGGCAAGTACAGTAGTATTGTTTACCTACCGTGAGCATACGAAGTCATATACGTCAGAGACGTTATTTTTCTACGTTGCCGTTTCCGTTTCCATGCTCATACTACGAGTATGTACTTGTACTGAAATCCATCATGGTCGCTGTTTAACCAGTGCATATAATGCATATTATTATTTGGGTCTGTAGATTCGCGATGTTCTTGTACCGACTTGAACCTGCATGATTTATCCTACAATATTGCGTCTGAGATAGTTTTAAATCTTGATGTTCACTCCCAGACAACAGCTAAACGGTAAGCACTAAAAATTCTAATTACACCAGTTCGTATGAAAAAGATAAACGTTGACTTTCGAAATTAAGACCTTAATAAGTAATATAATTGTGTATTTTCTTTGTAGAGTCTGTATATTATGGCACCTTGTGCTAAAGCGCCCGGCTGTTAGTCATACTGTGATAATCGACGCTCAGCTAGTATACTTTGTTGAATACTGGCACAGAAAGGAATACATGTACAAACTGACATGCTGGTTGAATGAAAGGGTCACTGATCGCACCACTTGCCTTGCATTCGTTAATTGCTCTGGCTTGGAATACCTCAATAATATCGCGGACACAACCATGGATTTATTACAAGCCAGAAACGTCTTCCTGCCTTTGTTAATCGTCAAAGATGCTCATGGGCAGATTGAGAACAATTTTTCTGGTTACGATTGGCAATATCAATCTACACAGCGGCCAATCTCTGCACCGTATAAAGATAACTGGCGCCGTTGCAGTTTATCCACTCTGCGAATGATTTGCAAGAAGATTTTTATAATGAACTACACTATTAAGCGGATTTTAGCCCAAGCAGGAAGATTTTTTCACCGTACGAGACCCTGGGAAATGGGCTGGGGTTTGGAAGTTACCGTCCCGCTGTTGTGGTTTTCTGCCTCAGATAGAAATTCTCGGATATGTCAACGCCTTTTGATTGCAGCGGAAATTGCTAGTCCACCGGTCAGTGCAGTAGTTTACGAGAAAGTCCGCATAATCCATCACCACTGGGTGCAGACGGTAGCATATCCGAATGGCTGGGTTGGTGTTCGAGACCTCCTTAATTTGTAAGTTAACTGTGACAAGTGCTTATGGATCTGCGGACTTTCTGATAGGTACAGTATTTTAAATTGTCACATTTCCGCAGTTACAGTGGTTTTCACACGGATGGCAGTGCACGGACCTGGAATGACGTTGATTTGCGAAATATGGATATTAGCACTTGGACGAAGTTGACCTTTTACGCAATCGATTTTTTCTTCCAATAATAAACCGGGACTTTGGCATCCTATTTTAGGACTTATCCAGGGTTTTGGTGTGCTTTTTTGTTACATAACGACTATTAACGAGTCAGTTGTTTCAGAATTTCGGGGCATGTTGACAAGGTTTTGGTTAGATGAACAGTTTTGTCTATTTTGTTGCAACACGAGTACGTACTGGCTTCATCGGTAATAATTCACATTCTTTAAACTGAGAATGCAATGCTGCGCTGCAATAGCTAATTAATTTTTACTTCTGAATTTGTATGAGTGGCAATATATGCCTGTCAAAGCAAAGTTTTCTCCGTTATGCTCTTGTGTTTGCGTGCTGCAGTATACGAGATACATGTAATATCGTCTACTGTGCGTAGAGTACTAACTAGACTTGTCTATAGTCAAATTGTACGACATTGGTGCAGCAGATCCTTAACGTTGGATTGACGGAGTCAGGTAAACCTGCCTTGAGGCGTTCGCAATCTTTTGGTGCGGCACTTGGCACATTCTTCATTCTGGACGTCTCTGTGATACGAAAATCGTTTTTAAACTCAAAAAAGACAGAAATAGTATCAGTGAACATCTTGAAATACAATTTGCAGTGATCGCATACTCACTTGTCAGTACACAAAAATATAACTTTTATTCGGCTACAGCCACTGCAGAGATCAACACGCTTGCGCATGTTTACTCTACTTGAAATGATAGAATTTTAAACATTAAAAAAACACCCAAAATCGTTAGAATCCTTTGCCATCTTAGGACGTGCACTCATTATCCCCAAAACGGCTGCTGCCTTTCCTTTAACTACCGCTAGGCTCAATCGCTACCTCAAAAAGGCCGTAGAAGGCAGCATATTGCAGAATAGTAGGTGGTATTTATAACATAAGGGATAAAATGGTCTAGAAAATTGGCGCACTTTATTATACCGTACTACGGAGTGTAGTACAATGTACGACAAAAAGAGGTTGAACCGATCAGTCGGTCCGCGGTTCAAAATAACCTCACAACGACACGCCACCACTAAAACTTGACGCTGATCACTATTTCAGACGCTGCGCTCCGTGAATATCAAAGTGTAGCTATACTAGTTGCATATCAAAGGTGTGAAAAAATTTTAAACTTTTGATACTAAACCTGTGGCTGTTTATGGCGAACAGCACAAATTCTAGCCATTTTGCTTTCTCGTAGGCACAGCATAGGATCTGTGCGCATAACCGTTTGGCTTGCAATCAGTGCTTAAGTCTATGGGAAAGCAAAATGGCTAGAATTTGTGCTGTTCGCCATACTTTTACACATTTAATGACAAAGTTCAAAAAAGAACCCACACCAAAACAGTTGGAACAGCAATCTATTGGACACCAAAACAGTTGGAATAGCAATCTATTGGCAGGTCAACAACAGAACTGCCACTCAGTCGGTGTTCCTATCAATACTTATCTGTGCCATGGTTAATTTTGACAGAAAAACTTTTCGAATGCCCTGAAATCGGAACGATGTGGAAAATGTGTGCATTCTTTCCCGCAGTGTCTAACTCCTGATATTCGCTTCGCTCTCGTTTAGCCCAAATGTATGATAACGTCATACATGCAATCTGCAATAAAATAGGATTATTCGATTAATACGAACTTTCGTAAGAAACATACGCGTCTAATATGCGTGTTTATATAATTATAGAAGTATACCTGAATAGAAGCAACAGTTAATCCCACGGCGGCTACCACTCTCATGTGTTCTTCGGCTTCAAATCGAATTCTATTGGCGCATCCCCCCACATAAATTGGGCAATTCTTATCGGCCGGCAGTGGATAACAGCCTACATATTCTGGGCTCTTCCAGTTTAAATTACAAGTGCCATTAATTAAAATAGAAACTGTTTTCCCCAGGTTGCAACAGGAACGTGGGATTTCGTTGTTGAGGTAAATCCAGTCTCTATAACCCCTGGCTCCGCAGCAATGTAACTATAAATAGCAAGCAAATACACAATATAAATCATAAATGGTGGTACGATTGCCATCTGAGTACCGTTTCTTGCGTGTGGGCCCATAAATTGGCAACTTGGGGATCGGTGCTGTTCATGGAATCGGCCACACATGCCGTAAGGTACGTCTGAATCTGCAATGCGACACGCATTAATGCATAACTGCAAGATATGATACGATTTTTTTGGATTTAAATGTTTTTCTACACATAAACTTCTAGAAAATCAAAAAACAGTTCATATATTTTTTTGATGATATGATTTTTAGTATGATTGTATGCTAAGAAAAATCGGCAACTGTGCAACTATCTGTACACACTGCTGTACAAAAAGTACATCTCACTGGTCAGTATTATAGTTTCATTTATTACACTTGTACAGGAAAAAAGCCTTACGTTATTCCGTTGTATATATGCCGCGATGACTCCGGAAATTACCAGCGCGAACAAACACCCCGAGACGATTGAAAACGCCAAATTATACTACAATAAAAGTTTGACATAGTATTCGTCATAGAGAAAAGCAAGGTCTGCTCTAATTTCAGGGCTTTACGGCAAGATTAGTGAGTTAGATGCCCGTTGAAAGGCCGGAACACTACTGGCCAGTGGCCTTTTTTACGCTGACTTACAGTGGTGACACGATACAGATGTCTTTTCCATACACTGCAGCATCCCAGGAATGATACTACACTGACAACGATTCCAACCAATATATTTAAATCCGCCGTCCACCGGTAGCCAAAATTCAGGAAGGAAATGTAATTTTTGTATGCCTCCTGAGTGACTACGCCAGCTCCAATCAGACCCAGTCCCAATATCTACTTTGTAATAACACCAACTGGTTTAAATGATTCATGACGCAAGTCCCTGACTTTCGCAAATACAGATGAAGTGGTTGACGTAATAATATTACACTCATGTAATCATATACATTTTGATTTTTGGACAATTTACTAGCGTGGCGCTTACAAAATGACAAGTGTTGCAGATGACGAGGAGCCATTTGATAAACTGCGTACTGGTAAATCCAGCCTTGTACGCTTCGGGTGCCATCACTGCTATGTATAAGACCAACCGTCTGAAGCCTGATGTATTTTCACGTATGGGAATCCGAATCCGGCGGCGGCGACTGTCGGGAGCAAATGTATGCGAAGAAGATAGTTTATCGTTTCCACTAAAAACCTGGGAGCCAGAATAGCTCGGTAATTAACGTCGATTACGATCTGACGCCGTTCATCACGCGGCTGTTGCGATTGCACGTCATAATGACAGTGCTGCACAGTCAGCTTGCGGATATAGATATAAGGAATATGCCAAGCAAGTCAGCAAACTCGTTACCCGGCAGTCGGAACATATCATGCTTTACGTATACTTTACCGTAATCATGTGAATATCATGCTATTGTCTGCCACAACTTGCAAGTGCCAACAGAGAAAGATGTCTGACTTTTCGTAATGCTGGTTAATACATCACGGTATGTCTATAGACAGCACAGAAAAAAACAGCAGAGTATTGCCTATGCGTGTACTTGAGTGATTTGGTTTCATACGTGTGCAGCTAAATACGTGTATTTGTACGTGGTTTTACTTGTGATTGATTTATTCCTGCAGCAGATTCTTACGAGTGTCTTTAATAAATCGAGAATTTAGCTGCCTCAAAACTTACATTTGACAGCTGCTTTTTAAAACATAACTTTACTGCAGTTTTAAAATTAATAGAAGTTTTCAGAACAAATCAAGCAGTATGCGCAATATGCTCCAGTAGTAGATTATCTACTGGGAAAGAAATAACAATAAGTTCAATAACAACAGCTCGAAATATTTGAGCTTGAGTGTGAACTTCGATGATGAAGGCTAATCTGTCGGTGACGAACAAGGCATCACGGACACTCCACTGCCTTTGCATCGATGATTAAGTACATAGATGAGCTCGTATGTTAAAAAACCTACATAGGCGTTGGAAGATACCCGAATGTCTGAATCTGAGCAATAGCTGTTTTCCAGCGGTTAGTTGTTTTACCAAGGTTTAATGTGGTGCCAAGAAGTCAAGGACAGTAGATCGCAATAAACTCGGTGATTTGCTACAGCAAATACGGAACATGTCCAAGATTCAGAATTTAGCAATTGTAACAATTATTTGTCTTGAATACAGTAGCCACAAAAAAGACTAAAGTAGAATATTACAACTGTTTAATGCCGGCAAATTATCGCTTTAACAGCCTGCCGCCACAACGGCAGAGCCCACAACAGGAGGATCGGATCGGCAATCGCTTGGCAATTAAACAAGACAGCCACCACCCCATCGACATTTTCATAAATATGTTGCACTACCATCTGATACCCAAAATAAGCCACATAAGGCCCCCAGAATATCAGAATACTCATCATCATGATAATTATCAGGAGGCGCGTCTGCTGCTCCATAGCAGACTGGCTTGCGGTCACGTGATTTGTGGATGTCGAACCAACTTGCGATCGTACAATCAACTTCCTTTTCCATAAACGCCGCATCCGTTGTTTCCATAAAATCAACGGGCACGAAACCATTATAACAATAAAGGAGACAATAGCGTACAACTCGCCGATTGTTGCGTTGGAGACATCCGCCGCCGTAAACTGATCGCTAAAGCAGTTGCCGATCTGCGTCGGTCGACGATTAATTAAAACATCGATAACTGTGCCGGGAAGTCCAATTATGTGGGCCAATAACCATACCGCAGAATTCAACAGCCACGCTTTTCGCAGATCGTGAAATCGATGGAAGGATATGGGAAACCACAGCGCCCAGATTCGGTTCAGGGCAATTGTGGCATGCGTAAACATTTGAATGGCTGAAATCACTGCGATGGCATAAACGTACAACATGCAACCAGATACGCTGACGAACAGTCTGGGGTAAAGTTCATTGAGGGTATTCAACGGGCCAATCATTGCGTGGAAGGCTATGTTTGATGATAATAGTCCTATGAAATACGTGTCAAATGGTGTCCATAAATTACGACGAAGAAAAAATACTATTATTAACAATAAGTTGAGTACTAACGGAATAAAAGAAAAAACCGCGAAAGCGACAGATCTGGCCACACTGGGCACAGCTGTTGAATTTTTCATCAATTGCAAAGAAACGTTCTCCGAAGAAATAATGTTGGACGTATTACTATCCATCATTATGAATAACACGGAAAAAAAGGAGAAAATGTGGTGAACCGCCTTTAGATCTGGATGGGTGCATACCTGCAGAATAACCTTGGGCTTTTCTGTCGTCATGCTGTGTCTAAGCGGGTAGAGCTTTATCGTCTCAATATTTACACAGGACTCCATCATCCACAAGAAGATGTTACGGAAGCGTAAACTTTCAAGTACCGATTGTGCACGCCGGCTAAGTTTATGCAGGTGTATCCACGGTACTTCCAGTTATAATGCAGTATGCGGATAGTGGTAATCTCCAAGATTACTAGCTATGACGATATTGATCGGCGCTTTAACGTAAAGACTGTTTTGTTATCCAGTGACCAGTGAAACAGCAGCCAATGTCCCACATTACACGTCGTTACCATTCGAGCAATAATAAACTTGCCCAAATTTCTTGGATGAGTTTTTATATATTTATTTTTTGGGTCTTCCTCTGATTATAGTGATGGCTTCTAAATTACATTGCTATTGGACTGGCTTTTCTATCAGACTATACATTGATTGTTGTATTGTCCAGTGTCCACTGCTGCAACGGGGCATCGCCCCTCGCACTAGACATCGAACTTCCCATTGTTACTTACACGACATTATTGACACGGGTTGTATGCAAGCATTGACAGATTGTTTAAGAAGACCGTTTAGCCAATAGGTTTCCATATGCTGTTTGCCCTTGATGGAAATGATTCCTCGGTATTCCATATCGAACCGGTTCATTTCCTTCAGCAAAGCGGCAGTGAAGTGGCTGACTTGGGTGCGATTTGGCATTCCAGAAGTACACATCCTGGACGCAGTATTTACCGTGTCACCGAATCTATAAAGGGTTCAAAAGTAAAGTGTTCCACGAAACTGATGCATGAAGTATGATCACGAGCACAAAACACTTTGCTTTGCTCTAATTACGATAACACCGCAAAGCGTACAGGCAGTATCTTAAGCGCCGAAACCCGACAATCCCAGCAGCACAGGGACCTGAAAATATTTCAGACTCTATACACTCGTCTGTCCTTGCAAACAATTTATTAATTTGTCAGAGCGAAGTAATCCAAATGGTCGACCTGAATGAATTCCTGATCTAAACTGCAGCCACTGTAAATTCGGTTGAGCACAGAGCGTTGGTGCTGTCTGTAGAATCATTAGTGCAAGATCGGCCGTCACTTGTGTGATGATAAGTGATCATTCTGGCGCCCGGCGCACCACCCCTCGGGTACGCACAGGGCGCTGCTTAATATAGAGGGGCGATACTGCCCTAGCCACTAGACCTCACCTCGCCAGTCGGCCCTTGCCCAAAGTCCGTATAACTTTGCATACAAAATTTTTGCATGCTGTATACCATAGCAACATACTGCGCACGTGCAGCGCATGGATTTTGTCAGTTGTAAGGTTCTCTAAACAGTCAGGGCTCGCTATTTGCCTTGCAAATTCCTAATTGTACATTGTCAATTTTGGGATATTCTGCTAGCCTGATACTGGGAAGTTTTTGTAATTATGTACGTGTAGCGGATTGAGTTTTGAAAAGGATCTAATGTGGGATATTCCGATGGCTGATATTTGTTGACTGGGTAATACACAGGTAAATACGTTTTTGAAGAAGAACGAAAATCTTTTGCAGATATTCGTAAGATCAGACAACAGTGCTGATCTGCAAGCTCTTCTCTATTTGCTTAAGCTTTACATTCTTCCCCCGAGCATTTAAATCTTACCGTGCCCATTATTCTCTTCGGTGTCCCGTATCACGAAACCTATGTTAGCGTAGTAGAATAATGCACTTTGGTGAAAATCGCACACGTTGTTCCACTGCCTACGGTATACGGCGTACTGTTCCAACTTTCGACTGCGTACATCCTACACTTTTTAGTTGCTCTCTTGAATCGCCACTACCAAACCTTCTAACATTGCACTATTATTATTTCCGACGGTTTTCGTTTTTAGGTTAGCCTCAGCGGAATTGTTACTCTGTGACCTGTTTGTCAAGAACTGCCACGTAATCCAGAAAACCCGGACACTGTCCCGCTGTTTAATGCCGAGCAGTTTCCATTCAAGTATCCTGCAATTGCACCGTTCTATGCTCACGTTGACAACGAAAACGAAGGGTTAATATATTTCGGTGAGCCATCACAAATGATGTTTAGAAAAAAATGATACATAGTTTTCTGTTTATATGTACTATAGTTTGAAGAATAATTTTGCGAAGTTTTAGGGTACGGGAATTCTACGGATGTAGTAAGCTTTCTAAGAATCAGATGCTTGCTTGGTTTTAATGTTTTATATCGCGCGTAGTCGTAATCGGAAAATTTTGACTAATCAAATTATGCATTATATTGACCACCATAATATAAAAATTACTTCGCATAAATATTCGTTAATTGGGTTTTCTCCCTTAAAAATTTTTGGTTGTTAAGATTTTGTTTTGAAGACATAAACTCTCTGTTAACTGTGTGTCTCTAGTATTTTATCGATGAATGAGTGCGGTTTGGGTATTGCTTCCGCGATGTAAAATTGCTGTTTCTGCTTTCCCACTGAAAAGCTGTAAATTATCGTTTGATCAAGTCTCTGACAGTCCCACGGGAGAAAATATGTTATCAGAGAATTATTAATTGTAATGCGAATTTTATTTCTCATGGAATTTCATCGATTTGTTTTCCTCAGTTACCTCTCCACCTGCTTCTCTCGGATATCTAACACCATCTCCGGCGCTCAGTCTTTTGCGACATCCATCATTCACGAGGGTAGAGGTAACAGTAAAGCCACCCAATATAATCTAATATAAGGTATACCTGAAAAAAATAAATTCGAATATTTTTAATTTTGAAAACAACCAAACCTTTCATTATTTTCTTTTTAGGAGATAATTATCGTACGTGTTAGTTTAGGCTCTGTGGGCACGTGGATGGTTCGCCGTCCTTGTAGCACGCGGAGCGTTTGGAATTTGTTTTCGGTAAAACGGAATTTAGTGCAGTATTAGCTGTAATTTAAACTGGTGGGCGCGCGGGAGTTCGCTCTTGTGCTGCACGCTGGTATAGGAAATTTTTTTAGTTTTCTTACTTTTCTGTAGGCTCGTCGTGGGCACGCGGCCTGCAAGCAGGCTGTGTAGCACTTGTGACGGCAAGCATTAATTTGCTTTTTTTTGAAAAATATTTTGAAGTTAAATCCATATCAAATACAGCAGGCCCTCGGGCGCGCGGCAGGTGCGCCAGCTGCGCTGCACTTGTGGCACATGAAAAAAATCAATTCACGCTGGTAGAGTAGATGCACCAAATTTCACGATAATATTGCTACTAAAGTGAAATTTTTTGAATGAATAAAACTGATAATAATCAAACAGAATATACCATTTGTCTGCAGCATCTGTACACTCACACAAGGTACCGACGGGCATGCGGCGAGTGCGCTCCCTGCATAGCACATCGGGAAACATTTAAATCGTGCACGTTTCAACAGTATTAAAAATTGAAAAATATTGAAAATTTATAGTTGGTAGATGTTGTCTGTTGCGTGATGTAGCATGATGAATATTAATTCTGTTTTTACAGATTTTGCAGTGCTACCAATTTTAACAGGCGCCTGTTTCGAGTATTGGTCTGTGCTGAAACACCCGGTATATATTAGTAAATTCTACTAAGTAGAATTGGCCAGTTATTTAGTATGCGAAATCCTTTTTAGATAAGCGAATACTGTACATGTTTTCAATCTTTGGTTTGAAAAGTGCCTATCAAGTCGCATCATACAACAAATATATTTTTGACTGATTCTGCATAAATGCCCGGTATAGAAATATTATAAAATAATGTAATTAAGTGATGATTTCTTTCCTTTACCAGGACAATCCGTCACTGTTGAATTACACATTTCAGCTGCAGCTAAAATGTCAAAGCCTCGACTTACCATTTCCGAACTCCATAAACGCAATCGTCTGATGAGAGATCGGCTTAACGCCACTGAGTGCACCGGCGATCCCAAGATCTCTAAGATCGATATGGTCGGTGATTCCAATACTCGCAACGTCATGTGCGGCGATCGTCCAAATGCTGACGGTGGATGGCAGTCAAAGGGCGTTAAGGCACTATCGCTGTTAAATGTCAGCCGGGGGTGGAACTTCTTTGTCACGTCGATTTCCGGCGGCTGGGCAATAGACGTCCGTAATTTTCTCGTGCAATCTGACGTGCACATGTTCGCCACTGAGGATGAAAAGAAGCCGATTTTAGTAGTATCGTGCGGTACGAACGATTTTTGGGATCTAATCCACTGTTCCCAGGCCGTTAAGGGGGAAGTTGAAATGGGAGAGTTTATCAAGGACTGGGAGGACGTTCAGGCGCAGTGGCTCATAGATATGGCCGACTTGGTCGTGCAAGCGCGTACTCGGTACCACGAGATCGTGGTAATGGGAGTGATTAGCGTAGGAAACACTGACGAGATCGAGAGCAACCTGGTCAATCCTAGGATCATGCGCGCCAACGAGGAGCTCCAGAAGCTGTGCAGTGATTGGCAGGTGACATATGTCAACACCGAGTCCCTCAAGGCGCTGCGCAAAGATGGCATTCACCTCACACAGGAGGGTGGTAAAGATTTTGCCAAGTTGATTCGTCGGGCGGTTGAGCGTCTGCAGGACAAATGTGAGTGCTTTAGGGTGGTGTGCGAGGGTTGTCTATACTAACAGGCAGTCTCAGGCAGGTTTAGGGTATACTAAATCTTTCATTCTTTTCTCCTTACAGTGACCGGAAGCAAGCAGAACGAGCTGCGAAAGAAACGAAAGAACGACCGCAACGCAAAAAGCATGAAGGGTACGTAGGCAGCCAGACTGTTAGCAAGTCCATCAGTTGATCCAGGGCGGTAGTGAATGCTGTTATTTAATCTTGTGTCGTGATGTTTTAGCGGGCACCTACGTTGCCCCGAGTGCCCAAAACCCGCCGGGTTCCCGTGTGGGGAAGAAGAACAAGTCGCAGAAGGAACGGAAACGCGCCAAGGCCCGGCTGGCCAAGAGTAAGTATTGTTTTGGATCGTATTACTCATTAATCGTACCGAACTTATCATGAGAATAATTAACGCATAAAATGAGCATTTTCTTGGGAACTTGCAGGTGCAGCCAGTGGTGGTGGAGGTGCTGCGGCAGGAGCGGCCACAGCGGCGTCGGGACCGAACGCTGAGCCCTTGGGAGTGTATTCCGCCCCTGCGCGCGGGTCTCTGTAGTACGCAGCTGTTGCAGATATATGGCTTCTGCTTTTTGACCTTTCGTTTTGCTTTGCTGTTTTCCTTTTTCTTGACGAGCTTGTAGCGCTCTGGGTGTGACGCTGTGTGTCGCTTGTCGTGTGTGTGTGTATGGAGAAGGAGAGAATGAACTGAACAGAAGTGCAGTGTTTTTGTTTGCTTTTGTATTGCTGAAGTTGATAAATAAACTAATGCTGTAGGGTGCTTGGAAATCATACAAGTTAAGGATATTGACTGTTCACTCTATTGCAAAATCACAAAAAATAAATACCATAAAATGGAAAAAATAAACAGTCGCCATAATAATACGCCTACTTTTTTTCCCGCGCATGGTAATAAAGCAAATTATAATCATTGCAATAGCAATGCCAAACTGCCATAAACATGCCATTAAGAATACTAGCCGTCTGTGAGCGCTTATTTAGTGTTTACGCTTACTAATAATGGCTGGCCAGCTTCCGCTTTTTTCGCAGCTATAATTGCCAAAATAATTCACTAACGCACCGCAATATTTGGTTAAATACAGATCCCGCCTGGACCATGCCGCGCCAGGCACCTGAATTTGACTTCGAATGGACGTCAGAAGAGGACCTGCTGCGGTTCCTCGCGCAGCCACACATCAACGCAGAGCTACAGGAATATGGCTTTATCATGGTAAAGCTGATAAATTTTTTGCAGCAATAAATGTTCAGTTCTCAACTAACCTGCAATTAAGAACGATGACTGTTATACAGCTGCGCGTCATCCTGCCTGAAGGCGGAGTTGTAGAAGAGATTCTTAGAAATCCGGCGGTATTTCGAACCATGTTCCGGGAGAAAAACAGCATCATTGCCTACCAGCATGTCGTCACATCCAATGGCTGCATTGAAGTAACAGAGCCGCGAAACCTGAAGCAGGATTGCGCATACGATACCTACACCGCCTTCTCGAAATGTGAGACCTTTGAGGAGTGGTGTGCGACCGCAAAGCACACCAGGAAACGATCGATCGGGAAACCAAAGCCGTTCAGTATATGTGGGATGTGAGAGCTTCTGCGGCGGTGGATCTGCCTCATGAAGAGGATCGGCCGTTTATCCTTACCGAAGAAGGGCGGAGGCTGTTTCCCCTCCCGATCGCAGCAGAAAAGTTCTTTGCGCAGCATTTCCACAAAGCAGATGCAGGGGAATCGCATCGACGCGCCTTCTACTGTATCAGCACGAAGAACATCATGGATCACTACAAAAAGGTATTCGTTCGACACGGGCAGCGTTTTTTGTTTCATGTTGTGAATAAACTGGCGAATTATCATGACTACAGTCCCTTTCTCTAAAACCTAGGGATACAATATGGCTGATTTCTCGTGCGTCCTTCGGAAATACTCGGAGGATATGCTTACCGGGCCAATGGGTGGGATCAGTACGTATTTTACGTACATTTCTGCAAGAGGATCAGTATCAGCCCTTCATATCGAAGATGCTGACATGGTGTCCATTAACTATTGCGTTTTCTGTGCCGATCCGAACTTGCTGAAGCTTTGGTTCGGCTGGCCGCCGCACGCTCTTCCGCTTTTACGGCAGCTTGGTCTGGAGGAACATCTGAAGCAATACCCCGACAGTAACGCGACGCCGGAGGAATTTGTGAACGCGCGTGACAAACAGCAGTTCATGGATCCAGCTGCTGTGGAGAAGGCAATCGGTGTGCCGGCGACCTATGCGTTCCAAAGAGAAGGATACATGATTGTGACTGCGCCACGGGCGCCCCATGAAGTGATTAATCTGGGAGAGTCCGTTCATATTGCCACGAACATTGGCACAGAGAAATGGGCGAAAGACATTTTGCCAACGGCCGAAGTATCACCCGAAGATAAGGGAGGCATTACGCAAGCACTGAAAGACGAAATGATGCTGTATGTCAAGGGCAAGCAGACGAAGCCCGTAGCGGACATCAACGGCATTCCGCTTGCAACGGACGCCGACTGCCGGGATCTGACCGCTAATTTGCGGCGCCGAGTCGTTAATAACCTCGTTGAGATTGATCTTTCATCAGTAGTGCATGGTTGCCACAACCTGACACGGACTGTGGATCCTTTTTATTGCAAGAACAAGCAGGTGGAGCTGGAGAATCGCGGCTATGTGGAATTGGATTGGACGATTTGGTTGCACTGTGATTTACCTAACGCGGAAACCTGGGAGGAAGTTCAGTATGCCATCACCCATAATGGGCTTAAACTGTCGATTATTAGTGGTAAGGAAAAAAAGAAGCTAGCAGTAGAAAGGAATTCAGCATGGCTGGTGTTTCAATAACTGGTTTTTAACAGGTTCGCAGCGCGTTGCGATGGCACGAAATCTGGGAAAACATAGTCTGCCGGTAAGTAGATAAAAATGGAAATGAAATAGGCCTACATCCTATCAATACCAACGTTTTCTCGTATGTTACACCATAGGCCCGCGTGTTTCTCAACTGCTCTCGCATGGAATTGATCGAGCTGATGGGTCAAGTTGTAATGACCGAGCAGCAGGAACCACTAGCCCGCCGAGTAACTTGGCTCTGGCGGATTATGCGCCCACTAATCAACGAAATTGTCGCCCACAAAGTCGCTGGGCTTGACATCGTGCCAACACCGGATGGTTATCCCAAGCGTGACGCCGGATACGATGAAGAATACCCTGCCCTGATGAAGGACGGTATAATCTATACGTTCCAAGCATACAACGACCGAAAATCCTTCCATTTCCACCTGGCGCGAATCCTCCCGAAATACTTTAGCAGGGAGCTGGTGGCCAAAAGTTACCAAGGCAAAGATCGCAAAAAATCTACACTTGTTAACGGCATAAATGCCATGGCAAAGTTCCTCTGCTTCCCACCGGCAATGGAGCGCGAGTTTTATCAGTTGTGCGACATGATTGATTCCGGAGAAGTTGACATTACAACCTTGCCTTACAAGACAAAGCAAGCAGATTCGCTGAGCAAGGTGTTTGAAATGAATTTTGGCATTCCGACAATGGAGAAGTGGTTGGAAGTTGATTGGCATCTGCTGGAGAGGGGCGTAACTAAATGGCACATGTTCTTTATTCGTCTCGCGGTTTCCATGGATAGGTCAAAAGATGGTGGAGTAGCTGCGGCCAGTCACCTCACACCAAAGGTTAGTCAGGCAGGCAATTGCACAGATGCATCACAGTTACTTGCAAAACTCACAGAGTGCAACTTACACCGTTCTGCTCTTTTTAGCACCACATCGTCAATTACTTACTTGTTCATCTTGGTATTCCCGTCGGTGTTATTCCGTTGGGAGGCGAGACGACCCTGGAAGACAAGCAAGCGCGCGCGCGAATTGAAGCTTGTTATGCTTCTGCGGAACACCGAGAGGCATGCAGATTGTTCCTTGAGCTTTATCCCCAATTTGCCAATGAGCACTATACACGGTCAAAAGATCCTACTGCCCGTGTGGAAATCCCCCCGAATTATGCCACCGATTTGGACATCCCGAAGAAGCGGAAGCGTGGTGGTGGCGGTGGTGGTGCTCGAGGAAAAAAGAACGGTGCTAAGGGCAGTGGCAAAAAGAGCGGCGTGGGGAAGAAGAAGACGAAGAAAGCCACGGCTGCATCCGGCAGTGACGGCGGCGAGGACGCTGACGACGTCGAAGACGATGGTAATGACCAAGTCGCGGCTGACAGTGAAGGTGGCAGTGATGAAGATGAAAGTATGAACGTGGACGAGCATGAAGATGAGGATGGCATCCAGTATTTGGGAGTAAGAACACATTAAATTGCGTTGTGTTTCTGCGAATTTGAATAATCGTTTCTTCTATACCTATAGCGATTCGAAAAATTTGAACCGTTGGCTGAAACTACCCGCAGCAAGAAAAAACAGCAAGCGCGCAAGTCAACACCTTTGTGCGCGCTACGTGATGCGGCCGTGCAGTTGACGGACGCGTATGTTGATGCGCTGGTACGTATCGGATACACGCTGAAGGTGTTTCCAATCTTTTGTTCACAGCGACAAAACACTAAACCAATGTTTTTTGGTTGTAGTGGAAAGGATTCGATAGATGCGTTCAGGGACAGTTTTATGTCGCCGAGTCCAGCCTTGATCACGAGCTGACGTTGCTGCGCATTATGACCAAGCTTCCTACGACCACCGAGCGTCCTTTCGGCGTCAGGGCTGTGAAGTATGGCGCGTTCCAAGTGGATAAAGCGGAATACAAAGAAACGGAAAAGTTTGCCGAATTCGACTTTAAGATCCTCCATCCATTGCCCAGTCATCTGCACCAATCTGCCGGAAAACGCAGAATTGTCCTGCAGATTAAGCCTGACAAATGTGTGAGACAGGGACTGGAGGAATTCGTCAAGAAAGCATTTACTGCCGCGGCCTGCGAGAAATTCATGGAGTAGAAGGAGAAGATACTTGCGGTTCGTAGTGGCTACGTGTGTTATTGCGTTTGGAAGAACTTGCTCGCTGACCATGATGGATTTTGTTTGCATTTCTGTTTTTGCTGCTATGTTAGATCTCTGATTAACTGCTGCTGATATACTACTGTATGAAGGAAATAGCGATCTTTTGTAGGTTCATAAGCGTCCAGCTCGTTGTTATGATCATTCCACTTAGTACTGTTGGGGATTTGTTACTTTATTTTTGCTCAATCTACCGGAACCAAAATGAGTGTCACGTTACATGCTGCAATGTTTTTTAAAGTGCTCAAAATATTTAAATTTGCATACTGGGTTTTTTGTTGATGTTATAGTTAACTTGTTTTTGGTGATCAATAATCGGATTACGCAGAATTGGCAAATCATTTACGCGGTAGACAGTTTTATGAGTTTACGTTCGTTCACTCACCGAAAAGCAATCAAACTGACAGTCAGTTATCAAGATTACTTCCACAGATATTACGGCGCGCTACAGGAAAAAATATTAGGAACAATTTTAAAACAAAGACGGCATGGATGCGGTCAAAATAAACCAGCGATTTCACAACCTCGGTCATTAGAAGCGTAATAAAACAACATCCATTGCATAATATTATGCAAAGAAAAATCGCTTTCACGTAGCGGATGGTGGCAGGCAGCGAACCATATCCTTTGGCTTGCGACTCCACACTGGCATTCGGCAGTCTGTTAGCTTGAGCAGGACGAACAGGCAGTTCCGCGACCAGTGCAGATGCTCCAAGATGGGGACTTTTGCAGCCTCCCAATTACCATGCGTAAATCCGCAATAAAAACATTTAGCAACCGTGCCGTGTCCGGAATAAAAAAACCCGGCTTCTGCCATTACACGAGGTGGTTTTTCACTACCACCATGGGCCATCCCCGAAAACTTTTCAGTCGGCTGAAAACGTTTTGAAAAGAAGGAAAAACAGGCGGTCTGGGTGTGATAGGTAAAGATAATTGCCGATCAGGGTACAGTTTACGCAGCTCTGCGCAGTCGGGGTATTTGTCAACGTGGTAATTGCCCGGACTTTCCTGCTCACTTAATCCCACATCCACTCGTCGGCAATATACACACATATGCGCGTCAAGCAGGTTAATTGGCACGAAACCATGAGTGTCTCGCTGGTTAACGGGATGATCGACGACATTGTGCCAAACAATCTGTAAGTATGGGCCATCCTTTTGCTGAATCAATGGAAAAAAGTCACTCGACATCGACATTTCAAGTAAATGTACGCTGCAGCTAACTTCTAACTTTTCTCAGCCCGTTTATAGCTATTGTGCTAGCGTGTTACGCGCGCCTTATATATCTACATCTGCAAAAAAGAGATGATGTTGATATTCAGCTGTGGCTGCTGTTACCGAATGATTACATTCGGGAAGGATGGAGCCGCCCATGGTGCAACTGCTCGACTCCCTGCTTGCCGGAGTTACCGCGGAGTAATATGCACATGGTGGCGATGGGCGACAGCAAGCTGTGCAGCCGTTCCGGACAGAGAAGTCCAGAATGCTTGGACAGCAGTCGTGTTCGTGATAACATGCTAAGGTCATATTGTCGGCTATTAAGCTAAAGCACCAGGAAGTGTACAGGAAAGGTCGATTTCATCAACCCAAACACTCGGTAATACTTAATCACTTTAGCATTTTTTATTGCGCTTCACTACTGACATACATTAAATTTATATACATGATCAAATACAAGAAAAAGGAAAAAATAGCATAATTTGCAAGACATTTAGGTGCACCGCTAAAACAACAATACTACCAGTGACTGACCTGATTTTGATACCTTTACACACACTGATACGTTGTTAACTTGCACCCACCAAAACAAACATTATGGATGCGCTGCGGTAGTTATTGCTACTTCCTTTCACGGATCGGTGACATTTGTTGACCGTGGTGTACCGGGGGTGGTTGTTCCTGGAGGTGTCGATGGTGATGTTGTAGGCGATAGGGGAGTTCTTAATTGAAGAATTAGCGTATTTCGGCATACGGCGGTCCGTTAATTTCAAGAGCACGTACAGACAACTGGGGGCCCAACGAAGATGCTCTAACAGTGGTACATCAGAATCAATCCATCCACTGATCTTAATTCCGCAATAAAAACATTTCACGATGTCACTTCGACCACAATAGTGGAATCCAGCGTGTGCAAGTTCAGATGGAGACTTTTGAACTTGGACGGGCCACTGAGAAAAACTTTTCAGGCGGTCGCTGAAATTCTGAAAAGCGGGAAACTCCGGCAGCCTCAGCTTAATCGGGTGGTGATCCTCTTCGTCGGCATCGTCTTCCATGCACATGTCCCGCAATTGCTCGCAATCGGGATATTTACTAACATGATAAAGGTGAGGATTGTCTTCCGCCGTTAATCCAACATCAATTCGCCCGCAATAAGCGCACAAATAAGAATCCAGGAGGTTAATGGGCGTAAAGCCATTTACTAATAATTTTTTAGCGGCTTTGTCATTGTCTCCCGGCCAGACAAGCTGCAGGGGAGGCTCAGTTTCCTGCTGAATCAGAGGATTAAAGTCTGACATTTTTTTAGAAAGCTACTCGTGATTGAATTGAATAGCTGATTAGAATATATTTTAGGCTTATATAGGCTACTGCTCATTCAGTCATATAGTGGCAAGCGCTCTCTCGCGAACTAAATATAATGCTGGAAGTAAGGTCAGGCTGCTCGACTGCGCGCGCGCGCGCGAGCGCCGGCAGAACGAAACTGCTTAATTTTAGCGTTCCTGTCACAGAATTTGGATTAGCACATGTCCGCTTTCCCATGCCACGCAGCATGCAGGAGACCAGATGCTGCTGTTGTTAAACACTCCTGCTAGGCAACAGGCAGCGTACTCCCTGCTGTTTGCCTTCTGCCACGGGTTAACAGCATGTGTTGCCTGGGCGGACCGTATGGTTATCTGCCAAGCCGCAGGCGGTCAGCTATAGGCGTTTCCTTTTTTACCACATGCATACGCAGTGCGCAATAAAAAGGGCTTTCGACAGTGCGCTGAACGCGTGTTATGAATTGTTGATGCATTGGCCTCTAGCGCGCTTGCGAAAATGACACTTAGTAGTAGTAAGAGTGGAAATCTTAAAATTTTAAGCCAGGATGATGGTGCTGGATCGGAATACGAAACGTTGTTGAATACCGCCCCATTTATTCTTGTGGTAAGTGAAGTGCATCTTTTAATGTTTTCATAAAAATTTACGGGCTCTTGACAGTATAGCGTAGCCGCTGTATAAAGATGAATGCTGGCTGTATAAAAGCCGCGATGGAGCAGCAACCTCGGAAACAGTTGCGCCTCTCTTCCGCGCTACACTTTCCTGCCCTTTAAAATGACCTTTCACGAGTATTTAATCTCAGCCTGGCAGCGATATAGCCAACCGACGCTTTTGATTTTAATTTTTGCAACTCAGTTAACAACAATTTGTCTGTTCACGAGAAGCGGCAGAGTGCTCACTCAGTTCACTAATGAGACTGCAGCTGTTTTGAACGGGAAAACCTTTTTGATTAGTAATTTTATCAATGATACTTTGGCAATTTTAAAAAGCGGCCGCAGTGTCGATAATATTATGTCAATGTTTAGACCGTTAAATGGGTCAGTTAATAGACTGATACGTGCGCTGTCGGAAAAAACCCTAAATTATCAAATGAACATAACTGCTTTAACAAATAGTTGGCTAAAAGGCGAGCCGCGCCTGGATATAATTCTTTTCCCTACGGAAAAGAACATCAGCGAAATAATACAGCAGTCTCCGCCTATTGTCATGAGCTCTACGTTACTCAAAGACGATTTACGGTCACCGCGCGGGGGTGATAGCACGTCTTTTACTGTTGCAGCTAAATATCCTTGTACCCTTTCAGCACAAGCCAACCAAGGTAATGCTAAGTCTGAGCACCTATGTACCAGACCAGCCACGAGCAGATATTCGACTCATCGCCAGATCTCAACAAAAGGAAGAGTACGTAGCTACTAGATGTGGATTCTATTTTCCCCTGCAGTATCTTTCGGAAATCTGTAATGCCCTTCAGAAATTTAGGAAAAAGTTAAAGAGTGGCAGAAAGATAATAAGTTTTGTCAGCCTATGCCCGTTAAACGAAAAGGTGGAACAACAAGTCAACAGCACTCCACCTCTGCGAAGCGACATCAGCATAAGGGAAAACTCTTCATTCCGCAGAGTGGAAAGACGAAGAAAAAGATATACCGCAAAATGCCAAAATCTAAATCCAGTGGTCACACTAACGCTAGCTTTGTGGATGATGATGATGATGATGATGACGGTGATAATGGTACGAATGCCAAGAATGTGGACGATGAAGAAGACACTAGTGATAGCATCGATAATGTTTCAACAAGAGCACATTATGGTACTGATATTGAAGATGATGATGATGATGATGAGGGTGAGGAGGACGGCGAAGTGTGTGAAATAGTGACGAAGAAATGATGCTTGCAGTGTGTGCGGGTGAGGGTGTGTGTGTGTGTGTGTGTGTGCGTGGGTGTGTGTAAGTGTGAGTTCGTTCTGAATGTAAATGAATCATCACGGGTGGCGGAAAAATGATCAATAAAAAATGTCAAGCGAGTTGCTCAGTTGTTTTATTAACGAGTTTAATAACGTACAAAGTATTGTAAAATATTAAACAAACACATCATCACGGGTGGCGGAAAAATGATCAATAAAAAATGTCAAGCGAGTTGCTCAGTTGTTTTATTAACGAGTTTAATAACGTACAAAGTATTGTAAAATATTAAACAAACACACAGCAAGCAAAACATTTTCTACAAGCTACACCGGAACAAAAGGTGACATTAGTTATGGACATGACTGATAAGATTGCTCAAACCAGATCCGTCCTTGCCGACGCCGGTTTTGTTACGTTTCTTCTTCGCTTTGCCAGCAGCATTCGGTTTTTTTTTGCTCTGGTTTTGATTTTTCTTGCTTCTATTACTGCTCTTTTGACTTCTGGAACCACTACCGCCGCTACCACCGCCTCTTCCTTTACCTTTCCGTGTCATGACCATCTTTGATCCGGTGGCCGTCAAGTGCTTTACTGGGACAAGCGCAAACTCCTCCATAGAAGTTGTGTTTACAGCATACACACGCTGGTACTGGTCACCGACCTCTTCGTTTAAAATGCTGCCCCGTACGCGCAGTACATCTGGCGTACAAGACTTAAAGTCTAAGAATAAATATCCGTAATCGCGAGCGGTTGCAGCTTTATATGCATCCATAAAAAAATTTGAGCTACGCGGATACATTTGGCGCGCGAGTATTTCAATTTGCAGTACATCGCGTGGTTGTTTCCATAATACTAAGTAATGTGCATTTAAGGAAATTGTTCTCATTAGTGGATTCTGATAAAAGACATTTTGTACTGTCAAAATTACTGAGCGATTAAGATGGTGGGTACCGCGAGTAAAAAGTGAAACCACGTCTTTATTTATGTTTTGCATTTGATCGTCCAGAATAATCAACGACGGTTCGCATTTATTAGTAAAGCTTTCCTCTGCAATATCAGCCGGAATATCTTTAATGAAAACAATATTTTTTGTGTGACGTTTTATAGCTTTGAAAAAAGGAGACTCGTATGAAAAGATGAAATAAATTTTCTTGGGAAACGGGGTAATCTTGCGCATTTCCAGTAGCCGCGAGATCCAGTAGGTTTTACCACCCTGGCTTTGGCAGCTGCACACCAAATTGAATGGATGCATTAGCAGCGGTTCAAAACTGAATTGCTGAAACATTTTTTTCAACAGTAGTAACAGCAGCAACCACAAGAAGAACAGCAACAACAACAACACCCGCAAACAAACGGTAAAATGTGAAGATGGTCGGCTTTTATACTGCTAAGGGGGCCGGCCGATAGCCAAAGGGCACTGTATGGAAATTCTCCACGATTCTGCGCTTGTCAAACGTAAAACGAATAACCTTGCGCTGCTCACTGGATTTCAGCTGCCATTTGCCCTTAATTCGAAAAATTTTGTATGGATTCACTGAATGACTGACCAGTTTCGGATCTCGGACCATCCTCTCAAGCGTTTTTGTAGTGAACAAACTTTGGTTCCCCTGATTAATGCTGATTCCTTTCATTTTAAAAATCTGCGAACCTTTGCGCGTTTGGTAGGCGTACATTTTAGGTCCACCGCAGACAAATAAAATGATTTGGTCGTCACCTATTTCCGATTTAAATTCCCCTAAACACTCACCGACAGGTAGGCTTTGCAAATTCTTTCCTTCGATAGCAATTACGCAGTCAGTGTCAACATACAAGAGCCTTTCTATTCCGACAAACGCCATTCCTGCATATAATTCCAGACGTGCGTAACTCGTCACAAAGCTGGCAATGACCACATTGGCATGCAAATCTGATCCGTCAACATCGCAAGTGAAACTGCTTTGCACCTGCAGCACGTCGTCACTGACAACATCCACATAGGAGACATTGTAATTGCCGGAATAGAAAAGGTCATTGAATCGCTTAGTATCTTTTACATACTCAAAGCGCGATTTGTTTTCTTTAATTGCCAGCCTTCCCCAGAGTGTGTTAAGCATCAGCTTAGATAGCAAGCGCTTTGTTGGATTGTTTTCAACTCGTGCCGGATCAACCACAACACCATCGCGATCGTACAACAGTTGCAAATAAGCTTTTTTGTTTTCGTCACTGACGCAGCCGGCAGGATACCCGCTGGCCGCCGCTTTTTCGGCCATAAATGTGCTGATGTAATGAGAGAACAAATCTCCCTGACGGGGATAATGCCATACTTCATGGATTTTGATCAGAGTGTAGCCCGTTGACAGCGCCAAAGCTAACTCGGGTGTCGTATACACGCCATTGAAGCATCTCTGTTCGTCGGTGTGCCGGCATATTGATTTCTGATTATTCTGCTCAGCGCAGCGCCAACAAAGCGTAAACACGCATTTCTGATTGATCCGCTGTGGCAAAACGGGCAGAGGCAGACTAACGGGTGGTAGAACGCGAACATGGGCGATCCCAAAATATTCATCTATAGGCTTAAAATGACCAAGAATCTTTTCAGGAATACCCAGCGGGTAACACTTCTGTTTGCACACAGCGGGATATAGGGAGTTTTTATCCAAGTAGGATATATATTCACCCATCGATGAGTCAGGCACAGCCAACAATTGAAAAGCTTCTGTCCGCCCACCGAAAAGTGCATCTCTGATGTTCATCGGTGGCACATGGCTAAAATCCTCGAGCGCCTGCTGGACCGCCCGCTGATGCTGTCGCTTATGCTCGTACCATTGACAGCTCCAGATGGAGCGATAAACAAATCCACGAGACTCTAAATATTTTTGCTTGTGCATGGTTGAATGAAACAGCTGCGCCATTGATTGCCCGCCATATGTTTTGGCGTCCTTAGTGTAGCATGCTGGGCAACCATGAAAATAGCACCCGTGATACTCAAATACTTCATTATTTTCTTCATTATATCCATCCACAAAGAAGCGCCCAATCTGCTTCTCCCCTTCTGGGTGGTTGCGGGCGTGTCGTATCGACTTTTGTTCTGATTTTGCCACATAATGCAACCATTCCAGGCTTTCAAAAGAATAGGATCGATGAGTATGGAGGTCGCGGTAGGTGAAAAATTGAATACTGTCAGCGGGCATGAAACGCGCTCGATACACGGTATTGACAAAACTCGGTAGGGAAACAGACTGGACGAGCGGGTTGTACCCGCCTGATAGAGCGGCCATGCTGGTACAGAAACGCTGACAGGCTTCCCGGAGAATACGGCAATCGTTGACGCAATACCTTATAATTTCTTTTTCAAATATCCAACTCTTATTGTGCTGCAGTGCCTCCTCATCATACCATTTTTTGAAGGCGGTGTAGTCTTTAGACTTCATTTGCGAGCAAAGGTAGAAATGTTCTTCAGGAATTCTCCCGCGGTAATTAAAATTCTCAGACCTGGCAAATAAAAACGGAAAACAGCCTTTTGCGGCTGGAAATCCAAACGCAGCTGGCATTTCACTGAGGCTCATTGGTAGGAAGGCCAAAGAGTCACGTAAAGTTATCTTGAATTTGGGTACCTGGAATATTTAAGTATAATCTAACGCAACTGAACCGAGGGAGCAAGAACAACAACAACAACAACAACAACAACCACAACAACGAGTCTTACATAAATCTGAAGAAATTTTAATCCCCGCATGATGACTTGTGGCCATATACGTTTCTCATGTAAGAATTGCATTATAAAATTTCCGTCATATCCCATTAAATTATGGAAGATAACGATATAGTTAGTATGAGAACGTGCAAATAACCAACTACAGAACTGCGCGCCGGCTTTCGGCCCAAAAAAAGAAGTAGCGGTCCCGTCGTCAGCCACAGCCGCGGCTGCAACTGGAACATGCTGATCACCGCTAATGTCCGCTTCAAAGTCGCAATACAAAAATGGTCTTGCAGGTTTCGGTGTTTCTTTGTGCACTTGTACAAAGCATCGGTGATATTTTCCGACAACCGTCTTGCAGTTTTTACAATAATATTCTCCACAGCAATGCGCTGGATTTTCGACATGCCTTTTTCTATTTTCGTTGATAATTAGACCGCAGTCCAGACACTTCTGCCTCATCTGACAGTCTGTCGCTCCGGTGGCAGCGTCTGTGACTCTTGAAAGATGAAGAGCAAAACAGTCCTTGTTCTGAAAAGCGCGATTACATAAGCTGCATATTTTTTCCACTTGGAAAGCACACTCAGGACGCTGACAATTCCTGCACACTTTTGGACAGTGGTGCGCGGCACCGAGTCTATAGCAAAACCTTTTGCAATGTCGGCACTGCTTAGCCTTGCCAAAGAAGCGAGCCGGTTTTGTTATAGCTGCATAGTGATTATCTGACAGGAAAAGATATACGTCTTTGCTGGCCGAAGTAAGCGGCCGCTGCAACTCTCGATCTTCACTTCCCGAATAAACCAGCCCGGTTTCGTTGTCGGGCGCTTTATAAATTTTTAGGCAGTAGTTGGGGGCGAGCAGAGTCTGGAAAGCTGTATATTGAGAAAAACTCACTGCCCCAAGGGGAACCATAGCATGCTGGTACAACTTAATAGCTTCAGTTTTTTGAAGTTCTTTTCTTGAATCGCACAGCTGCTTCCATTTCCTTTTGTCGTTTACGGGGAGCTTGTTGGCAAATGCCATTGATATAACCAGGGCACGCCCGAAACATAGCATATCGTTATTGCGCACATTAATTATTCCACCGCCAAACGGTGTGCGAATAAGATTTTTCAAATGTTGTCGAGTACCACCACCACCACCACCACCCCTGTCTCTGCTGTTATTTGAAGCAGCTTCATTGTTATCGCTGCCTCCAGAGGGACGTTTTGGCACGCGCATAAGGTTGATATACACAGGCCATTCGAGGGAAAATTCAGTTTTTGACGTAAGTGCATTGGCAATGAGGTAGAGAAACATTTCTGCATTAATGTGGTCTTGCGTGGACAAACGCATCTGGATGGGGTGTGACAGTTGGGTAGATTCGAGCGACACACTAATAAGATCATCCTTATTCGGGACGTAATTGCGAAGATTACTGAAGAGATCTTCAAATACTGACAAGAGAATAGGCAAGATTGTATCCACTCCTTGTAGTGGTAAGGTATCAATTTTCAGCTGAAAATTTCCCGCCCATACATTAAACTTTTTGCTGTGCCGCGACGTTATTGATTTCAGAGCGTAAAACTGCCCGGGATTCTTTATTATGTCGAGGGTGGCAGTGTTTTTTTGCTGTTCTTCTTCATCAGAATTATCGTCTTTTTTCTCATCTTTGGCGCCGTTGCTTTCAGTAGCTTTTTGTGCTTGCTTTTGACCATTACTACTACCACTGTCACCCCCACCCCGGCCACCAGTCAGGTTTTTTAGCTGTTGGAAAAATAATTTGTACGAGAATGCAATGTGACGCGTTTGCCGAAATAAAAGTGATGCAGCCTGAACATCCTTGCATTTGTTGTAGAGCTTTCGTAGCTTTGCTTCTCCCATCGAATCCTTTGTCGTAGTCGTTGTCGTTTGTCGTTGCGTTACCGATGACGCTGCCGCTGTCGCGGCTGCTGCTGCTGACCTTTTCCTGTCTTGTAAAGGCGCCGGCCTTGCTGGCGCAGTCATCGGGCGTTTGCTGCTGCTTTTGGTGCTGCTCTTGCTGCTGGCTTTCATTTGCGTTAAAACAGATGGCTGCTGATGACGGTGAGGATGTCGTTCTAGTAGCACTGGTACTGTTCTGACAACAGGTGATAATGCTGAAGCAAAAGCTTTTAACAAGTAACTTAAACAACAGTGTCATGATGATCGCTCGTTAGCGACCGACGACCAGATTGTTTGCGCAGCCTAACTCTGCGGGGTAACATGTATCAGCCAGTTATTTATATACAAGGCAACAACAAATCACAGTACTTACGATAATACGCTGTTAATACAGAATGCATTGCACCCTGCGGTGCACCATCAGTCGGAAGGATGTGGCTTCCTTCCCAGGGGGGATCTCGCTATTGTATACCGGTGTTTTTACTATTATATATAAACAACTGCATTAAGTCGAAATGAAGTCTACTCATTGCGCTGCAGCTGCTCATTTTCACCATTTTAATTATGGATTCAACAGCTGCAACACAAAACAGGGAAGCGACAGTTGTTAAACGTGATGATAACGATGCCACTAATTACGACGAACGGCACTTGCTGGCGGAAGCTGACGATGCCGCCATTACTGCCGCTGCTGGTTCTGATTCAATCGTTGCTGACCCAGAAGCTTTCACTCCCGCCACTGGCGCAGTTTGTCCGCTATATCAGCAGCACAAAGAGGCTTTTCTGCTCATGTTTCGCACATCCGACTGGACACGGTTTGTTCTTGCTTCGTGGGGATACAACTTCAAAGGGACTGTGCGCTGCAATCGCTGCAGAAAAGAACTCTATTGGCGCGATACAGCGGCCATAATTCATCACGCTGAACGAGAATGCCAGGATCTAAAAGATTATTCGCTTACCGACCCGGATCCCGTAGAGTGGGGCGCCCGTCGCAGACGTACCTATAAGATGCGACGCAGGACATTTGATAACGGCGAATTGCCTGACATGAATGATATCGAATTTCTGCTCGCCCACGGCTTCCATCCCACCAACATTATACAATGCGCTCATCCTAAATGCAATTGGACGGGAAAGTGGGAGGAAATACAGTGCTTGGAGTATTTAAAAAACTACAGCCATGGTCGCGTACATCGCTACCAAATGTATCATCCATACGATAAGAGACCGCCAAGAGTGTTTTGCGAAAATATACTTTTACATGATGATTACGAATAACACGCTTTTTGTTAATGCAGATTGTGCTTTATTCTCTTGTTTATGCGATTTAAATAAAACAAAACATTTAATAAAACCATCAACATCTTAAACATATCTAAAACGTTGCATCTGTTGTAAATTCCCGCATCACGTCGCTGCTCTGTCCAACATGAGCCTTGCGGTACTCGGAGACTCGTCTTTCGAAAAAATTGGTTTTTCCCTCTAGTGAAATTGTTTCCATGTAGGGTAAGGGGTTTTCCACTTTAAAGTACGGCTCCATTTCCAACATCTTCAGCAGAACGTCGGCAACAAACATCACATAGGTTTTCATGGATGATTCGTTAAGACCGCGCAGAGGATGGGTAAACGCATTTTCCCAGAACCTACACTCTATTTCCACAGCTTCCAGCACCAGCCGGTAGATAACTTCAGGTGGAATCTTAAATTTCACTAACTGTAAATACAACCAACAAGCAAATTCAACATGCTGAGATTCATCACGAGCTATTAATTCGTTGCTGAACGTAAGCCCAGGTAGGATGCCACGGCCTCTAAACCAAAAAATAACAGCAAACGCCCCACAAAAAAAAATCATTTCGACACAGGCGAAAGCAATTAGCCTTTCGCCGAAAGAACGCTCTCGATCGCGAATATACTGAGTTGCCCACTCCGCTTTTTCTATAACATTACAGTTAGTCATGATAGCTTGTAGTAGTCCCTGTTTTTCTTCAGAATCTTGGTAATAGGTATTGATAAGGAGAGAGTACGTTTCGCTATGGATATTTTCGATGAAAATCTGATAAGCATAAAATGCCCTGACTTCGGGCAGTTGAACTTCGCAAAGAAAATTTTCTGCTAAATTCTCCATAACTATCCCGTCACTGGCAGCAAAAAAGGCCAGCACGTTTCCTAGAAGATCTTTTTCAAACTGACTCAGCAATGGCCATTGGCGTGTGTCGTGGGAAAAATTAATCTCCTCTGGTGTCCAGAAGCAAGCAACTGCTTTTTTATACCTCTCCCAACCTTCGTCACACTCGATAGGGAATATAACTAGCCTCTTCCAAGACGCTATTAACACAGGCTCTCGCCTTTCTGAATCATCGTTGTCGTTGTCGTTGTGGATAGTATTAGCCTCAGTTTTATTGTTGTTAACGTTAGTGTTGTTCGCTTTACTATTGCCCCATGCTATGTCGTCGTTAATAACATCATCGTTAGTGTTCGCGTCACTTGCCATGGCGTGCCAATAATTGCATTAATAACGATATGCTATTCAGCAGGAGCTTATATACGCATCTGTTCTGGCAACCGCACCGGGGGTTCCCGGCTATCCTTTTCGCTGCTACATCTGTTTGCTTGCTATGGCTCCTCCTCCATATTTCCTGGATGAGCCTATTTCTCTTCCTTTTTTGGTCTATTTAAACACTGGAGAATTTTTGGAAAACTTGCACTCTTGATCATCGCTACTAGTCTGATCGAAGTTGGTTTATATTATGCCTGATACATGTGATAAAGTTTGTATTATCGACGAAGGACTATTCTTGCCGACACAGTCTCCTTGTAATAGCAGCAGCA